CGGGGTTATACTCTCGGATCTAGGCTATCCCTAATATAGCCTCGTAGTTTCCGATTTCGGTAATATTAAACTAGACATTAGCTTTATATCTATCTAGTAAGGACAATTTTGACGGGATAGTTACTTTGTTAACCTGTCTATTAATATAGTCTAACCTATCTACGAGTTTTAGAGAGTATAGTTAAATGTTAATTATAGGGATATTTAACTTCTTTGCTATACGGGGTAAGATATAGTTTCTATTAGCCCCTAAGTTAATTATAACTCTAATTAATTTTCCTCTAATCTTTATTTCGACCGTAATTTGTCTCTATTCTCTAGTAGTATAGAGCTTATAAGGGTCTAATAATATCTCCGTAACCTCTATATCTCGGAGTAGGTCGGTCTATATACGGTATTGCGTTGCCTATTCTTACAAACGATAGGGTATACTAAGGCGTAGGGTATATATATCTAGAATCGGGGCCTCCTATTAGGTAAATTCGTTGGTTTATCCCTTAACGAAGGAGACCTATTTCTAAATACGTTTTTCTAGAGATCTACTAATAATCTCCTATATGTCTCCTAGCTTAAGAATATTATTTAAGTAGAGTAACTACCTAATTAGTCTAAGTAGTTCGATAGTCGTCTTCTAGGTACGTTCTTATTAGAATACTACCCTTTTTATATCTACGAAAGATACTTTATAACGTATATTGACTACGGGTTTCTCTCCCTATGTCTATTAGTCGGCGGTAAACTTCTAGCTATCCTTAGTTATCTAAATATTTCCCTCTCCTATTGTCTCCTAAAAGTACTAGTATTCTCTAGGTTTCGGGACTACTTCCTCGGGTTAGTAGGCCGAGGGGCTGTCGGGTTCTAAGTCTATCTAGTGTGAGGAGTCTCCGATCCGGTGTTCCTTCTTTACTAGAGGTGTTTCGGATCTTAACTAGACCGCCGAACTCGATTCGGTAGCCTCTTACTTTCTCTAATTACCTTTTAGTAGGGTAGCTCTATCTATTACCGCTAGTTGTCTAGTAGGGCCGAACTGTTTTTTCTAGCCTCTCTATAGCTTTCCTTTATAATAGAAGCTAGCTATGTGACCTTCTTTTCTACACTTAAAGTAGAGTCCCTTCTCCCTTCGACGTGTCCTCTCCTTATTAGAAAGTTTCTTTCTATTCTTTTCTAAAGTGTTAAGTTCCCTTCTACTAATTGTATTAAGTTCTATCGGATCGCTGTAGCGGTTCTTTAATAGGCGTATATAGTAAGAATATACTCCTTTCTTTTTAATACGGCACTCGTATGCTCGGTTATTAATCTTAATAGCGGCTTCACTTAACTCGTAAAGGGTCTTAAGAGGATCTATACGCGATAATTCGTCCTTTACGAATTCCTTTAATTCTCTATAGAATAGTATTCTAAGGGCTTTATCACCTAGTCCTAACCTGGCTAAGGTTTACTAGAAGTCGATATTATATCGGATAGCTGACCTAGTCTAGGTGAGCTTAAGTAGGGCTAGCTCTAACTTCTTCTTAATATCGATGTCCCCGAAAGCCTTCCTTATACCGGCTACGAAGTCTTTTATTAATTTAAAATAATCTTTAACAAACTAGGAGCAAACTGTAGACACTAAGCCTGTTTAGGTCTTATTCTCCTAGTAATCGCTAATATGAGGTTCGATCTAGTTATAGGCCCTTCCCTCGAAGCGCGAGATTAGGAACAAAACCTTGTCCGTGTCGTTCCTAAACTTGTCTCTATAAAAACCTATATAGAGCTAAGCCTTTATAATAAACTGCTCTAGGTTGGCTAGGGTTCTATTATACTTGTCTAGCGGAGGGATTCGCAGGCCTTCCTTTGCCTCGATCACAGTAGGGACTAGTGGAGGTAGTAGTGCCGGGGTTCCTACGACGCTTCCGGCTAGACTAGTAACGTTTGGAGCTATTAATAATCTAGTGCTTACTAAGAATAGGTGCTTAAAGTGTAACGATTCGGTTCTACCCGGGGTTGACTAGGGTTATCGTAAGGTTAGTATATTAAGAAGTAGGCACGAGATTGTCACTTATAGATTTAGAGATCTATTCGTTACGATAAGAGTAAGTCAAACAGATAATATACTATTACTATAATAAGTTAAGTACAAAGCTCTTATCTAAGGAAATTATAATTATTATATAGAACTTCCTTTCCTTAAGTTCGATAGGTTCGCTAGTCGAACCTATCGAACTCCTAGCCGGTTCGACAGGTTCGCCTAGCGAACTTGTCGAACTTGCCTCGTCACGTGACGGCACCCTAAACCGGGGCCTATCCGCCAATATGAACACTACTAACTTTAACCGAATTAAGCTATTAGACGGCGGCCCTAGGAACTACTCGATTCCCGTGACCTCGTCTAATCCCAGGACTTCCAGTCCCAGGAGTATTACGACGCCGAGGCCGACGCTGTTCGTGACAGATAGGTGGTTCTTTGGAAGACAATATTAAGCGAGGAGTATTTAGGTTTCCGCTATTTGGCTATATTTAGATAGCTCCTATAGGTTCCTGCGATATATAATCACTAGACAATACTAACCTAAAGCTGCGTTTGACAGGTGAGCACCACTTTAGGTGGTTCCTAAGCTCACCTAGAGGGTGTGTCGCAGACCAGGTCAGTCACGTGGGCAATATAGTTCAGGTGCGCCACAAGGGAGTGGCTCAGGCTGCTCACTGGCACGTGCTGAGCACAGGGCCATATATATTAGATGCTCAGCTGTCCTGAACCTAAGGAGTTAGACTTATTTAATATACTGAACCTCCACCCTGCCTGCATGCTGTGTAATACAATTTCTAGTGTAGGATAAATGGCTTTTCCACCACGATTATTGATTAAGTCGAAACTTTTATTTTCCACAGTTTTTGAATTATAATCAGGACGTGTTGTTATTAGTTATATAGACTCTTTATTATTGTCTACGAATTTCAATAAATTCGGGCTTCCTACTACTATTGCAAGAGAGTTGCTTGACTTTCTTTCCATGCAGCTTAGGTTCAAAAAATTCGTTTTCGAATAACTGTAGTTAGGGTAGAAAACGCTACATTCTACGGGAAATGTCCTTTCAATAAGACAATTACCTTTACCTATATAGAAGACTATTTAGTATGAGACTCACAGTACCGTAATATAATCAGACACTTCCAGAAGTTACAATTAGAGTAATTCTAACTGGAAAGAAATCTTCACACATTCCTATGCTTATTATTTCCAATCAACACTTGACCGTAATCTCAACGCAACACAACAAACCTCCTTTGTAAGACAAGAAAGTACTAAGTTATTGATCTCAATATCAGACTCTCTCTGTGCTCCTTTCTTGCTCGATCGACCATCAACAGCATTGATTGTAGATATTTCAAACGGTTATTCACAAAACTCATAAGTTAGACAAAGTGTGTGTGTTTTATTTCTTCCAAATTTAATACAACTACTCCCATAGATACTTCAAGCATTTTGGAACTCATAGGTAAATCGTCGGACGTGTAGACCCCGAACCTCGCGCGGAGTAATTCTTTCTGTGCGCGATTTTACCAATTAGAAATGGAACATGGCCGACGCTCCAACAAGGACAATGTCAAAACTTCTTGCAGTCAGTAGAGATGCATTGAATTAAAGACTTGGTACGTACATACAGATCACATAATCAGATTGCGGTGGACGGAGTAAATGTGCAAAACTCATATGATCTTTGAATGTTTTCTACCTTGAAATTCAACGATACAAAAAGCAACTCCGAAAACAATACTGCAACTAAACTCAAAGTCTCAAAAATATGTATATCACATTGTTTTTCTGTTCATCTTTGTATCATGGTAAGTTGCGCAGATGCAAGTGAACATACGGGCTGTTTCGGGAATTATTAGTGTTAAATGAATATAGGAGTAGCCGAAAGTGCATTTTCAACAAATAAGATATTTCCCTCCAAACTGCTTAACAAAACAATTTGGTGTAGAAGTTTTATATATACGTATATTTATATATATGTAAGTCTGCTGAGGAAAGAAATACTTATTAGAAAGTAATTAAATCCGCTAAGAAGTAGACTCAAATGAGCGCCTGTGTGCCTAGGCCTAAAGCTTGAAGAAGGCATAGCATTTTCTCTAGATAACAGGTATACAATCATTGAGAAGTTTCTGGAAGTATTGTTTGTTGAAAACAATAAAGAAAGCAATAGTATTCGTGTCGAAGTACACTTCTTTTGGTCATACTAAAATTGCCGTTGCTACCACTACTTGTAACATCTGACGTAGATTAAGACTTTCGAAGAACAACGCAGCTAATATTTCGAGATATTTCCTGTTCCTGTGATTTTTCGTAATCCAGTGTCAAGCACATGTAAACAATGAGTAAACTCGATCTAAGTAGTACGATACTCTTTGAGATAGAAATTTAGATTAATTCATAATAAGCGTTGGAATAATTGTGTATGGGAAGTAAAACCTACAGCTCAGTTGTTGGAATGTGTGGAGAGCAAAAAAAAAAAAACATTTGGCAATTTAAGAGAGTAGATGATTTACCCAAGATACTGAGTGGATTGAACACTTGTTCCAACTTGACTTCGGATCTCGATTTTCTGCCTCTGGTTGCCTACCAAATAAGTTACATTCTACTTCATTTTCAAGTGAGTACCGGGAAATGTATAGCCGTGTCGCGTACGACTGCACGTATCATCAATGTGTAGTCATCACATATGACCATGATCATTGGACGAATGCCTCACGAACCGCCGAGCAAATATGCAAAAGGAAGGAAGCATATATTGCAACCCAGGTATTATATACAACAGGTCAACCTACCTTCGCCAAAAGAATCAAACACACCAAAAAACAATATCCAATGACTCTGCCGTAGCAGGTCGAGCTATAACGCTGCAATCGAAACCAACCAAATGTGCCAGCCAAAACGCGCCGTAAGAATGCAATTCGAGATGATTCCACCCGGCATGGCCTATCCAAACCTTCTTCTATGTCTATCTAACGATTCCGGGTCCTCATGTGGATTTCTGGGTCTGCGAAATCTCTCCGTCTTGGTTCCCGTCAGCACTCGTTTTCTTTCTATTCACCACCACGTATTCAGGCTCGGATCCATATTCACCTTCGCTTGCACCAGGAGTTGGTGGTAATTGGCCTGGCATCGGCGGAGTCGTGTACGTCTGATTCGCCCTCTTCTCTCTATTGATGTTCTGCGATCCGAATTCCGTAGCCAGTGGGGAGATGGGGTGGTGTGGTGGAGGAGCGCTGAATGTGTCTCCTAAAGGGGTCCGTTGTTGAGGACTCGATCGGCCGGAGGGTGTGCGCGAGAGGGAGATGCCGGCTGCTTGTTTGGCTTTTAATCTTTCTTCGGTGGCTTTTATTCGTGCTTCGAGGGCTTCGAGCTCGGAGGTTTGTGTGGATACTACTCTCTTCCTGTGAAGCGCGATACGGTAAGGATAGAACTAGTGGTAGTGGTTTGAGGGAGAAACGCACTTTTCTGATACTACCGCGTCGAGATCTGCTACACTGTTGTCGATTTTGAACAGATCATTGAGGGCTAGGGAGAAGTTTTTGGCCATTGTCCTGCGCTGGTTAGTGGTGTTGTGTTAGTGATTGGGTTGTAACTCACGATTGCGGTCTGGTACTTGGCTTCCATTCGCGGTCAAGCTCTGCGTCCGACATGATGGATAGTGAAATTGATTGATTGATATTTGGAAGAATGAAAAGTTGTGTTCTCTGAAGCGTGTTGAATTCGTATAAATCTGTTCAATGGCTGTCTGGGGATCTTCAAGCAAGGTTCAGCTGCAATAAGGGGCCGCGAGCTAGTGACTCCGGACAGCTTTCTCGGGGTTCTTTGGGGAAGTAAGGTTATTGTATTGAGGAAGACCAGAGAGAAAATAATTACGGTGATAGAAACTGGCCGATATGTTTTATAGAATTGTATTAAAAGGACCGCACCGTCATGCGGAGAGCAACCGTTGAAAAGGGGTCTGTCTGGGCTGGCGAGGGGTGGGAAATAAGGTTGATGCTAGTAATCTGATACGCTGGAGAAGCAATGAAAGGGCAGACCAACCATTGTGACCCGGCGGCCTGATCTTGTGGGGAGGATGCGCCTTGCATGTGAGGTGGCCACGGGAGATGGGCTTCGGTTGCGGGAGTCGATTTAGGGGTTACATCAAGTTCGAACGATAACAGTAAACTGCAATGCAGTTATCTTGTATTAGATTATATACTTACAACTTGTGAGTGGTGCAGTCTGTAGCAATATGTTAGTAGTCAAGTGTTACCAGATTTGGAAATAAGTCGTGCACCTATGACACACGCGGATTGCAACCCTCGGCTCTGTAACTCAATCCTGAGGGGCGTACAGATTCCAAAGAGCAAAACAAGAAGAAAGCGAAAGTATAGCATCAGCCTTAGGATTTGACTTCTCTATTTGCGCGTGTATTAAGATGACGATGAATATAAATCTCTTTTTTTCTTTTTCGCAGTACGATGCGCTCTTTCCATAAACTCGTACCACTGCGCACGTGATGTTGGAACTTTTGTCCCCCGTCGTCACTTTTCCCATTCACGAAGCACCACGCAGCAGATCGGAATTCCATCGTGAAAACGCGCATAATCCATCCAAACAATCACGACCAGCACTCGCGACCGTAACATCGACGACCACGAACACATCACCACATTAATATCGACGCCTCCATGCATCGCGATCGCAATCACTCGTAAATGTGTGGTCCGAATAACCTCATCGCGGTCGAAATTCCTCGCATCGCCCCGAGTCTCGTGGTCGAGACTCCGTCGTGGCTCCCATTCACCTCGTCTCCAGCCGTGATCGCGACACATCCCTCGATCGCTGGCGAGGAGGCCGTAGTGGCATGAATCATACGGCTTCTCCAACGCCCTCACACGCCAACATTCACGCATACACGCCTCTTGAATGTCTATTGCTTTTTCAATCGCTACTTAGTTTTGGGACTCGAGAGGAAGATTTTGTTCGAATTTCCGATGCTCTGACACACAATGAACTGGTCAAAGGGGAGCCCACATATGAGGCGCAAAGGTTGAGCGTGGATGCGTTGCGACAATTGTATGTGCAGCTTCTCCACGAAGAAGTGAAGACGGATGGACCGGAGGATGTACAGGAAGATGGCACGCAGTCCGGGACGAAAAAGAGGAAGATCCCCAGTCCATCTCTCCCGGCTCCCAAGGATGTCCAGCAGTGCAAGGAGAAGCTGCCGCTGATGGTGGATCGACTATATGCCAGGTATCGCGAGCGCATGATTCAGAGCATTCGAGACGAGGAGAGAAGGTATGCTCAGGTAAAGCGAGAGATTCAGGAAATCGAACAAGGACTTTGGGACGACAGGATACGAGAAGAAGATCGAGAGATACAGAGAAAGGCGATCGCTGTCACAGATGGACCTACTCATCCAAGGACGAATGGAGTCTCAGCAACTCCTACCCCGATTGATCCTCCACCTCCGCCGCCAGAATCGAAGAAATCGGAAGATCACAAACCTCACGAGAATGTGCAGCCGTCGCCAGTACCCTCAGAATCACAAGAGCCAAGGGTATCCCCGAAGCCCTTGAAACTTCCTACTCCTCCAGTTGCTCAACCGCCGGCACCACAGAAATCAGAAGGCATCTCATTGCGCGAAGTTCTAAATACACCACAGCCAGAGCAAGCAATCCGACCCCCACCGCAACAACCACCAAATGTGCAGACTCAACCACAAAACTACTCAAATCAACCACCACAGCAGCCATTGCAATCACCTCATCCACTTCCACATCCGGTCGAAGTGCGTTCCGCCACCGGTCCTTCGGGTGCAACTCCACACATCCCGTTGAATGGTCCGAACGGTACCCCAAATTCTTCTTTCAATGGCCCATCGAACGGTTCGATAGCGAGGCCACCTCCAAAACGGCAGCCGAGCACAAACCCTCAGCAGCAAATCCAGCACTCGCCTCAACTTCCATCTCAAAGTGGTACACAGTTCCAATGGCATCATGAGCAACCGTACCCCCCACCGCAACAGATGCAACAGCCTCACTATCAAGGAGGAAATTCTCAACAGCAGCACTACAACGGTCCGAAATACCCTCCTCAATATACCCAGGTAGGCCGTGGGAACTTTCCACCTCCCCATGGATTTCCTCCTCCAAACCATCATGTCCCATCCTCACCATCGCCTCTCGGTTCTCAGCATCCATCACCTGTCAATACCCAGCATCCGTCACCGCTTAATACACAACTTCCACCCCCCTTGAATACCCAACATTCCCCCCATATGCATCATCAACAAGGTATATTGTTACCTCCGCCGAATGGCGTGGCGAGATCACCTGGCTCTCCAGGCATGCCGCTGGATGCTTTGGCAGATATGGCCGGGCAACAATATCGTCCACCGCCGCCTAGCTCGCCTATGACTGCACATTCACCCCAGATGCAACCACCGCCCCAAGGCTATCACATGCAGCCACCTCCTATGGGACATCCAATGCAATACCAGCAAAGGCAGGCCCCCAATGTCCCTTCAAACGGGCAACCTCATGGTCCTCCCCAGTGGAATCAGAATTTTCCACCTCCGCAATATCACCCACCACAGGGACCGTACCCACCTCAGTTCCAACCGTCTCCGAACCAAAGATTACCGTATCCTGCTCCAGCACCTCTGACTCAGGTTCAAGAAAACAGACAGTACAATTCTCCATACAACCCTAGTGTTGCCGGAAATCAGACCTCAAAGCCTGTTGCTGGTATTCCTCAATCTTTGTCCAAGCCAAGACCAAGTCAGCCAAACACTCCTCTAAACCAGAAGGTATTGAGATTTACCACCGGAAGCGGTACCAGATGGACTCCGACACCTACTCCGTCGACTCCAGGTCGTGACCGCGTCATTCAATCGCCTGCCGTGGAACCAATAAGCCCCATTTTAAAACCTGCGAGTCTTCCTCCAGCCACAAAAAAGGTACCAACTAAACAAGATGCTCCAAAGTCAGAGCCGAAGAAAGCTGGACGACCACGTCCGATTGTACAACAACGTACCCGTGCTGGAAGTACAGCCTCTTCTGTTGTGCCTGGCTCAAATCGAAGTCAGTCAGTTGCATCTCAGGTAGACGATGACTTTGGGGGTCGACAAGTGAAGCAAGAAGTAGCCACTCCTATTGGGTTGGAAGATGGTGGCGATACCACTGCGGACGAGTTTGTTGCTCGTCCCAAGCCACGCCCGAGTCCGCAGAAGAGAAAGCATGCTGCAAGTATTCGAACCAGCTCAAACTCGCCAGCTCAAGTGTTGTGGATGCGGAATTTTCCGAAAATATCACAATCTGCACTGGAGGGTGTTGCTGCCCACAAGAACGCCAGTATGTTTGCAGCTCCCATCAAGGAGCGTGATGCACCTGGTTATAAAAATCTTATTCTACGGCCTCAAGATTTGAAGAGCATTCGGTCAGCGATTAACGCTGGCCACCGAGCCGCTACTTCGCTGGCACCTTCGGACATGAATCCGTCTGCAACAAATGTTTGGCTACCCATATCTGAGGATCTTATCCCTCCTAAGGGTATCATCAACAATGCACAGCTCGAAAAGGAATTGATGCGAATGTTTGCAAATGCGATCATGTTCAATGCGGATCCCGATCGTGGTCTAGGGAAACGGCTACAAGACAGTAAAGGGAAAGGAGATGAGGTTCTCGGCTACGAGATTGACGAGGACGGCGTCGTAAAAGACACTCGCGCCATGTTTGCTGATGTAGAGAAACTGGTCATGGAGCTGCGGAGCACCGAAAGGAAAAGCGAGGAAAGACCTCGCGATGTGAGCTTAGCTGATGCTGTCGACGACGATGAAGACGAATTAGTTGGTGATGAAGGTTCTGTCCACTTTGGCAGTCTTGCTAAGCGCAGACGAAAGGGTTAGAGTTGTGTTCTGAATTATGTGTAGAGTATAATAATGTACCGAGTTCAACTTGACTTGAATAAGTTACAATTACAATAGACCATCCTGATGGGTAAATAATAATGAGTAAGCCAAAGTATTCGTACGTGTATGGCCACTCGGGGTTGAATCGGCAATCCCCAGCACTGCCGAGGATTCAAACAACGGAATCGTCATCGCTCGAAATAGCACATCAGTTTTAATGCAGACTTTTCTTTTCTTTCTTTCCACGTTTTAACTGCGTATGATTGCCAAGCGTCTTGTTAGTATTTTTCTCTGGGCATTGTCGAGTTTGCAGGATTGGTTGCCACGCGCGGAATGGCAAACGTGTTTTGGCCTTCCCCAGAAAATGCCTCTTTCGGTTGTTTTCTTCCCCGCCAAAACAGAACGCCCCGCCAGGTACAGCACGAAAATACGTAACCTACCACCGACTTTTCCATTCTCCGCTGCGTGGTTTATTCTTTTGCACGGATGTCCATCCGCCCAAGCTTTCTTTCATAGTTCATTCATGTTTTTTCTTTCGTCCTGTGACTCGAACTTGGACGGTTGTTAAATGTAATGGTGCTTGGCCGTTGACTAACAGCGTGCAGGGCGATTGGGTCGACGGGCTTGGCACGCTGGCTGGGTTCCATGTCGTGACCTCGCTTGGGGTTGCGAAGGGGTAATAGTATGCACGGAGGGGGTAATGGGAATGCGGTTGTGAGGTGAGGGTGACGAAGGGGTGAGGATTGAGTTATTTCAAGGGCGGTGGTGGAATTTGGGGTTGGTATATAAGGGGTGGTTCACGATGGGTTGGGTGAAGTGGGAAAGTTGGTTGTTTATACTCTGTGAATTGAATCTATATTCAACTATATGCTTAGTACATTTCATCTCGAAGAATTGTCAAAACTCATGATTGTCTTCAATCTACAAGTCGGTCATACCTGAATAGCATTCCAATCTTCAATATGGCTTCTTCATCATCTCGGCTCGAGGCTTTGCCTATCGAACTCCTACACAAGATTATCTCAGATCTTAAAGCACCATCACCGAAAATAAATGTATCACGACATTTGAGAGATATGCTACCAAGTAAGTACAGCTCAATCCGTATACGAAACCATTCTAACAACTCTCAGATACACCAACTGGCGACAACACCCTTCTCACCTCACAAAGAAGTCTTCGCTCATGTCTAGCCACATCTCGAGCACTGAGATCGGCAACACTTCCCGTCTTATATCGAAAAGTCCAACTATCAAAAGCTTCATCGGTAACAGACTTCAATGCACAACTGGAACGCAACCCACATCTCGGAAAGCTGGTTCTGGAACTCGATCTCAGCGGTCTCGCAGCTCATTCGGCGACATGGCAAGAGGACTCGGCAACTCTCATCATCAGATGGCTAGCTCTCATGCCACGGCTACAGTCGATTAAGACGCCGACAGCATGGACGAGTGAGAATTATTCAAATCCACAATGCAACCTCGATCTTCATATCCTAAAACGCCTTCTTCGGAACCAGCTTCCGAATTTGAGGTCTTTAGAATGGGGTCCAACGGTCGTCCCGGAATTCGAACACTTCTTGACACACTACTCAGAAGGCGTAAAAACTGGAGTCACGAATCTAGTAGCACGCTCAACAGACGTCGAAATGACTAGCATCGTCACTGGTCTTCTCAAAATCATGCCACGAATTCAACATATCGACTTAACGACCTCCAACGTCTTCATCGTCGAAGCACTCGCTGGACTGCAAGAAAACGCTAAACTACTATCATTACGAACATCGATCAAACCATCCTTCGCTTGTGTCGATCTAGTGGAATTCATGTCCTCCAACCCAGAAATGTTCGAGTCATTACTCATGCTCGACCTAGAAGGCGACGACAACGAAATCCTGCGCCTGGAGTCAACCGAGGATATCACCAAGCTCATCACTCAATTGCCCGCTAGCCTCCGCTCATTAAATCTTGAGGGCTTCGCGACGTGTCCTGCACATTTACAACTCCTGCAAAAACACTGTCCGCAGCTCGAGGAACTAAGCTTCGAAAACGGCATCCAACTCGAAGACCTAGAACACATGATCCTCCCACCCCACACCATCACCGGCGAGACCCAGCACTCCCCTGCAACCTCAGATGATATTATCGACGTCAAACACCAAACCGTCCTCGAGCCCATGGCGAAAGCCGTCGCGGTATGTAAACTACGCCGGCGAATTAACTCCGTGACTCTCGATACAGAGAGGAGGAAAGCGCCGTCGTGTATCAAGCATTTGAGGATCCGCATGATGCCGTCGGGGGAACAGAGGAAATTGAGGACCTCGGTGCTGTTGGGGGGGTTTGCGGGGGGGTTGGAGAGTATTCAGATTGCGGGGAAGCAGGGGGGGGATGGGATGGTAGATGTGTTGTGTAAGGCTGTTGGGTGGAGGTGTGTTAGGAGGGGGAGGGAGTGTTGGGTTGAGCGGGTTTGAGGTTTGGGGTCTGTTTTTGGGAATTGATTTTCGTGGTTGTTTTGGAGTTATGGGAAGGGAAAACTTGGGAAAGGATGTTAGCATAGCGGGTTAGGGGTTTGGGTATAACTTTTAATGGATTTGAAATAGCAATGGCATGGGAAAAGTGCTTGGTTGATGCGGAGGAGAGATAATATAGGCTTGAGCAAATAGCACAGATATAATCTAGTACTTGCACAGAGGAGCAATGCATCACAAAAATCCGGGAACTCATTTGAGAGTGGCATCGTGCAATCGGTGGTATATTATAAAATCCTAAGTCAAAAAAGTAGCAGGTACCTCCGGTCCTACACCACGTCAGTAAAACCCTTTCAACAACCGTATTAAACTCACCCCAAACATGCAAATTATCCGGCGCAGCCATCGTCCGATTGACCGGCGTATCCTCATTAACCAAATCCCCATCCACATAATGTTCCAAGATAAACCCACTCGGATCAAACCAATAATCGAATATCTGACTCCCCATCACATGACGTCCCACCCCCCAGCAATTCTCGTACTTCTTCTCCGTCAACCACGTGTGGCCGAGCATCTGGATGTCGAAATCGAACACCTCGAAACTGGAGTGGTGGACGTGGAATTTCGGGCCCTGGAAGAAGAAGAACGAGTGGTGGTCTACCCATTCGGAACCACGGTCGAGGTGCAGGAAGGTGGTGATGTCTTCTTTGGTGTCCGGGGCGTAGACGAGTTCCGTGGGTTTCCAGTTGAAGTTTGAGGTGTAGAAGTCGTATGCTTTGTTGTAGTCTGTGACGCAGAGACCGAAATGGCCTATTTTGTGGACCGGTGCTGGGCCTTTCTTGAATCTTTGAGTTTTGTTCACTGGCCGGTGTTTGGTGGTTGGGAAGTTGTAGGCTAGTTCTGGGAATGTTTCTGTGATTTCGGCGGGCGTTTGGTTGTATACTAGGTGGAATGGACAATTATCGACTGGTTCATAGAAAGTCACCCTTTTGCCTCCTCCCGGGGCGTCGGAATCATGAATTGGTGTTGCGCCTGGAAGTGATGTTGCTAATTCCAAGTCCTCCAGGGAATCGACCACCCATGCTGATCCGCTGAAGGCATCCTCTTCCCCCTTTATGGCACAGTATACAAATGGTTCGGTGCCATATCCTCGATAATATATTTTATCATCTGTCTTTTGGGCTACGCTGAATCCGAAGTCGAGGAGGAATTGATTTGCTTTGTCGAGATTCTTATGGGTATAGTAGACGTGAGCTATTCGCTTGAGACTGATTTTCTGTTTGACGGCTGAGGGTGACATGATGGTGTTTCCAAGTGACAATGGTCAACAAAATTGAATACTTTTTTCAACAGCTTTACCTTGATGGACTGGCTAGCTTCAGAAAAGAGAGTCTGAGGGGTTGGTTCATATATACAAGGCCAGCCACGGGGTAGAATGTGGGGTAGAGCGAATGAGGAGTAGCCATCGGATCCTCCCACCAACGGTCCATAGTGCCACCACTACCATGATAGGCGGAACCTATTATCTAGCTTATTGATATTCATACATTGTCGTTTCGCAATCTGGATGTGGAACATAATAAGTTGTACGAAGCGTAAGACTACCATGTGGGGCCTTTATACAGGTACGATTCGTACGCGACATCGACTTCCTCGCTTCTTCGTTTGCACAACTCCAACCCCACACCTTCCTGATGCATCGACTCCTCGTCATGTCGAGCACTCTAGTGGGGCCTATTGGTTTATATTCTAGGCTTGTGCGAGTCTGTTTCGTGTAGCGCGACGACTGCTTAAGCAAGCATATGTAATGTCTGATTAATGGAGCCCAGCAAGGCTGTCGAACGTTAAATTATGGATCTGGTGTAGCTGCTACCCTGGCGTGGACTACAAAGTCTTGAATGAACGTCCACAGCGAGATGTCGACAACAAAACAGCTTTCAATCAGGTGCTTTTTGTTGGGCTTGTTGGAGAGGGTAACTCGATACTTCGAACCCGGCTAATACGATCCCACTGTCAACAATGACCGCCTCCAAAATGGACGAGACGCAACAAAGCAATGGAACAACCCCTGAGGTCGAAATGGTAGAAACTGATCTCCTCATCGTGGGAGCTGGACCTGCTGGGGCTTCGTTGGCATGTTTCCTTGCACAGCATGGTGAGTTCAAAGTCCGATTTGGCATCCTTCAATGCTAACATCCATAGGACTGAAAGGAATCATGCTCGCCTCCACACCATCGACGGCAGATACCCCTCGAGCGCACATCACGAACATGGCAGCATTGGAATGTCTGCGAGACATAGGACTCGAGGAAGCATGCAAAAACGCGGCTGTTAAGGGGGATTGCATGTTACACACGAGATGGTGCAGGAGTATGACTGGGGAAGAGTTTGGTCGGATATATTCGTGGGGGAACGATCCTGCTCGAGCTGTGAGTTAAGCTGCAAGTAGCTAAAAATTTCGATGCTAATGGCTATTGATAGGGAGACTATGATGCGGCTAGTCCTTGTAGTCATGTAAGCGAAGATTCGGTCCTCGAAGTATAAATTCTGATCGGTTGGCTGCAGGTGGATATTCCCCAGACGGTATTGGAACCAATTCTCGTCAAACATGCAACTCATAATGGTTTCTCCTGCCGATTTGACACATCCTTTATCTCCTTCGAGAAACGTAGCGATGGCAGCATTGTCAGCAAGATACAGGATAATCTGAGCAAACATACGTATTACATCAAGTCGAGATACTTGTTTGGTTGTGATGGGGGACGAAGTCAGATCATGCGGCAATTACAAATACCACTGTTGAAAAAACCCGGTCAAGGTTTGGCAACGAACGTACTCGTAAAAGTTGAATTGGGCGAGGCAGTCAAGCACAGGATTGGGAACCTACATTGGGTCATGTCGCCAGACGAGGAATCATATCCTTTTGGTTGGACGGCGATCGTAAGAATGGTGAAGCCGTGGAATGAGTGAGTGCAGTGGGAGTCTTGGGTTTTACCATACTAATTTTCATTAGATGGATGTTTATCCTGTTACCTGCTCCAGGAGCAGGTGTTGACTTTTCCCCTACACATGAAGAATATCTTAATTGCGTGAAGAAGATGGTGGGAGATGATTCCTTGCCTGTGGAGATTCTCGGTGTTTCAAAGTGGTTCGTCAACGAAACTGTTGCCGAGTATTATTCTGATGGAAACATGTATGTTCATCCTCCATTTGGCAAAATGTTTTCTGATTTCATAGTTTTTGCCTTGGTGATGCAGTCCACCGACATCCGCCATTCAACGGTCTCGGTTCGAACACCTGCATTCAAGATGCCTACAACCTGGCCTGGAAAATTGCCTATGTAATGAAGGAAAAAGCAGACCCAGCTTTACTCGATTCGTACTCGCCAGAACGGCAACCGGTGGGAGCATCAGTTATAGCTCGAGCAAACCAAGGTTTGAGAGATCACCAGCATGTCTGGGACGCACTAGGCATGTTAGGCTCTTCGCTCGAAATTCGCAAAAAGCAGTTCGCCGAATTATCCGAAGCCACTCCCGGTGGAAAAGAGCGTAGAGAAAACTTGCGGATTGCTATTGAGGGAACCTCCACAGAGTTTCACGGTGTTGGTGTTGAAATGAACCAGCGATACGAATCCAATGCAGTCTATCTATCCGATGAAGGTTCTCGCCCGCCACTCCCGGCTAATCCCGTTTTGCATTATGCTATCACGACGTATCCAGGTAGCCGGCTTCCACATGCTTGGCTTAATACGCGTTGTCCAGAGAAGCCGATATCAACTATCGATCTGGCAGGTCATGGAAGATTCACTCTGATAACTGGTATTGGCGGCGAGAAGTGGAAAACGGCAGCTGCTGGAGCGTCGGCCATGGTCGGGGTTGAATTCCAAGCATATTCCATTGGCTGGATGCAAGACTACGAAGACGTCTATTCCGACTGGGCTCGACGCAGAGAGATTGAGGAAGACGGATGCATTCTGGTTCGCCCGGATCGATTCGTCGCATGGAGGTGTCATAGTATGATCGATTCGCCAAAGGAGAAGTTGGTTCACGTGCTCAAAACGATATTGGGAAAGTCTACCGATTCGTAGGTACTGAAATAATACTATCAGCTTACGCTGTTAGAAAATATGCGAATGTCCTTTCAGAATGAGTTTAGAGCAGCTTCAGCTTTGCGAATTACGGAAGCCGATGAATTTTATCGCTTTGGTTGGCCTTCCTCTTATAGAACTCTTCCATTTCCTTGTTTTTCTTCCGCCACATCTCTTGCAATCCTCTTGGCACAGGTTTCAAAGCTTCTCCCTCAGTCCAAAGTTTTGCATGGACACTGGCCACGCCTGCTTTGACATCATCCATGTTTGGCAACACAATGTTCCAACTATGATGCAACCTTCCCCATGGCATATTTCCGTCTAGTCGATGGGCGTAATTGAGCAAATTTTGTTCTGGATATGTCGTATCAAAGCGGTCTTTCAAGTGAAAGAGCGATCTGTAATACTGAAGAAGTGCTTTTGACGGAGCGAACAAGAAGAAGCCAGCATTGAAATATGACATTGGTACAGGCGGATAGTCGTGAATAACATGCGTCACCTCAGATAATGTCGCAAACACGAATTCATTCGGTAGTGGACCCTCATCAGCTTTGTATCTTGAGTTGTGTAGCGTTCTTCGAGGCGCCGTCACCCGTTCCTTGAAGACTCCGTCAAGTGGTCTGAGCAGAAAGGTGTCTGCATCGAGGAAGAGAATCCTGTCAAACTCTTCGAACTCAAATAGTCTGAGTTTCGTCATTACATCTTGCCACCTCGGTGCCCCAGGCTTGATCCAAGCCGAATCAAACTTCTCCACTGCCACGACGGTTGCGCCCTCGTCCGATAACTGTTTCCGCTTCCACTGATGTACTTCTGGTGTTACAAGCACTAGTAGTGGGATAGAGTGTTGAGTTCGCGTTTTCTCATCGTGCTTGAGTTGGTAGTTCAACAATCGAATGCTACGAAAGTAATCATCTCCAGTCTCGGTCGTTCCGGAATTCTCCATGAGAAGTGTCGCATATGCCAGTGCCAATGTTGGTCCACGCCACCATTCTAGCAAGACAGAAATTATTCTGTATGGAGTAACGATGAACAAAAGTACGAATATGATGATTTTGAAGAGTCTGGACGATGAAATGGGTTGGGCGGAGTGACGCATTTTGGGCATAATTTTTCACCCAAGACATGGCAAAATATTCTTTTGAGACGCATCCCTGGAAGACAACACTTGTTCGTTATTTGCATTCATTCAAAAGCCCGAACAGCTGACTTGTTGGTGGGGTAATTCTGTTATTGAAGGATTACACGACTTTCACTTGCCTAAATTATTTTACCCTGGCGGATGTAACGGTGTTTTCGATACGGATTTTACACAGTGCTATTTTAAAGTCCGCGATGCTGTTCACTAAGTCAGATAATGGTATTGAAATACTTTCGGTTGTCTTGGTGATATTGAAGTGTAAGTGTGTAGAATCTGCGCCCAACGCGGCAGGGATAAATTCCGAGAAGTAGTTCCATTCAAGATGATCACAAAATCTGGCTGGCAAAATAATGAAGCGCAAAAGAAGTAAATTTTGCATGAATTACGATAACTTCTTCGCTAACGCCCCTACAGGTTATTATTATTATTAGTCGACATTTCAAATCCCGTCAGATCGGGCTCTGAATCTTAGGTCGCTTGGCTTATCTAAAAGGCTACATGAACGGAGCTTGATTGGCAGCACTGTACATTTAACCGAGGAGTTCGCAGGAGGATCACAGAGCCGTGTTCACCGATATCTTCGTAATATCCCCCGGCGAACTTGGTTATTAATCAAGGAGAAAGACGCCCCCATTAGGTAAGGCTAGCTTGCGATACCCAAGTTATATAATTGCAAGACTCTTGTCGCTCACGGCAATTCACTTTAATGACTAAGTTCTTACATTACGTTTACCTGTCGAGCACTTCAACGAAAATCGAAACAACTCGTCACATATGAGCTTTCGCTAAACCGCAGAAGTACGAGATCATCCTATTTCGAAGTCCCGGTGTTACACAGGCCATGGATAACTCGCTTCTTTTTATCCAGGAAACTGGGAATACGCCTCATGCACGGCACACGAGATCGCAGATCAAGATGCATGTCATGGATAGATTAGTAACTCAACGAAGAACACGGTTACGGAGTGTGGCTGGAGTTGCAATTACGCCGAAAGAGGATCGAAGGGAATATTCTGAGGGTGAAAGTGGAGATGGGAATTTGTGAGTGTTTGAAGGACAAATTACAGCAGCTGGGTCAATGAGATTGGAACCAGAGTTTGCCTTAAGTTCTTTTCGAAATCAGTTGTCTTGAAACAAGATGTTGATCACAAAATTTGACGGGCCGTTAGAATTTGACAATGGGCCGTATCGAACAAACATTAGAAAATGACTGACATAGTGTTACGCTTAGTCAATCAGGCGAATCGATACAAGCCGGTTCGGTTCCTGAAAGTCTCAGTTCGACACAGGACCTAATCAATCTTGCGGGTCTGCATATTAAAATGAATAAGCAGACAAAGTTCCTTTTACACCACTGCAAGTTACCTCCGCCACCGTTTTGATAAGAAGTCCTGATTTTTTAGTCTTGTATCATCGATCTAAATCGCTATGTACTGTCACGGTCGAGACAGGCTGGCTTAGCTACGCATTGAAAGATCCTGGATTGTTTCACAGCACCTTGTACCATTGGGCGTTGCTGAACGGTGACATGACGCCCGTATCGTTTCGACAGACCGATCAACTTCTTAAAGTTAAACAGGTAGCCATTCACAGTATCAACGAGAGGCTACGAAATGGCGAAATCAGCGATGAGGTCGTCGCGTCTGTGACTTGTCTTGCAAGTGTTAATGTAGACACCCCTATCCGCGGGGTTCCAAGAATATCTGCTGACATACCAGTTTCTTCTGGGTGATGCACATGAGGCAGAGATGCATTTCAAGGGTTTACATGCTATGGTCGCATCGAGGGCTGGATTATGTCAACTAGGCTTCGACGGTTTGATCGCTCGCCTAGTAAGATGGTACGCTACATTATTGGATAAATTTTTTGACACAAAGCTGACCTGGCTCTAGGACGGATTCGTGCCACGCACAGGTATCGAGTCGCCAGCTGGTTATTGAGGATTCGGAGCTCCGTCAACCCAGCCAGTTAATATTTCAAATGAGAAATTTTCAGCTAGCAAACTCCCATATCATCCTCCGCCTACGCCATATCTCCAACGAATTGATAGAGAGAGCTCGAAGCGATTTATCTATTGAGAGACGCATCAGTCTGGGTGAGCAATTTCTGATCTCGGATCGCGAGTTGCTACAGCTCATGCATTCGGATGCGACTCCAATAACGGTTTCCATCACTGCCACCTCGGCTCTCATATTCTCTCACACGGTACTCAGAGGAATAAGTCGCTTTAGCAGACTGATCACTAGACTTTTGACGCATTTGAAGAACTCGATCACGGTAGCACTGACGCTTCCCCGAAGTGATCGATTCTCTGACCCTGCAGTTTTGGTGTGGGCGCTGTTGATTGGCGTATTAGCGTCAGTGAAAGACTCTCCTGATTATGTGTGGTTCATGAAGTGTTTGACCCAAGCGGGAGAATATGCGAGTATAGACTGGGATCAGGTGAATATAGTGGCAGAATCATCAAATGATCATCCTGCGCCCTTTCATTGGGTGCTGGAAGATCAAGTTGTTTTGTTAAAGGACGTCAATACTATGATAATGCTATGAAACTTCTAGACTTCCAAGACCGCCCGATATCGAATCTCCCCTGCGTCGAGCTTCTTCAATGCGTCGGATATCCCGTCTACAGACATGGGAAACTTGACGATCGTCGGTCGAATGTTATGAGTAACAACGAAGTCTAGCATCGCGCGGATTTCCTCCATACTAGAAGAACAACTCCCGGTGATAGAGAGCTCTTTCAAGACCAAAACCTCATATGGGAATGTAAATCGCGTACCGAACTGGATTGTAAGTGGATATATGTGGCCAAATGGTGCCATGAGATTGGCATATCTGCTTTGTTTTAGTACAGACAAAGCTTCGAGGAACACGGCGGGGAACAAACATGGACCAATCTGGTATTTTACTTGTCGTCACAATCAGATGATTCAGCTTACCAACCCCATCTCCAGTCATTTTGTTAGTGTTCCAGAATTCCTTCGCCCCAAACCCTAAAGCTTCCTCCTTCTTGCTATCTGAGCTCGAAAACACCACGACCTCGCAGCCCCAAGCGGCAGCAAACTGAATTGCAAGATGTCCTAGGCCGCCGATACCGATCACGCCTACTCGGTCACCCTTTTTCACCTTGTTTCTCCACAAAGGTACGAACACTGTCTGACCAGCGCACATGAATGGTCCAGCATCGGCGCTTGCGATTGCATCTGGAAGCTTGACAAGGCGGTTCGTTGGCCAGACGCTATGGGTTGCGAAGGATCCTTGATCAAGATCGTTCATCCCAAATGCATGTCGATCCACCTCGCAATGCCAGCCGTATCCCGCTTTGCATTGCTCACACTCGCCGCAGCTGCCTTTGACGTAGCCAAAGCCGATCCTGTCTCCACTGAGAGAGGCTTGTCAGCGTTGCGAGATGATTGAAGGAAAATTTGATTGAAAGTACATTTTGAAGCCCTTGACGGCGGAGCCTATTGCTCTCGCAACTCCTACTCCCTCGTGGCCTAGAACCATGTCGGTATGGACATAGTGAGCATCAGTGCCACAAACTCCGGAGTGTGTGTGTTCCAAAAGCACTTGGTTTGAAAGGAGTTCTGGGAGAGTGGTTTTCGCTTCGGTTATTTCTCCACTCGAGCTGCCTTTGAAAACGGTAAATTCTATCGCCATAATAAGATTTTGAAATGGAAATCAGGTCTTTGAAATTAGAGGGAGTTGAGTGTATGGACGGAAAAAGCTACATATTATGTATGGTCCGTCCGAATTATATATTGAACTACATTTCCGTTTCAAGATAATGGTGGATCCTCGCTCTGTAAGCGACAAGAAGACTGCAATGCCTCTAAACAGAGTTTCTGCATGTTTAAAGTCGCCATCAATGCGAGAACTTTCTGTCGTCTTGGACCACAATGTGTTTGGCTTACAGTGAACATTTAAATTTGGAGCCCCTGTCAGCTGCATGCTGGCTGCATCCTGAACTAATGCAATGGCCCTTTTAGGAAACTGGTGGAGTCAACAAAAACGCGGGAAAGGCCAATAAGCATTGTATATTTCCAGAAAATACAACGCCGCGTACAACGACGGGCCTCACCGAATAACAAAACCGACAGAACGACTTGCAAAAAACATTTACTACAAGGACATCAACAATCCTTTCCCACTCGAAGATAGCAGCTGTGTGACATGGTTCTTCACACCAGCTCTATCACGTGTCTCTTCTTCTCAGCGTCCCACATACTACTCGGTATGTCTTTGTCGTCTATCGACGTTCCAAGAACCTCCTCGTGGCCCTTCTCATAATTCGGCACTTTGGTTAAACCGACGCGCTTGTAATAACCAGTTCCTTCGCCCTTTGAATTCTTCTCCAATTGAAGTAAGAGACAGATAAAATACCCTGCAGCGTCCGTCCGAGCTGCCATGCAATACAAGTTTGCAGCTAGTCCCAGAAGGTTATCGCTGTCCGGACTATCCAAGAATACGTTGCGGTGGCTTTCCACTGAAGTGTTGTCTTTGGGAACCAGCTTCCATTCGTACCGTTCGACGCCGTTTGGATCGACCGGCTTAGACATTACAATCCGTTTGACGAGACCTCCAATCTCCATCACATTAGTAACACCATCGGAAAGGGTTTTGATCAAACCAAATGGGTTGTCCTCAGACTTTGGTTGTACGTTGATTTTGAGCACCTCAAAGTGGAGGTCGTTGTCTGTAATCTCACCACACTTCACTCCATGTTTCGCGTCTATTGCAGCCCATGAGAAGCTTGGAGCTCGATACTCCGTTGCTCTCTCCGACATGTAATAGAATCGACCTTCCTCAAACCAGGGATCGACGTACCAAAGTAGCTGACTCTCCAGGTACGTCCTCCACATTCCACCCAGATAGTCATCTTTGATATGGCGGTGCATAATTGAAGCTATACCAGACAAGGCGATGAGCTTATCCTCGGGGTTCCTAAGTCCCAGTTTTGAGTATACTTCCACGACTCTGTTCCAATTCTGATAATAGCTTATTTGTGAGTCTTGATCCGCAAGAGCTAGATGTGGTATTAGAGTTTTCAGATTGGTTTTGCGGACGATGTCTCCCGCCTGCATGCGGAAGTTTTGAAGCCCGCTTCGTGAGGACTCAGAAGCCTCCAACTCACGACACTCCCATGCGATTTGATCAGAACAGAAATGTAGAACACGTGGTGCCATTATTCTCTCTTGCAAAACCCATCCTCTTCTATTGACGGGTGCATCATCGACGTGTCTTTGCCAGAATGACACGTCTAAAATGCGACAGCGCTCAACTTGTTGTCTTTCGACACTTTTAGGCTTGTTCACAGTGTTTATTGGGGTATCGAATGGATTTTCAGGAAGACTCTTCTGCCAAGGTTTGTTTCGACCAGGCTACGAGTTGTTAGCATGCTGTCTACTAAGAAGGGGGGGCAGCGGCAAAATCTTCAGTCATAACCTTAGATTGAGATTCCGCTTTTGGGGAAGTGGAGCAAATTGGAGACGTCACTTACAATTCCTTCTACATTTAGATTAATATCATCTTCCCATAACTGATGTGGTGCCCCATCGAAGAAAAGCCCTTTTTCGCTGTCTGTGGCTGCCGTAGCTGAAAGATTACAATACGAGTTCTGATAGATCCTGTGCATTGATGCTGACTCTCGAAGCCAATCTTCGTATTGATTTTTGCTTTTGCCCTGTATGATACATAATGAATCAATCCATATGTACCTGACATATTTGCTTAGTCGGCGCGAAAATCTTATAGCGTCCTGAAACGACTTTGGAAGAGTGTCGATCTCGATGCCTTCTTCATGAAATTCTTCGATGTTGTTTTCCGTCAATGTGGTGAACTGTTTATTTCTTACTGTCAGTTTACTCAAGAAAGTGGGCTTTAGCACGCCAAAGATGTCTAAAAAGTTGCATATTTGAAGGAAAGGAAATACATACCTTTGCTTTACCCCAACAATGACTGAGTGTAACATAGAACTCATTTTCAATCTTGAACCCTTCCTTGAAACGGCCTGTCGTGTCGCTAGTGGATATTAAATGAACCTTGTTGCTCTGGACTCGTTTATTGTCTTTATCTGGCTCTCCCAGATCGAGTAAGCGGCTAGGATACCAGTCGTTGAATTTCGGTCCGCGAGGACACGCTTTATGATTCTTCCCGCAATCCGCCATCCAACTTCTGGCCAAGCTTAAAGCTTCTCCCGATTCAGTGCTTTCCGAGAAGGGCGTATGAAGCATACTCGTCAGGAATTTCTCTTGAACAGAGTTAGCGAAGCTTTGGTCGCTCACAATGGACATTGACTTACCGGTAGTAGATGTTACGGAAGTTTTAACCAAGCTTGCCTGCCGTACTTCATCTGCGCGTGCGTCGACTCGATGAAGCACGAAAGTTCCCACTCGTCTCTTATCATGTAACTTAAAGTCCAGACGGTAAATACCAGGGTAACCTTCTTTGAAAATTTCTGACAAGTATGCACTAGTGAGTTTGCTTCTTTCGACTGCTTTGACTGGACCTTTCTGCGCAAGCCATTCAAGATAGAACAATTTTCGAAAGAAATTGTAAAATCCCAACGGAACGGCGGGGATGGTTTCAATTTCCGAATCTTGATTTTGGTGATCAAGCTCGGAGATCTCAGCGAGAAGACTTCGACAGATAACACAGCTCTCCTTGGCGCTCTTGACCAGGCTCTCAAGGTCCGAGTGATGGTTGAATATTAAATCGTAAGTTCCTCTCCACTCGCTACCTTGATGCCCTCGCAGCATACCGTAGCATACCGAGCAGATCATTATGAGCAAGTTTGTCTGGATGAGGTCGTAAAATTATCTGATAATAGCTTCCAAGAGACAAAATACTCAACCTTCTGAGTGGAGCTGATACTTGTGGTTTTACCAAAAGTAAGCGGAGCCTCACTGATTGTGAAGCTTGGAACTACGCACAGCAGTCTTGTTGTTTGTCCAGTGATATCGAGAACTGTGGGAGATGGGGTGACAATTGAGGGGTTGGAGAGATTGGGGTATGACTGCATATGCATTATTGCTGAATGACATGCAAGGAAAGAAGCTATGATATACACCAATTTCGTAGGACGTTACATCCTTAAGCCTTGCCTAAGCCCTGCCCCAATCTTTTAGTTGGCTTCCGACAGTAAATTGCCGCGTCAAAAATAGCCTTACTTGCGCTTGAGATCAGCTCCCAGTTATTTCCAGCTTATGTTATTCAAGGTTTGCCGCTCGTGCCGCAGAAGGGCCTCAAAAATGCTTGTCGCGTTTATTAGAAGAGCCATTTATGGAGCAGGTGTGACAGATCAGTCTGTTGGATTTGGCTCCAGAGAACCTCATTCGTGACTGGGGTGAGACTAACGTTGATTAATCCAACTTATTATATTAACCACGCCGTGTCTTTACATTAAGATTTGACTTCTTTAGCGCTCATGTAACATACTCGGTGTTGGTGGCGTACATGTCTAGAACAATTGTACAAGCTAGTTTATTGGTCGCTACAGGGGAAGTAGACCAACACAGCCTTGTAAAGTCTGCAGATGGTGCGCCCACTTTGGGTCCTATTTGCTTTCGTGGTACATTAGAGGTACAAGCTATAGTCGCAAGTATCTTAAACAATATTTGGAAATGTACACGCATGTCGTGTTTTGCATGGTTGTATTCCTGTCAGTAGGCAGAAACGCATCACAACACCTATCATTAGCTAGCGGTGGTTCGTCTTGGGTGAAAACTGAAACACAAGACGCAGGCTGTTGCCCTCGCCTCTTTAGTGTCTGAGAATTGCTACAGCCTTATCCATTGACCCCGGTAATTTTCCGCTCTCTAATAGATGCTCTCATTTCTGCTACCCGGTGACCCTCCTTAACGAGAGCACATAATTTGAAGCCGAGTCTTATTTCTCATCACTTATATCTCCCTTCGAAAACTCACAACTTCACATTCCCTCACCAAAGTTACCACTGACATGTCGAAATTCCAACCATCCTTTGACCTTGACTGGTTCGATCCACCAGCACAAGTACGATTTGATACTTCTCACATAATCAAGGAAGAACTTCTTGGCTTCCACCCGTTCAAGCAATGGGCCGAGACCCTGATTTCCACCCTCGAACTCCAAAGAACGGATGTTAAACACCCATTCCACGCAAACCCATACACTCTTCAGTCCATCACCGTCCAGTCGGCTGACTGGTTTACCAAAACTCGCATCGGATTCGTGAAACTCTCGGCAGATATAAAGAACGACAAGAATGAAACACTTCCGGGTGTTGCATTTTTACGTGGTGGTAGCGTTGCAATGCTCATGATTTTGCGTCCTAGCGACTCGAACACCGAAAGATGGGTCATCATGACTGAACAACCGAGAGTACCTGCTGGGAGTTTGCGTTTCCTGGAGATACCGGCTGGGATGATGGATTTCACCGATACATTCGCAGGCGTAGCTGCTAAGGAGATTGCTGAGGAAACGGGGATCAAGCTCAAAGCATCTGAGCTGAAAAATCTTACCGAAATGGCTTTGGCAGGAGTTGATGGAAAAGATCATAATGAGAAGATGCAAGCGGCTATGTATCCCAGTCCGGGAGGCTCCGATGAGTTTATTGCAATCTTTCTGTGGGAGAAGATTCTCGACAGACAGGAGATTGAGAACTTGCGAGGGAAGCTCACTGGACTGAGGACGCAGGGAGAAAAGATCACTGTGAGGATTTTGGATTATGAGCTTCTCTGGAGAGTTGGGGCTAGAGATGCAAAGACTCTTGCTGCTTGGAGCCTCTACGAAGCTTTGAAGAGAGCAAGACATGAGGAATTGATTGATTATCAGTCGTGGTAGATTGGAGAGTGATGTTGACATATTGTTTGACCTTTAATGCAAACACAATCCAATGTCAGATTATATTTGCTAAATTAAAGTGAGATTCTTAATCTTACTTGGTACTTAATTATGGTTACATGTATTGATACATGCGTGCCCAACTCGCCTGGTAAGCGATGGAATGTCGCTTCACAAATCCCAAACTCGACGTCAAAGTTTACTGATTAAGCTTGAGGTTAAAATTTACGTTATTCAGGCCTTAGCATACTCATCGCCCCATTAGAACCTGTTTCGTATCTTAAGTCACCAAAGAAATGGACCTGAGCCGCATTTATTCTACCTAGACGTCCATGTTCTCTGGCCAGCGGTTTGAATTCGAGCAAGTAACGCGATTAGTTTATACTGCATATCGGCTATTCAAGAGCTGAATGAAACAAGCTCGAATGTCTAGGATTGCTAAACACGGGGGCGTTTAGGCACCCGAGTAATGTATTGCGGCACAAAATTACTTGCATTCGTCACAGTGCAGAGCTGGTTTCACCAACCACAACGGAGAGGTCTGCTGTACGTCTATCACAGAACGGCCGCAATTTTGGCGACCTTCAGCAGATCAGCCACTTAAATAACCTTAAAGGTTGTTGATGTGGACCTGGCTGGGTCCTGGTAGGCCCGTAAGCGCTCGTTACGCCGTACTCGGTGTTGGTAAGTTTAGGTGACGACTGCGCAAGCCAACTATTGGTAATGCAGAAGAGGTGTTCAGTATAGCCATTTGTATAACTGTGGCCCAAATAATGGCCACTTTGTTTCAAATCCTTTAATTTTCCGATGCAACAAACAAAATCGTGACAACCCTAAGCTTAATTCTTAATTATGTGTAAGCGTTTCGACTTAACCACTCCCCATGCACCTTTCAGATATCTTATCTAATCCTTATGTTGTCAAGATCCAGATCAAATCTATCCGGCACAATCATTCCCGCATCTAGATGATGCTGGATAAACCTCTTACTCACACCATCTCGATACAGCCACGGATCCAGCGTTTCATCCTGCCATTTCTCGAGCCTTCCCCGTAGATCCAACAAAAGCTGTAGTTGACCTGGGTCTTTCGCCAAGTTGACGACCTCCAACGGATCTTTGTCAAGATCATAGAGCTCCTCTGGGGGCCGGAAAAAGTAGTCCTTTAGCTTTCTCGGTCCAACCATGATGTCCCCCTCCTTCCCCACAGGTTGCGAATGTCGAATCCCGTCCCAAGTAAGCGAGCCATAGAGATCTGCAGAGAAAGGAAAGTCCAGACGCCAGGCTACATTGCGGTGATATTTGTATCTTCTCGTTCGAAGGAAACGCGTTGGCCAGTAGTTGGTCACTTCGTGGAACGTGTGTGAGCCGAAAACGTGGTGCTTCCATTCAGACTCTGGAACAACATTCGTCTTGTCGATGATGGGTAATATGGAGACACCTGCTAAGCCTTTAGGCGCCTTTTGAGAAAGTCCTGCCCAATCGAGGAACGTGGGGAAAATATCAACATAAGACACCATATTCGGATTTTCGATACCTTTCGAAGCAGCACCCGGGCATCGGACGATGAATGGGAGCCGGACACCTGCGTCGTACAGTGTCGTTTTAGAATTCAAGAATGGCGGGCCATTATCACTGAGAAAAATAACCAAAGTATCTTCCTCCAAACCCGATGCCCTCAACTTCTCAAGGATAAATCCAACCCCTTGATCAAGTCTGCTAATTGCACGATAATATTCCGAGTACTCGAACCTCGATTCTTCCAAGTTGTTGATATACGGGGGGACTTCCACACTCGCAGGGTCATAGGGAACGTCTTTAGTCCTCGCATCAAAGATGTCCTGGTTCCCAAACCCAGAACGGGTCATATCGCGATGAGGATCAATGTACCCAACGGTCAAGAAAAACGGCTTCTCCTCCTTCGTCGCCTGCTCGAAAAACTCTTCTGCCTGATCAGCAACCCACGCAACATCGCGAGTAGAACTTTCCTTCTGCACATGCCACGGATAGGCCGAGTACGGACCAACGTGTATTTTTCCAATCAAGCCGGTCAGGTAGCCATTGTCGCGGAAGAAAGCCGGCGAAGTGGTGATGTTGTCGAAGATGACAAAGTGGTGCTGCTTTCCTGCGAGCCCGTATTGTCCACTCTGGTGTGTGTGTAAACCGGTGTAAATAACTGAGCGGCTGTTACTGCACGATGCTGTGCTTGTGAAAGCATGCGTGAAAAGCGTTGCCTGAGAGGCAAGCGCATCGATATTGGGGGAGTGGACGGCGGAGCCATAACAGCCTAGATTCTTCCCTAGATCACTACAGGCAACGGAGAAGTCAGTAAATATCACATCGTGGATATTGCGAGAAGAGGATAAAAAACGCCTTGAGAAATCTCGAGACATTCAAAAGAGGAATTTCCGGGCTCCCTTAAAAACCTACTCGGCAATGAGAAGGAGGATGTTCTTCTTAGGTTGAGCTACTTGGATAGTACCTTGATCGGGCATGGTGTCTGGCTAGTCAAGCGAGTACTGTGAGAAGCAGCGAGGGAGACTTGGAAAAGTAGTTCTCGTTGGGCCGAGAGTCATTTTCAACGATGCGCAACAGGCGGATTTCATAGATGGTACCACAAACCCTTGAAAATACGTGCTTTCATATGTCTCTTGCGTGATCAACGTGCCACTAATATGAGGTCTTAAGGTGGGAGAGAAGACAGCATGGTGGTGTTTCTGTAGGAGCAAAATCCACGGAATATATGACAGGAATCCACTTCCGCAGCCCACCTTTGGTGTGGTGGAGACAAAAAACAATGCACAAACGGGATATGCGACAGACGTGGCAGTAAAATGTTACAAGGCCGAGTATGAAAAGTCTCCTGTCAGATCGATCATGAAAGGGGAAGCTTGTGTGCGGTATCGTGGAAAAGGTCAGATTCACTCTTTCTAGTCTGCTTGATGCTAGCGCTTTCCAGACACGCAACTCAGTGTTCCTAGCTGCTATTCTATCTTCATCAAGAGATTAGACACGGACAGTACACCATCTCAGCCGCCATTTGCGTCTCGAATGTGTCAAAGCTGTCTTTCGTATTGATGATGCCTGACGGGTGTGAAAGAACGCATCAAAAGCTGTGTTCATTTCAAAGTACATAAATTTGCGCATCCACCAGAAGACCTGTGCAAGAGCTCTACTTCACGATCTCACAGTGGCACAAATGCTCCAGAATATGATAGCCTATCCCCCCTCTTATCACCATGAATCCACCTTGTCTTCAATCTCCTGGCCAATTCACAATTCAAGAAACTAACATCTAACTGGCGAACAAGAAATCCAGTCTCTTGTTTCCTTGGTCAGAGTTGTGTTCCAAGTACCAGGCCTGCTCTTCCTTCGTCATCGAGTTCCACTTCTTCGTCTTGTAACTATTCCGTTGTGTGTAGTAGACCTTTGTGAGTAGATACAAGACGATAGTCGCAACGTTGATGATGATCAGTTGCTGATTGCCGCGCTTATATAATGGCTTGTCGTCCGCACGATAGATATTCGAAGAAGCGATTCCAGAGAGTTGAATAGTGATGTTGTACAAGCAAGCACTCACGGCACGGGTCCGTACTGCATTACTCAGGCGTGAGCACCATCCCACTTGCGCAGCGTGGACTGAAGGTTGAGCTAACAAGAAGAAAAGAACGGCGTATTGACCCCAGTTTGAGAGGGACTGAACGGAAGTGTATTCTATGACCAAGAGCGGCAGCACCCAAAGCTGAGAAAGGGCGCCGACGTACGCTCGTTGTTGGAAGCGCTCGGTCAAGTAGGTGACCCACAGCATGTTAAGAGATGAGAAAATCGTGATTGGTATACCGAGGAGAGTTGTGTTGAAAGTGCTGAACCCAATATGTTTGAGTGTGAGTGTCAAGTAAGATTTTGGTGGCCCTTCCGGAATCTGGAACAGAATACCAATCACATATATTGGCCACAAATCATAGTCCGAGAGACTTTGCCAGAGTTGCTTCAGACTGATACCTTGGCGATTGTGCATATCTCCCTTGGAAGGATCATCACGAAGGACGCGATTAACAATAATCTTCTCTTCGCGCTCGGTGAAGTAGCCTTTCGGATTCCACTTGGTCTTGGTTTGAGTCGGTCCAGGGACCAGGAAGAAGAAACTTGCGAAACCAATCGTGACACTGATTAAAGCTTCGATGAGGAAGAGCCAGCGCCATCCTTCCTTCCCGTCAACTCCCCGCATATGCAGAACACCGTAGGCGATAAAAGAGCCAATGACGCCGGACATGGAGTCGACGAACCAGAAGAAGGCGAGACGCATGGGCATCTCGCTCTTCTTGTAGAAGTATGACAAGTACAAAATGGAATCTGGGATGAACCCGCCCATAAAGACGCCAATCAAAAACCGACAAGCAAAGAAGCTGGCCCGTCCAGTCATGAAGAATTGGCCTCCAGCAGCAAAGCTCCACAAGATGATTTGGACGGGAATCCAACGGTCAGGACCAATGCGCTTCCCAAGCATCTGGGAAGGAATCTCGGAAAGTAAGAACCCGATGCGGTACATATTCTGGGCGTTGTTATAATCGTTGGTGGTGATGCTGATATCGTCAAGCAAATTATCAGCGACAGCATTACCAAGATTCCCACGATCGAGGTTGAGGGCAAAGAACATTACCAAGATCCAAAGGAAGATCTTAATGTCAGATTTTCGCTTTACGCTGCGCTCCTCGCGATACGTCCACCTTTCGGCGATGTCGAACCGACTGTAGTTCTCATGATCTGTACGAGGGAGATAAAATTGTGCGATGGAGGGATCATCAAACACACTTCTGGTCGTGGCGGTTGCGTCGAGGTCAATTGGCTTGCGAGCTTTGCGCGCCCATGGCCATGGTGATTGATGCTCGACCTCTGGTTCGGTTAGATCATCGTTGTCGAGATCTTTCGGCCCGAGAACGGGACTCGGAGACTGTGTGATCTCGGCAGAAATCTTGGACTTGGAGTCCGGGAGCTTGGAGTCGTAAAACTCGACGGGTCTGTTGTTGATATTGTCGCCAGTGGTAGAGACTTTGAGGTTCGGCATTATATACACGAAGAAAAAAAGGAGGCGAGGCTAAGGCAGGCTAAGCATTCGCTTAAGCTTGGTGGTATTAATGGCTGTCACTTGGCTTGTGGCTCCGAAAGCTTGTTAGGTACATTCGATATGTCAAGTCAGATACATCATTAATTGGTGTTCTTCGAGAGGTTTTATTTGGTTCATCTCCTCGCGCACGCTTCCTAAAAATTTCCAACCCAAGCACGTCAAGTTGACAATATATTTCACAAGACGACAACATGGCAGCAAAAGAATATGAAGAGCGAATGAGGAGGCCATTTTATTCGTCATTACGGCGTTGAAGGTCTCGAAAAGACACTTGCGGCGCATTGTCTAGTTATAGCCTCTGTCCCCTGTTCGCACGCGCCCACCTTTGGTCGGATGTCAGCCGAACAGGCGAGTTATAGACTATGTTCTATACCTCTGAAGTGATTCTGGATGTCTGCTTGCTGTTCTTGAAAACACTGACATCCAGTTGGCTGGACTCTGGAGTAATCCACTTCGGGTATGCGCGCGAATCAGAAATAATACCGTGGTGGAAAAAATGTCATCGCAGCTTGAAATCACAACAGATCGGCGGCAGCAGGTTCTCCACTCTTTATATTAAATCGAACCGAACCCCATTCCAACTCCAAATCACTTACTTACTTTCGAAATGGCGAGACTAAGTGAGACGACACCTCATGTCTGTCTGTCTGACAAGGAAGCGCGATGAAGAAGATTACGACAATCACACAAGAAAATATGGATTTAAAGCATTCTAGAGGTTCTCACAGCCTGATCTCGGAGGGATTTTGCTGATTGTCTAAGTTTTGCCGTCTAAGATCGGTATTCTCAACGTTACAAGCTGTCTTAAAGGGACTTGTTAAGTTTTGTTTGCTTTTGAATCTCGCTCCGCCCTTCATATCCTCATCCTCTTCCCGTGGAGAATTGATCGGAAAGTCGGACCAACAACGCCCTTTCCCAGAGGGCCAAAGAGTGCAATATCCTCACATACGGTGCCAAAGCAGACAGCACCACAGACGTAGCTCCTGCTATTCGAGCTGCCTTCACTCAATGCGTGTTTTCAACCCACAAAAGTCGGTTTGTCTTCCTAAGAGGGAACTATGTGACTGAGGAGAATATTATTTTGACTAATGGAACAATTGGGCATTCAAGCTTGATGGATTATTCACAGCGTATGTCTGAGAATGATTGTTTTGCTGTGCTTGCAGCTGCAGCTAATTGTCAAGTAGGTCTTATGTCGGAAATTATTCTGTACCTCGTGAGACCTTCTTACGGGACGCCGCTGATGTTCAGCTGGCAAATGACATTATCAATGGCGAGGGGTGATGGGTTGTTCCTCGAAAACGTCATCGCAATCATCAATGGTATAAGCTGTTGAACTTTCTGATGCTCCTAATCTACCTTTGACTTACTGATAACTTCCAGCTGTCAACTTTAAACTTTACTGCGCCAATGGCCTGGGGGCTATTTAAGGCCAAAGCTATCTCTATCGTAACGCAAACAAGCCAGAACAGTGTAACAATATTGTTAAAATCTTTTGATATTCACAGTACATGCCCCCCTCGTCTTGTCAGATCAGTGTCTCCAACCAATGTTAGCGTTCACGATCTCATCTTAGTCGACAGTCCTAAATTTCAAATTAGCTTCGACTCTACGCTATATCTGGGGCTATAACATCTAACTATGCGAGGTGCGAACCTTAGCAGTTATAATCTCTCCCTCTCTTAAGACACAATAAGTCTATTAGACTATCTATAAAGTATCTAGTTACTCCTAAGTCTATCTTCTAGAGTAGTATTATAGATATAAGAGTAAAAAGAGCTTAAGATTAGTGTTTATTAATAGTTTTAGTAGTATAGATCTTACTATAGAAGGAAATATCTTTATTCTATAATATTCTCTTTCTAGTTTTCTCTTTAGAAAAAGTTTACTACCGGTATCTTCTCTTAGACCTTATAGCCTTTCTTAAAGGTCTTCGTTCTATACTCGTGTCTCTGCTGTTGATTTAGTTCGCTTGCGTACTAGTTTCGGTCAAGCTTCTTCTAAATTTCGTTCTCTATTTAACCCTCCTATTTCTAGAGCTAGCCTTACTAGGCAGGCGCAAGTATCTACTGCCACTTCCGCCATCTCCCTACCTCCCTATCTCCCGCGCCTTGTGTGTCCTCTTCCTCGCGTTCCATGATATCTTCCTCCTCATCCTCGTCCTTTGCCTCTGGTCTTGTCTGCCCAGGTGGCTTCGGCTACGTTTCTTGTAGGTACTAGCAAGACTTTGTGTTTCCAATTTTGTTCGTATTAGTTTAGCTGACGATTGATCTCCGACAGCTTCTGTTGGCTTAGTTGTTGTACTCTAAACTTGACAGTTGGCCAGAAGCCTATATCACGTAGTAATGATATCGCCTTCCTAGTTAGTTCATCGGCCGTAATCTCTAGACGTTCATACAAGTTCCATTTAAATTTACTGAAGAGAATTCACGAATTCGTTGACTGTTTGGACTCCTGGGACGTACATAGACTTAACATAGTCTGCGTACAGCTTGTATATCGTTACCAGGTTCGGCGTGAAGTCTCCCAGGGCTTGAATGGTTCCATTACACAAAGCTTCTGGGTCCCCTGCTCCAGCAAGCGCGAAGAAAACCACAAATTGCCGCCTCGTCAGTGACTGTACCAGACACTAGTGCCCTAGAGTATTGCCCCTTTTCCAGGTAGCTAGGGTCCCTGCTCTAGTAGTGTTTCTTGCGATAACTTCAAGTACATGGTTGTGGAGTCCCAGTTCCATAAGCCTTTGTCGGATAGCAAACTTCTAATGTTAGAAGTTCGTATTAGAGCATCAACTTGAAAAATAGCGGACTAATTGTCCTTTCTATTGCGGGTTCATAGAGGGTACATATACAGGTATAGGTCGCACATATGCGGCCAGGGAATTAAGCCTGTATAGACAGGTATAGGAGCATATTCTCCGGTCAACATAGAGACTTCGTCTGCTTCTGCCATCTTGATCTGTATTTTCGTAGACTGTAGTGGAGAGTAGTTCGGAGGTTTTGTGAGATCAAGGCAGTGGTTTTGGGGTTGTTTGCGGTCGTTATTCAACCTTTCACTGCTATTAAAATAGAATGAGGTGTATAGAGAACTCTAGAGATAAGTATTAAATGCCAAGCTTGTCACGTGTATACCGCAACCAGTATGCTGACAGTCTTCTACGGAAAGTGTATTAATCGCTAACTTTTATATCTAGGTAGTTTGAGAGTCGTGGTTCTTGAAACACGTATTCTACTACAACAACAGGAAGATCTAAAGTAATACATGGTAAATAATACGTTGCCATTACAAAGAGTGTAGTCATCCCTATCCTTAACATAAAAAGGTTCTCCCCCCTAAAGTCTTCACCTTCAGAGCAATCACGAGCTCAGACCACCATTTAGTTGCCCTTCTTCTTCGACTCTAATCCCTTTACGAGTCCCTCCAGCAGCTGTCTCTCTTCATCCTGATATGCACTATACTTACTCTTTCCCAGCCCGTCAATCAGTCCAGTCAGCTCGGCCTTCAACTTGTCAGCTTCATCATACTTCCCTTGGCGCCACACAGCAGCCAGTAGGACCCTTCTGACGGACAAGGCCTGGGGAGAGTCTGGCCCCAAATGCTCGTCGAACCAAGGCAAGCCCTTCTTTTCCAGATCCTCAGCTTTCTCACAGTCATCCTGCTTGCCCCGCTTCGCCAACAGCTCAGCGAGCCCATGTGCTTGTGCCGCAATTCCCTTGTCACCCCGCCTTAGGATGATTTGTTCCTCGGCTTCGATCTCTTCGTCCAGCTGCCCAAGCTCTCCGTACATACAGATAGCGGCTTGCATAAGGTTTTGCCAAGTAGGGAAGTCGGTTTCCCATAACGGTTTATATGGGGCATTGCCAGACTTAGAGCTTGCATCGAGGGAGGTGATTTTGCCTTTGACTGTGTCGAGCAGGAGATTTGCTTTTTCTTTGTGGCTCAAGTCGCAATGTTTTGTATCGAGGTTTAGTGCCGAAACTTCGTTCTTATCGAAGCTAAGAAGAAAGTTCTTCGCGGAGACATAGCTGAAGCTATTCCAGAATTTTATGACAGGAATAGGATATTCCCAATCGAATTTGGGAGCGTCTTTTGGCTCTAGAACTCCAGTTGAGTATCGGAACTTGGTTGGTTGCGTCATCGTAAGAACAAATCAATATTAGATCAATCAGCTGATGTGAGAGATAGATAATCTGACGTGAGTGATGATGTCCTTGACTGAGCTGTTTCTCTTTGAACAGATTTCGATTGCTCTGTATGGCTTTGTCTTTTCGCTTTTAGAAAGCAGCGAGAAAGTTCTATCTATGCTAGTTTGCTGCCTACCACCCAATTCAGGCATCCCTAGTGGCGCCTGTTGCCTTGTTTTACTTCGTACATGTAGTACATGACCAGCTTTCGCCGCCGCCACCCTAAACGGTAACCTTATTTCATAAGGTTCGGTGTTATCCAATCATAATTCACCAGAGACGTCCGGTATTGCGCTATTTTAGAGGAGTGCACAGATGTGGAAGGCTGATTGTTTACAGCATGTACGAAGTAGCAAGTAGACATTCACGCTGACCGCTGTGATTGTCGGGTGCTAGGCGAGCCATCCATAATCATTAATTCCTCAATAAAGGCGGGGAAAGCGAGTTGAGCGGCGCTTATTTTTAGCTGTAGAGTGTACTTTTAAGGAGTTTTAAATGTTGGTATCAGCCAAATGATTTCACACACAAATAGCCGCCGCTCAACTCGCTTTCACCGACTGAGGAAGGTGGCGATGGAGGGCTCGCTTAGCACCCAACGATTATTTCAGTCATGGATTAGAAGATTTGGACTGGATTGTCATTGGTCGACCGACAATATGCATGATTACTTCGTATACAAATACAGTATAAACGACGTTGCTCTCTAGCCCACTCTTAAACCCCTGCGTGGCTATCCAGAAAGGGGCGATTGCTTTTCATGGAAACATAAGTGGCTTGCTCGCGGCTTACGGATGCGACAAAAGTCCCGACAGACAAAAGCGTTATCTTCCCGTTATTGTCGATAGGTCAAGTCATTGGATCAGATGATATGATGAAGGTGATAAAATACACACGTAATATTCTGTGAACAGAGATCACTAACTCAAATAGGCATGTGCGAACTTGATGCAGTTTCTCCCCCTTCGATAGTGCGCAGAACAACGCATTTTACACGAAGTGCCAAGAACCACGCAAATTTTGCTTAGAGTATGTGCCGCATCATAAGAAATTATAAGTTGAATGGTGAAGCTTCTCTCAGGCTACTCAACGCCACCCTTGGTTACGAGTCGTCTGAACATCATTTGGTGGTGACAATCTAGACATGCATCCGTATGTATTTATCTTGTCACACTAGTGGCTTTCGCAAAAATGAGCGACAATTCCCAGGACTTGGAGGCTATAGAGCGTCGTAGATCACAGAATCGAATTGCTCAACGTAAGCATCGTGAGTAGGCCATTTGAGAACAAGATCCACGCACTGAGACCTCCTCAGGACAAAGACGTGCCCAACTGTTGCGAGAATGCCATGCCATCTTAAACCAACGCAAGGAGGGAGGCAGCGACAATCAACATCCAGATCACCTGCAGCAAGTAGGCAGCCGTAAAGACTATTCCAGAACAAATTCTCCGGAGGCTGTCACACTCCCTCAATTTTCACAGCATTGCATTGGGTGTCAGTCCAATAGGAGAGCAGATCCGTCCTACCAAGAGCACCAACAACATGGACCGCAGCTTGGTACTAGCAGCCATCATGCCAGTTCACTGAACCACGTTGATGACAACAAGGATTCGGCATCAACTCCTCCATTCCAAGACAACGTAGAAGAGATCAATCAATCTGCACTACAACGCAGCCGCGAGGTCGTGCAACCGTCTCCATTAGAAGACATTTCAGCAAATCTGACGGGCAACGATGGCCAATACTTTTTGGATGCCACTACGTTTATGACAAGTGCCAACTTTTTCCAGGACAGTTTGCTGGAAACAGCCGATGATAAGGAGCAAATTGAAGACCCGAGCCAGCATAATATCAATAAAAGCCAGACCGTGAATCCAATTGCTAGGGCAAAACTTAGCAACCCTAATAAGCGCCCAAGGAGCGCGAGCTATTGTCCGCCTGTAAGTGCAATATGTATAGCACAACAACGATAATTGAACACTGATATACCATCCAGGTAGATACAGGACATCATCCCGACAAGACTCGCGACCCCTCTTCCAGCCGGCGAGCAACTTTTACTGCTCTAGCGTCACCACCAATTTCCGATCCGGCCCTGTCCTCAACATGCACCTCGCCCGTCATAAGTCGACAGAGACACAAGGGCAAGACAGCGCTGCATATCTGTGCTGAACGTGGAGATGAGGAGGTTGTCAGAGCCCTCGTTCTACAAGGTATCACTCTCGACGTACAGGATAGCTTTGGCTTCACAGCTCTGCATTACGCGGCTCAGAACTCGCATTACAAGGTTGCCAAAATCTTATTGCAAGGAGGTGCTGACACTGAAATCTTGAATGAAGAAGGGTACAGCGTACTTCATGTTGCGGCCGAGGTGGGTAGTCTGGATGTTATCACCCTGTTGAGTCAAGAAGGAGCGGATCTGAACTCGAGGGTGGGGACTTCAATAGATGATTAATGATGACTAGAAACCATCAACAGTCTTTCGGGATTGTATACATACATTTACGCTCCCGTTAAAACAGCGAATCTATATACATCTGTCACGCGTGCTTGCTTGATAATTTCAATGCACGACTCTCGTCAGCGCTCGCCGCTAACATGATATCCAGTCCACGGCTTGAATTCATCACCTCTCGCGCAATTCGTTCCACAGACCCTGTGTTCTAACTGCCACTCTTTTAACCTATCGATATTCTTACACTTGTGTGGCACGTTCTTCGTCTTCCACTCGCCCAGTCCAGAATCATCCTTTTGGAAAAGCACCGGACTGACATCGCCTCTGCACTTGATTATCCTAAATAATACCAGAGAGCAGTGGCGGACATGAAATTTGAATTCGAAGGGGCTCATCTTGGAGATGCCTTCAAAGTCCCACGTATCACGATAGGCGAAGAGGTAGAGGAAGGACAAGCAGTGGAGCTGATGCGATCCTGAGATGGGAGTTAGGAGAAGGAAGTTATACGAATATGTAGTCGCATATCGGGAAGCACAGGTCGAAAACTCACGTTCGGGGAAAGCGAGAAGGTCGCCTTCAAGCGGTGCTGGTAACGTCCACCAGTTTCTTTGATCCCATGTCTTGTTCAGTCTCTCAAGGTGTTCTTTCGGAAATGAAACACTTCCTTCTGTTGTTCCTTTCAGTCCTCGGGTAATAATGTAGAACGGGTTGACGCACGATCCCAGATCTCTACCCATGCCTTTCTACTTTTGGGTGTTACTGTACCATAGAACTCGGGTACTACGATGTCTGAATCATACTGCGTCCATTCAAAGGAGGCAGCTTCCATCATCGGACCTGTTCGCAGCCTTAGCATAACATTCTGGATTCGATTTGACCGGCTGGACAAATAACTACGGATATACTCGCTCTCTGACCACATCCTTTGGAGACATGCTTGATCCGAAGGCTTCTTTATTCTGGTGTAGATGTAGAATGCAGTTGAAAGAACTAGGTAGATTAAAGCGAAAAGAAAAAAATAGACTGGTAGCCGCGAGCTCTTCTGAGGAGTCTCGTAAGTTTCTGAAGGCGGATTGATCAGGGAAGCTTTCTCTTCATCTGTCTTGATCGTTGTTAGATCATCGTCCTCATCGTGATCGACAGTCCCCATGACCCAGTCTTTGTCCGGACTTGAGGTCTCTTGGGTTCGGTTTTGCTTGTAGGGCGCCATAACTTATCCAAGACAGACAGCGGGATGGAACAACTCTTCACTATAGTTGTATTTTGATACACTCTCTACAGTCTCATGTCCAGGAGATATTGCTATGCTCGACTCAAGTGAGATCATTGGCTGCACAGTTGTGCTTATGTGCGTACGTCAGCAAAGCCACCGTCTGATAGGTCATGACAGTGCATATACTGGGGATACATGGGCCTGTTTTGCGGTCCACGAGCATGATACACATACGAGAGAGTGTTTTGGACTCGGCTGGAGCGAAAGGTTCTTTCGCTTTCGACAGCTTGGATTATTCATTATGTTCAGACAGATTGTTGATTCATTTCTAGGATCTGCCTCCACGTTGCATCAACAGACCAAGCAACTTGCTTCACTATGCAGCCATCAAAATAGGTGGCGTAAAAACATTTCCATACTCAACATTTCAAGCTTTATGGGTACTATCATTGCGTCTTTTATTTGTATAAAAGCAATCAATTATCAGCCGACCGAAAGACAATGCGACGATAATAGCTATGTCTGGTCGCCAGCATCTGACCACATCTCCTACTCCTGGAGTACTGAGTATGTCGATTTAGGGACGTACACGCCATATTTTGACGTTGTGTACAAGCAAGTTGTGGAAGATGAGTGGAACAAAATCATACCCAGTAAGTATTCCCATAACAAATGAGCTTGTTGACCTGTACCTGACTTCAAGCGCATAGAACATCCGATATCAATCCCCTCTTCCCGACTAGCAGAACTAAATCAGTCAACACCAGCAGACTCCCCATTGTGGATTCGTGACCCTAATAATCGCGACTCTGTATTGGCTCTACCTCAAGTCTTTGTCGATCTGGGGTGTCTCAATTTCCTACGTCAATGGTCATCGAAATTCGATCACGATTACTCTTATCTGAAAGTGTTTCAAGATGGTGATAAAACGGTTAATGATCGTGCGCATCAATGTCTTGAACGCCTGAGGCATTCGATAAGCTGTTGGGGGGACACCACGGTGATTCTGGAGTTCATCGACGAACCATATACCAAGGTTGATTTTGGGACATTACATTATTGTAGAGACTTTGATAGGATTGGACAGTGGATCAAGGAGAATGGTGTTAAGGAGGTCGAGCTTGATAATCTGTGGTGGGGAGGAGCAGCCTGAGCCTGCCAGCAGATCATTCGAAAGGTTATCAAATGTCGAAGTATAAAGGGCACGAAATATTCCCAAAAGGATTGGAAGATCACCCGTCTTCAACCTGTTTGATTGTTGTATTGTGACATCCACAAGTCCTGATCTAAAACAAAATCCAGAGCTGCTTAAACAAGAAAATGCTAGAGGAGTGAAACGAGTTGCAAACCGAAATTTACCACGATCGTTGCTCGCAAGAGGTTCAAAATATCCACAATTTGTATTCGATTTTCTGCCTGGCCAATGAATGCTTTCTCGGCAGATTTATCGTGCAGCATAGCTGTGCTGACGGACGCTGACAGAATACACTATAAACCCCCACTTTTATTTCGTCGGACCTTTTGTCAGAAGTGTCAGCAAGCGGCCTGTGACAAAGAGTTCGCCAAGTTTCACTTTTTAATTTGACTGGTGAGCTAAGGGTGCTTAGGAAGCTTCTTGTATGTTTGGTTATTCCTCCTGGCTCATAGGAGAAAGATCCAAACATGTGAAGACTATCAAAGATGCGGGCGAAGTTCTCACTACCAAAGAGAATCACAAATCTTATCCCAAAACAATATTTTTACGATGCTTTGAAATCTGGAGGCTCTTCTTCTGATATTGAGAAGCTTGAAAGCGACACTATCGAGAATGGGCCTCGTGAAGACGGAGACTCAGCCCTGTCCCAAGCCCGATACCAAACAGTAGGTTTCATGATCGGCTTCTGGCTTTTGCTTTTTTGCTGTACGATACAAACATATATCATTTGGATCAATCAATATAAGCTTGATATTACAAATGATATCTTTTTGAAATCACCAGCACCCAAGAGTGAGTTTTCTTCCAAGTGTCTGTCGAGCCTTACTAATGAAAGTGTAGATCAAGACGTGTTGACAACGTTCAAGGAAGAAGAATCCATGATGGGCCTGAAAACGGTACAAGATGTGCACAAAGCTTGGGACCAAGCGTCGTATCGTAAGTCGAGCCTACATTTTGAGCCGATCCCAGCTGTCTGAATATGTCACACTTCAAGGTTACCCCAATCAATGTTGACAATGACTAGCTAGTGGCTTTATACACCTCTCCCATCCCGAAGTTTACTCCCAGGTACCCAATAAGAACGTGCTGAAAGGCATCGATAACGTCTACATGATCAGTGCCTACCATCAACTCCACTGTCTAAGAAAGCTGCATGTAGCTCTGTTTGAGCTTCAAACCGAGTTGGAAACCACCAAGGAATCTCTTAATCCTCGACATGGGAATCACGAACACCCCGACGCTGTGAATGTAACCATGTTAGAGCATCCACCAGGGGTCTCCATTGCGCATGTTGAGCATTGTTTCAGCTACTTGAAACAAGGACTAATGTGTGCTGGAGATATAACTCTAGAAGGTCCAGATTCAAGCGGTAAGACACTGAAAGGTTGGGGTACTACTCATCAATGTCGGAGGTTTGAAGGCAAAGGCGGGCTGAACGAATGGGCGATAGACCAAATGAAAGATTTGTAATATAATGTCTACAGTGAATGTCAGTCTTAACTCGGTCACCTGAGTTCAGTCCATGAAGCTTCGCAAACTTCGACTCAATGAATAATGAAAGCGTTATCTACGGCAGAGGTCTGTTTATGGTTAGTGAGTATTCAACCTACCAAGTCCAAGGCACTTTCCTTATAATGCAGGAAACTACGATTTGCACCTCCCTTACGTTATTCAGAGTTCATTGAAAGTTTGATCCCTTTGTTCACAATACAGCAGGGATAATTGATTGTGCCAAGACAGAATATATTTGGTTAACGATTCAAGAGGTAATGTTAACTTGCGGATCTGCGAAATTTGACTTTGGCGCAGGTAGAAACATATCTAAGTTGTATTTGCTGTGTCGTCTAGCGACCATGGTCTGCCCCAACATGGCAGAAGAGTCCACAATAACGAGTTGCCATCTAAGGTGGAACAGCAACAGTCCATCCCTTGTACAGAGCAGCAGCAATCTCATCAACAGTAGGCTCGGTAACCTCCTCTGCGCGTTTTGCCTTAGGTGGGACAGCAACGGTCCATCCCTTGTAGAGAGCAGCAGCAATCTCATCAACAGTAGGCTCGGCAACCTCCTCTGCGCGTTTTGCCTTAGGTGGGACAGCAACGGTCCATCCTTTGTAGAGAGCAGCGGCAATTTCATCAACGGTGGGCTCGGCAACCTCCTCTGTGCGCTTCTCGGTGGCAACTATACGTTTGTTAGCATTACATCTCTCTCCACCAATATACGTTTCGCAGATGGAGAGCTTCCTGGCACATACTTGGAGCAGCTGCAACAATGCCAGCAAAGAAAGCCGTAGCTACGTAGGTGAACTTCATATTAACTGATAGGTGAGGATAACTTGGTGCAAGAGTGGTGCTGGGTCGAAAAGACTCGAGACGGTATGTCAGAAGGAATAATTAGCTTCTGCTGCAAAATAGTGCATATAGTCAGAATATTTGTACTATGACGATATGACTGAGAGTGCTCGATATTTGTCACCATGATTTCTGATGATTTCTCTACTTGATTGATGACACTGCGGAACAGATTGCTCTTCAACCCTGGAGTCAGCTGCTGACCTGCCGTACGTAAGGCACACTTCCAAGTAAACGTGAGCGACGATGTTCAATTCTCTATACGTTTAAGCGGGATCTACCAAGCTACGACACCGTCTGTCTCATACTAGACACTCGAGTAACCTTCTACCATTCTCGGTGACACGTACTGAGCACAGGTCGAGATGTCGGATTCTGAGAAGACCTCAACGCAACTCTCACGAGATAGCTCATTCGACCCAGAAGAAGAGAGCTTCCTGGGGCACAACAGTAAGAAAAGTGGACCAGCTCAATATACACGCCGGCATGTTCACGTTCTTTATGCTGTCAACTTGGTACTATCCTGTGCAGTCCTGGCTCTCTTCTGGGCAGTCTCAAACATAGCAGTTCACGATCCGTCATTGGGAGTATATTGTAAGATTATGACTAGCTTTGACTGTCAAAGACAGACTGACAGTTTCACAGCCCCAGCGAACGGTGCAGTAGAATACATAAAAGAACAACCGTTTAGAGCGGCTCTTTTCAACAACACACCATATATGGGGTATCCTACCGATGAGACGGACAAGTTGTGGGAAGATCTGTACAACTGTAAGATAACGTTGAAATTACGCCCCTCACGATATGGGAACGTCTCACTTATATGTTGACGATAGTTGGCACATCCACAATTTCTAAAGCGGAAGCCGACAAACTCCCTAATCCCACACTTCCAATTCCAGGCACGGATCGATACTTAGTACAACTCGATGTATGGCATCAACTACATTGTCTAAACGACATGCGCAAGTTGTTGTATCCTGATCGATTCGACGGTCTCGAAAAGCTTCGTGATGCAAACGGCAACATCGACATGACAGATAGTGTTTTCAGACACTGGGGTACGTGTTTCTGACCAAGATTCCGACCTACTCTTCCATTATGGCTCTAGTACTGATCGGCCATTTCAGATCATTGCATTGACGCCCTTCGCCAATCAATCATGTGTCATGCCGATGTCTCACCAATCTCGTTCCACGTCAACGTGCCTGTAGCAAAGGGGGTATTTCCTCGTCTCGCGACCACGCATACGTGTCGTGATTTTAGCAAGATTCAACAGTGGGCAAAAGATCACCAGGCTGGGCCTTGGGAAATGCATTTAACTCCGGAACATGCAAAGAAGATTATCAAGGAAGCGAATTTTGATCAAAGTCCTTTCGAGGATATTGAATTTATGTACGATCAATTTCCTGGGGAGATGTGGTTCAAGTACTGGAGAGATCATCCCGAGGAAGCTAAGGTTGCGAGAGAAAAGCTGAGAAATGATGCGAAAATTGTGGAAGAGTTCGAAGCATAAATGTAATATTTGGTGCTGAAGGGGATAATTTTAATACCATAAATGTCCATATTTCAATCTCCCCAATCCTTGAAACTTGCAAATTTCCTCCGTTCAGGCCTATCACCGAATGAATTGAAAGAAAATGAATATAAAAAATTTGTGAACATGCAAGGTCAGCAATTAGCAAGGTAAATAATATAGTCGTGGCAAATTATTGTCCAATCAATGCCTGCCAAAAGCACGATGTCTCTTAATGTCAGCGGTGTCTTCATCGTCTTGTCCTCAAGCGAAAATCATTCTGTGTGAGAATCAAAGTCACAAACTTTCAAAATGTGGAAATTCTCCTCGTGGACACAACGAGCAATCAATATCTCCTTCATTATCCTGCTTGTATTCAACTCCGCAATCCTGACCGTACTATGGTACAATCCAGCTACCATATTAGAGAACCAGAGATTCAATAAGCAACTCTTTCTCAATTCGCAAAGCGCTACTCACGACCCCAAATTGACACCACACACGTACATGGGACCGATTCGTCGCACCTTCTTCTCAGACCTACTCAAGGCCAACAACATCCCAGTCAAAGAGGGCGATGCGGAAAGTAGCTTGTTAAAGGAAGCAAAGCTCCCTTATAATGTTCAATTCGTTTATGTGAAGGAGATTGGCCATGATCATCTAACGCCATTCGGATTAAGCATGGTGCATCAGTTGCATTGCTTGAGGATGTTGAACGACACTTTACATGAGTTGACAGGCGGGACCGGAAAAAGAGATGGAGGCGGCATTGGGGAACACGGGAGTCATGCTCAACATAGGGATTTTGAACATCTGGAGCATTGCGTGGATTACATTGCTCAGGTCAGTTTTGTAGTGATCTCCACCACTCCCCCCTTTCTGTTTCTTCAGCCCTTCATGATAAAACCCTTGGTCGAGACGTACTGATTACGAAATCTAGGCACTTACCTGCGCCGGAGACGATACTCTCGAACCCTCTCATCTATGGGATGATCCCTTGTCTGGCAAGACCTTCAGAGTGGTTGACGGGACTGGAACGGTTCATCAGTGCAGGGATACGAAGCAAATGCAAAAAGCCATATCAAACAGCTACAAGAAGCCGATTCCTTTACTATGGGAGTGGGAAGAGGGAGCCACTTTGAGGAGTGTGCTTGGTGATTATTAGACAATTAAACTCGAAGCAAATGAAAGTCTTTTCCACATAAGACTCATTGGACAGCTGGCTCGTTTACAGGAAGTGGGAGCAGTGAAGCTTTGTATTAACACATCTATTAAATGGGGTAATATCCAAGTTGTAACGTATGCGGGTTCTGACGATCACACCTCAGAGTAACTACATTTTCCTACTAAGCAATTTCTCCACTCTCATAATCACCATCATCCTCGTGCGTCGTGTACCAACCATGAATCTCCTTAAACTTATGCGTCATCTTCTGATACTTGTATCCCTCGGGCCTTGTCAAATTCACAAACTTCTCCTCGTCAATAGCATTCTTGTCTTGCCACTCCAGTATCTGCCCAAAATCTTTACACTTGTGCTCGGTATTAAAGTCGGGAAAAGCGTGGTCCAGGGTATCTGTCCAAACATGTGTGTATACATCTGTTGTAGCGCTACACATGATATTCTGTAGCAGCAGATGTATACAATGACTCAGGTGTAAGCGGTGGAATTCTGTCGTGTCATTCCACCCATTTGGGTACGTCTTGCCGTAGTAGTGCTCGAAGTGAGACTCCCGACGAAGGGCATCTAGGCAGTGAATCTGGTGAAATACGTCAATCCGTCCAAAGTACTTGTCCGAACCATGACCCCAAGAGTCAGGAATGGCGACTGCTTCGCTAGGATCTTTTCCCATAGCAATGACTTGTTCTCTCGAGATGGGAACGGGTCGTGAATCCCACATTCGCTTCCATGCGACATCGACTTCGTAGCTTGGAGGCTGACGGAAAATGCTAGGATTTTTGGGTAGGAGAAGAGTCGCTTCCATTTTCTTGGGGTGGACTTGAAGGTCGATGTCGTTCAAAAGGGGGGCTAGTGGCCAAGGTTAGTCTTTGTGTAGTCATGTAGGGGAGTACACATGGACTTACAGGTCATTGAAAATTTCTTGAGATCGAAATTTCGTGATTTCGACGTGTTGATGGGATAATCATCGCCGGGTTTCATCGCGGATATGATAAAGCTGGTGATTGAAATAGTAAACAACATCAAATTTAATAGCGCCCACCAGATAGATGAAAAGCCCGATGTCCTCGATGACATATCCTCTAGTGAACGTTTTTGACATTGCCAACAAATATGTTCAGAATCTTCATGGGAAAGGCATGGTGACTCGACCCCATCTGCAGTGGCAACTTGCGCGTAGCGCTCATTTCGAAACCACCACCTCATATTGTCCAGAGTTCCCTGACACAACCCAACTTCTACAGTTTCAACCCATCGAAACCTGAGTCTTCCAGAGGGCTTCAAGAAGATCGTTACTCACGTGATATTCGTAGGGCTACATGCTCGCGATATGCAGTGTCAGCAAACGAGGTCAACAAATAAGGTCAGCAAATGGGTCAGCAAATGGGTGTCAGCAATGTTTCTACTGACATAGGGGAATTCAATGTCGAGAGTCCATTTTCAAGTGATGTTGTAGAACTCTCAATGTATCTTGATGTTGATTCTATGAATCTATGGAATCTAACATTTCAATGTGCCCGTATCTTACGACCAAATCTTTGTTGCAGATGTAGCGACAACACCACAACGGTTCCCTCGACATACCCACGGTACATCAACCGCACTTCAGAGGATGAGTGCGTACGAGAAACTCAGCACTGCTGATTCTGAAACTTCCAATTCTGATACCGAATCCCTAGACAAACTCATCCTCTACAGAAGACATTCCTGGAAACAACGCTTGCTGGACGCTTGCATCCTCACTTTATCATTCACGTCCATCTTGATCGGCGCTCTTACTCTATTCAAAACAACCCATCTAATCAATTCCATAAACACTTTCACCTCTCAGCCTCTTCCACAACTCCAGATTCAGCCACTGAACAGACAAGATCCCAGCGAAGTGCCGCAAAACTGTGGTTCTTCCATCACCGAAGCATTAGCCAAAAATTGTATATTCAACATTTATGCAAATGCGTGGCTGCCCCCTCAGTGTTTCGATCAAGAAGCATATGATAAGTGGATAGATCCGAAGAACGATCTGGTGGAGTTTGGACACGCAGGCAAGTTTGAGTGGTGGGAGGATAAGAATCACACGAGACCGATCGACCAGAAGGAGTTGGGGAGGTTGAAGGGTGCGCATACAGTTCAGGCTTATCATGTTGCGCATTGCTTGTTTGATTGGGACGCTACTGTTAAGGCAATGAAGAAGGTGGTTGGTGGCGAGAGTCCTGTGGTATGTCTTCTCTATTCTTATCTTACTCGCTCGTGTTGAGTCTGGGCTCATCTGCCTATGTGAAGCTTGTCTCTGCTGTCATGCTTTCCTACCTTCAAAATAACAGTCCTTGAAACCATGCTGACTTTATTACTACAGTGGGTGCACTCGAAATTGTTGGAGTCACATCATGTTGGGCATTGCTTGATGGTAATTGCATCCCAGAAGCATTTCTATCAATTTGAATGGGCGTCTGTTGCCGAAGTAACTTTCGGATTTGGAGAGTGTGTACGTTTAGATGCGATGGGGAAGATTGAAGCTGTCTTTGATAAAGTCAGGCGCGTTACAATGGACAGTCCTGATCTAACAGAGAGTGTAGTAGTATTAGAGAACTAAGTATATCTAAACCATAGCTGTTAACGTATATGTACATCGAATGGATCAGGACAGTGGGTCGATCACTTTCCCTTAGCACCAAACTTCAAACCCGAATATTACCTAGATTATATATTATAGAATGAAACGCGTAATAAAAATTGACTACCTCTTTATTTACAATAAACGGTTTACTAGTATAGTTTGAAGAAGTAATTTCGAGACACATTGAACGCCTATTAAAGTATCTCTTGTAGTACTAGATTTTACGCCTATCATCTTCTGAAAAGCTGTAAAATACTTAACGGGACCCTGCAGGACCGATGGTAGACCGAGGATCAGGGATGATTCGCAAACTTCAGACGTTTGTTAGTGAGCTCGGGAGTACCCTCCATTTCGGAGGCAAAAAATATTTACCGTGGATGGGAAAAACGCACCTTGAGTCGATTTACACCGTACAATTCCATCGACTTTCAGTACTTGCACCTAGTCGAAACTCGTATTCTACTAAAGAAAAAATGCATACCATGCCACTATACTTTCAAAAAGAACCTAGTATCCGAGGCCCTATAACAATAGTCCTTGTCTCAAACGAATTAGACAGTGCTAGAATTTTATTCTTACACTAAGCCTACGGAGAAAATTGCTAACATCATTGATATAAGCTCCTTTCATCTTCACACGAAATCCATCGCGTCACATAAAGTTATAGAGCTTCTCCTCGTCTTATAGTATGAGGTTGCTGAGGGATATAGTGAATTTGATAACTTCCCGCTTGTTGCGTTGATTTAGAAGCCGCCGATGAGGCTGGGGGTTAGGAATCGGATGTGAGTCTTCGTGGAGAAGTGAGGGATGTAGATCCTGTGATTTCGGGGTCAGCTGTTAAGATGAATTTGCGGGGTAATAAATGGTTAGTTTGACGGCTCAAAGGCATCAGATCTTGACGTGGATTGAGATTGCAGAGTCAATAAAAGGTAGAGCAACAGAACTGACTGATATTATCTAGTAGGGAAAAGGATGCTTAGCCATTAGCATTGAATCCTCGATCTCGGTATTTTCCTTTTTCCTTGCCTAACACTTTTATTCGGTGTTGATTTACTCGCAGGCAGTACTGTAGTAAATAGTCACACTTCAAATATATTCTATTACTGACTGGCATTTCGACCCCATCGTCAACAATAATAGCCGAGATCAGCCCCACCAAAAGGCGAGGTGTATGTCAAGTCATCCTAGGAACCGGTGGTGTTAAACTTTCGATGATTAAACAGATGGCTGGGAACATTTATAGTGATAGTGAAATGCTAAAAAGGTGAAGGATTTTAAGTTAGACTTTCTAAGCTTTGTGCTGTCTATGTTCGGAGTAGTGAGTATAGTTTTTGAGTGGGAAGAGATAACCGTGATCGAAAGCTACTTGATACTGAGGACTGAAGAATCCGGTCACATGTTGTGAATGTTGAGAAGATGAACTCGAGTTTGTGTGATTCATCTGCTATCAAGTGCATATTTGCTTTGGAGTGTACTGATTTTACGGGTCGAGTAAGACCCAAAGAGACTCAGCTTCAAAACGCAAGTGATGACTTGATACAGTCGAACGAGTAACCATCTCCAGACCTTATGAATCTTGCTCACCTCCATCAATTCCCTTCGCCAAGCCCAAATCCAGTCAAAAGTGAATTCACCCTATAAAACCGCCCATCCCATCCCATTCACCTTCAACCTCCTCCCCACCATCACATCTCCATCTCAGAAGTTTCAATCCCACGAAATCCATACGAAGGCATCGTCGCAATGACAGGAATAGGGACGTCCTCGTCCTGGACCTCACCACACGCAGAATGGAAAAGCAAGCTCGAGCGTCTCCAGCAAAATGGTCATCACATCGGCGTCACGAACTCACCTTTCTTCCCCAAGAACCTGACCGAGTATCTGCAACACAAGACCGAATACCTGGATGATCGACGAAGGGATATTTCGAAGCGGGGAGCGAGGATGATCGCGAGTAGTGCGGCGGATACGGATATCAATGTGAATCACTCGAAGGTGATTCGGTTTAATAAGAAGGAAGAGGGACAATTGGTGCTTAAAGACGCGGGGGACAAGAAGGCGAAAGAGCCGTTTCTGACACTGGGTGAGCCGACAGTTATTTGGGATCCAAGGTATTGCACGTTTCCGGAGCGGAGAGAGGATCAAGGTGCGTTTGGGCCGTTGACGAGAGCATCTTGGCCAGATCAGAATGAGCTCAAGGCGGAAGGTGAAAATCGACTGAGCGCGTTTGGAGAGAGACGGTTCCCGCTGCCGAGGAGGGATGCGTTGTCTGGTGAAGCTGTGATCGCGGATTATGAGGCTGGGAGATCGGTTGATGAGTTGGTTCCGTTGAAGGGGGAGAATATTCCGTGGTATAAGAGGGCGGTTGTGGCGTTGGATGGACTGGATAAGCTGGAATCTACGGAGAAGGAGATCTGGTCGGCGGTCAAGACGTATAATGTTGCTGGTCCGTTTTCGCCGGTGAGATCGAGACTTCCTAGTGGTCGCAATACTCCTCTTGGTAAACACGGGTCTCCTGTGAGATCTCCTCGACGATCACAGACGAATCTGCGAGCTAAAGCGAACTTTGGAGGTGAAAGTCATGCACTTGGACTTGGTGGCATGGTAGCTAATGCGTTTGAAGGTGGTTATGTCGAAGGCAGTGATGGCCAATATGTTGGCATGATGGGTGACTATTTCGAGCAAAACGGAAATGCGACCGACATGACAGGATTCCTCCAACCTGCTGGAAGACATAGAGGACCGGCAGGAAATTTCACGACTAGTGGCGACCTGGGGACATTCCAGATGAACGGCTTTAGATCCAGCACTGGGAGTCCAAGTACAAAAGGCTATGCACATGTGGCAAATCGAGCAGTTTCTGGTACTCGCAACAAACCAGCGAGATCCAAGAACGTAAAAGGGAAACCCTCGAAGAGAACTCAATCGGAGAATCGTGATGCTGAGTCGGAAGTTGGGGGTGAAATCATAGGAGGTGGAAATAAAGGGACCGACGAGTTTCAAGGGTTGGAAGGGACAGAAAGGGAGTTGATCGAGCAGGTATTTGACCGTATTTTTGAGGAGGAAGATTAAGCTGGATAATTTCATGATTGGATTGGTGTATGTTTTATCTTGATATTGCGAGCTTCGAGTGGATACTAGATTTATGGTTGCTTTCTTGGGAGTTTTCGGATATATAATCCAGTTTGCTTGCAATGACAGGTCGAAGATGGTGATGGGATATTGAGGGACCTATGAAGCTGGAAATGATCAGTTGTTCCGACAGTTAGCCATTACATAGAATTGATAGACATGAAGCTTTCAAGATTTTCCCCTACGTCTTCCTTGCGCTCCTTTGGTGGTTTGGGCCGATGTGGCATAGTAGACGGATTGGAAATGCAGTGCTGCGACGCTTTGCTCAGATAGTATTCGCCAACGGGGGGTACCGTAGACAAGATATTGTTGGTATTCAAGAAGGGGTAGGAGTATACTGAGGAAAATGTCTTGCTAACAAAAAAAATACACGAAAGAGACGAGTGATGAGACGATACAAGACGACGTCTGGATGCACGGTCCGTGATCAGGGTTCCACTTCTTTTTCCAATTGTTAGAGAGAGTCACGTGATCGTGCTCCAGAATTACCCATTTTGTTAGAATGCACATCATGATCATAGAGACTTTCTTCGTTTGACGGAGTGTTGGCCAGCTAATCTCATCATAATACTTGCGAATTGATCGAAATTCAACAAAACGACAACTCCGAATAAGAGAAGCGAGTTTCGATATACCTCTCCCCTGCATCCCCGAGTCGGCCCTGTGCTTTATCTTTGCCAATGTCCTTATCGCGACGAGTGTTTGTAACACCCGAGCTCTTCAAACATAACAAAACAAACGCGTCGGGGAGAGTTGTTTCGAGTCTGAACACAGCTTTCACTTCGATCTCGTTCTTCTCCATCAATCGATCTTGCCTCTGCTTTTGACTGGTACAACCTGATATCCTCTCTCTACCCGAGATCCTCGAACTGCACTCCCCACGTGTATCAGCGGTGTGACAAACAAACACGCACCTTACCTGGAGAGCTGTACGAGCATACCCGTCTTGCTTCGACTCGACCGTGCACGCCCTGCTGAGCTCCGAGAAAGTAATTGGAGTGTGAGAAAGAAGACGATTCCAAAATGCACGGAGTCGTGATGGCTGGGAGCAATGGCGTCAGAAATAGAGAGGATATGTTTAGGAAGGGAAATGTGAGTATCTGCTTTCATGCTGCGTATTTCATGGTTGTTCGCTTGCGTTGTTGTATCTTTCTTGATATTTTGCAATTCTTCCTTCTCGAAAGCATATCAGAAACTATCTCCGTCAAGGCTCGTAGCACGTAGTACGTAGCAACCCACGTGTTTCCTATCGTTTATGGTGGAGATGAAATGTCGTGATAAGCATCATGTGCTTCTTCCAATCTTCTCTTCTTCACTTCCACTGCATCAAAGCGGTGAGACCAAGGCTAAGTAGCCATTCCAATGCAAGACCTCTGATAGGCAGGCCTTGTAGCCCGATGAATTGGTACCTAACGGTCGTCGGGGCAAGGGGAAGCACTTTTCCAGTCCGAGGATAAGATGAAGCTCTCTTCAGGAACCCGAGGCTGTATGAGTAGCGCTGGGGAAGAAAGTGACATCTGGCCAGGCCGTGGAAAAGGGAGTACATCGGCCGTAAAGGATATCTCCGATATTGGCTTCAATGAAGCAAAGAAGGAAAAAGACGTCAATCTCATGACTTGTTGTCTCTTCGATGTCTGGCGAGTGACATTCTCACCCTCGGAAGAACATGGCAAAGGACAAGACACATGGTGCATTGTTCTCGCAGTATGCATGACCCTGAAAATTGGGCTGCAGCAGTCGGGACGGAAGAAAAAGAAAAGCCCACCAACATTGGTGACCGCTAGAAATGATGTTTTGAAATTTTACAAAACCATTGTTTCTTGCACAATGGCAGAAGCTGTGAAGATATACTTTTGTACTTGCACGACTTTGCGTTAATAAAGCTGCTCAACTCCCGCAAGTGAGGGGCAGAAGCGGGGTTTTCCCGGGATTCGTCTGAACCTGGTGTTGGAACCGACCGACGTCAAAGGTTGAAAGCCGTGAACCTGGAATTCCCGAGAGCTTCTAAAACCAAAACATTCACACTCCTCACAACACCACAAGAAAGCAAGAAAGCAAGAAAGTCGGGAAATTTCCATTCAGAACAACACAAAAGATCTGCTGCATGATCAATTCGAGATTCACTCAATTGCGGCTAGTCAATTACGCTCCCTTCATCAGTCGCATTGCTTAAACACCCGGTTTCAACCGTTTCTTCCCGCTCTACATTTCTCGGTCGATTAAACCTCACGCGATCACCCTTTGAGCGATCACCACTTCTGTTGGTGCTCGAATAATACCTATTTTGCATCGGCAGTGTTTCTCGATCGACGTTGTTCTACGCATCTAGCATCATGGAGTTGGCACGACCCTCGAAAAGGACTAATGGTGCTGGTGTACAGGTGGAGGATACCCAGATATGTGTCGTAATGGTTGGGCTGCCGGCTCGTGGGAAGTCTTTGATTGCACAGAAAGGTAAGACTGCACAGTTTAGTCCCTAAGTTATATCGCTGCAGAATGTGCTAACAATCACTCAGCTCAACGATACCTTCGCTGGCTTTCGATCGATGCCAAAGTCTTTAATGTTGGAAACTATCGCAGGTCCGATACTCCACATCCTACGGCCGAATTCTTCGATACCTCAAATGCGGAAGGAGAACGAATGCGTCGAGCGGCGGCCGAAGCTGCGGTTACAGATATGCTGAAATGGTTCCGAGAAGGTGGGCTGATTGGGATTTTGGATGCTACAAACTCAACCAAAGAGCGTAGAAGGTGGATCAAAGAGAGGATGGACAAGAACGGAATCGAGACTTTATACGTGGAAAGTAAATGCGATGACGAAGATCTCATCATGAGCAATATTCTCGAAGTAAAGACGACGTCACCAGATTATGTTGGACAGGATCCCGAAGAGGCTGCGCAAGATTTTCGCAACCGGATTCGAAATTACGAGAAAGTATACCAGACGATCGACCAAGACGAAAGCGATATGACATATTTGAAAATCATGGATGTGGGGAAGCAGGTCATCATAAACCGGATTCAGGATTATTTACAGAGTCGGGTGGTTTATTATTTGATGAATTTACACATCAAGCCAAGGTCGATATGGTTATCTCGGGTATGTTGGGTTTTCTAGGAACGAGCGAATTAATCTAACTTGAATCAGCACGGAGAATCAGAATATAACTTGGGAGGTCAAATTGGAGGAGATGCCGACCTTTCAGCGCGAGGGCAGGAATATGCAAAACTCCTGCCAGAACTTGTTCGGAAATCAGTCGGTGTAAGTGGATGCCTGCTAAATTCCCACATGATCGAGATTCAATGCACGATGTGTCGGACAAAAATTGTAGTACATTGCTGATTTGGTTAGGATGATCGCCCGCTTACGGTCTGGACCTCGACATTGAAGCGAACCATTCAAACTGCACGACATCTACCAAAACATTACAATCAGCTTCAATGGAAAGCACTGGATGAGCTGGACTCTGGTGTCTGTGACGGAATGACGTACGCTGAGATTAAAGAAGCATACCCCGAGGATTTTGCTGCCAGAGACGACGATAAATACAATTATAGATATCGTGGTGGAGAGTCGTAAGTTATCATTTCTCTATTCTACCCGTACCAACTAACCGCGTCCAGCTACCGCGACGTAGTAATCCGTCTCGAACCCATCATCATGGAACTCGAACGCTCAGAAGACATCCTAATCGTAACCCACCAAGCCGTTCTCCGCTGCATCTACGCCTATTTTATGAAAAAAGACCAAAGAAGCTCACCATGGCTGAATGTTCCCTTACATACCCTGATCAAACTCACACCTCGTGCCTATGGCACCGTAGAAGAATTCACAAGCTCAGGTATATCGGCGGTTAGCACGTGGAGAGGCCAGGGTAGCGTGGCGAAACATGAGGATCCGACGAGTGCGACTGTCAGTCTTGGGACTGCTGGGGATGGAGAAGTAGCTAAGGCTTGATTTGACAACTCCGGATTCGATGCATGAGGTATGGAAGCGGGGACGGGAATGATAAAATGATGGCTTTACTGGCATAGCGCTCGGCGTTGCATCTCTTTGAGATTGGATTATTCTTTGCATGCTGCCGGTACTGGAGCAGCTGGTTCACATTGGTTGGGGTCCTGTTGTGGGCTAATCGGAACGGGCCGTTTTAGGCTGCATGGGAAAGGGAAAGAGGAATGAATAGATTTAAGCGCTAGTCGCGGATGTTAAGCATGATGAATACATGATAAGGTCCTCTTGGATGAGGTGTAAGAGATGAAAATATGTCATATGTTGGAGATACTGGGTGTCTAACAACCATCGAAGGTATCAACTAGCAAAGAAAACATTTGACAGTCGAACTAGATAATTATGACATTTCTCCAATTACCTAGGTACTCTCAACGCCCACCTATATACACATCCCCTTTCACCACCCTTCAATGCCCACCCTTCTCCTTCTCCCTCCTCTTCGCCCCCACCACCTCATCAAACCGTTGAAAACTCCCCCACCCCTCCACAAACGTCCCAACCATCCATTTCCACCACAACCCACCGTATCTCTCCACATTATACCGTCGCAACCGCCGCGCCATCACCACGCTCTCCACGATATGGATCAACAACACCGGCACAGCGATACTCCGTGATATCCAAATGAACCAGCCCGGACCGCCGGGGAAATAGGGGAGCACTTTGTCGTGCACGTAGGTCCCGGGCACGATATATGGATTCGTGAGGAAAGACGTAAATCCGCAGAGCACCAAAAAGGCAATTGTCAAATGCACCGCGCTGGTGGGCGGGACGTATGTGTCCAACACGATGGTGCTGAGTCCTAACCCCTTCCGCGCTTCGGCGTCCATGGCTACGGTCCGCGCGCGTGCTTCGGCGTAGGATTTCATCGGGGGGTCGAGCGGGATGGTGTGGGTTTGACCGTTGTTAGTGCGGAAGGTGAGGGAATCGAGGGTCATGGAGGTGAGGGTTGGGTTGGTGGCCACGGAGGCGGGGAGCGAGAGGTAGTGTTGGAGGTAGAGGGAGAGGGAGGGGGCGTGGTCGGCGTTTAGGTGGGTGAGGATGCGTTTTTGGATTGCGGCGTCTGAGGAGCGGTCGACGGCCATGGTGGTGGTGCTCGGGAGTGGTGTCACGCGTAGTTGCTGAGAGGCTGCGAAGGTGCTTTGCGAATGGAGCTCGAGGTAGTTGCGAGGACTCGAGTGAGGCTATTCCCAGATGTGCCACTTCCGCCTAGATATGCCGCGTCGCTTGTTCGATGAAGATATGAGATGCTGTAAACATGCAATTGTGATGCTAGCAGCGTTTTCCCTTCTTCCAAAGAGGATATGAAAGAGTTCGAGTTCGCGGATGTGGTGAGAACTGAGAGTTGTTGTTGTGGAAATTTGAAAGCTTATCGTCTGGGGGTGGAGCTTCGTTCTTGCCGAGGTCAAGGTCTTGGCATCACGAGCTCCCTTTTTGTTAAGCGTCGGGTCTGGCCTCTTTTCGCTTTGACAGCTACAACTAATTCGGATATTTTGGAACTTGCCGATTTTCTAACCTTACATGTCCTGTTGAGGTCACCCATGGTACTTTGCGATATTTCATCATCACTCCTAAATTACAGAGATGTCAAGGGAGCCCAGGTGGACGCGGGGTCAGGTGATCGACGTTGCATTGGCATTTCAGCTCGTACTCAGCCTCAATGAGGTTGTATACTAGGTAATAAGAAAATGCTGTTCAGTTTCTAGATGGATTTCTATCATGATCCGAGCTAAGACCGACTTTTTGGCCTATCTATCAAATGCTCATGCAAAGGTTCCGATTTCAAGCTCTAGGCGGCGTAAAGCTTGCGGGCGAAAACTCTTTGAACGTAACACACAGCACGCCAGTGTTCAGCTCTCTTACAAGACAATTGCGTCTCTTCTCGCACCAAGGCTAGCGCTGAAGTTAAGCACCAAGTGCACATTGATCTAATAATGGCATCTTATTCTGGTCTCTACAGACCTCTGGTTGAAGCTGACGCGATCCGTATACTCGCTCTACACCCATCATCAACCTACTCAGCCGAGCTGCGTGGTTCTTTGTTCGAGACAACCGTGTCAGAGTGTGACAGTGATAAAATAGACAGCTTCAATGCTTTATCATATGTGTGGGGTAATCCGACCAAGGCAAAGACTATCGAAATCAACGGGAAAGCAACTCTCATCACCACTTTGTTAGATCTGGCCTTGAGAGATTTGCGGGATACGAATCGAGTTCTTCGGCTATGGGTTGATGCTTTGTGTATTGATCAATCCAATACGGAAGAGAGGAATCAGCAAGTGTCATTTATGGGAGATATTTACGCAACTGCTCAACATACCATCATTCATCTAGGTCCCTCCAGTCTCGAGGCCGAGTCTGTTCTCCGAAAACTCATGTCCAAAGCAGCTGGAAAGCGGCAACTTGATTATGTTATCCACGACGTTCTATCAGAAGAGGAAATCCAGCTAGTCGACGATCACATCCTGAGCAGACCGTGGTTCCGTAGAGTTTGGGTTTTACAAGAGCTGGTACTCTCTAAAGACCCATGGATTCGCTGCGGAAAAGTTGAAATGCGGTGGGATGACTTCTGTCTACCGCTACGAAGAATTTTACAAAATCGCAGGGAGCGATACTCACCTCTTGCCAGCGCAATTACGGACAGCTGGACACTACTCCAAGGGATGAATGTCATTCGGGCTGAAGCTTTACATGCGAAATTTCCTTGTGGAACCCCGGACGATGAACTTGATGATCGAACTTTACTCGGCATTTTGCGTCTGAGACGAGGACTAGGTGCCACAGATGCCAGAGATCTTGTCTTTGCTCATCTGGGGCTAGCATCTGATTTCTTGACCAGCCAAATTTTTGACCACACCTTTTCCAAGAAAGAGAAGCTTCATTACATCCCAGTCAATTATCAAGCTTCTTGTGTACAAGTATTCTCCTGTGTAGTTTTTTATATGTTTGATAAAAGTCTTTGGGGCCCCAGTTCGCTTTATCATTTGCTTTCTTTTTGCGAGGACACCGATCCGGATCACAGGTTGCCAAATCTTCCATCTTGGGTCCCAGATGTAAGCACATTTTACAATTGCGTTATGCATGTCGGCTTATGTTGGTCTGTAGTGGAGCTTACCCCCACCACGAACTAAGAAGATATTACCTCCCTCCGATTTTCCTGGGAACATCTTGCCCAACTTTCACCGAATCCGACATTTGAGATCTCGCGTCTATTTAATGGACCCTCTTTTGTTAATACATGCGGTAAGCTAAATCTCATTTTCAAAATGGTTGACAAAAGCTCAACTTCGTACGATGCTAAAACATCGTTGGATGATAGGGCAATGAGCTCGATAAAATCGTCGAGCTGAGTCATGTTCTTCAAGACGCAGAGATCAGTGATGACACAACTCGAGATATAGTGCGGCAAGGCCTCGAGACGCTAGCATTGTTATCAGGAAACACACAGCACTATGTCGTGCCGGAACATTTCTCCAACAAGAACGAGCACGAACATCAACTCCTAGAAATCTCAGACGTACTTATCAAAGGTCTCTCGGAGGGTTCAGAGCCTTCCCAGTCTAGTGAGGCTTTCATGCCCTCGCTGTCGGAAATGTTGTCTCGTAACGCTCAGTTACGTGACATGCTTGCAAGTCGATGGAAGACTCCCGATAGATCTGGATGCTATGGCTTGCTGCTTGCATATATCATTCAACATCTTGGGCATGTTTCCGGTCTATCTAAAGCTGGTAAAATCAACACTGCCCCTCCGCCATATCTCGAAAGAGGATCCAGCCTCTCCTACAGACGTCTCGCTAAAACCAGCCGTGGGCTCTTCGGCTTCGTGCCTGCGAGTGCAAGAATAGGCGACGGAGTTACGTTCCTTAATAGCTGTATGGTTCCTATTATCACGCGAGGAGTTGTGTATGAAGATACCGATGGCTTGGATAGTCGAGTCAGAATTCGATTTCGGTCGGCTCAACAGGAGGGAGAAAATAATAAGCGATCTCATATAGGCAGTCCGCGCCCTATAAGCATTGAGCAGGAGCATTATATGGTCCAGGGCTCGATTACAGCGTCTGCTGTGAAACATGTAATTGTTCTTGGCATGTCTTTCTTTGATGGGATAGCGCTTTGGAATGGACGCGAGGATCAAAAGTGGACTGACATATACGCCATACACTAACTACTAAAACTCATGTTGACGCCACTTCATGGATTAATCAATCGCTCGCCTTGTCCGCCTTTCAACCTGTCAATCACTCAACGTATTAATTCCTGTTTCGAACTCTGATCCTCATTGGCAACTTTTGGATCAGCATGATAACTGGAAAGTGATCAAAATTCACCATATCCCCATTATCAACAGCCAAGTCGAAAGCAAGCAGAAGTTTAACTATCACAAGCCGCATCTCCAACCACGCAAGAGGCCGTCCTAGACAACTGTGAAAGCCAACGCTGAATGGTTTACTTGCGGCTAAATTGTCTTGCGAATATTCTTTTGGGCGTTGGTCGTCAGGGAGCCATCTTCCAGGGATGAAAGTGTTGGGATTTTCGAAGAGTTTGTCGGAGCGATTCACCGCGAAGGTGCGTACAGCTAGGCGAGTCTGATGGGACGTTAGTTGAGAGGTTTAAAGGGAAGCTCAATGAGACTTGCATTCTCGGGAAGAAAAACTCCACAATACGTGTCTCCGCCAGCAGGCACTACACGTGGTAGTCCACCGGGGACAGGGTTACACATCCTTAGGCCCTCATTGATGACTGCATCGAGATAAGGCAGGCACTGAATGGTATCAAAAGTGATCTCTTCCTTCTCACTGAACTTGTCTCGGATCTCCCTCGTCGACATTTCCAATACATGCTTATTCTCCTTCCTGGTGAGATGGTTAAAAATGCCCGTCATTGCGGTTGCGGTAGTTTCAGAGCCTCCAATAATCACAAAATTAAACGTCTCCACAATCTCCTCCCGCGAAACACTTTCAAAGTTAACATTATTCTTCATAAAAGGCGTCATGAAATCCGGTCGCTCGCTCTTCAAATCAATCCTCCGAGTGATCTTTTCCCGCGCATAAGCCATGTGTTTCCTCTGTCCTTCCATCACACTTTTCGGCATGAACATCTTCAAGATAAATTCCACAGTAGGATAATACCGTGGTGCAGCGGCGAGAGACATGTATTTCAAGAACGCGAACAAAGTGTGTACCCATTCGTGGTAGTCACCGCGTTCGAGACACCCGAATGATTCTCCAAAAGCAAGATCGCTGATCACGTCCATGGTGAAGAAGTTAAGCCAGTCTGTCATGTTTACGCGAGCGCCTTCTTTGGACGAGGCGGTGAGTCGCTGGATTTGGGATACCAGCAGGTCGGCTTTTGAGTTGATGAGGGAGTATTGAGCGCGAAGTGATCCTTCGGAGAACGAAGAGCTCAGAATCCGACGAACACGAGCGTGGAATTTGAAGTCGGTTGTAGTGATTATGTTGTCAACATTTGATTCAGGGGCTACCCGGTATTAACACACAAAAGACCATTCTATCACACAATCAATCTTACCGACATAATACGCCTTATCCCTCAGTGCCCTCTTATGACCCGGACGAAACGCATAAATCTCGTTCCAAGCCTGCTCGCTTGCAAACGACACTTCATCTGGCGCAAGTCGCAGGAAGTCTCCATATTTCTCGTGGAATTCTTTGGTACGCTGGATTAGTTGGCCAGTGAGAAGGCTGTAGATGAATGGGATGCGGGAGGCAGCCCAGAGCTTTGGGCCGGGGTGGTGGGAGAGTGGGTGGAAGTAGATGTTATAGAGAGAGTTGTAAATAGGGTACTATTAGTGGTTAGAAATGAGTGTGAGAAGTTGTGAGGTTATTTTGTTAACCGAGAGTAGAACAATGAATGCAACCAGAACTCGGTGCTGGTCTAGAGTCTCTACGGACAACGTTACGATGCCCATAGTATCAATTGGAATTTATGGTAAATATCTGTTTGTGGCGATTATTTCGATTGGTGTCAATCCCAGCTCTGTTGACGATGAGTTTTAATTCAAGAAGTTTCGGGATGTAGATCTAAAAACACCAACAGTGGTAAAGGTTGGTTTGATTGTTGGTTTGCAAACCGCTTCTGATGTTGGAGCGTATTTACCCAGAATATCAGGGTTTTGGTTTACCCCTTAGATTTTATCGTAGCATCTTGCAGCATTAATTCTCTGTACAATTACCTAGCCACGGTCGCAAGATTAACTTTCGATTATAGACAACTTGAAACCGTAAACACGTTCCCAAAATGGAGAGCCACATCAAGAAGGGTTCCAGCCGTCCAACGCAAGATGCAGCGCAAACCCAAGCACGAGCTGTTTACCCGAGTGGTTTCAAACTCGTGATAATCATGACTTCTCTCCTCCTGGGCACAACACTAATGGCTCTCGACACCACAATCATCAGTGTAGCAACCCCCACCATAACAGCAGAATACCACACGCTCAACGATGTGGGCTGGTACGGCGCTGCTTATCTGATGACATTGACGGCAACGACTCCGATCAGCGCGAATTTCTTCAAGTATTTTAATCCGAAATATGTTTATTTGGCGGCGATTGGGATTTTTAAAGGTAAGTTCCTCGCAATCAAATATCTTTGGGAATGATAAGAGTTTGGAAGCTCACTATTTCCAGTCGGCTCTCTCGTCACAGCATTAGCCCCATCATCCGCAGCTTTTATCGCAGGAAGAGCGGTTACTGGAATTGGTGCTGGTGCACTTCTCCAGGGCGCTTTTGGGATTTTGACGTATGTATGCACCTTGGAAATGCGTCCGTTGTTTCTGGGTATAGTCGTGAGTATATTTGGGTTATTTTCAAGCGTTGGTCCATTAATTGGAGGAGTATTAACCGAGCGCGTTTCTTGGAGGTGGTGCTTTTGGATGTAAGTTTCTGCATTAGCTATCCTGATGTTTGTTTGATGGGCAATTTCTATCGGCACTAACATGTCTCGTAGAAATCTCCCCTTAGGTGGTGTGGTCTTTATCCTGATCGTCGCATTCCTCGACCTGAAAGGCGTCGACAAGTCAACACGAGATCTACCATTTAGAACAAAACTTATCGGTTTAGATTTTCCAGGAGTCATACTCATCATCGCTTCGGTTTCTTGCCTGTTCCTTGCTCTTCAGGAAGGCGGTGTTACCGCACCGTGGAAATCCGCACGACCTATTGGTTTGTTGATTGGGTTCGGACTACTCCTCATCATTTTCGGGGTCTGGCAATGGAAAGCCGGCGAAAACGCAACGATTCCATTGCGTTATCTCAAAGATCGCACTGTGCTTTGGGGCTCAATATATCTCTTCTGGGATAATATGGCGTCTTACATCGTAAGTCAACATGAAGATCCGAACCCAGGCAGTCAAAGCTAACGCGAAACTTTCAGACCATTTACTATCTTCCATTTTACTTTCAAGCAGCGCTCAACCAATCGCCGATACAGAGTTCTGTGAGCTATATCGCTTTAGCTATTCCTCAGATGATTGGGCTTCTGGCAGGCGGAGGTATAACTACCAAAACTGGTCACTATGTGAGTTTGATTGAGTTTAAATTCTTGTTCTCTGTCAGAGTTAGCTAACTTTCCGTGTCTGTAGATGCCAGTAATTCTGTTTGCTCAAGTTCTCTGTGCGATTGGAGCAGGACTTTTGACTACGTTAACGACAAACACCCCCACAGCCAAATGGGCAACCTACCTGGTGCTAACCGGACTTGGACTTGGGTTGGGTGTTAACGTACCTCATATCGCAATTCAGGCAGTCATGGAAACGTTAGTCTTCCACTTACCATCTTTTAATACACATACTTTAGCGTTGTGATTAAAATTAATTAATTTGTTTAGTGACAACGACATCTTTCTCGCAAATGGAATTGCCAGCTTTTTCGGACAGCTAGGCGGGTAAGCTATCCATGAAAATCTCATGCTAATGACAATTTTACTAATGTTTCCCAGTGCAATCGGAATACCAATCGCAAACACCCTTTTAGTAAATGGTTTACGATCATCCATCCCGAAAGCGACGGGCGACAAGATTTCCCCACAAACTGTCATCGACGTCGGTGCAACCGGGTTGAGTAAGTTAACACAAGAACCGCAGCTGATACTCAAGATCCGAGAGGCATACACTGTGGCCATCTCCCATACCATGATTCTGCTGCTCGTAACAATTTGTGTATCAGTCCCCGTGGCTTTAGGCATGAAATGGCTGAATATCAAAGAAGTTTCCATTGAGAGAGAAAGGGTGAAAGCTTCGATGGGTATTGAGGCGCAGGTTGTGGACGATGCAACAATTTCTGGAGGAGAAAAAACTGGTCAGAAGAGTTAGTCATGCTTGCAATTGATTTGTGTTAGGCATATTGTAATATGAGCCTTGTATATTATACAGCTGCGGTTTTCTGCGAGTGTCGCACAGTCAGCTGATTATCACGTTCAGGATATGTAGCTAGCAATAAGACAATTCGTAGGGAGTGCGACGATATTTACGTACCTCAAACGCGGCTCAGCGTGTACACTACTCAGCATCATGATGATCCCACCGAAAACGAATCCCACAAAACTTCGAACCTTGACTGTGAGTCCATAAAAATTCAGAATCTCGCACATTTCTTTCTCTCGTAGACCTTCTCTCGTTTTTCCTCCGTCTGTTGACCTAAAAAAAAGTGATTTGACTACTGAAGTCTATACCATGTCCCTCTCAACCCAAAGCCCCGAGAAGCATGTCTGCTACCTCGAAGCCCACACTCTCTGGCAAAAGAGTGCAATAACACAAAAACAATATACACACTACCTCCTCCTTCATCTTCTGGGCAGCCAACCTATTAATTGTACCGACGACGCAGACGACCATGACTTCAGCAGCGAGCTAGAACGAGAGGACGTATTTGGGTCGCTGATACGAGAGGTTGCAGTGAGGATTGATAGCATGTCGATTCATCATGTAAGAGGTAAATGGCGACCTTGAATACCTTCTAGAGAAAGATGACCGACAATTTAGATGTTGCGCCACTAGAAGCAGTATTCACAACTTACCGAACCACCAAAAACAAAGGAGTAAATGGAGTTCTAGAAGTGAAAGCAAAGATCGACACTCTAGGCAGAGAAGAACAGCAGATGATTCTGGGTGCGTTAGCTTATCGTGCGTTGCAACATCGACGCGCCGGCGTATTGGAGTTGTGTTTGGATATTGGGTGGCACTATACGCAACCGTTTTTGGATGAAGCGAATAGTTTCCAGAGAAACCCTGAAAAGCGAAAAGAACATCCGGAAATACTGAGAGTGCTTGAGGAGTCGCAGATGAGGAAGCAACATGCTGTGGAGAAAGTTGAGAGGGGAAGTATGCATCCGCTGTACTAGGATGCATGAATTTGGATGTGAACAGGAAGAAGAAAACAGGAAATGTTGCAATATGTAATTTTATCTTGAATCAATTAAGTATATATAAGTCATCAGGCCCACTGAGCACAAAACTTCGGTTCTTTGCTTGGAGCACCGAAACAGAGAGTTGAGATTACCTAGGGATATCTACAACGCGGCGATAACGAGCCCAAAGAGAGCAGCAGCACCTATCGCACCGACAGCAGGTTGTTCAACTGAGAGTCCCGCAGCGGCAGTTTGGGTAGTCGCTGAAGGCGCTGTAGTGGTGGCAGAGATACCAGATGTAAATGGAACGTTCGATGCGGCGGCAGCTCCCTGGAACATAACAGCCGGTGTAGTCGCAGTTGGGTTCGCGGTTGCGGTGGTGTTGGCAGGATTAAGTACACTGTTTCTGGATTAGTGAAAGTCTATCGAGGAGTGTAAGACAACTTACGCGTCGATAACGTGCATAACACCGTTGCTGACCAGTACATCCGCAATCTGGACTTGAGCACCGTTGATGAATATTTTGTCACCGGTAGCCTGAACTCTTAGGTCAGGTCCTTCAAGAGTAGGAAGTGTCCTGTTGGCGAGCCCCATAGACAGAAGAGTGCTATAGCCAACTGTGCCGTTGATGATATGATATTCCAAGATGCCCGCAAGTTGTTGCTCAGTCAATGAGCCAGTGGCAGAACCGATGGCCTTGAACGCAGCATTCGAAGGCGCGAAGATTGTGACATCTTTCAGCATGTCGACAGCCATGAGAAGGTTTGTTGCCTTCAATGCGCCAGCTAGCGCGGTAAGCTGAGAGTCTACAGCAGAGACTGAGGGCATTTTGGGTATCGTCAGAACAGAATCAATGATGTGAATGACACCTCCCTCAAACATCAGATCAGCGGTTTGGACCATGCTCGTTTCCTTCAGCCCAGACATGATCTCCACCATATTCCCCATTTTCATACCACCAACGACTTGGCCTCCGGTAACACTGCTTAGAGACATATTTGACATCATCATGGAGCCCATGGTCATATTGCTACTTGCGCCAAGCATGGTAGGAAAGAATTCCATCTTGGTGGTAAAATCGGATGACATATGCATACCCTCGAGGACATGATATTCAAGTACAGCCATAAGAGTCGCATTATCTGCAGCCGCTGCTTTGTTCTCGGGACTCTGAACGAAGCTTGCAAATGCATCATTCGATGGGGCGAGGATGGTAATGTTCTTTGCTCCCATAAGCATCTGCATAAGAGCTGGCTGTTCGGCAAGAAGTGCTGAAGACAGTTAGCGTACGTGCATATAATCTTGGTGGGAATCATACAATTCAACGTGCTAAGTGTTGTACTTTGGGAGGCAATCGCTTCCATTAATGTAGCACCCCTCACCACACTGGCCAAAGCCAACGTGACTAAATATGAGAACTGCATTTTTGACGGATAAAACAAGAACAAAAATATCGCAAGGAAGTAGTATATTCAATAAATTATGTATCTGAGAATAGAAGATCAACCAGCGATGGAGAGAAAACATGACGAGTGGGCAACTTGCCCTCTATATGCTTCATCTCCTAACAACTCCAAGCCAGCCAAGTGCATCGGAACACTTGAATCGCAACATAAGACAAGGTCCACCCCACATCAAAGAATACGCCTTGATCGCACCAAGACCATGAAATCTAGTATGCACGGACAGCGGGAGATCTTCTCGTGCATCAGAGCTTGAACTGAAGTATGCGCGGCTCTCAGTATGTTTCACGAGGCCGTGCTGAGACGTGGGGCTTTGCTGAAACAACTAGATTCGCAGAACGTGACTGGAGCGATCAGTGACAAACATGAGGTTGTAAAAATACCCAGAGAAGTATGGAAACAAAAACACGGAGCAATATTACTGCCGAGTGGACATAACATGTTTTGCGTACCGCCCAAGACTGAAGCAAGGTCGAGACCCGGCCCAGAGCTCACCACTTTGAAAGCAGACATAGTGGCTCCATTGACACTACCCTTGGTCAAATATATGACCTGGGGAATAATATCTTGTTCAAAAATGAGCTCACAGCGCCTGAGCGCGTAGCCTTCTTGCATATCCGCTACACTGCTATCATCGAATTCCCCTCCCCAGCACTGTGTTAAGACCTTTTCCAGTTGGGCTGACACAGCTCTAATTTGCAGTGCGCCAGAAGAATAAAAGCAAAAGGATAGAGAGTGCATAGAAGCTAGGTTATGCTCTTTCCACGCTTAGCATTTGAGCGGTCTAGCGAATGCAATTCAAGCAGTCCTCTCGGGGACAGTACCACGCCAAAGGCCAGCTAAAAGACGTGTACAACAGTCTTCCGTTTTCCAAGAATGCAACCCCCGATCCAATCGACTTGAACCCTCAAATTGGACTTGGCCGCGGTAGTTCTCTCCGGTGTCGTCGCATTGAATCGATTTCATACGCGTCCTCTGCGGCTCTGCCGAAGTGCACTCAATCATCCTCTTGAATGCGGAAGAATCACGTCCTCCTTAATGAGCCAGATGATAAATCCCGACAGTCTATATCACAATCCATCTTCGTTTTCAATTGTTGGTGTTGTCTTGCAGATACTGCGTCGTATGAGTTGTGTGGTGAACAGATTTGTTTAACGAGATCGTCAGCACGTGACATTAAGGAGTTTTTCCTTTTTGTATTTTTCTTCTTATTTGATATCTTTTATAGATATTCATCAAAAATAAAGCATCGGAATTCTGTATTCTTTTCTGTGGAAGTCTCATCAATATACTAATTTTGAAGTTTGTATTATGGTCACATGACTGCAATTCACTTATCTCTCCAGCTGCCAACTATTTTCTCCTGTCGTAAAATATGTCGTTACACGGATGAGAAAGTCATTCTCTCAATCTTGAAACAGTATACAGAGCTTTGTGGATCACGTGAATACCTCCAGGTTGTCGATTCGAGCAGTCTTCGCGATATATCAATATACATGTGAGAATCTGTGTAGAGCAAATGCGCTTCTCGACAATGAATCTTTTTCCTATCAGGATACAATTAAGTTCCCCGTTTGCTACTTCTCACCTACCCATAAGATACCGAGAATCAGGACATTGGATGAAAGACCACCTTTTTCCAATTCAAGGTATAGTTTTAAAACACATATTCGCTCCCCTCCCCAAAACTTTCAAACCCATTAAAACTACTTCAAAATCACAAGCTCGCTTTCCCTCGCGGTTCAAAGGGCAAGGCCAAAACCAACAGACCAGCAGCAATAAACAGTGCGCCAGAAGTATACACCGGCGCCGCAGTTTCCAGATTTGCAAACATAGCGATAATAGGCTGTATATAGTCAGCAAAACTCACATTTCTATTTCAAGAAGTAAAAGTGTACTTACAGCCATAATTCCGAAAACGCGATTTGCCGTGGCCGTCAAAGCGTTCCCAGTTCCCCGATCTTTGGTGACAAATATTTCAGGCGTGTACGCGTAAAGAACGGCATACATAATGTTACTGAAGAAATTGAAAGCACAATTCCAACCAAGTAGTGCATTTGACGTTAATGCAGTCGTTGAAGCGTAGAGGAAAACACCGGTGAGGACCGTGGAAACAGCAAGTGCCCCTTTTCTTCCGAATTTTGGGACTTCCACGAGAACGCCACCAAGTAGTGCACCTGGAATACCAAGAACTGCAATGATCAAGGAGTTGCGGTACGTGAGGTAAGTGGACCCGTCGCCGAATTCAGCACCACGAGTTGCCTGGATGTATGGTAAGAACGCATTGTACAGAGGGTATCCGAGACCGATGAAAGCCCAGACAAGCATGATCAAAGAAGTTGACCAAATTAGTTTTGGTGTAGCGAAAAGTGCGCGAACGTGGGTCAGATTTACTTTCTCGAGTTTGCGCTTGAGAGCTGCAGAGGCGTCAGTTGTTAAAGGACCGGATCCGAGAGCGTCGCAGGCTCGCAGGTCGTCGATAGTTACTATTTTAATCAGCTGAGGTGTGTCAGGAACACATTGGCTCAAGCTTACAGTTTGACGTTTTTCCATTGCGCCTGGCAACATCATGCACAACCCTGAGCGCATCTTCGTCTCTTCCCTTGCCCATCAAATACTTTGGCGATTCGTGAATGGTAAAGAACACGAATCGAATGAAAAACTCAGCCATAGAGATACATCCCATAGTGATAACAAAATATCTCCAGCCCATATTCGCTTTTCTTGTGCAAGTCTCAGCAGTTTCCTCACAGCTCAAGTTACCCAATAGCGGCCATGCGATGAGATTTGCAATGACCTGAGCGACAGCCCAATAAATGCTCAGAATGGTAAGTAGATACTGATGAGAGCCCGGCAGAAATTCGAGAAATACAGCCGAATCCACAGGAAGATTTCCACCGACTCCGAAACTCCAAAGTGCAGCGAAGCATCCAATGGCAGCAAAATTCGGCGATCCAGCAGCAATGAGGCCAAAAACTGCTGTGATTCCCAGAGTCAAATTGAAAGCCCAGCGACGACCGAAAATGTCGCAACCAAATCCCCAGAACATGGCACCAGCGAGGAGTCCGATATTTTGAGCAAGGGAAAGTAGTGGTGGTCTAGATGGTGAGAATTCCTTTACAATTGCAGGGACTGTCGATTGTTAGTTATTATTACGACTTGCGGTGAGCTAGCATGGAGCTCACAAATTAAGGAAGTGACGATAGGCCACAGATTATCGTTAGCCCAACCAAAACCAACAACAATAAAGAGTTGCCATTGATACCACCCCATTCCAATCTCTTGAATCTAGAAATTGTCAGATTGAAACCACCTAAAATCTCACGAAACATACCGCATTATTCAAGACCTTTGCTTTCGCTTCATAAACCGGATCGACTGTCCCTTTCGGTATCGCGGCAGTATCATCAAGAACCGTCATATTCGCATTAGCGTTTTTTGAATCTCCATCAACCACCGATTGTTGCTCTGCTCGTTCAGCTTCATATTGGGCAGGGGATTTGTTGTTCTTGGTATGATCTGCAGGTGTATCCATATTGGGTATAGCTGTATAACCATGCGACGCTCGCATGTATAATATATATAAAGTGATGAGCTTAGCTTTCCGAAGAGTAGTATTATTTGAAGCTGGCAATTGCGTGCAGATATAAGATAAGAACTGGGAATGAAAATCTACGGGGTTGTGCCGCAGGATTATAGCGTGATGCCATGGGGGGATGAGATCTTTGGTGCTATTTCCTCATTGAGGAAAGAGCGGCTTGTGGTGGCGCTTGAGTCTTGTATGCAGGTAAGAGCGGGGCAGTTATTCTTCCAGGTAGTAAAACATTTAATCCCTAATTTTGTCTTGTCAAATTACCCTTCTTCGAAATGTTCATGTTAAAAGAACTTTCTATCAATTAATGTTGTTTAAACTAATTAGCAAACATCATGATTGTGTAAGTCGGGAATGGTCGAGATAAGGTCCGGGCGCAAAGCGGGAAGTGGCCGTTGCGGGGAAGGAAGTGCCCGGCGAGGTTGTCTCTCGCTTAGCTAGACAGGGGGGAGTCTCTCCTCTTTAAGAAACGACTTCGATGCGAGGCCGATCCATTTCTTCTCCGTCAAATTGTGCTTACCGAAGAACTACTAGAACACGATTTTGGTACTAGGTAAGCACCAAAATTAATGTCAAATATTTAAATATTTAGAGAAATGTTATATTACTATCTACATCTAGGTATTCCTTCATTCTTTTGTCCATTTAAATGTTGTAGTAGTTAAATAATTAACTATTTGGGTAAGCATAATTTGACGGAGAAGAAATTGACCGGCCTCTAATATTTTGAGCAGGAATGTACTATTTCAGATATTCATTTAAAGAAGCTAGGTTCCAACATTCCTGTTTGAGAATAACTATGGAGTAGACTCCAGCCCGAAGTATTTCCCTACTTCAAGGTATTCCTGGCAATTACAACTTTGAAGCACCAGAATAACTCGTTATATCACTTCATAATTGTGCAGCAAGTTGGTTGCCAAATGATAAGATGTTGCTTACCTAATAATACAGATCCGAATTTGTTATGTCCTAGAAACTGAATAATGTCCTGCTCCGAATAACACCTTATCCATCCATTGTGAGAATCCTTTTCGTAGTTGCCAACCACTTGACGACACTACCCAAAATAGCCAATGTATGATACATGATAATATGTTACGTCAACCGCTACAATAAACACTGTGCTCTCTAAAGGCCATTTTTGTCCACACCGAACTTAATATTCCTGTCCTCAGACTTTCCGACCACTGAGTCTGATAGAAACATCCCTTCTCTTCAATGCCATAAACAATACCTCATAGATTTTCGCAATCAACAGAGAAGTTATTTTTTGTCAACTCCTCTTCTAAGTATGTTGGCGTTTGTTGCTAGCTTCCGTACCGTAAAGTTGAGCCGCTAACCGTCCTTCCAGTACTCGCTTGTCGATTCGTTTCTTTGAATCCATCTCAAGCATCCCGCTAATGATCTCGAAAGCCCACATGGCTTCTTCATCACGACAAGAAGCCAGCATTCTCCTCACTACCTGGTTATAAATATCTTCCGACATCATTGTCCAAGTATGTTTCTGGGTAGACAGCAATTCAAGGGCCGAAATACCCATGCTCCATACATCGGCTGACTTATCATATACATTACCCAAAGGTAGGTTAGGATCCCTTGCATTGTCCGCATTTTTAAGATCCACGACTTCGGGGGCCAAGTAAGCATACGTACCAACCCAATGCTCGTAGGATGTTTCTTGCCATGTTGCGCAGCCGAAATCAATGATTACCGCTTGAATCGGGTCGATAGAAGCGAGAATGTTCTGAGGCTTGATATCTCGATGCATGCAGCCACGGTCGTGAAGCCAAATCAAGCCTTGAAGCATTTGCGTGAAGAGAACAAGACGTGTGGACATGGAAGCTGTACTAGGCGGGATAAATGCGTATAAACTCTTGCTGAATAGGGGTTTGCAAATGAAAAAGCATTCGTGGACCCCCTGGTCATCTTTTGAATCAATAGAAAAGTAGTCGACCAACTGTAAAATACTAGACTTAAAATAGTTAGTAAGAGTCTTGTAACCGAAAATTTCACTAAGAGACGGGAGAATTGACTTACTGGTCGAGAATTCTGCATCAATTTTCTCAATGTCTTTACTTCTTGGATAACCTTGCCGTGACTTCTAGAGGTGGTAGCGATAATCTTCTTTACTGCAACAGGGGTTCCATCCCGCTGGTCAATGGCCGCACAGACAAAGCCGAATGCTCCTTTGGCAAAAGACGTTCGGACAATATATTTGCCCATGATAATGTAGTCCGTCTCGCTTGGCGTAGGGTCAATGGTCTCTGGGGGTTTGAAGCCTTCATAATCTAGAGAAGCGCGAAGGGTTTGCAGTTGCGCTCGATAGATGTCTTGGTCAATATCTGTGAACTCGAGAGAATATTGAAGGTCGCCCAACTCAATCTCTGTGACCATTTCTCCAAGTGCCCTAGAGCTAATTTGGATCTGGGCGGGATCAAGCGTTGTTCCACCTACACGAACTCTCTTATTGGCAATGATGAGGAGGGCATTAGAGTCAAGGATGTGATTCACTCGACAGTGACGCCCTCCAACTGCTGGATTATGATTCGGATCAAGAATCAAGTCTACCCCACCGTGCTCTACAAACTTCTTGGCCCAGCGGCCACATCCAAGAACCCACCCATATTGTCGGCTTAGGGGTCTGATATTCAGGTTGAGTCTGTAAAATCCGGTATAGATTTGCATTGGTAGTGTTGGTGAGGACTCCCTACTTGAAGCACTGTCTCCACTAGAATGACCGTCTGTGTCCGGTTCCAAGATTGACTGAGCATCGTGGACGTGGATGAATCTTCTGTGCCATTCATACTTGACGGGCTCCTTTTCAAATGCAAGAACAACTCGGTGAAAAGCTAAATGTGCTGCTCTGGATTTGGGTACGAGTTTTGCGAAGTCTCTTGTCGTGTGCAGTCTTTGGTCTGGAACTCCTTGGTACTGAGGCGAATTCGGTCGTGTTGTAGAGCCACCGTCAAAGGATTTGAAGGACATGATGTAGCACCTAGTTTTGTGGAAATAAAAAAATAGCGTCCGCAATGTGCCAAAAGAAAGTCTTAGAAATGCAGGAAGGAATACATTGTTTTATAGTTCTAATCGAAGAGCAATTTTTCCAACTGTTTATTGACATTTTCAGATAAACAGCACCCCCCAGTCGAACTTAATGGTTCACAAGTCTGAAATGTTCACGAATAAGTGTCATTTACATATTCAGTGGCATTCACTCAACTCTCGTATCCTGTCGAGTACACTAAAAGGCCGTGAACAGTTGAGGGTCAAATTCATGATGAACAATAGTCTTAACAGGCCAATGGTCTTGCAACATTTGGTACACGGGTTCATATCATTTAGTTACCCCCTTAACGTGTTTTCAGTGAAGCTTCAAGACCTATCTTTGTTAAATGATGCTGAATTAGTGGGGTTAGTGTGACACAAATTTGCCCTAAGCGAGATACTTACTACATTGCTGTAAGTCTTCTAGTCCGAAGCTTTCAGAACCTTTATTCTACAATACCTTGACAACATCACCACCAGCAAATTCGACATTTTCAACATTACGATGGAACCACCACGTCTAGTCCGAAAGTCTTCTTGCTTGGGTTTCGATAGTCGTTACGAGGACCCAGCGATCGTCAAATTCAACGCAGACATACTACGCCAGAAACTACTTGAGGTCAACGGTCCCCCAGTATGGCTTACTCCCGACGAACTCTACATCAAAGTCAAGTATGCAGGCATGAAGCCTTGGGAGATTCCCATGACCCCTACTCCCCCCGATACGCCGTCAGGATCGAGTTCGCCGATTCAACCACTTCAAAAGTCTATCGAGGAAGACAGAGATCCTAACCTCCCAACTCCACGGCCTTACGACTCGCCCCCAAACATTTATTACAGAGGCGACTCCTATCCTTTACCGCTCGATCGCCCAGTATCACGTCCCTTACCTCAAGCAACAATTCTGCCAAAGAAGACCGACAGCGACTACGAGTATGAGTTACTCACCGTATCTCAGCAACCATCAATCTGGCACGACTACCCTATAGAAGCCCATTTAGAGTGGTACGAGAGAGAATGCATTTCTCTTCCCGATGGGTACGTCAAACCAGAACAAAAGCGAGCTGCAGAAAGACAGACGGTCCATGAGCAGCATTCACAAAAGTCTGAGCAGAAAGAGAAAACAACCTCTTCCAAGCAAAACAGCCAACACAGCAGTCGAAGAACAAAACGAAAGCAGAAGCCCCTTGTTCTTTCAGAAACTAGTACCAACCATATTCGAAAAAGGCCTTGCCATCATATGACCACCAGGTCGAGGGATGGAAGTATATCTCCGAATGCGTCGTATCAGAAGGTTGAAAGGAGTCAACACGAGATGGCCAAGACTTGAATACTAGTTGATGGATTGGACGACAGGATAATTGGAGCATACTTGGTCATTCAAAATTGATTTGGCTTTTGACCTCAACATGTCATCAACTCAATTGGCAAAGAATGATATAGATGGGCTTCGGTATGGACAAAAATGGTGTTTTACTTTGGTTGCTAAGTCGGGAATCGTAGGAGGGATAAGACATATCAGAATACAAGTGCAAAGCCAGTGGAAGCTACTGCGGGAAGGCTCTTCATTAGCATATATTAATACAATTGAATTTCCATCACAAATTACAGTCGTACCCTTGATACCTTTATTCTCGTGTTCCTGATACAAAGCAACCGAGAATTTATCTTCACCTTCACGTCCGTACTGAATTATACGTGTCCTATTTCCAAATGAGTAATTTCCAAAATCCTCCCAGCCACCCAAAGCCAGGCAAAGTTCTAGACACCCTTCCAATTATAACAAAAAAAAGTGGCTGGATATAAGACTCAGGTGCTGAAATGAATCCCACTAGCATGTGATCTCAAGCCTTTGTTAGCTGGAGATTTTGCATCACTGCGCCTAGTGTCCAGGTAGTGATCAGGATATTAACAAGGATAAGTCGACTTCGACAAACTCAAAAGTATAAATAAGAGCCATTCAGGGACATTAGTGAATCGGTAAGCGATGTTTCCACATAGGACAAAGTCCCAGCATAGCCTAAGTAACCAGGTAAAAAGGTGTGACGGGGAGGTGAATAATAGTGTGGGAGGGTAAACAGTGAGATACCAATGGTTCACATCAATGCTCGATTTCACGAATCCAAAAAATAAAAATCACCTTCCCACCCAACCCGTCAACTCCCACCCCAATCATTTCAGAAACAAGAACAAAACATTCGGATATTGAGAACACCTTTCCGAGACCAGTCAACTCATTTTAATAGTTATCAAAAAGATAATCAACAAATAGTCATATTCTATAGACGTAATGAAAACCGGCGAACGATTCAGAACAATCCGCAAGATGTATTCCAGAATATATCTACTCTACCCAATTTTACTACCCTGAACTCCTGATGAAAGTATACAAAAGGCATGAGTAATTTCTAGCTGGGGTTCAGCCATTCGGCTCTGTGAAGTGGATGCGGATAAGTAGCGATGACATATTGCATTTGCGAAACCCCTGGTCAAAGTTGAGTGATTGGGGTGCTACGGAGCGCACTCGCAAAATGATTGTTGGACTTGGCCGATGAAACCAGAGGAAATCTGAATGATTTGAATAGAATGAACAGACACTGGAGTGGTCAATGGATATACGAGTATTTTAATTCCCCTATATACGTTTGCCCCTACGGCACATATCCGCCCATCGACCTAACGACCAAACTTCTACTTAAGACAACAAAACTCATGCACAAATTCTGGCCAACATCAAAAAGAGATGTTTAACATCCGACGTAGATAGCTGCGAATCCATTAGTAAAAATTCCAAGTTTATCAGAGGAGATAGAAGATGAGGACATACCATTAGCATAAAGCGCATAAGAATCCGCATTCAGCACCGCTCTCGCACTAGTAAGCGCCGTGGCAGCCGCATATCCATACCCATTATCCTGGGTTCCGGGGCTGTACGTGCCCGGGGCGTGGGTCATCTCATGGAGGGTGGTGGTAGTCTGGTCCTGGGCGTGGCACTTGGTGGTGAGCGAGGTGAGCGCGCTGTAGTAGATGGGGCAGTTGACGATCTCGTTGGTGGAGGGGATGGTGTAGGCGAGGACGTTGGACTCGCAGTAGCCGTAGACGTCGGTGCAGTAGTACTTGGTCTTGCCGGAGGTGAGAGAGCCGCATTGGGTTGCGACGGCGGTAAGGCGGGCGGCGACGGTGGAGCGCGTGGCTGCTGCGGTGGTCTTGAAGTATTCGCTGAATTTGGAGGCGGAGCCGGAGGAGGCTGCGCTGGCGGCGGCGCGAGCGAGGGTTGCGCAGCGGGAGAGGGCATTGGTAGTAGCGGTCTTTTGGGCGGTGGAGCATCCTGATTGAAGGACGGTGCGCTCTGTGATGGTCATCTCTGGGATGGCCTTTGCTACGATGGCGGCGGCGGCTCCGTCGACAAGAATTGGAAGAGAGTTGGACTTGAATGATACGGCTGAGCCTGATAGCTCGGTGGATTGACCAAGAGCATATGGAATAGCACCTTCTGTCATAACAGTGTAGGTACCAGTGGTCAAGTCGTGGACCGCCGCAGTGTTGATGGTGGTGGTGAGCGATGCTCCTGCTGCGAGAGACTTGAAGTGTTGTGCGGCGATTTCACCGGATTGAACTCTTCGCAGAACACCCTTGAATGCAACAGCCTCATCTAAGAAAAGTTAGTCATTGTAATCAAATCAATAGTTTAACCCTCTTTCTCCAACAAGATCATTAGACAATTTTCATGAACACATCTATCCGGCTCCCATCGTCCCAAAGTTAAGCCAAATAAGCGGTTACTCCACCACTTCAAGTGATACAATATCTCTGGTTTTCAGCATTGGTAGGGGGAAAAGTGAGATTCATACTTGATTCATTGATAACATCCAACTTCTCAACAGGTGCAGAGTCCAAGAAAGTGCCAAGAGTAAGCAAGTTCATGTCAACAGCACCAGTGTTTGTGACAGTAGCAACAACAGCTCCGGAAGCATCCGCAGCGGAAAGCGTGACTTTCAGGGCAGCCGCATCGCGTTGGATGACACCGGCATTGGCAACAGCCAAAACACTAGCGGCGGTAATTGAGAGGTTAAAACGCATCTTGACCGAGTGCCGAGGTGGGGTTGAACTGGACCGAGAGGTGTAACGAAGGGGTTTGTGACTGAAGTATCGAAGCTGGCGATGAAGAAAAATCTTTTCATGGAATTGCAATCATACTTATACTTTGTATGATGAGGGGGAATACTGGAGATTCCAATATCACCTAATTTCCCAGGAGTAAATGCCGATCCTATTACCCATCCTCGACCGTTCAAGAAGCTACATAGTCTTCCATGATTTAAAGGGGAAGGTGTAATGGAGAGTCAGGCTACTCATGCTAGATTATGCAAATCAGAGATATTGTTGCACGAAAAGCTGGACGCTGGAAGGTTTGCCCGAAGGCCAAGTTATAAGGGCAACGATGATCACCGGGAAAATGCACCAGCGGACCTTCCATTGTGAGCGACGACTACCTGATTGGAAAGGCAAGAATAACTATTCTGCGAAGTAGCTCGCCCATTAGACTGTTTCGCTAAGTCTGAAGATGTGTAATAGTCTAAAAGAGCAATGCTATGCTTACAAACTCAGAATATGAATTAGTAGAAAATCTTCGAGAAATGATTTCAGCTCTATCCATGTCGCTCTGCACAGTTGACTCACGCGCTGTATCAGTCCTGCAAATGAGATATGAGGAAGGCCCAAGATAACATGATTATGAAGGCTAAACTGCGTTCAAGGTCTTGTTTGGTATAGATAAATTGCACGTGAGCAAAAACTCCTAATCCGGACAGCTGCGTGGGAACTACCCAGTGAGCATTTGTACAAGCTTTGCTTGTGGTGCATGCGCTTTACAACGAGGGGTATTGGTTTCAAAAATAATGCGGGGGGAACCAGATCCAATTGTGATAGGATCTGATAATTCTGCCAAGATCCATTTAAGACCAATGTGGCAGGTATATAAACATTATATATCTTGGCATGCGCGAGCCAATCTTTCGCGTATCGATATTTTGCCAAACGCGAAGATCATGTAGCCACGACTGACGTGCATGATCTCTCTCAAGGAGTGCAATTCGACAGCCGGACGTTGATTCAAGCATCGCATACAGCCAAAACGGCTGATAACTTCCTAATCAATGAGATCGACAAGAACGCCTCCAGGTAAAGCAAGAGCGCCTATCAATTAAAATATTCCCTCGCACCACAGATACATGCTTGATTTTGTGACTTCTTCATCAAGATATAGCCCCCGGCTTGGCACCTAGGAACGGGGTGTGGCAGTTGCCTTTCCGCCCACTTGAAGACTGCCGGGAAAGGCGCAAAAATCAAGAGATGAGAGCCGCTCCCCCCACTCGGGGTTTACCCTAGGAACAATCTAGTCCTTAGGGCTATGGGTAACTTGATAAGGCACAAGAAGTGACAACTTTAAGTTTGAACCCATCACGGCCTCGGTTACAGAAGCGGTGCCTCGTTCATGCAGAACGAAGCTTGTTGGGAATAAGACGACGGCACCAGTTGTGGCTGCAACTTGCATTCCACCTTCTTGTTAGGGTTGGTATGAGGAAAGACACAGAATCTCACCCACGCTCAAATGGCCCCTCGATGGATTTCTAATCCTGCCGACAAATGCCATGTAAACAAAAGTCTAATCAACTCTCAATCAGTTCTTGAATGCGGCCAAACATAAGCTGAAGCACCAAGCACAAACCTATATCCCGTCAAGGAAATGCAACCCACGCCCACACTTGTTTGTGAATAGGTGCATCCAGAAACGAAAACGGTAGAATATCGAATCCTTCTGCAACACAGCACCAAGATTCTTTGGGCAGGTTGTTCAGCGTTACTTCTCTTGCCAACAACCAAAATATTGCCGTACGAGTTGTCCCAATCAAGCGATTTTGGTGTTGTATAAGTGGGTCTCAATGGTTTCCCGCTTTGCGATTGTCACTGTTGGTGCAATTTCCCTCCTCTTGACAGGACTTTATCTGCGAAGTTTCGAGTCTGGACAAATCAACGTTATGTCTGAATCGCAATCTTCGGTGCCGATCGAGGTGACATTATCGGTACCACCCAGTTCTTCTTCCAACCTGGGTGCGGCATCCATTCGAGTCACCATCACCAACAACTCTCCGCACACCGTATGGATCCTCAGCTGGTCTTCACCCGTCGATGCGCGCGCAGTAGTGACTGGCATGTTCAAGTTTATATCGACAACAACGAACAAGCCAGCACCGTGCTTGGATATGAAGATCAACAGGAGGATGCCAGATTTCTTCCTCCCAGATGATGACGCGATTGTGGAGGTGCCAGCGAAAGGGACATACGAGAAGGATTTTATCGCGAAGGAGCCAGAAGTTGCTCTAACGAAGGGGGACCGATATCGAGTCAAGACGGAAGGGTGGTGGATGCGCGTTTGGGTTCATGATGGTTCGACTGATGCTGCGAAACTCGAGGTTGAGAGTGCCATATCTGGGGATTTTGTCAGCAATGAGATCGAAGTGGATATAGCAGAGGCATGAGGGATGGATTGTTCAAATCAAGGGCATAATGCAATTCGAACTTAATATACCACAGTTTCTCTCCTGTTAGCCGCTCAACTCCATGTGGTTGTGGTAATGTTGGATGCTCAGAAGCGGATATCAGAGACAGTCTTGGGCGCGAGCTCAAACTTGTCAAGCATATGGAATCTCGATAGATAGGATAATGAAAAAAAAAATTAACAGGAATTTTCGGAGTACAACAAAGACTCAAAGATCCCTCGGAAGGGAAATCGAAGCTCCTGTTCAACTAGTTGTCGCGTCCCGAATGAAAAGCACCTGGGCATATCGTGGATTGTGGCTGCCTTAGAATATCAAGCCTCAGGTGTCAATCTTTCCCATATCCTACGAGCGCATCTCGACTTCTCTCCACCAACAACATGAAACAGAATCAATCTCTGCGACAAACGTCCAAATGATTCAGCAAAGTCCTTATCTTGATATGCTCGACTTAGCCAAAAAGTCATCTCAACAACTAATGAAAAGCATTAATAAAGAGTAAGCGTCGACGAAGACGGTCTTCCCTCCATCGTATACTCCGTCGCGGCATGTGAATACTATTTCAAGCAAGGTATGGCCAAGATATGAGTTTTTACATAAATGATAAAGTAATACTAACATATCTCGCAGACAATGTAACTCCTGTATTCTTCCCTCTTTGGCTGATGTGCTGGACCATGGATGTTTGTTATTTTGATGACGTCAAAGCCTCTCGTCTGCAAATAATTCAATAAACATTTCCACTGATGGCATCCGCCAGTCAGCTGTTATGCAAACATGAGTTGATGCGAAATTTAATGGGTTGACGTCGCTCTGCCTCATACGTCAGTCCCAAATGACCAGCTCGCCATGAAGCTTTCTTCTTCAATCAGTTCCGACCAAGGTTTACAAGATTTCTCTAATCCTTCCAAGAGAATCAGTGAAGATGTTCGGCTGGCTACACGCAATTCTGGACTGGATTCTCTTCCACTTGAAGCTTGTAAGGCACAATTCTCCGTCTTCTACTTGCTCAAATTGAACAGCTCAACTGACACCACAACAGATACCAAATCGACAAGTAGGATGGAAATCACTCAACCGAAAAACCGGCCAGCTCGAACGTGAGCAAGAGCCGGTCCTCAAAAAGCTCAAACTCCTCGCTCTTTTCAATCCCCTCACAGAATGGCTGGATACAACACACGCCATGCGTCTTTACATTCACAACAAGAGCATCAAGGAGGGCAAAGAGGAAGCAATGCCAGCCTCGCACGACCGTATCAAGGCTTTTGTCGAATTCTACAACATCAACATGGATGATTTCGAGCCTTCAGATCTGGAGAAGTACCGCACATTTGAAGACTTCTTCGTGAGGCGGCATAAGGATGGTACACGACCGATTCATGAAAAGAATGATCCGAAGAAAGCGATCGTGTGTTGCGACTGTCGTGTTGTAACATATGACACCGTACCTCAAGCCAAAAAGCTATGGATCAAAGGCACCGATTTTAGCATTACGAATCTTATTATGGATGTCAACCTTGGCGCTAAATTTGACGATGGATCCGTTGCTAGCTTCAGACTTAGTCCACAAGATTACCATCGATATCACAGCCCCGTGACCGGCACGATCAAAGAATTTAAAAGTTTGCCTGGCGATTACTACGAGGTAGATCCCATCGCCCTTCGGAGCCGTGTGAATATCCTCACTTCGAATGCTCGAGACTATGTTTTGATAGATACTGCCGAATTCGGCGAAGTTCTTTTCGTAGCTATCGGAGCGACGGATGTCGGGACTGTCTAGTAAGTTATCCTCATCATCTTGATACTAAATGATCTTAGCTAAACATCCTCAGCATCCACGAAAAGTACCGCACTCCCGGTGCAGAAATCACCAAGGGCGACGAACTCGGCATCTTCCAATTCGGCGGCTCATCCATCATCGTTGCCTTCCAGAAAGATCGTATCAAATTCGACGACGACCTCCGTGACTGCAGCAATGCCTGTATCCAAGTCTCAGTTGAAGTCGGAATGAGTCTGGGTGAGGCAACGTCCTCGAGCCATGCCGACGTAAATGGTGGTGACACCATATCAGAGGAGGATCATCGCAGCTTTGCGGATGTTGTGAAAGAGTAATGTTCCTACATGAGCTACTATCGTGCGTGCATCTCGTGGTGAATAGAGGTGTCGAGTCGGTGGAATATAACTAAGAAGGGCCTGGTGATAATTATGACACTCCAAATGAAAACCCAAATTTGTACCGGCGTTCTGAATGCTTGCACTTGTATCAAATATCCATTTCAATTCATTCATTCATTCAATCAATCAATCAAACAAGCCGACTAGTTGTTGGCTACCTCGGTCTACAAATCAAAAGTCATCCAACAAACCAACCAACTTGAGCGGTTTGGCAAAATGCTCATCAGAATCTATACTCGCAGTGCGACATGAAGCCCTTTTATGAATAACTCATTCGTCCTGATAACTGACATTCAACTTTACCAATCACTCAATATGGCGATGATCAAGGCACTTTACACTCAATACTTCCCAGCGAGCCCCACGTTAACCGAGAAGGATGTTGGTAGCCAAGTTGGTAAGGTCTTCATCATCACGGGCAGCAATACAGGAGTTGGGTTTGATCTCGTGAAGATGCTCTACCCATCAGGCGCTACGATCTACATGGCAGGTCGATCAGAAGAACGCATGAAAAACGCCATTCAAACAATCACATCCGTCTCTCCCGCACCAGCAACACCTGCAACGCTCAAATATCTACCTTACGATCTCGCGGACCTATCTTCAGTAAAATCCGCAGCCGAAATCTTCCTGAGTCAAGAAACCAGACTCGACATCCTCTGGCACAACGCCGGCATAGGAGGCGGCCTGGGTCTAACAACCAAACAAAACATCGAAGGCCACATCGGCATAAACTGCGTCGCACCTCTCCTCTTCACCGAGCTCCTCCTCCCCAGGCTCACCGCCGCCGCAAAGACAAACGCATCATCCCGCATCATCTGGACCAGCTCCGCCATAACCGAAGTCAAAGCACCCGCCGGCGGCATCTCCCTCTCTCTCATCGAAAAGCTCGCATCAACCGACCCCTTCGCCGACTACGCGGGCTCCAAAGTCGGGAATTACTGGCTCGCAGCTGAATGCGCGAGACGCTATGCCAAAGATGGGATTATCAGCGTCGCGCAGAACCCGGGGAATGTGAAGTCGGAGTTTTATAGACATCAGCCGGGGTTGATGATGGTGTTTGTTAATCCGATATTGTATGAGCCGAAGATGGGCGCGTATACGGGGTTGTTTGCGGGGTTTAGTAACGATATTACGACGACGAAGAATAATGGAGCTTATATTTGGCCGTGGGGGGTTATTGTTGGGGGACATAGTCGGAAGGATATTCAAGAGGGGATTGTGAATGGGAGGGCTGGGGAGTTTTGGGAGTGGTGTCGGGAGAAGTATGTGGCTTATCTTTGACTTTCTAATACTGAAATTCTCGGCCGTGTGTAGCTTTAGTTGAACAGGACGTCTAGGTTTCTGTGTCTCCAAGTCTCACATGCACAAGTCAAAAAATACCACGACGGGAAAAGTTCAAATGGCTTTGAATATCAGATGCAGGATGCCAAATTCAGTGTTCAATCTAGGACTTCGAAATGCAAGAGAGCTCTTACTTCACCTAAGGGTTCACTCGTCTACAGCTCTGTACAATTTCCACCCAAACACCTGCCTCAATCTCTTGTTCTTAAACCACCAAACTCCCCTCAACCAAAACCAAGGCCACAATTATATATTCAACTAAACCTCTTTCCACCCGCGTTAACCTTCCGTTGCAATTCCCGCATCTCCCTCCTCTCGGCTTCTCGTTCCTGAAGCTTTCCGACATGCATCACGAACATGATGGATGCAGCCACAATGACAAAACTTGCAATGACGACGCTAACGATGACTTCTTCCGGGATTTGAGCTTTATGTACGTGCTTCGCTGTTATTGCAGTTCGTTTCTTCTCGAACTTTTGTCCTTCATTTGTAAATTCATCAGTTCCCTGGGGCCTGCACACGGCTACATTTGTGAGAAACAAGAGAAACAGGAATAATCTTGCGATCAGGACGGAGTAGAATTTGGAAAATTCGAAAACCATATTTTTCATCATGATAGTTTTGAGAGACAGAGAACAGATATAATAGCAAGATATCAGAACTGAGAAATTTTAACTGTTTTTGACCTTCTTGCCAACTGTTGGTGTCGCCATTAGTAGCGCTCAGGTTTAAACTTTCAACACAACAACCATTTTACTGGATCAGGGAAGTCGTGTTGAGTTGTAATTAAAATATAGATATAATTTCTGAAACAGAATGAGCATGTGATGGAAGTGAGTGCTGTCACAGAGGAGTCGTCTGTTCGCCCAGAAGACGCTGGGCTTTGTTCTTCACGACAGCGCGTTAGAAAAATATGATTAATTAGTACTAAACAATGGAAATCTCCGAATATAGCTTTTGTATTGACTTGATTAAAATCAATTATTGTACCCGGAAAACATCACTTATAAGACTCTCTAGCTCTAGAATTTGGTGTAGGTGCTGTTGTAACATCAAATGTTGTCAGACCTACTTCATAAGATGATGAGGATCAACTTTGAGAAGACGGAGCTTCTTGATCAATCGATTACATCTCGAGACAGTTTCCGTTGAAGGTCTCGCAAAAGAGTTCTTGCTAATTATTGAATTGATTTCACCTATCATTCTGAGATCGAATAGGAGAGGGAATTAAGCGAGAAGAAAGATGAATAATGAGAAGTCCAAAGAGAATTCTATCTACAATTTCCGGGGACAGCAAGAACCGAACACAAAGAAGTAGCCGTGTTACCCTCACTTTGCCATTCTAGCTTTACAAAGTTCATGATATTAAAAATGCTACAGTGTTGCAGACAATGCTGTCATGATCGAAATGAATACAACATCTTAAACAGAATGACCAACAAGCTAGGGGCACAGAACGATGCACAGAATCGATAAATAGGGAGTGTTTAACGAACCAAACTCTTCAACATGCTTTTGATATAGCTTGTCGCCTAAATTGTACATCTTGCTGACGCGCGGAGCATATCTCTGCAGTCAGCATTAGTGGGGCTGATGTTGCACGCTGCCCAGTAGATGAACCAGAAGACTTTCTGTCATCACGATAGCTACCAATACCACGAATCTTTGCATCCAAAAAGCAGAAGGACTTACAGCTTAATGAGTCTTCTATACACCATAAATCCCACTCTTCGAAATCTCAGGCAACGACTTTGAGATAGATCTTCGAGAACATTGCTGATTCCCTGCTAAGCGAGAACCAGGGTCTCAAAACAACATGAACACCTCAACATAAATACACCCATCTCACCACCACCCCGTCACCCTCTCCAAACCCGCTCAAATGTCCCTCCCCACCCCCTCCAAAGACCTAACACTCATCCCACCGCACCCAATCACCGAGACCGAATCCACACCTCTCCTCGCCCATCCCCCCCTCACTAAACCCCAAAACACCTACTACAACCCCAAACACAAACCCCTAATCGTAGTCTCCATCTGCGTTCTCTGCGTCCTCGTCCTCGAAATAGGAGTCTACCTCCAACTCACGCCCATAACGCGGATTCTCGAGTCCATCATATGTCGAAACTACTACCTCGCGCACCCCGAAACGGGGCTTGTCAGCCCCATCCCAGAAGCAGAATGTAAAATCGCTGCTGTGCAGAGCGAATTAACCATGTTAAGGGGATGGGCGATGTTGTTTGATTGTTTACCAAGTAGGTGGTTTGTCAAGAGTGGGGGGCTTGCTGATGAAGGAATAGGTGTTTGTCTTACTGTGCCGTATGGATTTGTGGCGGATAAGTATGGGAGGAAGCCGGTTTTGATGCTCTCGCTTCTTGGACTTTTCGCGAGTATGGTGTGGATTTTTGTTGTTTGTGAGTGCATTTTTTGGTCTTGGGTAGGTCTCAGCTAACTCTTGAGTTCAGGCAGTTTTCCAGACGTCTTTCCGATAAAGTGTACCTGGTTTTCATCTTTATTCTTGATAATAGGCGGCGGTGGTGGTGTCGCCCAATCCTCGATATTTACATTTATTGCAGATGTGGTTGATGAAACTCACCGGTAGCTTTAAAATCCCTGAAGACGACTTTAATAGCTGATTGAAAAAACAGAACCCCGATATTCTTCGGCGCTTATGCTTTAATTTTGATAACTCAGATGGTTTCGATACCTCTGGGTTCTGTGTTAATGGAGAAAGATCTGTGGCTGCCAATGTACCTCTCCTTAGGTCTACTAGGGCTATCAGTTCTCGTAATTATTCCGATGCCAGAGACATTGAATCGGGATGTCGAATCAACCGAGTCCTCTTCACTGACTAACCACGACGAGGAAGAATCTTCCAAACCAGGAAACGTCTTCACACAAATTCTTGAGACTAGTCGCGACACACTTTACGGCTTCAAATCCCTCTTCACGTCCACAATGATAACCGTACTGGTCTTCACATTCCTCGTCAACGGTCTGACGACTAGTTCCGCAAATTTGTACCTACAATATGCATCACGCAGATACCATTGGACAATTGCGGAGGTAATCCATCCTTTCTCCTGGTATCACATCCCACTAACACGTGTTCCACAGGCAGGTTTTCTCCTCCCGTTACGCTCAGGAGTCCAGCTCGCCATGCTTCTACTAATCTTGCCATATATCTCGCATCTCCTCGTCAAATACGGTCATTTCAGTATCAATAAAAAGGATTTGTACATTGCACGTGTCAGTGTCGTCTCGCTCATGCTAGGATGTATCGGTATTGGACTATCCCCCACACCTGTAGTCATGGCTTTCTGTGAGTACCCCGGAGTGTAACTCCCTCGACCACCGCTAATAAATACAGTTCTCGTGATTTACTCACTAGGCTTCGGGTTTCCCGTCGCTGTAAGAAGTCTAGCGACATCGCTAGTAGAACCGCATCACATTGCACGATTATATGCCGCAATAGCCACATTAGACAATATCGGCGGCATGATCTCAGGTCCTATGTTGTCTATGCTGTATAGCCGCGGACTGAGTCTGGACGGGGCTTGGGTTGGATTGCCCTTTCTGGCATCTGGTGTGGCGTATGCGCTCGTAGGTGTTCCATTGTGGGTAACGAGGTTGCGGTCCCACAGATGCCCTTGAGTTGGAATACTCGCCTGGTCGCGAGTAGAAGAAATAATTGAATACAAGAAATAGAAAGGTGGGACGAGATACAGGATGTTCAAAGCTTAGATTTAGATGAGCTATAGCGTTGCCCGCTTAGAATAATATATACGAACACCTAAACTCCTATTTACCCAACCCAGCCATGTTCACAAATCATGATGTTTCTCCTCCTCCAAAACCACAACCTTTCGTACCACCGTGACATCCAACCCATCCCTCACCGCATCCGCCTCCTCTTCATGATAACTCACAAACCCACACTCAACCGGCACCCGTCCCACAACCTCATAGAAAGTCCACGTCGCCTTAACAAACACCTGCCCAACCCTCGCCTGCACATCCACCATCCCAATCCCAAAATCCATGCCAATCTCACTCCTACTCTCCGCAGCCGCAACCGCCGTGCGTCCAAGCATATCCACCAACTCCAACCACCCCTCTTTCGCGATCGCACCTTCGAGGCGGAATTCCAAAGCGGCGCGGAACTCCCTGTCGCCGCGCGCGAAGCCGACGAGTTCGACCTCGTCGAGACTGGGAACGAAGTCTGTTGCTGCGGTGGCGATGGGACCGTTAGGATGGTCTTGCAGGAGGTTGAATGAGAGTTCGTCGATTAGGGAGTGGACTTCGCCGGAGAGGGGTTGACAGGTGGCGGGAGAGAATGAGAATCGTAATAGGTGGACGTTTCCATCTTTGGTTTTCATTGTTATTTCGCCGTGGGGCGGTTCTGGTCTGTTTGGTACGTCTTGTGAAGGAGGTGCATTTTCATTCGGTTGAAGGAAGGACTGCGAGTTGCGGTGCGAGGGACCAGTTTGGCCATTGTGTTTTCGTCTTGGCTTTGGTTGGTGATGTTCTTCTTGATAAAGATGTTTTAATTTCGCTACGATTGGTAAAGGCTCGTCATCTAGGATGTAGTCCAGCTTAACATCGAGTATTTCGGTCTCGGGTGCGTCTGTTGGTGTGTCGGCTGCATAGACGGCCTTGAGGAGAAAGAAAGGAACAGCCAACAATGAACCCCGCATCGTGAAATCTTAATGATATGGAGTTTGTAAGGAGTTATGATCTGAATGAAATACTGGGATATAACGCCGGAAGGAAACGCAACTATAAACTCCAAAAAGAAAATGAAAGGTATAATTTTACTGCAAGCAATGGATTGGAGAATAAAGAATCAGTTCGACAGAGACTTGAGCTCTTCATATTGGGTTCCCAGGAATACCAAAATACAATGTTGTTTCGTTTCGATAATCCTTCTCAGCCATGATCCTTCCCGGATTTGGTCTATCACCACTGCGCCCTCGTACCATCAAGGGTTCCCCCTATTTTCACGTGGTCACAAGGCTAAGCGAGTCCTGTAGCTCCAATGTTTCAAGCGCTGTGGCGCTGCAACGACGTGAAACATCCTGCTTATGGGAGAGCGGAATCGCATGCTTACACTTCTGGGCTTGGAAGCTCGCATTTTCAAACAAATCACTGAATCCAATAAATTGTTCAGCATGTTTCTGTATTTCAAGCTGCAGCTGCAGAAAGCTCAGCTATCCTCCGTTCGATTTCTGGTACCTGTCTGAGCTGAAGGTCTATCTCTTCCTTTTCATCCTCTAATGTAAGTCGCTTGTCAGCGTCCAGTTTTGTAAATATGTATTTCCCTTGTCCATCGAACTGTAGGATCATGCTATGGTACTTCCACAAACTGCGCCGGTGACTAACGGTCATGAGGGTAATGTTAAGCGCTTTCGCGTGATCGTACATGATCTTTTCCATTTCGAGAGTCACACTTGACGTACATTCGTCGAGAATGGCGTACTTCGGACGGTTATAGAATAATCGAGCCATCGCGACTCGTTGCTGAAGACCGCCGGAAAGAACATCTCGCCATTCTGCTTCTGCATCCCAACCCTCGGGGAACGATTTAACAAGGTGATCAAGATCAAGGATTGATAGAATCTCGAGTAGATCTGCATCTGTTATGCCTTTACTGCGCATCGTGCGAAGAGAATCAGGATAAATAATTTGCTGTCTTAACGATCCAGAGCTGAGGTATGGTCGCTGTGGCACGTAAAAGACTTGCGATAGCGAGGGCTTTCGAACAGTGCCTCCGTATACGGGCCAAAGTCCACCTAATATTCGGAAGAGCGACGATTTGCCGCAACCATTCGGGCCAACGACGAGAACGTGATCGCCTCGCTTCATTGAAAAGGATAATTCCTTGACAAGAATGCTGCCACCTGGTGTGACGATAGGACTGTATATCTTAGTAAAAATTTCTCTTAAAAATGCCCTAGCACTTACACATTGATGAATTCGATATCTTCACTCTCAATGACCTTCCCACGGCCACTCATCACCTCAAGTTGCTCGCCTGATTCGTCGTCTTGAACAAGCGTTTTCTGGAATCGGCCGGCTTTGATGTCGTCCATGACATCTAAAAGAGTTGCTACTCGCGACGTGTATCCTGCCAACTCTGTGATCTCTTTGTAAGAGAACATTACGCGTCCGAATGCATCAGAGCTAGAAAGAAGCATTCTTCGATTCGTGACGAAACTCTCTGTTCTATCTCCCATGGTCGCTGCCGATGCTCCTGGGATCTTGAAGAATACGGGAACACTACACAGAATCAGTCCCATTGCGCCCCAGACATACTTTATAATGAAATCCTGAGCACATTAGCAATTTCCTCGTTCAATTTGACCTTCAGAACATACCTCCATAATCCCATGGGTAAAACGTCGGCGCAATATATCTGAGGCGGTCAGTGCCACTTCGAAAAGTAATTGGAGGATGAGAGCTCACAATTGACATGTTTAATAAGAGTGAAATATCCCTTGTCTAAAGTATCTTTCTCGGCTTCATGGCCATGATAGAGTGCTATCTCTTCGCTGTAATCTATCACCCTAGAGTGTTCAAACCGGAACTCTCCCTCTAATCGTGCTTCGTCCGCGACGTATTTGCCGAACGGCGGTGTCAGGGCGCGCATGACGCTTGCTGATAATTGTACAAGTAATGACATGAAGAAAAGTCCTAAACATATGAGCGTGTATTCTCCAGTTCACTAATCCAAGACTTACCTTCTCCACCAACACTTTTTGATAGCGAGTAGTTATAGATCAACATGTCAAGCGTGGGCTTCGCTAAATTCCCATATAATTCCGCCAAACTGTTCGCAAATTTGGAAACATCCACGGTAATCAACTGGTCTGCGTTCTTTATTCGATCGTCCAGCGCCGATAAAGAGTAGAACGTCATATTCGACAGATACTTCTCGTGTATGTAATTCGTCAATCGCGTCCGGTATTGGAGGGAGAGTTTGCATTGATGGTAGGACAACTAGCGCCTACATTAGCAGATATCTTTTGCAACCTCCAAACTTAAGCATACCATTGAGTTCGTGAAAGTAGCCGGGATAGCAATTAGCATCCACCAAACAATTCCAACCAAAAAGTCTCTCCCCTTTCCCCTTACAAGACTTGAGACCAATGCGCCATCCATCGCAGCCACCTTCAAGCTTATTAACGTCCTTATAACCAGGAATATGCTATGCGTAACCAGCAGCCTTAACTCCTTACTCCTCCATCCAGGTATACATATTCTCAATAGCCGGAATAGATTCTTGAAGAACTCCCGGTTGAGCTCAACCTTCTGCCTCTTCGGTGCATCGCCTTTCCCCAAAGTAGTCGCCGCTCGACTCCTCACTGCCCTCTGCCTCTCCGCTGCAGCTTTCTGTTCTGAGATTGCGGATCGTATACGATTGAGGAGCGCGAAGAAGAGGGTGAGGTAGACTGTTCGGGAGATGTTCGTTCGGTGCTTGAGATACAGGCTGGTGAGGTCCGATACGATGCCTTTGATCGTTCGATCAGGAGGCAATAACCTCAATTTCGACTGTGCTGCCATCGTGTGTGCGATTTATGAAAGATCTCTAATGTTTGCAGAGTCCGGGGAAGGACTAGGTGGCGGTCGCGGCGATGCAATAGTTGGAACGCGACATGAGTATCGTTATCTGGTGCCCATCATATAGACCGAATGATTCCGAGGTTGTATTCAACTTCTAGTTGCGATGACGGTCAAGAATGTTTCTGGTGTTGTGTCCTTGTCGTCCTGTTCTGCTGGTCACATTCATTGATTTCGATGTTTCCCCAGATTCCCACCTCCTCGGTACATTGTTGCGACAGGGATAGCTTTCACATGGCAATCCTCAACTTTGGACTAGCACACGTGCAGAAAGCTGCAACTCTCCAACAATCCAATATGATTAATTTAGCTTTAGCAAATATAATGTTGATTAAAGGTACTATGCTGAGAAGAATAAGACATAGTTCTAAGACAGCGGCACCTCAGAAACGTGCTGTTGCAGTCACGTGATAATAATTCCGACGTGCAATAACCACCCCCCCCTTTTCTTCCATAAATGCTCACATGGAGAGCGAAACAACACAAGACTAGCATGAAACAGAAAACCTTCGATATGAATAATAAAAGAGATGAGCGGGTATCACTAAGGAAGCTCTTAAGCTCAAAATTAGCACGTCCCTCGATACCACCTGAACCTTATACCGTTGCTTCTTCCTACAATTCACTACACCCACACATTCATCTCGTTTTCCACCAAACATTGCCCACATTCACCAACGTATTAATATATATATTCAATTTCGCAAATTTGTTTTGACCAACCACCGCCCAGTGATCGCCGTCGAACCTAGCCTTCGGGACAGGAGTAGATGTGGTAGGGGAGGATAATGGTTGAGGTAAAGTATTTTTTGACTTTTTTGTCAGATCGTAATTCTGGTGAGAAGGTTGGGGATCTAAGTGTCTGTTCCTTGGGGGATTTTTTTGATCCTGATTCTTGTCTTTTGAGTGAGATTGTAAATTCACTCCCCCAAAGAGTGAAAGCTGCTTCAAAAGCCGCTTCGCTTCGTCAAGCTTGGAACGTCTACAGCAGGTTTCAGTTAATAATTTTAGAAGGGGGTAAACTTTCTGCAGATACGACAGAGTTCACGTGTGTTTCCCATCTTTACCTCCAACCCCATACACGTGAGTCATTAGTGGGATGCAGGAATGGGAACTGTGGGATGTCACTATCCAGAGCTGACCGGTACTGCCCAGTAAATCCTTACGTCGGCAACGAAGAAATCTGTGTGGTTTGCAGAAGAAGAGACTTACGCGTGAAAGATCAGGAGGAAATGACCATCCAAAAAAAGCGTCCTTCAAATAACAAATGTTTGCGATTTCATGAACGTCAAATGCGTTCGCTTAACCCACCAAAACATACGCGTCTTACTGGGAGCAACTATGTCTCTGTGGGCCCAAATCTGAGGTTCTGAGAATAAGAATACTGCGGTGAAGGAACTTTTGTTTTTATATTGTTGGACGTGTCATGCTTTGGTGTTTTCAGCAAACTTTTACTTGTATCACATCACGAGCATCGAGATTCTAACCGTGATGACTGATCACATCAGTAACATCATTTCCGCAAGCCTTCGGACCAGCAACTACCTTAAGTAAACAGCCAAGCAAATTCCCAATTTATTGATACTAAATTGCAAGAAAACAGGGCGAGTTATGAAAGCTACTATCGTTGCCAAGACTCCAAATCAACATCTAGGCATGGAAGCAAGTAGCCGAAGAAGCTTATGCAAACAGCAAATGGTAAACTCCTGACACAAAACAATTTCATAATCGATACATCAGCAGTAATTAGCCTGCTATTCTCTACGATACAAGCAAACAACTTGTTCATCTTGAAGTGACTAGAATCTCCAACCCTTCGGATAACAGAGCTTATCTCAAATCTTTTCTCAAACATACTCCCATAGTCGCTCAACTCGAGCCCGAAAATACAATCTTTATTGAATCTTATGCCTCCATCTGCGCCTGACGAGGTCTACTGTTGAAGTCATGTCTCGAAGTAAACATTTGTCACGTGATAGGTCATTGCTAGATGACTGTCGTTGTGAATTGAGATCGACTGGAAGATACTTCTGCATTTATTATTGGACATTTTATGTTGTGAGATTTTGAGTATTTTCTCGCACTCTTATTTCTAAAGTCATGATCATCTTAATTTCCCCTATTCTTCGCACATGAACCTCATAAGAGCCAGTGATACACAATCAGGTACTAAGTTATATACCAAGAGCCTTCCCTACTTAGGACTCGTCCCAACAATGTCCTCATTCGAAATCCCATAAAATTCAAGGTAATTAACAACACGCCATAGATCGCGATCAGTAATTTGCTGTCCTCGACTCGAGGGTCTCGACTCAACTACGACAAATGGTAATTGAGTAGTAACCGCGCGAAATCGTCATGTTTACCAGAAAACGCTGGTGACGAAGGTATATCCAAAGGTTCGAAAGGCTGGTAGGCGCACCAAATTAATTAAAAATATGAAGGCACCAAGCCGGATGGCCTTTGGTAGTTAACAAGGTAAACCCCTCCAAAGGTGCAAGTCCAGATTCAAAGCGAAAATCGCAACTTCAATCGCTTTTGCAGCATCTAGATTCGAATCAAGTTTCTTTCCAGGTCGCAAATAACATTTCCTAAGTCATCCAATCCTCATCCCAACTCAACACAGTGGGCCAAACTTTCCTGGTGGGCACACACCCACATCGTCCGTCGCTTAACAAAGTACGACCGAAACTACTGTACTCCGAACCCTCACCCAACACACCTTGCCACCCACAAAAATCCAACTGACGATCTGGGGTTTCGCGTTCCCCAGATTCGCATATATGGGTTTGGTACAGAAATGAGGGTCTGTGGAGAATCAAGGGATCTGATTCTGGACGACATGTCGTGGGATCGGAAATTCGCAGCGACCGGGACGATCGGGCGAACACGACATGATGTAGTGGAATGCCATATGTTGTGACGACCAGAAGTATCGATTCCCAAAAAGTTTGTTTCGGGAGGTTGGCCTGGTTGTAACTTGGAAATCGATGTATCAGAAAAAAAAGAAAGGGAATAGGAGGTTAGGATGTGATGTGAAGTTATGAAAACTTGATTCTTTTCATTCTAATATGCTGTGTCCATCACTCGTCAGCTCATCAAGCTTGCTTTTTTCGTCGTGCCCCCTATGCCTATGTACAATCAAATGCAAATCATGCCCCAAAATCAATCCCCTTGGTATACCACAACAATCTCAGATGTAAAACTCCGGACCCCTAATTCTGCAATTGTCGTTCATTTCGTTTTCGTGTGCTTAGATAGTGTTTGCGATCTATGCAAGGTGGTTTGGCTCCTGTTGGCGGTTGGGTCTAATCAATCGCTTGAGACCCATCCATGGAGTGTTGATAGGTGACGCTCCAGTGAAGATGAAAACATCGTACAAGAACCCTCCGAACATGCATCCGAAGAAAGGCGCGACCATGGGGATCCAGAAGTAATATCCTCCAGCAGACCAGACCTCGTTGCCGTAACCGAGAGCATACGACATGAGACGAGGCCCAAAGTCACGAGCCAAGTTGATTGCGTATCCAGTCTCCCATCCAAAGCACGCACCGATACCGAAGATGACGAAGAAAAGACCGAGTGGGGTGAGGTTGCCAGCTCCCAAGTTTCCGTTGTCTTGGAGAGCGTAGATGCAGAACATCAAGATGGTTGAGGCGATGAATTCGGAGAAGAACATGCCGGTGCGGGTCATGAATTCAGCTGGGTATGTGCAGAAGATACCGGCGGTGGAGTTTTCTTGTCCGACTGTTCGGATGCCATAACCTTCGTATTGATCGATAGCGGATTTGTAGTTGGCGTAGACGATACCCGAGGCGATGAATGCTCCGAGAACTTGAGCGACCAAGTACTCTGGGAATTTGCGCCATGGGAATTTACGGAAGACACTGTAAAGGAGTTAGATGTTGACTTCGTATATATTCGTGGCTATGGGAACTTACCAATTGGCGAATGTGACAGCTGGATTCAAATGGGCTCCAGACACACCACTGGCATAGACACCCAACATGACACCAATACCCCAACCCCATGATATAGATTGGTAGGCTCCGTTCGCATTTCTAGAGAGGACAACTTGAGCGACGACACTAGAGACTAGTTAGCTAAGTTCATTTGATGTGAACAGAATTGAGACTTACCCGTCACCAAAAAGGATGAGAATGAAAACACCAAAGAACTCAGCGAAGGGATCTCTCATAGCTCGTCTAATTTTGCTCCAAGCTAGATCGGGTGCAGCGGGAATGACATCGTCTTGTGGAATCTTGTGGTCAATACCCGGGCCATGCTCAGCGTACGGCGACGCGAGTGGCTGCTCATGATCACTTAGATCCTCTCCTTTGTTCACTTCGTGTATATCTTCCTCGTGGGATATAGCAGGCGAAGGATAACTATGAATAGCTTTGCTTTCCGCCATTGTGAAGATAATTGGGACTTGTAAGGACACTTGACGATGTTAGACTTGAGGCGGATAAAGGATGAGAAAGATTGAATCGATGCTGGAGATTGATGAGTGTACGAGGGGTGTGCTTATTTCTATACTTTTTCAACAAGGTTGGGATGCAGAGGTCCGTCACTTGGCCGCCACCTGGGATGGTAACTTACCTCCGCTGTCAAAAGTAATGACTGCGGTGACCGGTGGTCATACTCGACCCGCAGTGAAGACTTCACTATCTAAGAGAGGTTAGATGGGTACTTTGCCTCGTCTGGAATCAGGATTTTAGATCTCACAGCTTTTCATGACTAGAAAACCCATAAAGCTTGTCAGACCATACCGCAGAATGCTAAGAAAGTAGGGGGCTGTCTGAGCCGTTTCGTATAGCCGCAGTTTTGGAGCATCCAGACTGTCCGAATGGTGTTGGTCAATTTCCATATTTTCATCGTTCGGCACGGGATTGTGAACGAAGAGCATACGCAGAGCATGCTTCAGCTAGTCCGTAATAGAATTATCGTAGACCAAAAGCATATGATTAGCGTTGCACAATCGTTGAGGTCCCGCTAAACAACAGCGGAATCTATCCATGCTGTGGCATACTGCAGTCGCCGCGGTTAGTAGACCGCGGATACTTTCCAAGTTTGGTAACTCTTGTCCTCGCAGTAACGACGCTGTATTAATAATACAGAGCAGCATACGAGAGCAGATAATGGAAAAGATGACGATATGAAAACGCTGTGTGACTTGTCAAAATTCATATGAAAAGCTTATTATCTTAATGTGTTGTGCCCTCTGATAGATGCTATGAAACGGTCTTTCCAGCCCAAATTATCTCATTTCAAGCCAGTATATTTCTCACGCCGAGCAACAGATACTCTCCGGACGCTCGGCCAGAGTCTTTGCCCGGTGATCGTGTGGTACGAGATAGGGCGACGTCCGTGCCACTTGTCACAAGCATCAGCATACCTCTAAGATCAAGACTTCAAGAAAGCCAGTCGGGTGGCGGGAGCAACGCTAATGCAATTGAGACGTCCAGAACATGTGGGAGCCATTCACATTGGTTGAGAGACAGCAGCTTCCACGAAGCACTAACCAAGACGCACTGCCAATTCGCCAAACATTCGAGGTGATGCGTGCTAATCCTCTCTCGTACCTTGATCTCGATCACTAAACCGAACAGTCTCTTTCTTGTGAGATTGATCAATCTAGTTGAATACCATATGCTAGGCACCGCACATATGTTGCTCCCGTACGGACTCGGCTCCCAAGGCCTCATCATATGAGTTACCCGAGGCAAGCAAACGGCTACTAGCCTCTGCAGCAAGTACCCGAACCCTTGCCCAAGAGAAGTGGTGTAACAACGATGATGAGTGACTTTTGAGCCAACAGAACGCATGCGGGCAAGATAGGCGTTGTGACCTGGATCCGCAAAACCCATGAGGGAATGCCCTACGCATGTGGACGAGACATCACGGTTTCCCCGCTCCCCAGAACTAGTAAGACGGAGTTGACGAACTCGACCAAGCTTGTGCGTAACCATGGAGGCGAGCCAGGAGGCGTAGCAAGAGACTAAATCAAAAGAGGTACAGTAGCATCTCCGCAACTAAGAATTGTGCATGGTAGGCAGCAGTAACAGCAATTAAATGTGCAGATTTCAGGAAAGGATATTAACGGTCAGAAATGTTGGTTGAAAATCCTTTCACACCTCTCCGGACCAGCCGGTTGAGGCCAAGGTTCAGCTAAAACAGAGCGCAAGCAAGCAAAGAAACATAACATATGCTGCAATACCACCTTGTCATGCAATTCAACCAGATACACTCGCGCAAATGACTTCATTTCCATGGGTTGGAAGTCGTGGTCGTGGTTGAGGGGTCGTGGCCATGGTGTTTGTTCGGCATTGAAGGAGTGATGTTGATGAACGAAGCGAGAGGGGAAGGGGCTAGCGGCTTAAGCGAGGGAGAGCTAAGCGAGAATGGGAAATGGCGCCCACTTTGTGTGTCTTCAGGCGATCATCAATGTAACCATGGCGTGCATCTGGTCTTGGATGAGCTCGGGGGGCGTTTGTTTGGCACGATCTCCCGCGCGCCACCACCTCGAGTTCTCCTTCTCGACTATTAGACGCCTACAGCAGCTACCAAGGTACTTCCTGGCTGCGATTCGAAGAGACAATTAAAAACCCACTGTCTACCACAGTTCATTGGTTAGTCTGCTCGCGTAAGCACTCGCCTTTTCTGATGTCTCATCTACCGTTTTCACTCTTTCCGTTCCTGGTAACGCCTTGAGAACAGTGAGCCACTACTAACCGTGCCATTAGGATATGATGGGTTGATCGGGCAAAGCTGGGCAGGCCGGGGCCCCTAGTAAATCTCCGCCGTAAGCTAAAACGACAGCATCAAGTCATTGGTCAAGAATAGAGCGGTGTTCCTACCGAAACAGGTTGTTCGTTGAAATCTTACGATATCTCTTAGACCGATCCGACAGAGTGGGCGAGCTTCTTGGTATCGTCTTCTAGAACGAACCTACATCCAATTGACGAGTCACCATTGCCAACTTACTTTCAATGGAATGCAAGACAGCTGAAGAGAGTTAAGGTATAGATGCAAGCTCTAGAACGTTATGAAAGTTGCAGTTAATAGTACGTCGTGAGGAATTCTCACGAGAGTAACTCGTCGATTACAGCAGAAACAATGCAACAGACACTTGGCCCGTATTCGCTCGATCAACCCTGCCACACACAGTAGAACCCCTCAGTCCCCTCAGTCTCCTCAGTATTTTTCTGGCGCCCCGCACTCCAGAAATGCGTGACGGCCATGGTGGCACTATTTTATGTGGAAAGTTCATCCCTTGTGGAGACACCCCAGCCGCGCATCCCCATCAGCGCTAGCTTTACCGACCACTTCTCTTCGAAGATATCTCAAGAAAATCTGACGGATCACCTCCAAGTCTGGCCAAGGTCGAGATTCCCAGAATCCCCAAGTCCCAATTGATAGCTTACGCCATGCTCCACCTTAAGCGGTCTACAGTTGCCCTCGATGGGCTGCTACTGTCTCGGACTCGGTCCAGTGATAACCGGAAGTCGCAGCCAATATCTCTGTCCTGTCGCCGAGAGTCCGAGATACTGCTCGTGATACCTCTTGGACACGGAAACGCCAGTTCCCAACCAAGGAATTATTCTGGAACGCCTAGAATCTGTACCCACTAGCACTATAACATGCAGGAGAACAGCAACGCCTCCTCCGGCCATCCCACTCATCTCACGACAAGACGCTGAGTACGTTTTGGGAAACATACGGATCACACGCAGTTCCCATTCATATTGGATTGCGGGGTTAGTTTTTCCGGGTCTAGAAGTTTTCTCTCATTCATAAACTTGAGGCTCAGCAGTCTGTTCAGTCAATCAATGGCATCTCGTCTTTCTACAATCACTTCGCAATTCAGTAATCTAGTCACAATGGGAGATAACACACCAGCACCACTCGCTCAGGAAGAGTCCTTTGTTGGATCAATTGATCAAGGTACTACCAGTACCCGATTTTTGATCTTCAACAAAGATGGAGAGCCAGTTGCTTCTCATCAGATAGAGTTCAAGCAGTTCTATCCTCAGCCAGGGTGAGTACCAAATCTTTCCTACTTGGGATTTTTCTTTAGAGGTCTGTACTAACCAATGGCAGATGGCACGAACACGATCCTACGGAGATCATTGAGTCCGTTAACCAGTGTATTGAAGGTGCCGTTAAAGCTTTCGAGCAGCAAGGACACTCTGCTAGATCCATCAAGGCAGTCGGAATCACCAACCAGCGAGAAACCACAGTTGTCTGGGACAAGCAGACTGGTGAGCCATTATACAATGCCATCGTCTGGACCGACACAAGACATCAGAATCTGGTCAGAAAACTGAAGGCGCGTCTTGGCGCAGAGCAGCTCCAAGCTCTGTGTGGTCTGCCGCTATCTACATACCCATCCGTTGGAAAACTGCTTTGGATGATTGAGAATGTCAAGGAAGTTTCGGCTGCCTATGAAGCAGGAAACCTTTGCTTCGGTACGGTTGATGCTTGGCTTGTATACAAGCTCAATGGCGGACCAAAGAAGAACATCTTCGTCTCGGATCCATCCAACGCCTCAAGAACTATGTTCATGAACATCCACACCTTGAAGTATGACGAGTCACTCCTCGATTTCTTCCGCTTCGACATGAACAAATTGAACCTCCCAGAAATTGTCCGCTCTTCTCACCCAACCGCATACGGCAAATTGACCACCGGTATCCTCAGCGGTGTCTCCATCGCAGGATGTCTAGGTGATCAATCAGCTGCTCTCGTAGGCCAAAAAGGTTTCTCCCCCGGTCGAGCCAAGAACACCTACGGAACCGGTTGTTTCCTCCTCTACAACGTCGGCGACAAGCCCGTAATTTCCACCAACGGTCTCCTCACCACCGTCGCCTACGACTTCGACGGCAAGCCCCAATACGCCCTCGAAGGCAGCATCGCCGTCGCCGGCTCCAGCATCAAATTCCTACAAAACAACTTCGGCTTCATCGAGGGATCCAGCCAGATCAGCACCCTCGCGGCCACCGTCCCAGATAACGGGGGTGTCACGTTCGTGACCGCCTTTTCAGGTCTGTTCGCGCCATACTGGATGGACGATGCGCGTGGAACCATCTTCGGTATCACTGCATACACTCAAAAGGGTCACGTTGCACGTGCCACACTTGAGGCGACCTGTTTCCAGACGAAAGCAATTTTGGACTCTATGCAAAAGGATTCTGGACATGCGCTTGCTGAGCTTGCTGTTGATGGTGGAATGACAAACTCGGATCTTTGCATGCAGGTTAGTATTCCCGTCCCTTCCCTATGTAAACCACAGTGCTAACACGATATTTCTAGACACAAGCTGATCTCATCGGCATCCCCGTCGAGCGTCCCCGTATGCTCGAGACCACCGCCCTCGGTGCCGCCATCGCAGCCGGTTTTGCCGTCGGTGTGTGGGAGACATTCGATGAGCTCAAGAACGTGAACACTACTGGTGTCACCACTTTCACCCCTAAGATCGACGCTGATGAGCGAAACAAGAAGTTCGCTAGATGGGAGAAGGCTGTTAAGATGTGCAAGGGCTGGGCTGAGGATTAGAGTCATGACTCTATAAGTGAGTGCATTATTGGAGTTTGGACGGCGAAAGGGTGATTTGTACTATACCTTTTCTTTTGATCGGGATCATGGGTTTGTAACCTAGGAATGAAAATCCCAGCGTGAATTCAAAGTTGTGATTAAAAATATCTTTACATATCTTAAACATTCAACATTTTGTTCTTAAGTATCCCCTTTCTTTCCCCGCTCTCGTATCTTACACCCTTGCCTCCGTTTTTTGAACGTCTCCTTCCACAACTCGAAATCATCTTACACCCCCTCGGCACCGTCCATACGCCTAATAAAAACAAATTCGGCACCACCCCGCTCAACCCCAAACCCGTCGCTAATCGTACATCCACGCCCCGTTCCCAACTACTAAAGAAATCAACGCCATAACTCCCAACCGCCAACCCTCCAAACACAATCCAAAGCAGCACCTTCGAGACCAGCCCACGCCGCAGCGCGATCGATAAGTTACTCATACAGATAATTGCCGTGACGAACGCGGAAACGAAAAAGGAGGGTACGGAAATCGGATTCTCGCCCGCGTGAACGAGAGAAGGAAGGAAAAGTCGTGGACTCGAATTCGTGGAGAGGACGATGGGGAGAACCCAGAATGTAAAGCCGTAGTAGGTGAGGAATGCGAGAGGTGTAAAGAAGTGTGAGTTTCGGAGGGTGTGGGTGGAGCGGAGGAGGAGACGGAGGGTTGAAGGGAGGGTGTAGGTGGTGAAGAGGGTTAGGGGTGGGAGGATGAGGAGGAGGGTTAGGAAGAGTGGGAAGGGGAAAATGTATGTTGGTGAGTGATTGAATGATTGCTGGAGTGTTTGGTTTGTGAGGTTGGAGATAGCTGGGTGGACTGCCGAAGGTGTTTGTGTTGGGAGTGATGTTTGGCGATTTAAAAGGGGCGGAAGCTCAGTTCCAGTTCCAGTCTCGGAAATCGACGTGAACAACGAACTTGGATTCGTGATATTCATCGCCATGATACCCTACTTCAATTAGCACACCCTCTAAAACACCACAAAATGAACTCACAAGAACCAAACTAACAGGCACCCATCCCACCAAAACCCAACTCACCAAACTAACCTGCTGGCACTGCACCAACATCCTTCCCTCCTTCATCAACACACTTTCCCCTCTGATACGCTCCCTTAGTCCCTCTTCAAGCTGCTCAATCAGAAACTCCACATCAACAATCTTCTCTTTCAGGAACTCCGCGACGATACTCGGTGCCGCGTTATTCTCCCTGGCTCGTTGACGGGCTACAACAACATTCTGAAGCGATCGAATCACGGCGTGAACGTGATTCAACGACGCAATCGCAGATTCCCTCGACGTATCGAGGTGTGCGAGATGTGAGATCAGCGCGATAGAAGAGTTGGCTTTCGAGAGATACGACTATTTAAATCAGCTCACATCCCAGCACAAAACATTAAAACTTACAAGTCTCAAAACCTCCTCCCCGATCTCCCCCACAAATCGCGCCGAATCCCTTACCACAATTTCCAGTAGCGCGAAGAGAGGTAGGAGATTATACCCCTCACTGCTCGGATTACTCTGCAGCAACAGCATAAACGGCCATACATCCGGATCATCAGGTCTCCTCGTCCTCAACAAATTTTTCAAATCCCCCACCAAACTCGCAGTCTCATCGCCGTTATTCACCGTCATAAGCACCCGGCGTGCTCCAGGGGAAGCGCGATCATCCTGATAAAACACCTCCCCCCAACACCCCCTCGGCGGTCTCGTCCATTCCTGCCACGTAAACGCCTCAAGCCCACCGCGATACCGTGGCGCTGAACGGTGCCAGGTGAAACTGAACGACGCGGTGCACCGGTCGAAAATCCGAGAGCATTGTATGAGTTGTGCTTTCGCTGTTGAAGACGACTCATCACGACCTTGCGAAGGAAGTGCAATCGCAACCCTTGACCTCGATTTCTGCTCGCCAACTTGAGAACTCCTACACCCACACACGACACCATGGCCCAAAACCCGGTCCCTCATCTCTAGCGTCGAAAGACGCTCTACCTCCCCAATCCCCTCAGGCCTCTCCAAACTCCTACAAGCACATTCACTCAACCCACCCCACGCATTCTCAACTTCCATGCCAATCGCAAACCTAGGAAACTCCAACACACCGTTGAGTCGACCGATAGACGCGGCGAGCCATTGTGCTAGGAGGGAGAGCACAGATTTCGGGAGGGGGTTTGTGTTTATGATACTATACACCCAAGTCAATATCCGATTTCACTCATAAAGAAAAGCCGGGAGAAAGGTAAATACATACCATAATTTCAAATAACTCCCACCATCACCACCCTCTTTCAAAGCTCCCCTCAACCCCCTCAAACACCCCGCAAAAGCATCGCCCTCCCTAAACCGAAACCCCGTGGACGATCTACCAGCGAAGTTCTGGTACCAAAACAGATTTTCCCCCAGATGCGGGCTGTGTTTCGTGTGCAGGTGATTGAAATCATGTTCGAGATTTGGGATGGATTTGCGTAGTTTACCTTGGGATCGCGGTGGTGATGGGAGTGTAGTTTTCTTGGGAGGTCGAGCGGCTTCGATATCGTTGCGTGGATGGGATTGTTGGGAGAGCGATGATAACATTGAGGTGATGGAGTGGATTTTATAACATGTGTGGTTTTTGGGGGAGTTTACGCTTTCAAAGCTGATTGAAGTCGGGAAAGATATATTAAAATAACATGAAACATACAAGAAAAGAAATAATCGTACAAATAACTCATACCATCAAATCCTAAGAACCAAAACAAAAAATCTCAAACCCACCTCCAACCCCCCAACCCCCCAAACCCCCCCATCATCCTTATACCTCCCCTCTCCCCTCTCCCCTCTCGTACCACCAACCTTCACCAAAAGAACCATCGCACACATCCAAATCCAACCCTCCTCGCGCGTCTACCATCTTTTCTTAGCCCCCTCTCCCACCGAATCTTCGCTTCCTCGACCAAAATGTTGGTGTCGACCCTTTAAGCGCTCAGCCCTACCTAAATCCATCAACTCGCTTCGCGAAAAATAGCTTTACCGCAGAGCTCAGCCCCCAAAAAAAGAAATCGGCCGCGCTGGATGCACGATGGGGGGCGTGACGAGAGCGGGACCCGAAAAGGGGATGAGGGGTGCGAAGCGAGACAAGGGGTGGAACAACTTTGAGAACTGGGGATGTTGAGGGACGCGTGTATGAGAAAGCTGGAATATGCAAATAATGATGTTTGATGGAGGATGTTGATATGTGCTTTTTGATGGTTAATGTGATAATCTATGTTTGATTGCGAAAAGTGGAAGTGAACACGTAGTCAGCAATTCTGGGAAATGCTGCATGCCAAACTGCGCCACGATATGGTTGCTTTGGCATTGGCTAGACCGTAGAGGTACTTTATCTGCAGCATTGATGCGATGCGGTTGATTGAGATTTGTGATTGAAGATGCCGTCATGATAACACGAAGGATTGTAGCATTGCTTCTCGAAAATTTTCTGTATATATCCATGTTTTGGTAGACATAAAACCTGACCCAATTTCGATTCTCGGTTAAGGTTAAAATATGCGACCACTGGCCGCATGATCGTAACCTACTATAAACCGAGATCATCTTTATCAATCTCCCAGAGACTCATCTGAGAACTCGTATGCCGGTTGTGCAGGTTCCGACAAGCCGTCTCACCACAGAACTCTTGTACCACGTTGAAAATGAAAAGCCATGTTCCAAATGCCGCAAGCGCTTAACACCGAGTATGACAGGCGCATGTCACGATCAAATACTTGCGGTCAACCTCCACATCCCAAAAGATGACGTTACAGACAAGAAATTTGAGCAAAGAGCGGGCGACATGGTCGATCGATGCAGAAGCTTCCCAATCTAGCAGAATCATATTTCAGCTGTTTCAATTCTGCATGTCCATTGGACCTTGTCCGGCTCTTTAGCTCTTATGGCTTTACGTACATATACGTCTAGACCTCTTAGGTCGGCCGTCACATAACTGTAATCTGGAAAGAGTCCCGCATGCTGCTAGTATGAGGCACACACCCGCCTATCGTGTTGTACCTTTGTACTCTGTACACCGTCTCTCGACACCATGCACGCGGCCGCTTGCATTGCTGCATCGAACCGCTCGCACATCCGGGCATCGAATGAATGACCGCAGAATCATCGAGCGTAATGTCTCGTTCAAGGTATTGCCAAATGATTTGGAAGGACCAGAATTTGATGACTTCCGCGATAGTGGAAAAGTAGGCTGTAGATCTTGGCAAGTTGTAGCAGCGAACAAGAAAAAAAAAGACGTCCAGAGCAAGGTTAAGCGATTAAATCTGCTGGAACCTGTAAAACATGATATTGTTGGACAAAAAAAGCAAGTAGTACAGTAAATTCTGAAATTGCGTAAAAAGTCTTGTGTACATTGGAATACGCGGAGCATACCGATAAAAGCAAAGGAAGTAAGGAGAATTACAATAAGAAATAGCTTTTTACAACCAACAAATATAATCAAAACAAGCAATCAAAGCAACTTTCGTGCCCCATATCGTAAATCGAAACACCAAAACGCCGGGTATACAAATCTTGTACCTTCTTGCCTTTGGCGGGTCGGACCCAAACCAACAAAACCAACATGTTGGTATCCCAGCACCAACTCCCGGAAGCTTAAATCAAATAAACAACAATGCAAGGATATATAGACCAATGCGATGGCCCATTTTTGGTTGAATTGTTCCGTCGTCCTAACTCAAGACTTCATTGTAAGGAATTTCGGTACTTCTCTCAATCCACTGTCCCGGTATCTTGGGTCCCAGTCGGCATCTGACCAACGTAACTTTCCTTTGCAAGTCAAGCTCCATCGAGTGGCCCCAAGCTCGGTTCGAATCTGAAATGTAGCCAAGCTCATTCTTGCCTTCCTCTTCAAGTGTCAAAATCCAAAATCCTACATTTCCAGCTGTCATGGAATCCCAAAATAACTCTTGACGGCGGGAAGAAAGTAAAAGTCTGATTGCTTGACGCCTGAGCGCTGCGTCGCGACACTTTCTTGCCACTAGAAACAGAGGTGCGATGATTCGACATTCAAATGCATATGTTTGATGACCTACTTGAAAAGTCAGTATCTAATTATGCTTCACGGTAACTACGAGCCTACCAGCGCTTGATTCGTAAATCCTTTCGTAGTCCACAACCTGCTGGCCCAAGGAAACGATGTATTGAAAATAAGGTAAAAACCGGTCGGCGCTGGACTCTGGTGTATTAAGCGCAAGACTGATCTCGACCGAATGATGAACCGCTTGTAATCTGACCGAGGACGGTCTGCGCAGCGGGTGATTATTGAGATCCTCGGGAGAATCTACTGTAACGGTTTCGAAGGCGGCAAAAAGAAGCTGCAATTGACGGAGGTGATATGATTGCATGTCTATCGTGGATTGTGCATCGGTAGATGGCCATGTGGCCTCATCTTGAAGAGACGACCGATACCAGAACATGCGTGCTTCCTGACAAACAATGTTGCTGTACTCCCGGGCCTCTTCCAGGTCCCTGAAGACACTTGGCACAGAGATAGACATATTCATATTCTGAGCCTCGAGGGCACGTCTGACTGCTGATCGATCCTCGCCAGCGCCCAAAGCAGTCAGAGCTTGCAAGTCAGATTGGAAAAACATGTGTAGCGTTACGTCGTTGGAATCGTTCCAGTTTGGAAACATGTTTGGGACCGTCGGTTCATGATAGGAAGGTCCAAACATGATTTGGCGAGCATACCGAATGTGTTGCGTCGAAAATCCCCCATTTCCAATAAAAGGTTCCAACCGTGCAAGAATCAAACACGAAAGAACGATGCTTCGGGTAGCTACGCCCGTACCCGAGCTACTGATAGCTTCTCGAAGGCCGCGAATTGACTTTTCATGTTGTTGAAGCGCAAATTCTCGATGGAGTTCTTCAGTTGGGTTTACTGAGTAATTACCGCTCGCAGTTCTTGTTGAATTCTTCATCAAAGCCCCTAATGCGACTAGAGCATGCCGAACACTGGAAGTGACGTGACTTTCCTGCACGGCAATGTTCTTCCAGAACATTGGCTCGGCACCGACTAACGATACCGGAGTTTCGTCAAGGAAAATCTGAAAATAATATCTTTCGTTAGGTTCCAGTTGAGAAGGAACCTGTAGATTCATGAGGGGCGTTCGTGCTAAACTAATCACGCTAGGCGAACGCGAACGAGACTCCCGCGACACTACGGAGATTGAAGATCGTGCTGAACGCGATGAGGATGCTCGAGGAAGGATTGGATGGAGGGAAGCACTGCTCATGCTTTGAGAAGCTTGAGAAGTGGAGGACTCAGTCAGATGCTCGTAACCGTCACAAGTCCAGCCGGATTTGGCACATCGAAGACATCCTGGATTTAACAAGTTAGAGCGGTATTCATCGATCGCTAGGACCAAATTCAAGCCTACCTGGTTTTTCTTCGCCACATTTTAGTCTTCGGATTCTAGAAAGTAAAAGAGTCAGTAAGGGACATCGAACCAACTACACATTTAAGAAAGATACAACTTACTTGCAGGTAATACAACCCTTCTTGCTTCGAGGAGTTGAAGCTCTCCTTCTTGTGCTTTTTACATTAGTGTCTGCCATACTTGATTGAGATATCGGCGCCGGAGAGTGAAGCTTGATACGATAAGTATACACCCTCTCCATTGATGATGAGTTCTTGTAAGGGCGGATCATGCGGAATAATATATGTGAGAACTATATCAGGAGAAAACATTCTTTATGTATCAGTGTCGTCAAACGTCGAGATGGATGAAAGGTTAAACAGATGTAGGGCTCTAAGCACAGCGACAGGCCACAAGCCCTAAGCGCCATGTCCAATCGGCAAGTTTCTGTGCAATGGAGGTCCTCTGCGGAGGGACATTCAAGCGAACCAGGCTGAGGATAAGCCAGCTACAGGCGCGTGGATGCGGCAAGGGAAATAACAAACAAGGGTGGAGGCCATGCTACCTAGGTCAGTAGGCTTTTTCACCCACCCCCCTCTAGTATGTGCTAGAGCGTGTTACGAGTTGCCACAAGCAGGTCGTCAATGGCGGATGAGATGTCTCCAAAACCGCTGCAATGGCAGGCCAAGCGAGGAATCGAGGATTCCTCTTGGGGTAGTAGAATTGCCATGGCCAATACAACACTGGAATAAGAATAAGCGTAGAACCTGATGAAAGAGCCGCTGAAAGATGTAACTCTGAGAGCCGGCTTGATTCTTCCACAGTGCTCTGAAGCATTGTACAATGCATGAGGAACAGAAATCTCACCCAGACCGCAATTGCAAGAACCACCACTCCTTGATAGAGTGTAGCCAAGACGGTACTTGCAGCGAGTGCTTAGGCACGACTAACACGAACATCTGCAGCTTTAGAATGTGGGGGCCAGAGGGTGGAAGATAGGGAGAAGGATGGAAGAAGAAGACAAATTGGCGGTGCGGCGATCTCCATGCTGCAATAGGGCTGAGCAAATACCTAGGTTGAGCTCAGAAATTGGATGTCAGCTTGATAGCACGCATTTGCTGAGCATGACCAATAAAGGTACAATGGCTCGTCTGGAGTCTGGAGTTCACGTAGAGCTCGTCCTAGACTGGTAGTCGGCAAGCGGAGTGTCATCCTGAGGAAACTCTCCTTAAGACACTCAGGAGTCCGGACAGTCAATGAGGATATGCAATAATGACGTAAAGGACGACCTCGCTAGTGTTACAATCGACAATTCGAGATGTCGAAAGGCGTAAATAGGCAGCAGTATTTGGTCGAGTTGTGTGTGTGGATAGAAAGCGAAGAAGCTGGGTGGAAGGGAAGGAGGGGAGAGCATGAAAGGGGAAGGGGCTTTGTCGACCAGGTCGGAGACCGGGCTCGGATCCGGCCTGGAACTCGCCCTCGCTTAGAGCAGCTAGCGGCAGAGTTTTAGCGCGCTCACGCTGTCAGAGCCGCGACAACCCCACCAACCCACCTCCCGCTCAAGCTACACTTTGCGCCGACAAGAATTTCTGTCGCCTTTGCAACGTTTTTCTTTTCACGTACACACCCAAAAACATTAACGGGTCAAGACAACTCCGGAATCCCCAACAACCATCGTACATGTGCTGCGCGTCATTTGATAAAACTCACGGACACGGAAAATGGCGGAAAATATATACGACGAGATAGAGATTGAGGATATGACCTACGATGCGGCCGTGGGCCTCTATCACTACCCATGTCCATGCGGAGATCGTTTCGAGATCTCTCTAGGAGATCTTCGTGACAAAGAGGACATCGCAGTTTGCCCCAGTTGCAGTTTGATGATTCGTGTTATTTTTGAAGTGGTGAGTTCCCGTCCTCCCAAACTTCTTCCGTGTGCTGTTGCAATCAAAGCTAGGCAGGACTCACTGCTGACATGAACAGGATGATCTTCCGAAGCCAGAATCAGAAAGCGAAGATGCAGCACCTGTAGCGCCAACTACAGCACCGCCGACTGCCGTGGCGACATGAATGACTACGACCCAGACTTTCAGTGTGCGCCGCGTACTTCTTCGACATGTTCCATGCTGTTGTCCCAATGAAGGATTGGCAGGGATTCGGGAAGTTTTGGAGTCGAGCCTCTCATTGGGCACCTTGTACGCATTCCCGCGTGCTATTGGACGCCATTCTGTGAAGAACGCCACATCCCCAGAATTGCAAGGCGGCCTCATGGCAAGGAATGGATCGAAGATACACGGGTTTGGTGGCTGGCAACTGTTCCCGTATCCTTCCCTACGTGGAAACAGACACCCATTCGGTTAATGCCCATATTTAACGTTACTCGGCGAGTCGCTAGACATCTCCTTGCGCAGGCGATGAGATGATTGGCTCATCTCTATCCAGTTCCAGCAATACACAGGTCTGGTCTTGTTGTCAGCATATGGAGCCACGACGAAGAGGAGCAATTGAGTTTCAAAACATCGTCCCATGCCTCGGCTCTGGGGTCTAAGATTGGGACACGTCGACCAGATTGGTTAATCACGAATACTGCTGCATGAACGATCTGCATGGTGTCACACGAAGCCACCTCTTGAAAGAGCACAGCATTATACAGAACCGAAAAGCGCCTAGTACGCCAAGTCTACGGGTGTCGCAGCAGACTATGCGTAGGTAGATGTGGACCGATTACTCTAAATAAGATCGCTCGATTACTTAATTCGTTCGACGCTATCGTTCTGGATATATTCCCATTGGAGCTTTGCAAGTAGCATTTAGCAATAAACACAGAAATCAAAAACCCGTCCTTGCCTCAGCACCCATACCCAAACATGATTTTACATTCATACATAGTCATGAACTTACTTCATGAAGCCCTTGATCCAATTTCAGCTCCGCCAGTGGTATGGCCGAATTGCAATCACATCTCCATTGACATATGCTCAAGCTGTCGGGAAAAAATAACACCGATGTTTACATATCAGACATGTCCACTCCTATTTCGGTTTGCAGTAGGTCACTGAGATTGGATCCATCTCGCAAATAAATCCACTTTCCGGATCCTGTCCCCTCCTTTGCGTCTTGTCCCTCACTTTCAATAACAAAATCGTACCGCTTAGGACCAGATTCGGGCGCAGACAGCCAGATCTGCTTGTTTGGTGGTTGTTTGTTGATAATGTACTTTCCATTTGGGGTTTCGAGTGTTAAAATGCCAGCCTGTGTGACAAGTATCAGCACATCAAACCCAACGCTCTAGAACGATAGAAACTTACACTATATTCGCAATCAATATCATCCTTCTGCTCCTGCAAAGCCTCAAATTTGTCCACCAGTCTCTCCAGGTACTGATCGCTGAACTTGTGATATTCATCCATTGTGAGGTCAGCTGGCGCTGATGCTAGATTTTGAGGTTCAGGCTCTTTCGGTTGTGGATTGTCGGTCTCTGGGGACAGACCTTTAAGTGATGGTCTGGTGGTGGACAGGAACCGCGAGGTCGGCAAAGAGGCCGCCCGGTATGTGACCGGTGTATATTGACGAACTGCCAGGCTCCTTACCAGTCCTCCGGTACTCAATCTTGCTGAAGAGCCTCGTATTTGACGGACCATGCGGCTCGCGCCTCTAGCCAGCGGGATTTGGGCCATGATCGTGGTCGCAGATCAAAAGAACTAACACGTTTGTTGGTTGAGCTTCACTTGCCGTCCAGACAGGTTCCCTCAACCGCTGCGTGAGAACGAATGATGATTGGACTGTTGCTGAGATGTCTGGTTCACGGTGTCGGTGCAGATGAATTGGAAGTATGTATGCAATTCAGAGCTATCAAAGGAGCTTGATTGAGGTCAGGCTGATCTCGAGCTACCTACCCCACATTTCGCTTCCCAAGGTCCGAGCTCCGGCGGCCCTCGAGCACAACATCAACCTCTTTTCGACGACAACAGAGTTCCGGTCACGTACACAACGATGCCCAGTGCTTCATAACCTACAGTTCATACGATTGATGCAGTTGTTTGCGCAATTCTAAAAATATGATAAACGCAGTCCTCGTCTTCAATAACGCTGGTCAGCCGCGTCTGACCAAATTCTACACGCAACTGGTAGGTTTACCCCACCACAGCTCATGGATGGCTTGGTGTCTGAGTGTTAAAAATTATACTGATTATCCGAACAGGAAACTTCTGTTCAACAGCGACTGATCTCCGAGATCTTTACACTTGTCTCGAATCGGCCTTCGGGCTCATGTAACTTCCTCCCCCTGCCGCCACTTCTTGCCAGCTCTGGCACCTCCCACACCTCTTCCTCCGAACACAACGATACCCCATCCCTCGTAACCTACCGGCACTATGCTACACTGTACTTCATCATAATCAGCACATCTACGGAATCCCCGCTAGCACTCATTGACTTGATACAAGTGTACGTCGAAGCTCTAGACCGCTTGTTCGAAAATGTCTGCGAGCTAGACTTGATCTTTAATTTCGAAACACTTCACACAACGCTAAGCGAGATGATAGTGGGCGGGGTAGTGATAGAGACGCAGCTGGAGAAAGTGGTTGAGGGTGTTAAAGCACAAGGAAAGGTAGCCAAACGCCCAGTCAATGAGGGCCGAGGAGGAGGGGGACTAGGCATGTCAATGGGCGGCAATTTTGTCGGCTGGGCAGGGAGGTAGTGACCACCCATGATCTTTGATTCTGTTTGGATCTGGACATTGTTGTGGATGATGGTAGCCAGGTTGCATATTGGACTTTGCAGAAGACGAGGCGGTCACCCCAGAGCATGGCAGAGATTGATGCATCCTAGCATACAGGCACACTATCACGGATATCCCACGAACCGACGAAAGGAAGCCAGGATCACGAATTGTTATCGGCCAAGCAGAGAATGAAGCAAGTGCGTTTACTGTGCTCATCTAGCGCCGGCGGCAATGAAAGAATCGAAATCTGAAAGGGAGCGGTTCCCATTGGCCAATCTGCGTTCGAGGTCCTAATAAGCTCAACTCGTGCATGGGAAAGTGTATAGCATACATCGCACAGTCCGAGTAGCAGACTCAGCAACGTCTGCTTACACTGCACTATCAGTGCAATATCTCTGAAGCGAGTGCCTAAATCGATGTGCAAACCACATACTTCGACATTTTACAGGCTCTTCGAATGTCTTCGCAGTGCATTTTCGCAGCCAAGAACGGTCGGCTTACTCCTTACTAAGCGCTAGTATAGACTTAAATTCGGACATCCATATACAGTATCATGTATATCCATATCCGCTACTCGGTGTCAGATCCTAAAGACCACGTGATTCCATATATTCGGATCTTACCACATGCAGGACGTTTTGAAATTGGTGGTCGCTAGAGATATCAAAGTTGAGGTAACACCTGATGGGCGGAGCAAAACAAGCGGTGAGTACTTGTATACCGAGTACGAAAGGTACATAGATATTCACTCAATGTGCACTATTGGGCGCCACAATGAAGATGCCGTCGCCCTTTTATTCCACTTCGATTTGAGAGATCCGAGGCAGGTTTTCGGCGTCAATGAGGCGTGCAATAACTACCCCTGGACGGTTGCATCCGCGCTTAAACATGGATATAAGCGATAACGTACAACAATTCCAGAACTGCTTCTGGTCTGCCTGCTTGTGCCACACCAACCGTTACTCGGCCTGGTGGGACACGATGCTTGTTGTTCCTACATATACGATGTGATGATATCAATTGGGATAGGTCCTTGGTTTCCTTTACTGAATACGACGGCCGGGCGGAGAAGTATCTTAATTTGGTCTCGCCAAATGCGAGGATCCTCATGTTTCGTTTCAACACGAGGTGTCTACGTGTTTTACGCGTCACTGCCATTGCATATCTGCCAGTTTAAGTAAAATAATCGTGCTATGATCCAGCTCAGATCCAAGAAAGGTCAATTCCCAGTTTTCAAACTGCTCCATTGCGCCTCGACTATGCAGTCTGTAAACAAAACGCCCTATTTGTGCGGGTTGATAGACGACGCTACTAACAGTACTGGCTCCAACATAATAATACAACCCGCAGTAGAAATATACACATCGATAATGACATCCAAGTCCGGAGAGAGGATTAAACTATCCCAATAACGGGATGACGTGGTCCTAGAAGCATGATTGCTAGAGTGAAGGCATTCAAGCTCCCTCCACGTCACTGCCGGATTTGCGCCTCACTTGATCCTTCGACGGCATAGACCCAAGCAGTCCAAAGAACCAATTCCGAACCTAACAAGATATCAGCCACACATCCTATGCCTAACACACGCCGCGAGAAGTATCCATACGCCTTGAAAGGGTGGGTTTTCCGGGTTATGGCTGCTCGCCATATTCCAATCCAGAAACAACACTCCGTATACCGCTACAACTACACAAATATCTCAGCTTCTTATCCCACATAGGTCTGGTTGGGCGCGTTACATGTTATCGATGAGAACTGCACTAGTTTCACGGCCTTGGTCCAGCGTGGGCGCTCCCATTTTAACTTCATGCGTCGTCGGAAGCGTCGCTCGAGTCTGAATTGGTGTTTCTGCCCGATTTTGTCGAAGTCTGGCGGCCAGGTGTGTTTCGCGCGGTACGGGTTCGTGTAGATGTAGGGTACTTCTTTGGGTATTGAGGACTGGGCTGCGCGGCGGAGGAGTGTGGGGAGCATTTTGGTGGTGGTTTGGATGGTTGTTGATGGGGTTCTGGGGAGTTGGAGGTTGAGGTTATTTGGATGTTGATGCCTTGTCGTGATAGCTTGTAAATTGAGGCAGAACTTTTACCCCTGCAACCTCTGACTACCCCACCAAACCCTTGACTCAGAATCCTCATAATTTAAGTCCTAAACCAACAACACAATAAACTTGGAGACTGGAGATCTGGAATATAAGAAGTATACTGATCACAAATCGCAATCATGGCTGCTGTAGAAGCCACAACCAAAGCTATGGAAACCTTAACAGTCTCCAAAACAAAAGAGTTGAAAGGCGTAAATACCCCACCAACCCCACAGCAAAGTGAAAACTAACAACCATCAGACAGAAAAACGAGACTCCCTCATCGCAAACGAGAAGAAATATCAGCAAAAATGGCAAGAGGATGGGGTATTCCAGCCAGACGCGCCGTCTACCACGGAGGTACCGCTCAATTCCATCTCAGCCGCCGAGTTACGAAAACAACAACCGAAATTCTTTGGCACGATGGCGTATCCGTATATGAACGGCACCCTACACGCCGGACACAGCTTTTCGGTCTCAAAGATCGAGTTCACAGCTGGATTTGCGCGGATGCAGGGGAAGAGGAGTTTATTTCCAATGGGGTTCCATTGCACGGGTATGCCTATCAAGGCGTGTGCGGACAAGCTCGTCAACGAGATAAAGCTGTTCGGACAGGAGTTTGAGCGGTACAAGGAGGAGGAGGACGAGGATGAGAAAGCTGCTGTTCCTACGCCTAGTACCCATCGTGAGGACGTGACGAAGTTTACGGCGAAGAAGGGGAAGGCGGCGGCGAAGGTTGTGAAGAAGAAGTATCAGTTTCAGATTATGAAGGCGCTTGATATCCCGACGCAGGAGATTCATCGGTTCGCGGATCCGCAGTATTGGTTGGAGTTCTTTCCGCCGTTGTGTCAACGGGATCTGACGAATTTTGGGGCGAGGATCGATTGGAGACGGTCGTTTGTTACGACTGATGCGAATCCGTATTATGATTCTTTTGTGAGATGGCAGATGAATCGGCTGAAGGAGTTGAAGAAAATTAAGTTTGGAAAGAGATATACGATTTATTCGCCTAAGGATGGACAGCCTTGTATGGATCACGATCGCAGTGAGGGAGAGGCTGTTGGACCACAGGAGTATACGGCGTTGAGGTTGAAAGTCAAGGAGTGGGCTCCTGAAGCTGCTGAGGCGATCAAGGGCAAGGTTCCAGAGGGTGCGGATGTTTTCTTTGTACCGGCTACCCTTCGACCAGAGACGATGTACGGCCAGACGTGTTGTTTTGTGGGACCTAAAATCACTTATGGAGTTTTCAAGGTTTCCGAAAAGGAGTTTTTTGTGGTTACTGATAGAGCGGCTCGCAACATGGCTTACCAGGGCATATTTCCGGAAAATGGCGTTTATGAAAAGGTTGCGGAGTTGGTTGGATCTGCTTGTGTCGGCACGCTCATCAATGCTCCGCTTTCGGTTCACAAGGAAGGTGTCAGGATTTTACCTATGGAGTCTGTTCTTCCTACCAAGGGAACTGGAGTGGTTACTTGTGTTCCATCGGATAGTCCTGATGATTATGCGACTGTTGTTGATTTGGCTAAGAAGGCCGAGTATTACGGTATCAAGAAGGAATGGGCTGAGTTGGAGATTATTCCTCTTATTTCTACACCGTCGTATGGAGACTTGACGGCTCCTTTCCTGGTCAAGAAATTGAAGATTTCATCGCCAAAGGATAAAAAGCAACTTGAGGAGGCTAAAGAACTTGCTTACAAGGAAGGTTATTACCAGGGAACTATGGTGTATGGAGAGTTCAAGGGTGACAAGGTTGAGTTTGCGAAACCAAAGGTGCGACAACAGCTCATCGATGCCGGCGAAGGATTCGCGTATTCGGAACCAGAAGGCATGGTTGTCAGTAGATCTGGGGACATTTGCTGCGTCGCTCTGATGGATCAGTGGTATCTTGATTACGGAGAAGAGTCGTGGAAACAGGTTGCGCTCAAACATGTCGACAATGCTGATGGAAAGGGCTTAAACACATACACTACCGAGACGAAGAATGGATTCGAGGGCGTGCTTAACTGGCTCAACCAGTGGGCTTGTGCGAGAACATATGGTCTCGGTTCAAAGCTGCCATGGGATCCTCAGTTCTTGGTCGAGAGTTTAAGTGATTCTACCATCTATATGGCTTACTACACAATTGCGCATTACCTTCACAAGGATATCTTTGGAGCGACGCCTGGATTAGCAGGTATCAAGCCTGAGCAGATGACGGATGAAGTTTGGGATTACGTTTTTGCCCGAAGACAATTGGGCGAAGAAGTTCTAAAAGAGTCTGGAATCGCGGAGGACAGTCTTGCATCCATGCGAAGAGAGTTCGAGTACTGGTATCCTCTTGATCTCAGAGTTTCCGGGAAGGATCTCATTCCTAACCATCTTACTTTCTTCCTCTATATCCATCTTGCTATGTTTGATCCTGAGTACTGGCCACGGGCTGTTCGAGCTAATGGCCATTTGCTTCTGAATGGAGAGAAGATGAGCAAGTCGACTGGTAACTTTATGACGCTTGATGACTTGACTAAGAAGTACGGAGCGGATGCGAGCAGAATCGCACTTGCTGATGCGGGTGATGGAGTCGCGGATGCTAATTTCGAGGAGGATGTTGCTGATAACAACGTTCTTCGTCTGTTTACTCTTCGAGAGTGGATCGAGGAACAAGTCAAGGACGAGGCAAATCTCCGCACTGGACCAAAGAACGACTTCCTTGACGCACTCTTTGAGAACGAAATGAATACTCTCGTCCACGAAGCATACACTCACTACGAGGAGACAAACTACAAGCTCGCTCTCAAGGATTCCCTGTACGACTTCACCAGCGCTCGTGATTTCTACAGAGAAGCCAGCGCGGCGGCCGGAATCACAATGCACAAAGACCTAGTCTTCAAATACATCGAACTCCAAGCCCTCCTCCTCACAGTCGTCGCTCCTCACTGGTCCGAATACATCTGGCTTGAAGTCCTCAAGAAACCCTCAACCATCCAAAACGCCCTCTGGCCTACCGTCCCCACCCCTGTCCCCGCCCTCTCTGCCGCCCGCGAATACGTCCGCAACACCTCCTCCAACATCACATCCGCCGAGTCGGCCCAGCAGAAGAAAAAAGCTAAGGGCAAGGACATCGGTTACGATCTCACTAAACCTAAGAAATTGACTATCTACGTCGCGGCTAAATTCCCGGCCTGGCAGGAGAAATACATCGATCTCACCCGCCAAACGTGGGATTCGGAGGCTAACAAAATGGATGAAAAAACCCTCAACGCCGAACTCAAGAAGATGGGCGAGATGAAGAAAGCCATGCCGTTTGTGCAGGCTCTCAAGAAACGTCTTCTCGCCGGGGAGAAACCCGAGGTTGTTTTTGAGCGGAAATTGGCGTTTGATGAGGTAAAGATTCTGGGGAATATGGTACCCGGGCTGAAGAAGGCGGCGGGGTTGAGGGAGGTGAGTATTGTTAGTGTGGGCGAGGGTGAGGGGGCAGAAGGGAAGGGAGGAAAGGTTGTTGGTGGGGATGGGGTTGGGAGTGATGTGGGGGAGTTGCCGGCAAATGCGGAGAGCGCTGTGCCGGGGGTGCCGACGTTTGGGTTTGTTAATGTTTAGAGGGTAGGATGGGGATGCGTTGATGTAGCTTTGCGGTTAGAGTAGCTATTTGAGATTTCTTTGTATCAACCAAATGAAGCATTAGGTCTTTTAAAAATCATAATCTATTAGAAGAGAACCCTTACTATGGAAATCCTTATGTCGGTTCTTAAAAATTGTGGTAAACGCAGATATGTGGTCGATCCTGCAGTGGCATTCTAGATTCAGAATTAGAATGTAGTTCACGGTGTGTTGTTAAAGAAGCGAGGTCTCTGGTAAAATTACAATTACTTGGATTGTATTATAGGAAGTTGCGCTCATGAAATATGAGTTACTTCCTAACTCACGAATGTTAGAGATTACCGCTGTGGGAATTAGGTGTCGTGACTAACAAGCTGAGTAATCGGAAGGTTTAGCCTGCATTGTTGGTTTCTTGAAGTGCTTTCTATTTAATGTGAGATAAGGAAAGGAGGAAATGTAGTTGTGTTCTAGCGCATTATGCGCATAGGCTTTTGAGGGCTTATAAGTAGGCGTTGTATTTCTCAGATGCGGTCGGAAGCGAAATCAAAAATCTCACATATTCACTGAAAGTGACCTTTTCCTCGTTTTCAAAAAGCAACACAATTCTTTTCTTTTCACTACGGTGAGAGTTTTATTCTTTACGAAAAGAAGCGTATATACGATTCATAAGCTAACCGGATGAGGAATTTTGACGGCAGTGACAGAAGCGTGATGGTTCTTTCTGGGGGAATTGGCGATGAAGTCTGTGTGATAACAGAAAAGGTGTAATTGTGGGGGTAGGTTATGGGTTGGTGCGGGTTGAGTTGTGGTGTTCTACACTCTTATTACTTATTTTCATGAAATAAGAAAAGAGAGATTAGTACACTTTTACACCAACTAAATAACTACCCAGCATCCAACAATTAAACCTTTAAAAACATAAGACTCTACATAACTCATTGTCTTTTGTATCTATCATTTACAGAACCAAGACGGGGAAATATTAGAACATTCGTATATACAGAAAGGTAGTTTCGTTGCCGTTGTGGGACAATTTTGGTAACACGGTTAAATGTTATATTAAAAATCTAACTAGGTTACAACTCTCAGACTTTGAGCGACGCCCGTTTCTGAGAATGAGAGGAGATATACGATGGCGAAGGAAGATTCGGTCGTATGGTATCTGTGCTTGTGCGTGGGGAAAGGGCCAATGCGGGATAGAGGGAAGGTTAGTGTTACTTGGACGTAGAAATATATCTTGGATACTGTTACAGTAAAACAACAATTGGGGGAGAGAAAAGTGTTAACTGTGCTATGCTACTTGACGATGGTGGTTAACGACTAACAGCCTCGCAGTTTTATAAGTGCGAGTTCTCTTTTGTATGAGTAAATTACAGTCCTGTCCACGTAGGATAGTAGGACATTAGTAGCATTCTGGTTTGATTGCGTGTGACAACTATTAATTCTGAATTTGGCACATAGACAACAGGGCACAAAATGGTCGTGTCCTTTTTGGAGAGTATACCTCTGGCGTCACAAATGGAGATTTTTTAATCTTGTCCATGTGGGTTCTATTTCTGTATTTTCTACATCTGGAGAGTACATTACATGTTTCACTTCCTCGTCCTTGCCTGACCACGACGAACAAGAAGGTAACAAAGCGTATGAGAAGGCATTTCCCTACCTTTACATTGGAGCTAATTAAGGATCGAACTGTGTCCACGAGCCCAGGAAGAGAAGCGTATATTAGATTTCCGGGCGGAACATGTATCTTCATCTCTGGTCTACCCTGTCTACGCGTCTTTCCAATGTGGTAGCAGGAACGTAATAGACTCGACAGTTCGTTGATTATCCTTACTTGGAAGGATAGCAAGCAGCAAGTGATGCCAGCCAATACGAGCAGTCTTGGCAAAATGTTCCTACCTTCCACTACTTCCTGGAGCCTGGCAGATGTCTCATTTGGCCATTGCCTATAGCGAGGGTGTTGTGCTGTGCTCCGGATCTTCGTCGCATATAGAAAATGGAAGAACTATGACCTTGGCTGGAGGTACTGGACTTGCTACCCGAGCAAGACGTTCATGTCGATTATGTGCCAATTTGTCATTTCATAGCGAATTATGCTTTAAATTCGTCCAGTTGACCTTCGATTGCGACGCCAGGGGGTAATGATGTGTCCGTGACACGAAGCGTTCTTTCGTCATACCATCTGCTCTACATCAGTTGTCTTTTGCTTGACATACCCCAGATCTGACAACCTACAATGGTCTTGCACGTCAACGCGCTCCACTTCTCGACGCCGTATTCGTATTGTTTAGGTGTGCGCGGCGGGTTATGCGAGGTTGAGTGCGAAAGTGGTGTCGTGGCTGAGAGTAATAATTGGCTCTTCGCAAGAATGGGACGTGATCAATGTTTGGATGGCTTTCTTGATCAAGGCGAGAAGATCTTAATCGTCATATCCACACTTCCCGAGGCAAGAACACACCGAATTTGTGTCTCAGATTCAGCCTTTACATCGATGGCTTTGCCGTTAGGCGTGCCGGGAGTAGGTTGCCCGTTCTGTTTCACTCTCATAATACTTGGAGCCCATCGAAGAGATGTAACAAAATGACCATGAATATCCTCGAGTATTCTGACACACTTTCCTTCTTGGCTCAAATCCCAACATCGAATGCTTTTATCATCGGATGCTGAGATAAGATATTTGCCGCCTGGATGGAACACCAACGCTCGGATCCAGTTGTCGTGTCCCACCAGGGTCTTGATACAGTTGCCACGAGCATCCCATAGTTTGATTACTTTGTCCCGGGAACCCGTTGCTATGAATTCTGCTGTACTGGTGGCTGGAGGGGGCTTCTGTAATCCCGCCAATGGAGCCAAAAATTTATATGCTGCTGCGGGTGCTAGTACACAGCATATCTTCACAAATGTCAGCTTTTATCATCTAACGTTGAAAAATCCGAAGGCGAAGATGGTGAAGAATAGAGGCATAGCCCAGAGTACGTACGTTATAGTTGTCATGACCAGTCAAGATAACCTTGCATTCTGGCATCGTGCCAGAAATATCCCATAAACGCCCAGTCTTGTCATCTCCGGTAGAAACCAAGTACCTTCCATCCACAGAAGGACTGATGTCGCGGATCCAGTCGGTATGACCATGTATTGTCTTCACACAGTAGCCTGTAGTCACATCCCACATCCTCATGGTCTCATCCCGGCTTGCGCTGACCAGTAAATTCCCTGATTGTTGTCCCACACCCGATGGTATAAAACGGACAGCACTGACACTATGGTCATGCCCATGCAATGTTCTTATATTTTGATATTCCTTTGACGGGTCCCATAGCTTGATAGTAAGATCGGAACTACATGAGGCCAAAATTGTGCCGCCTTGTGGTCCACCAAAATCAAGATCTGTCACTGTTCGTGTATGGCCTTTGACTGTCCGTTCTATTTCTCCCATCTCCCAGTCCCATATCTTGATAGTGCAGTCGTCGGACCCAGAAGCTAGAGAGGAGAATACTGGATGGAAAGCGACACATGTGACGTCCTTTTGGTGAGATTCAAGGGTGTATCGCGCTGGGTCTTTCGGTAGCCATGTTGCTGGATCTTGTTTAAGACGAGCCGCTAATGGTGTCGCATTTTCGAGTTCGAATTTTAACGTGCGATTCTGGTTTTCAAGATCCATAACCTGATTTACATCAGTCTTGTTGCAGGCAAACACTATTCAAGGTAGCGCGTCGATGTACCTTCTTTTGCAATCGAACCACGCTCGTCCATTTCTTCTCTAGTAACCCTTCATATTTCTTGGATGTGGCCGCATCGAATGTTTCCTCTCCAAGATTCAGATCGGTTCGTAGCGCTGCCGCGGTGTTCGACAGGCCAATTGACGAGAAATATGCTATGATCGATTTATGCCTTCAGTCACAACATTAGCTTGGGAAACTTGGAGTGTGAATGCGCGAGACATACAGCTCCTCAGCTTGCCGGTCTGTTAAAAGCCGGCTCATTATGTCTGGCAGGTTTGACTGCATCATGTAGCCCAAGTCAAGGAGGAGTTGAATCCTCCAGAAAAAGGAGCATTTTTGGGAGGAAAGTGAGAAGGTGAATATCCCACATGGAATTCATGCGACTGGGATTGTAGCTGGGTCGTTTGGATGTCATGTGGATCATCACACCAGGCGTGTCTTTATTTAGCTGGTCATAGCTCCCACGCTAAAGCTTTTTCCCACTTGCCAAAATGTCAACCTCCAAGATATTTTCTTTCTCCTCAATTACTCGACACCAAGCATGATCACTAGCTAAACAACACCCACCAATTCCTTCCCTGGCGGCGGGATGCGGCTTCTTCTTGTTCGCCATGGCGAGACCGTCGACAATGTCGCAGGTATATAGTATGAATGCCATCTTCTACACTCCTCGCGACCTGGCTAACAAATCAGTGCTGGCATAACAGATTCCGCACTCACGAATCATGGTGTCCTTCAAGCTCAGAGACTGGCGAAACACCTGGTAGATACTGATGTCAAGATCTCCCATATCTTCTCGTCCGATCTGCAACGTGCTTTCAATACCGCCGAAGCTGTGCGATCTGCCCAATCCCCTCCACCGTCGGAAACGACCAGGTTGGAGAAGCTTCGTGAGCAAGACTTTGGCTTTTACGAGGGCAAACATTTCTCTGAGCGTCCTCGTAATTCCAACAAGTCTGGCAAAGAGGCACACATGGACGCGCATCGCGACGAGCCTGGGTTCAAGGACGTCGAGTCCAAGACCGCCATGGCAAGTCGTATGGATGATTTCGTCGAGGGCCATCTCGTCGATCTTTTCAAAGAGGTTGAACCAGATATGGGTGTTGTGGTCGTTGCTCATGGGATCATCCTTGGCCATCTGTGGAGGGCTGTCCTAAAGAGATTCCATTCTGCTAATGTTCACGTCGTACCTGGAGCAATCATCACCGACACAGGTCGGGGATTAGAGCATCTTGGTGGGTGGTCAAATACTGGCTACCTGGACCTTGAAGTCAGAAGGCACACCGAGGCCGCGGCTCCATGTGAGACAGAGTCATTGGTACCTGTAGCGATCATACCTCCTTCAACCGTTGAGCACTTGCCGGAGACTGTTGCTGGTGCCACAGCAGTGGAACAACCAACCCTGCCAACACCCTCAAGTCCCAATACTGATCATGCGCAGCCATCTAAGTCGACTTTGCAGAATATGTCACTTGTCGTCAAGGCGGTCAACAGCCAAGAACATCTGAAAGGTCTTAAAAAGACTCGAGGTGGTATTGGTAGCCTGAAGCATGACACCACCCAAAAGACCGTTGATTCTTTCTTCAAGAAGCAACGAACAGAATAGGCTCGTCACTGTTGAACGTGGACGAGTCAGATTATTGACAGGTACGTTTATTACATTTCTTTCCTTCTACCCACAGTGACATGATGATACTCCTTATTCACAGACCTGTTCTGATGTCCAAGATGAGGACGAAAAAAGTACCAACTGCTGTCTGATCACTTCCAAATCTCGTTCTCACAAATCATTAATCATATCATGGATCGATGCTAACGAGACCTTTCAGGTACGATCCCTTCATTAAAAGCATACTTTCAGATTTGTGAAATCATGCTTGTAGATTCTGGACGCCCATATGGAACCATAGATAGTGTAAAAAATAAATTCATAATACCATTTCGCCCCATATCTCTTCTCGTTGACCCATGCGATTGGTAGTGACCTTATCTTAGAGGAAGGACAGACCGGCTCGGTAAGGGTCTTCCATGATTTCAATTCACGCCAATGTTTAGCATCACTTCTGGTGGAATGTGTAAGTCCATATTTTCGCAATTCACTTTCATTATAGCTTGCCGAATTTGAAGAAGTTTACAAAAGCTGAATTTCGTAAGGGGCGACAATCGCGCAATCGGCAACTTCAACACGATTTCGAACCTCAACTCTTCACGCTCTTCATGCCTAAAGGTCCTTCGATCTGAAGGGTACACCTTGAAAACCGTTTGCATCTCCATCCCCATAACGGAAGGGACCGCACACCTGCAACAACAAGCGCCACGTATACGAATCCCGATCTTTGAGCGAATTTTCACATCTTTTGATCTCTACTTCGCGCGCGGTCTTCCAGTTCGAATTTACAACGTCGATCTTGTGCTTTGAAATATTTTAGATGCGAAGGAAGAATTGGGACACGTAGTCAAGCTGACCAGTGCACCGAGTCTTGATTTCATCTGTTTCCAACATTTCCTCACCTTCATAGCTACATCGCCATTTCCGTCGAAACATTGCTAACTGATTTCTATCATGAAAATACCAGCACTGATCGAAGAAAAAATTAAGATGAGCTTTCATTAATCTCAAGTACGATCTTACGGACCTAAGCCTTAGCTCCCATTCATTCATAATTACAAAAACATACAAAGTTCAAAATGGCTTCTGGTTCACAAGATGAAATTATGTTCGACGATGAAATGGAAGATTCGGAGGATGAGACTCTTTCCGATTCAGAACCAGAACTTAACTTTGATGTAGCAGTCCCAGAAGAAGATGTCGATGACTACGAGCGACTTATGGCCGAAAGGCGAGCAATTGGCCACGGGGCAACCTTGAACCCAGAGTACCGTAATCTTGCAATTCTCATGAACTCGAAACGAAATGTTCAGACTGGGATGGTGGGATTGTCTTCATCATACATTGATAATGATAACACAGGTGATTATGATCCCGATTCGGAGCCATCCAAAGCTCGAAAGAAGAAGAAGAAGCCTAAAGCTGGAATTAGAAAGAAGAATGCAAAAGGATCTGCCGTTAAGCTTGCTGTTGAGCGAGAGCTTATTGTCAAGCTGTCTTTTAAACAGGACGCTTCGCTCACGTATCTGCGCTCTATCTCAAAATCACTTTCTCCAGGTGACAGCGAGATCGACTCTTCTATTTCCTCTACTTCATCTCCATCATTATCAAATAAAAACAATGACTCTTTCGCTGTACTCGAGCCTCGCAGAAAATACAGAACTCGGATAAGATTAGACAGTCCACAAGAAAGGTTGGTACATCCCATCATCGAGAAATATTGTCCACCTACTTACTGTTCCCAGGGCAGACGGATTAACACTGTCAGACCTAACCGACGGTCACCCCCAACGCAGGGGTTGTAAATCGTGCTTCCTGTCCGGCGACGACGAATGTTCGCTCCTTCAATTCAGATATGATTATCCTTGCGCCGCTTGCGAAGACGGCGGTCACGATTGCGAGTTGATCGTCCCTCCCACACTAAAACTATCCTGTCTCGGTTGCAAAACCCGAAAATCAAACTGCTCCTACAAATTCAATGGCGGAAAGGGTATCAGCAAATGCGAAGAGTGTGATGAACTGGACGAGCCATGCTGTGCGCCCCCCTTGGATGAAAACTCCTCTTACGCGAAGAGATTCGAGATTATATCAATATCTCCTCCACAACCACTTTTTGAGAGGACATCCAAATCTTGTCAACAATGTCGGATTGAAAGCAGGAGTTGCTCGTTGAAATCTAAAACTGATATCGGACCTTGCGGATCTTGCAAGAAAGGTGGACAGGAATGTAGATTTTTAATACCTGGCCCGCAACAGATCAAGATACTCGAAGAAGACGCTGCTCGTGAAAAAGTAGCTAGGAAAGACGCCAGACTGAAAATCTTGGCGGAGAGGAACAAGATGACTGTTCGAGATATCAACGGAGGTGGTCGTCGAAAGAGTACAAACTTTCCCTCACCAACCTCACCTGACCGAACCACTACATCACCAAGCACAACCTTCAGCACGCCCACACCCACAATCAAACCCAAACGCCTCAAACACAAACCCTCCTCCCCCTCTCCAAAGCTCAAAACAATAACAATCGAAACATCCCTCGCCCACCCCCTAACATTCATGCACAACCCAACACCCTCCCAACCCTGCTCCTGGTGCACCACCCCATTCTTCGGAATCTACGGCCACGGTCCCGTCAACGTCACCGTCTTTCCTTTCACCTCCTCCCAAGGCAACATCGAGATCAGCGAAACCGGCCACCATAAATTCGGTCGCGCGGAGCCAAGTCGCATGTGTGTTGCTTGCACATTTGAACGGGTTCGGGTCGTGAAGTGCAGTGGACATGTGTTACGGGCTATAAACGAGGGTGTGGAGAAGGATGTTCTAGAAGAGTTGAATCAGAGCTTGAAGAGAGGTGAGGGTTGGGAGTTAGCGAGGAGTGTAAAATGGTGTTCTATCTGCGCATCTATCGCTAACTTTTCTTGCTGTACATCACAACCTTATTCTGCATCCGGTACACGCAACCCGACTCCCTTCTCAGCCTCCAACCCAGAGTTCATAGGCTGCGGCCTCCACCTCTGCAAGATCTGCGAGTGGACGTTCCGACGGCTGGAGCGCTCAAAGAGGGAGGAGTGGGGGTTGGATGTGTTGGGCCAGCTTGTCGAGACGAGGAGAGCTGAGCTGTGGAGGTGGAGGGGGGATGAACTCAGAGCTGATTGTGAGTTGCTTGGTAGGGAGGGGGAGATGATGAGGCGATTGGGTGGGATGGGTGTGTAGGGCGGCATGGGAAGGGGGTGGTGAGAAAAATCGGGAGAGGATCTGGGAACCGAGAGGGGCAGATGGGGGATATGGAAGTTGAAGTTGAATTTATTTGGTTGGCTGGTTGCGGGAGATGGTCCATTGAGGTTCATGATGCAAGCAGGAATTTGGTCTTTTAGGGAATTATACCAGGGCATTGCTCGGCACGTCTAAGCAGATTGCTAACTATCATTTCACTTGACTCATTGGGTTAAGTTAGGATAGGTTCGCAGACCTCTACTTTATCTAACAGAATATCTACATACTCATTAGGTACTCTAAGTACAGATAACTTAACTTAAATAATATATTTTATTTGGACACTATCTTCCAATATACTAAGGCATCAAAAGATTAACTATGCTATGGCCTCCTACTCCTCGAAGCTAATCTACCTTTGTCAAACTACTGACATGAATCACAAGTAATTAATTTGTCTTAGACCCAAAGTACTTATAAGGAATTGTGATATTCTTTTAATCACTAACTACGTCCAACAAATTTAATCCCATCTGTACCTGCCCATCTGTCCTCAGTTTCCGAGACCCATTACCAAAATCAACTTGAAACACTGAATTTACAATCGAGTCTTTCCTACAATAAAGAGTAAACACGTGATCAACACAGCATATCAATTCGCCAAATCTGTTCCGCGTATGGAGAACTTCCATCTTCACACAACAACAATACTCATACAAGCTCTGGATTCTCCCATTTTAGGTTTTTTAAGTTCTATCTACGAGATTTTTCGCCAATCTACACGGCTCCATCAATGAAAGTACTTATTGCTAATCCCCTTCACCCGATCCCACCCCGCATCCAGCGCCTGCAAAATATCCTCTGGCAACGGATTCGGATCATCCAAGAACTTCATATTCTCCTCCATATGCTTCGTACTCGACGCGCCGATAATAATTCCGTCACCAAACTCTTTCTTCAACAGAGAATGATGCGTCATCCATCGTAACGCACATTCCGCTTCCGACAAGCCATGCTTTCCAGCTGCCTCACGGAGAATATCCAAGGCATCGAAATATTCCTCGTTCCAGTATCTCTGTCGGTACATTTTGCCCTGCATGCGGTTTGGATCGAATCGAGACCCTTCCTCAATTTTGTTGCTCTTCTCCTCGCGCTTGTATCGTGCGGTGAGGTAGCCACCAGCAAGCGGGTTGAATGCGTAGAATGCCATTCCGTACTTTCTCAAGCATGGGAAGAGTTCAGGTTCGACGGCACGGTGAAGAGCGTTATAGACGCCTTGATACACACTTGGCAAAGGATACCCTTCTCTCTTGCAAATCTCACACATCTGAGCAACCTCCCAGGCCATGTAGTTGCTCACAGCCCAACGCTTGAAGCGTCCCTCCTTGTACAACTCGTTGATGGCTTTCAACGTAACCTCGTAAGGAGTCGATCGATCCGGAGCATGAAGATACCACATATCAACCTTATCAGTCTTCAACGCCTTCAGACTCGTCATCAAGTTTTGCTTCACATGCTCAGGACTATGTGTCCAACCTCCTTCTGGTTGATCAGGCGACGACAGCGGTTTGCCGGCAGTAGGAAAATACTTCGTGTCCATAACGATACCACGGCTTTGCCAGTCAAGATCTCCTAAATATTGTTCCGACGATCCTTCGCCATAAAATCTGGCGGTGTCGATTTGATTGTGGCCATGCGCTTGGAATATATCAAGAATCGCTTTGCAGTCGTCCAAATTGCTCACACGAGCTTGTTCCGTGCCTTCGCGACCGAAGGTCATGGCGCCGAAAATGACATTGACGGCGGACTTCTGATTTTGCGTCATTTCGAGGTTTTGTGGTGATGTTGTTGTGTTAATGAAGAGGTGACTTTGATTGTCGTTGAGTTTATCGAGTAAGTGAGAAGCGAAGCGTTTCTTATATTGTACAATTGCGAGCTCACCGCTTCCGGGCTTTACACGGAGTTTGCAACCATTCCAAATTCTAGCGTTGCGTATCCATTTTATTTTGGCGTCAATATCGGCCGAAATATCTTTAGCACGAGATGGTGAGTGCCAAAATGTGGTTCCGGAAGTAAGCAGCCAGCAGCGACAGTATCCCCGGGTTAACTCCGAGGAATTTCTCAACGTCACAAATTCCTTGGTTGTGAGGAGACATGATGAAGTAGAACGTGAACGAGATACTACGCTGATTAATTATGGTTACTTTTATGTCAATGTTGAGTCTCGGGAGGTTAGAATACTTGGGCGGTAGGCTATTCCAAATCACAAAGTGTTGAGTGCTGACATAATTTTTTGGGAGGATCTCTGAAAGGGGTATCTACACTCGTTCCGTTGAAATCTTTATTCTTGACAGGAAACATATCATCGTGTATTCAAGCAACAAAAAAGACTTGAATAAATCACTATGCAACTCATAGGAGGAAGCACAGCCGGCTCTCCAGAAACCTCATCACATTGTCCTCTCATGATCGGAAAGCCACACTTTGACCGTCTATGGCTCTGTGTATCTTTTACAATGAAAATCCACTCATATTGCGCCCTGACTAACACAGTTGAACGAAAGTAGCAGAATGTAAATTGTTTCTAGCTGCCTTTGAAATAAACCCACATCCCAAAAAGTACCGAGTTAAATGTTTACTTACAAGAGCCTAAACAGAAACTGATTCTACAAGCTAGCGGTTAGTCGGATTCAAGAGGGAATGGATTTAGAACACTCATCGAGCGATATTTTACCGGCAGAGATTTACCGAAATTCATATGCACGGTAAGTTGTAAATATCTTTTAGTAGTGGCTTTTGGCTCAATTGGTGGACCTTCCCTAGACAGCACGATTAGTGGAATAGAGTTAGAAAGAATTAATAGAATACTGGATTTGGATATCCTCTTAGAGTTGTGCTAGGATTTTGATAGTAGGAAATTTGAAATCGAGATGCTAACTGACAGTTTGCCAATAAATATCAGAAGTACGAGTGCAAAACAGCCAATTAGGTACACTGAACGCCAACGCCATAAGCGAGTTTTCGTAGGCAGCTGGTTGAGTCACAGCTTTTCGAATTACAATACTCACCGCCTTTATCTCAGCAATAACTCGGCTGACTAGAATACGAAATCCACAGTAGCAAAATTATTCTCCATCACTCTGACCGGTCTTCTAAAATGGCGCAATATGGTCTGTTTGTAAATGCTAAAGAATTATCTGTTGAGGTAACGAAGAGGAACTTGATCAAGTCCGCCCCCAAAGAAGAATATCGCTAATTCACTGCCTTTAGGCTACCAACAAAAAGCTTGAACAACTCCACAGCGACGAAGCATGCCGTGGGAGCTTTTATTTGGTCACCACCACTGACTACTCTGACGTTCCGGTAAGCGAAGAGCATGAATGAGATCCTATTGGGACTATTCCTCCAGTTGCGGCCTTCACTTCACCATTCCAAGGAAAATCCGTCGAAGATGTTGCAACTTGGCTCGAGAATATGCCTCCAGCACACTGTATTCATCGACATTTTTTTCTCGTTCTGGATGACAACTCGGAAGCCAACGACTCAATCACGATCTGCAGGTCATATGATCCTAGACAGTCTGACTACGGACCAAGACCGGGAGAGATTGACTTTTTTCCTGATCCAGCAGATACAGCGGGCGCTAATATGTCATTGTATTCAACGGGTCTCTTTGATTGTCGCCTGAGTGAATATCAATGGGGAAGGGGCAGGAATGGCGAAGTAAATTTGAGTCGGGGCAAGGCAAATTGGAGAGACTTGCCGACGAGATTTCTTGACTTGCCTCCCGAGATTCGGAATAAGATCTATGAGCTATATTGATAAGCTCTGAACCAATCTACGTATACACACCCCCTTCAGATGAAAACAAGAGAGCAGGAGATGCGCATCGTTCCAAGGTAGCAGAGGTAACACCTGGATTACTCCGAGTGAATCACTTGATATGGACCGAAACCGCACCCATATTCTATCACAACAACATCTTTACTTTTCAAAACGAGCATAGATATCCTACTGTAGAACTGTGGGACATTGTCTACTCCTTCCTCTCCATCATCGGCGACAAAAATCGTTTCAGCCTACGACGCCTGGAGGTGGACGTTCCATGGCCCACGATATTGATCAAGGATGAGATGGGAGTAGTGACAGCATGGAGAAGACGCCGAGAGTGGAATAGCAGAGTTTACGAGCCGGCAACCTATGACAATAGTATATATCCACCATACGAGCATCTATGCGGGATAGGGGTTGATTACACTGCCCCAGCTATCGAAGCAGTTTTCCGAATCCTAGGATCTGAAGGTTCAAAACTCCAGTTATCGTTGCTGCCTACCGGCATGTACCAACCTGGGTCAAGCGATCCTGACACACAACAATGTTGTGGCAATGCCGAGATCCTAGATCATGTGGAGCGGATGAGGAGACAGTATTGTGTTCGCGGAGCTTTCAGTAGAGTGGACGTCTTGTGGAAAACGAAGACACATGTCAAAGGCGGCGCTAAGGTGGTGAAAGACCTTGAAGATGGTGGCTGGGATGTTAACACTACGAAAGATCCTTTGATCCCTCATGTATGCAGCAGCGAGCCTGCTTGTCATCACAAATATGAATCACCGATGATGTCTATGGTCATGATTCGAAGAGGTCAGACGACAGATTCATAGTTATATCGCTCAATTCCAAAAGCATTAATTTTATGGCACTCGAATATTGGGATATAATCTAGGAGTTCCAAACAAGCACGAAACACCTCAAATAGATGGTTCAATAAGTTGTCACTCGACTGGAGACAAGATATTTAAGCGAGGCTTCCTGAAATCAACCATCTAGAATAGATAAGCTTCCTTTTTGCTATCAGTCGTGAATACCTCGATTGAATCCAGATTTGCTGTTTTCAGAATAGCAAATCTCACACATGAATGAACTTCGCCTACTTTCGTTTGCAAGTAACTCCGCTGGGTTAAACACTTCAGTAATAACACCTGATCGGAGATGTAATCGCCATATGTTTTTGACTGATTCCTCTCTCGGTATCTAGGCAGATTTCGCAATTGTGGTAATAATCGGTACTACTTGGCATTTATCAGGGTAAGCATTTGAAGTTACGCCAAAAGGGGCTTTAGTTAAGCAAAGCGTTATCTGTACTATAGAACGAGTTTATTAGTGGAAGCATTTTCCTCCATATAACCTCCTCTTTTGTTCGATTGCTGAAGAAGAGATAGTCTTCTATTGACATTTATTAGAGTCAAGTTGTGGCAAACATCTAAGTAATTCCTAACTCAACTAATAATAACAACCCCTTCGTTGCGCATCTGCCGAGAGCACTGCACAACTGCAACGGGCCAACGGCCACGTCAATACTCAAAGCAGTCTGATATTTTCAATATAATCAAAAACTGACAATCTCGTTAACTCAACTGCACCAAACTTCTGCGCTTTTCAATCTGTCAACAAACCGAGAAGATGTATCTTTTCCTCATCTCCCTCACCCTTCTCAGCCTCCTCAACAGCGCCATGGTCTCGAACCCTACAGCTACCGAGGACCAAGTGGGCTTCATTGGTACTATCGGTGGCCACGAAGTTGAGCTCAACGGCACTATCCAAGAAATCTACGCACAAGCCAAAGCCCTTTATCCAGACATGCAGGACATCGATGTCCCCACAACATTCACCACCATCAACGAAGTAACCCATGAGCAAAACAGAAACCTCATCAAGAAAAACGCCCTTCACCCCGCATTATGCATGCAAGACACAAACTACGACTGGAGATCCGCGAAACTGGAAGACGTTGCACGAGCATACAACCAGTTGCTTCATGCCCAGGGTACTTGTGGCGTTTGTCCGGGAACGTGTGTAAATGTTTCGGTGTTTGAAGACGCGACTGTTAAGCTGTGTTCGATGAATATACATACCATAAGTCCTACCTGCAGTTATTTGTCGTCGTATGTGGAGTTTATGATGAATGAATGCCTGTATCAAGAAAATCCGGCGGGCGGCTGGTTGCTTTCTGCGAGGATGTGGGATGGTGATAAGTACTATGTGGCTGTGATGAAGACTGAGCGATAGATTTTTGAATCTATTTGGGTTGGTATCAATATGAGGGAGCGACTTGTAATTGATGACGAATGTGCATTTGAGAATGATAGACCGCAGTTGGTGGTCTTGGAGACTTGCTCATTTATTATTTCCAGGATTTTCTAGTATGTCGAGACCTTTCTAGGCACTGTTTGCTAAAGACTTATGGATCCTCAGCAGTGTAAGTCTTGCTATCATAAATCGGATGTTTTCACAGATCACGGCTAATGTGGTTGCTCAAGCTTCTTCGTATAAGCGGAATAGAGTATTAAGTGAACTAAGTTGAGTTAAGTAATGACTACTACTCAATCTCAACTCAAATCGGAGCAACTTATGAATAAGTTAAGTAGGTTGAATAGCGCCACGAACCTGACCTCTGGTTGATCCAATAGCTGCGAACTTAGCCCGTCGTCCCGAGTTCTTAGCTAATCTGTTCCCTTACATTGATAACTCTGCACAAGTGGTTATCTTGATAGGCTCAACTACTAATTCTCAAACTGCTCAAATAAATAATGAGTAGAACTGTTCGCTACTTAACTTGGCTCAAGTTCCTCTGCTACTTAAGTTAACTGATCTCAACTTAAGTTAACTGATATCAACTCGAGTTAACTGATAGTATAATTAGATTAAACAATATTTTAAACCACCGTGTAAGCCTTCGATGCCGTCGTAAGGGCATATTCACTGACCAATTATCTGAACGATGCAACTATTATGGCGGCTAAGGATTTTACTACTAGTTATAGAACTCGACGCCGGAGTATGGAACACCACAATCTCCAAACTAACTGAGAAATTGAATTTCAGAGTCCGTGAAGAGTTCAAGTTTTGTATCAAGTATTCAATTCAATTGAATTAATTGCTAGCAATACTCTGTCGCTGCGGTCCGCAACGAGCCCCTTTAGGTCAATTCACAAGCGAGACAGCATACTAACCTTAAGCGAAGAAGACATCTTTATGCCACCGAATACGCAAGATTTACAAATAAAGAAGAAAACAGTCTTTATGGGGTGTTATTTCGAGGATGGTAATTGTCGGAAAATATGAGAACGCTCCCCTAATATCATTGGCTAGATTGCCTAGAAATCAGCCAAGTACAGTACGGAAGCGGCAGGTGCCTCGCCCGAACGGTACTTCTTCCCCGCCCCATATCCAATTACAATTCCCATCACTTACATCTACAAATAATAAAGCTCCACAGCCGGTTGGTGAGCCATTCTTACTGCATCAAACTCGAGGATGATCCGTCAGCATGAGGTATCCTTCGCACCAACATCCCGCGTTCGTTTGCAGCTCGCACGCCGCTCTTCATCCGGCCCACGAGGTTGAACAGGGGCTTTCTTCCGCTCCTTCCTCACCATGACAGCGACCGGCGGCCTGAAGGATGGCACCCTACAGACGCCCAAGTACCTCATCGTACGATATTTGCTCTCCGACTCGACGACGAAATACAAACGTTTTGTGTATTGCGCAAGATTGTTGTCGCGAACATTACCATGTCGGAACCGTCAAAAGAAACTTCTGAGCCGCAGCCACCAACAGAAGCGACGATACTTGAGGCGACAGAAGCACCTGTATCTCCAGCTGGCGCAAAGGAAGAACGAGCGCAAGAACCAACCGTGGAACAAATAGCTCAACAGCAGAGCGCTGCCGAACAAGCGACGACCACAATCGAAGCGGCCAGCGATACACATTCCGACGCAGGATACGAATCTGATTTCGAGTCGAGAGCTTCCACGTCGATATCCTCGAGTGTTCGCGATTATGCCTTTGAGAATGGGCGCAGATACCACAGCTTTCGCGCGGGGAAATACCAGTTCCCGAACGACGAAACGGAGCAGGAGCGCGAGGATATGAAGCATTCGATGATCATAAACTTGTGTGGAGGGAAACTACATTATGCGCCGTTGCAAAATCCACAGCAGATTCTGGATGTTGGGACGGGAACTGGAATTTGGGCTATTGATAGTGGGTGATCTATTCATTCCGGGCAAGAGATCTTGCTGATATATAATAGTGGGCGATGAGTACCCAAGCGCGGAGATTCTGGGAATTGATCTTTCCCCAATTCAACCGCTGTGGTTACCTCCCAATGTCAAGTTTATGGTAGACGATGCCGAAAGTCCATGGCTTTCCAAACCCAATTCCCTAGATTACGTGCACGCCCGACACATGTGTTCCGCAATCAAGAACTGGCCAAAATTATTATCAGAAGCATATACGTAAGTATAACCTTGCTCTAGCTATTACACAATGCTAACACCATCTAGCGCAATCAAACCCGGCGGCTGGATCGAAATCCAAGACCTCCAATACAAAATGCACTGTGACGACAACACCATGTCCTCCACCTACGACGTCCAGAAATTCCTCGGGCTCGTCCACGAAGGTCTCGCAGCCTTCGGCATCGACCTCTCCGCCATGGTAAACAACATCCAAGTCCTCCGCGACGCCGGCTTCATCAACGTCGAAACGAGAGTCTTCAAAGTCCCCTGCGGCGTGTGGCCGAAGAACAAAACGATGAAGATGATCGGGCTGTACCTCCGTTCGGTGATCTTTGACGGGCTGCAGGCGATTAGTATGGGGCCTTTCACGCGGGGTCTGAAGTGGACGCCGGAGGAGGTGGAGGTGTTCTTGGTGGATGTTAGGAAGAGCCTTTTTGATGCTTCGACGCATAGTTATTTGCCCTTTCATGTGTTTTATGGACAGAAACCTTTGGATGCCTAGATGGTGGCTTAAACCATCTGGGCTGTTTTTTGGGTTGCGATTTAGCGATGATGTACACGAATTTACGAATTTCTTTTCTTGCAAAAAAACAAAGAAATGGGATTACCGCTTCTAGAATTTTCAAGCATTTATTACGTTTGTTTCTGTGTTTATTCTGAGATTCTTCGGTTTTCGTGCGAAGGATTCAATACCATGCACCCATGGCGTTCAACGCATCCGGCGGCTCCCGCCCCGCATTCAAATATTTGCTTCTTTTCATCACTCATTGATTGGATGATATTTCTTCACCTTTCACCAAGCAATGAATTCGTTTTACCCCACTTTTGTCTTGCTTCTGTTTACTGCGTATATAGCCTAAGTTGGTATTTATGTTGGCTGTGATACGATCTAGTTTCGTCGCACGACATTGATCCGATCTATCTATAAATCCGATCTTATTGCAACGAGATTCCGTTATAAGGGGTTTGAAGATGGCGAGTCTACAACACCTCACAAACCTCGCCGAAGGCATCCTCAGAAACACAAATGTGCTCACTGCGTACCTAGAGAGAGAAGGGAAGGAAGCACCTACTTTTGATGCGGAGGGACTGAGTGAGTGGGATATTGGGGAGGGAGAGGTGGAGGTTAGGAGGGCGAGGACGGAGTTGGTTGATATGAGTAGGGAGTTGGGGGATTTGGCTGTTGGGCCGAGGGAGGGGTTGAAGGGGCTGGCTTGGGATGTGAGATCTTTTTCTTTGATTTCGTTTTTGGGGTTGAGGGGGGAGGGGGGAGGGGGGAGGGGATGTAAAGGGGGAGAGATGAGAGAAGGGGGAGAATGAGAGCGCGTGAGAGTGTATGGAAGAGGTGAGAGGTGGGATGAGATGAGAAAGCGAAGAGGATGAGGATGAGGCTGAGATGAGATGAGAGTCATACTAATTTTGTGAACAGTGTATAGACAATCTGAGCTTACAAGTCGTCTGTGAATTTAAAATCGCAGAGGCTGTCCCGATCGAAGGAACTATCTCGTATCAGGAATTAGCTGAGAAAGTCGGGGTTCCGCTGTTGAAACTACGACCTTGTGAGTGAGATCCATAACATACAACATCTCTTCTAGTTTGACAACAGAAATGATTTCAGAGGCTGATATTCCACAGTAATCCGCCACGCAATAACCAACCACATCTTCCACGAACCCCTCAAAAACCACGTCGCCCACACCAGCACCTCCCGTCTGCTCCTCCCCAACGAAAACCCTCCAATGCACGCCTGGGTCAACTTTTGGACCGACGACCTCGCCATCTCAGTCGCCAACGTCGTGAATGCGATGAAGAAATGGCCGGATAGTCAGGAGAGTAATGAGACGAGTGTGAACTATGCGTGGGATACCAAGCTTAATTGGTATGATTGGGTGCAGCAGAAGGAGGGGCTCGCGAAGAGGTATGGATTGGCGATGGCGGCGCATGGAGGGGGTGAGGGGTTTAGGGTTGAGTATACGGTTGAGGGGTATCCTTGGGGTGGGTTGAAGGAGGGGGCTACTGTTGTTGATGTGAGTTGTTTTGATGCTGGCTTTGACTGTTTGCTGACGTTTTAGATGGGTGGAAGTCAAGGTTTCGTCTCCTTCGCCATCGCAGAGAAATTCCCTGCGCTTAACTTCATCGTGCAAGATACAGCTGGCATGCGAACTCCTGAGACTATTGGTACTGTTCCAGAGGCTCTTCGGGACCGTGTCAAGCTTACTACTCATGATTTCTTCACGGAGCAGACTGTGGTTGCCGATGTGTATTTCTTTCGATGGATCTTTCATGGGTTCTCGGAGAAGTATTGTGTGGAGATCTTGAGAAAGCTGACGCCGGCGCTGAGGAAGGGTGCGAGAGTTGTGATTAATGATGGGGTTCTACCTGAGCCGGGGAGTGTTGGGAGGGTGGAGGAGAAGAGTATGAGGTATGTTTTCTCTTTGAAGCTCCATTCATGATGTCTTTGGATCTCGTGAGAGAGAAACGGAGAGGCTAATTGGTAAATAGGACTATGGATGTTGTCATGCAAGTGACTGTCAATGCTAGAGAGAGAGAACTTGACGACTGGGCCGAGCTATTCAAGACTGCTGATCCAAGATATAAGTTTTTGAATGCTTGGAAGCCAGAGAAGAGTCGAATGTGGATGATTGAAGCTGAGTGGACTGGTTGAGAAATGATTCAAGTGAGATGAGTAAAGTCCTTGTACTCGAATAGAAGGATTGAAGGATGACATTTGCGATACCTCTATTTAGCGATTCTTTAAGGCTTTTAGATCTGAAATAGCATAGCATTGCTAGTATCAGAAGAGTTTATGTTGCTACACAGCGACACATATTTGAGCTGGATTTAGCATTGTTTCGAATGATTTTGTTGTTTTTGACTGGAAGAAGCAGAAGAATCAGCGTGGTCAGGGTCAAGGAAGATATCACGTGACACAGCGTACGATCGTACTTCGTGGGTGTGTTGCGCTTGGACCATCTCGTTTAGTCTCAACGCTAGTGTCCGATCCGCACCACGAACATTTGGAAAAATTCCCTAACATTTCGCGAACTCCACGACACATCTTCCACGACAACTAACGACAACGATTGCACTGTTGATAATCCAGATCATCAGGTCAGTACATGCGAACACACATCCACGAGTCTTGAATGGCATCATTTTCGAATCCGACGGTCAGAGAGATATGGCAGAACGACGATACTTGGGTTGCACTGGTTGCGATGGAATAAACTGGATCATGCTTGATATCGTGGTTCTATGATTCTGCGAAAATTATATCAGCATGCCATTGCTCCTACCATTCGCACAGCTCATCTTCTTCTGCGAATACTCTGGTCGTTGGACAATTTGATACTTTCGAGGCTGAGCCCACTCCCCTCCATGAACCCTAAAGAATCACTAGCTAACATCTTCAACACGACAGAAACCGCAATCATGGGTATCAGTCGTGATAGCAGACACAAGCGCAGTGCCTCTGGTGCTAGGCGTGCTTATTACCGTGCGTAGTAGAAAGCCCATATGTCTTTGACATGTGTTCCAACCTGCAAAAACTAAGAATTTTACAGGGAAGAAGCGCGCTTTCGAAGCCGGACGTCAAGAGTCAAACACCCGTATCGGAACAAAGAGAATCCATCTCGTTCGTACCCGTGGTGGTAATCGAAAATTCCGTGCCCTTCGTCTCGAAGCCGGTAACTTCTCATGGGGTTCTGAGGGTATCGCCCGCAAGGTCCGCGTGATCGTCGTCGCTTTCCATCCTTCCAACAACGAGTTGGTTCGAACCAACACTCTCACCAAATCCGCCGTCGTCCAAGTCGATGCTGCCCCATTCAGACAATGGTACGAGGCACACTACGGTGCCAACCTCGGACGTAAGCGTCAACAAAAGGCTGGACAGGAGGTCGCAGCGCCAGAGAAGAAATCAAAGGGTGTTGAGAAGAAGCACGCCGACCGATTCGCTGCTCAAGGAAAGGTTGAGCCAGCTTTGGAGAAGCAGTTCGAGGCCGGTCGTCTTTTCGCCGTTGTCTCTTCAAGACCAGGACAGAGTGGACGTGTTGATGGATACATTCTCGAGGGTGAGGAGTTGGCTTTCTACCAGAGACAACTCAGAAAGTAGAGGAACTCGTTTTGCTTGAGATGGTTTGGGGCGTGTACTTCTGGAATTCATGGCACGGAGTTGCAGTATACGACATATGATCGTAACATGATGAATTTTCAAGGGGCATTGAGCAAAATCAAAAGAATACCAAAAGCATCCCAGTATCTTGAGCCTGTAAATTATTGTTGGCTGTTTTCTATTAGTGATTTCACATGCAATTGATTCTGATATTGACCACCACCCTTGCATATTTTAACCCCGCATGACCCCACGAATGTGAGGTGCTGTCAGCTTCCACACTCCAGCATGTTCTTCCCTTTGCGCCGGAGCGCTCTTCAACCGTCAACAACATCGCCATATTCCATCGATAACAAAATTGGAATCGCATAACGTTGAAGTTTGACTCCCACCGTCACAATGTCATCAAATGAAGGCCCCTCGGCGTCAGGGCCAGTTCTGGTCAACGGTCCTCCATCACAGTCAACAACACAATCACAACCACCCTCCCAACGATCCTCAATAGCTTCCAAACCGCCATCCTCCAAGCCATCCTCCTCTAAACCTCCATCTCGAGCCTTGTCCCAGCTATCCTCTACGCTACCTCACTCCTCCCTCCCCCATTCCCCCGAAACCCAGCGCCAAATCCATGAATCCCGCACCGCGCTCCTCGCGCAAATGACCTCGATAGGCCAAACCGCGACGCACGAAATGCAAGCCAGAGCCGTGGATCTACATGGCAACACGAAGGTCATCGAGAAGCAGGAGAAGATGCTTGCGACGGGCGTGAAGGGACTCGCGAAGGAGCGTGAGAAACTCGATAAGGTGGTTAAAGAGGGGGCGAGGGTTGTGAAGGAGCTGGGGAATGTGCAGAATTGGGCGGAGGTGCTGGAGAGGGATTTTTTGGTGCTGGGGGAGACTATTCGGTTGGCTAATGGGGGGAGTGAGAGTGAGAGTGGGAGTGGGAGTTCGTGGTCGAGTTATAGTGATGAGTCGGGTGGTGAGGAGGGTGGGGTGCGGTTGAAGAGGGATAAGCCGGATGGGGAGAGTTTGGAGACGGAGAGGACTACGGATGGGGAGGGGGATGTCGAGATGGGTGATGCGGTTCTTGGAGAGGGAGTTGGGGGCAAGGGGAAGGAGAGGGAGGAGGATATGTCTGTTGCGAAACTGGATGATGTTGCAACGACTATGGAACATAAAGACTCGGAGATGCAGACTGATATGCAGGTACCCGGTTTGTCGACTGCCGCGACGGTTGTTGGTTCTGCATCTGTTTCTGGGACTGAACCAAGTGGTAGTGAGAGTGTGCATACGATGCATTCAGGTACGAGTTGAGAAGCCAGTTCGGGATCTGATTTCCATCACGAAAGCCTCCTAGGGAAAAGAGTCGCCGAAAGCTTGCTTCTAGAGGATTTTTGGAAGGGAAATTTCCTTGTGGGAACCTTCAAGTTCCACATCACTGGAACGTCGATTTTAATTTGCGGCTTTGCGATTCGACTCTTGGCCAAAGAAGTCGTTTATGTCCAGCTTTATAGACCTCAGGACTCACAAACGTCCCAAGTCAAGGTATGCATTTCTCATAACTGAGATTTGTCCTACCTCAACTGGTTGATGTTAGCCTTCGTACCAGCTGCGGGCACTAGAATCCTTTGGGATTGGTATCATGTCGGGTCGACGTCAACGACAGAAAAATACATACCTGGGAACGATAAAAACTGGGCAACGTTCAACTACGACTCAACCTAAACAAAGTTCCCTAAGCATTGCCTACACCAAAGATATTTGCCGACTCTAATCACATACTCGACATCTCAATATGGAACCAGGAACAGTTGAGAAAGCCCCTCAGGCGGCTACCCTCAAACAAACCAAATGTAAGTAACTTCCTCCAAAACACGCGCTCAATCAACCAGCCATCTTGTCACTCCAATTCCTGACCTTCTCACAGGGGCTAAACCAAACTATACCCTCCCCGCCCCCTCCCTCCAATTCCTGTTCCACCTCGAATGCGAAATGGAAACCTTCCACCACATCGGCGACGGCGGGCACGGCAACCGTAGCACCGTAATCTTCAAAGGCGGGCGCTTCGAAGGCCCTCACATCCGCGGGACCATCCTGCCCGGCGGCGGCGACTGGGAGACCGTTCATGACCATGACGGCGATCAGCAGACCGCGCATCTGGATACCAGGTACAATTTGATGACGCATGATGGGGTTTGTGTGTACTTGAGGACGACGGGCACGAGAACGGGGAAGAAGAGTGTGCTGGAGGGGCTGGGGGAGGAGGATAGACATGGGCCTGAGGAGTATCGGATGAGGCTGAATATGCAGTTTGAGTGTGGGGATGCGAGGTATAGTTGGTTGAATCAGGTTGTGGGGGTGGCGAGCTCGGGGAGGAATGGGGATATGGTTATTTATGATGCATATCGGGTTTTGTAGATCGCTTTAAGAGTGGGAGTTTGGGTTGAGAGGATGCTGAGTTGATGACGAAGATGGGTAACATTCGCTCAGTCAATATTTGGAGGGTGAGGAGTATCAAAAAATCATTCCTGGGCTTAATTGCTATCAGAATCGTTATTTATATATATCAAATGTCGGGATAGCTTCCTAAAAATATCATGCCTCAATAGTCAAGTAGCAAACAAATCCAAAAAAAAAACACTCGGTTCCGACCTCCTCATTAATAGCCCCTTTTCTCCTTCCTACTTCATATATCAAAACAACGTTCATGTGCGAAATGATATATGAAAACGATACTCTCTTTACCAAAAAAGTATATCCTCGTAAGTAGACACTTTCTACTGCCTCTTTCAATTCTTAGTTCACTGAAATTTACTGTTGTTAATCACTTCCTCAAGTAAAAGTTCTGTGACATTTCTTCGTTTTCTCTTTCTAGCTCGTAAAAGCTCGTGGATAGATGAATCAGTTCTTTTAATTAGTCGTACTATAGATTACTAAGGAAGATTGTAGGAATCTCGGAAGAGATGTTATGCCTTTTGCGTGTATATTATACTAACGGTGGTGGAGGTTATTAGTGCTCTAGTCAGTTGATGGTTCATACAACGTCCGGTCCTGGGAGGCCGGTTATTGATTCCTCTAACAAATGTATCCGTCGGTATCAAGATGAAAATGTATACCTTCGAAATTTCTCATGCAATAGAATTTTGGAATTTCTTGTTTCGTTTCTCTTACTGATAGGGGATTTCGGTGTAGATAAAATGTGACATCGCTCGCGCCTGAAGGTTTTTGTTTTCTTGCGAGTATGAAGTTCTCATGGAGATGGATCGGACGTTGAAATACTATGCATGTCTTTACACGGGCACAGAACTGAGGGTGGATCGTAATGTCTATAGAAGAAACTAGATGCGGAAAGTAACCTGTAGATAATTGACTTATTAAGGATAGAAATACCATTTTTAGATGTCTACCTCTGTCTACGACGTATTACGAACTTGATGAACCAAGTTGCTTGTCAATGAAATTTAATAAGTTGGTATCTCATATCCGCTAATGTTCACATGCATAAATCTCTCGTCGCCCTATACAATCATTACGTCTCTGCGGCCAACCGGATTCTTTTCCTGTGGATTTTCTCTGTCTTTCCACCGTCACAATCTCTGCACAAACAGAACAGCAATTGCTAGCTAGTCTCCGGCCATGAAGAGTGATCTAACTCTTCCAATAAACGCTCGGCTTCGACATGTGAAGTCTGACAATGTTTAGCCTTCCTTGACGTATCCCAATATCTTTTTTGTAACTTGAGGAAATGTGCAACAGACCATCACCAATTTTTTTCTTTGCATTCTCCTTCCGAGGGTCTAAAGGGCTCTTCGAGTCTGTCGTATTGCTTGTTTTTGTAGTGCAGTGGGGAGGATTTCTTGTGCTGCTGGTATAATTGCTTCGATGAACCTCTGTAGGCTCGCCGGCGAGACATTGCTTATCCTATTCTCGTATTATTATTATACAATGAAAGTGGTCTACGAAAAATGCGATGTTCTGTCAATTAATTTTCACTCAATACTTCTTTCCACTGCCCGTCGACAGTCTTCTGACGTCAGATCACCGTCTCGGCCTCACTTTCGTTCCCCCCCTAAAATTAAGCGAGCCACCGGCGACCAAACCTCTCCTATATTATCGTGGGCTACTAATGCAAGCAATTCAAACCTGCCATCTTCAGAACCACAGTTTCCAGATCTGCCAAAACCAAATTATACATTCTGTTCTCACAAGGATCAATTGATTACCACATTCTGCGCATCTGGACAAATACGATTTCGAACAAAATATCGCTGACTATAACCACGATGTCGTCCACTAAAGAGTTCGCTCAAAGCCGTTCTATCACTTACCTTTTCATTTCTCCAACGAGATTCATCGAAGCTCTCTACAACTATACCATCGAAACAACGAAATCTACAACAATATGGCTCCATATGCGCAAGTTCTCAAAGCTCTGCATCGATGCAGCGACGTACAATAACTGCAGAAATCGCGAGATGCTTCTCCACAAGTTTAATTTACATATGGGTGCCGTGGCAGTGCTGTCACTAGTAGTTTTCATAATTGACATCATAGGGTACGACATATCCATTTGGATCTACATTACACAAGAACTCTTTTGGGTTGTGATTGCACAGTTGATTATCAGAGAGTTTCGCAAGGCACAAGAGAGAATGTTACGCACACGCAGATGGGGTGACGAGTGGGACTGGAACTGGAACGACTGGGGGCTGGATGAATGGGATTATTGGAATTTTGGCATGTGGAAGCCGGGCGAAGAACCGAATGTTTCGTGGGCTTTGAGACGAAAGGGTTTGATATATACGAGTAACCCGTTACGAGATTATTTCCATTTCTTTGGAAGGAGGAAAGTTGTGGGTATTATGACCCTCAAATTCTAAGCGAGACCTTAGTCCCCCCTAAAGATTTAGAGGCTTCACCGGGATATATCTTGAGTCCTTCATGCCATCGGTCTGCTCAAAACCTTTCCACCACCTCGACTGACACCTTCATTCTTCCCGAACTCTGTATTGAAGCATTCTACGACTTCTTCAGTTTTACGATGGACATCATAAAATCTACGGCCATTTGGCAAGCAACCTGCACGTTTCTTCACCGCTGCAGAGAGGCGTTGAAGTTATACTGCAATACAGTGATATACAAGGACGATGAAGGAAATAATAGGATGGTTTACTATCATGTATGGAGACAGGCAATCGAGGAAGAGAGAGTCCTACGCGGGAGGATGTGGGGTGACGATATTGACTGGATGGATGAGGACGATTGGGATGATTGGGACGATTGGGACCGGGAAAATGGGCACAGATTGGGTCTGATTGTAGGTTTGATAAATCCGGGTTGCAGCGACAACATTCCTTCGGCAAGAAAAGGCATGGTTTATACCGTCAACCCATTGCGAGATTACTTTCATTTCTTTGGAAGGAGAGGAGCACGTGTGGGTGTTGCAGATGTGGTGACCCTTAACCCTAAGCGAGCTTTTTAGTCTTCCCCCTATAGGTTTAGGGGCCACATGGGGGATATATTATACGTCGCTCGTACCTGCGAGTCAATCTCCTTTACTTGTAGGGATACCGCAGCTACACTTCACCGATCTGTATACAACTACCGTTTCAACCTGAATATCACCTACCATTTACACTATGTCTCTTATCACAAAGACTGCTCAATACATCCTCACCACCTTGTCGGATACTTTCAATTCTTCTGATAAATTTATAGATGCAATCTACAACTCCTTCAAATTCACTATCCAAGCAGTGAAATCCATTCCAGCCAGGCCATTCTACCAGAAGTACCCACTTTAATTCTTGCTTTACTTTATTATGTCCTGCTTCTTGGAGTTTTACGTGCACAAACCATTGTGCGAGTACAACAAAATCCACAACGTTGCCATACCTTCTTGGGCGGAATGAAGACAAACATTCGAAGAAGCAAGAGTCCGACGCGGTCGCAGGTGGGGTGACGACTGGAACCTCAACTGGAATAATTGGGGTATGGACGAATGGCACGCTTGGGGTTTGGATGAATGGGATTATTGGAATACTTACATGTGGTTAAGAGATATCGGCGATCCAATTATTCCTCCAACCGCCGTATGGGGGCGTATGATAATTTCTATCGTCCCTTTGCGAGATTATTTCCATTTCTTTGGCAGAGAGGAAGGAGGGCCACGTGAGGGGGAGGTTGTACGGCAGGTATTATGACCCTCAAAAAGTTAAGCGAGATTTAGTCTCCCCCCTAAACACTTAGTGGCCACACGGGGAGATATTGTACGTTCCCCGTGCCTGCCATTCTTCAATTCCCCGTCGCTCGCAAGGATACCGCAGCAACTTCTCACTGATCTGCATACAAGTGCCGCTTCGATAGAACCAGTGCACGCCAACGATGGATTTCACGGTGGAGAATATAACCCGGGAGGCAATGACGATGGAGGACATCGCTCCGCTACCAATCCCGAAAGAGCAGCTTCTTCACTCTCGATACCAATGCAATTTCATATTCATACTGCTCGGCCTCACATACATTCTCTGGTATACGAGAGAAGTCGTAGAGGCTGGACGCTGGTTTCAGCGCGCGAACAATTTGGATGTGGAGGCTCTCTGGGATGAAGTCAACGACATGCCAGAGTTCGGTGACTTTTGGGAGGAGCTCGGCATGATGGTCTTTGCAATAGATTTACTCTGGTGGCGCTTATGGTGGTTCAACCTTGAGATCTACGACGTGCTCCTCCACATAATCCGCCTACGACTCATCTTGAAGTCTTCGCTTTTGAACGTTGACAGTTTTATTCGCGTTCATATTCCACTTTCAGACACGGAGTTTGATTTTCTTTTTATGTTTATCCTGTATTGGGTCTTTCCCCGTGTTGCTGATAAAGTCGAGGCCTTACAAGCCAAAGACGAAGCCAACGACGAAGCCGAGAACGCACCAGAAGGAGATTAAGAGCCATGGAAGTCAGACACAATCAACAATTGTCTCTCAGCCATCCAATTCTAACCCGCCCATCCTCACGACAAGACCACGCATCTCCCCCTCCCGACTCCCCTCCTCGATTCCCCCTCTCACCAACCCCAACCAACGATTCCGAACCCGAACTGTCATTTGCATCCGGCGACCCTGCGAACCCACGAAATTGGCCAGCATGGCGGAAATGGAGCATCATCATCGCAATTACATTGGTAGATCTCACGGTTTCATGGGGTGCTTCTGGATATTCTCCCGCGGAGACCGAGATGGAACAAATATTTGGTGTCGGTGCTGAAGTCGGGACGTTGGGATTGAGTCTCTACGTCCTTGGATTGGCACTCGGTCCTATGACATTGGCGCCATTGTCTGAGGTATGTCGAGTATCGAAGTCGCAGGAACTTTGACTGACACCTGGATGCAGTATTTTGGACGAAGTCCTATTTACATCATTTCTTATGGTGTGTTCCTTTGCTTGATACTTGGTACTGCATTGGTGCAGAACCTAGGCGGTTTTCTTGTTTTAAGATTCTTTGCTGGTTTATTTTCTGCTGTTACAATTGGTAAGTCTCCAAGTTGGAAGCCAAGAATATGTCAGCTAACACATGGGAAAGCAAACTTTGGGGGAACCATTGCAGATCTCTTTACTTCGACGGAGACAGGGCCTGCTATGTCAGTATTTCTATGGGCTGCGACAGGTACGTACATCAACACTTCGGCATATGATTATTTGTGCTGATTGCCCTCCCTCGCAGTTGGTTCTCCGTCCGGCTACTTCCTCTTCTCCTTCATCGCAGCCACAAAAGGCCTCCGCTCCGTCTTCTGGGCTCTCCTCGGAATCTCCGGTGGTTTCTGGCTCATCATGATCCTCGTCCTCCGCGAGACCAGACACAGCATCATCCTCTCACGTCTACACAAACACCATCGTCAGACTTCCAAACAACCAATCCCCCAACGAATCAAACTCGCAGCCGGAAACCTCTACCAAAAGGCTCTAAAACGACCTTTCACATTCCTCTTCACCGAACCCATCGTTCAATTCTGTGCTCTCTACAATGGCTACCTCTACGGTCTCTCGTTCCTCTTCAACAGCGCATTCGTCATCGTCTTCGGCGCACAAGGCCACGGTTTCGGAACTATAGACACAGGATTATGTTTCCTCGGTATATGCGTAGGCATCACACTCGGTCCCATCACCACAGCAATATTCCAAGAACCATACTACCAGCGAAAGCTAAAACGAAGCAACCGCAAACCCAACCCCGAAGACCGGGTTATGCTAGGTAAAGTAGCGGGTATAACATTTCCAATAAGTCTCTTCTGGTTCGCATGGACAAGTTACAGTTTCATCCACGTACGTCACCTCCCTCTCCCTAAACCACGAAAGCTAATTCACACCGCAGTTCATCGTACCCATCCTGGCATCCGCTCTCTGGGGCTGGTCCTTCTACACGCTCATCTTGATGACCTACACATACACCGAAGATTCGTATCACACCTTCTCCGCCTCGGCACTCGCGGGCATAGGACTTATACGCAATATTGCCGGTGCGGGTTTTCCGCTGTTTGGGAGACAGATGTACGGGCGGTTGGGGAATCAGGGGGCGAGTAGTTTGTTGGCGGGGTTGGCGTGTTTGATGGTTCCGATTCCGTTTTTGTTGGGGAGGTTTGGGGAGAGGTTGAGGGGACGGAGTCGGTGGGCGGGTGTGGGTGAGGAGGGTGGTGGTTCTGAGGGTGTGGAAAGGAGAGAGGCGGAGGGGAAGGATGATGAGGTTTGAATTTTTATTGGGGTTGGATGACGTTTGGGTGATTTCATGAACTGCTTGGGTTTTATTGTTGGATAACTCTGTATAAAAATTGTAATACCCCTTTTGACCAATATTTCTGTCATTACAGATTCACAGAACATTGAACAATTATTAGCCCAGTGATAATTTCTGTAACATTTACAATTTCAGAAGTTACATTACTCAGAGATTTAAGATTACGACTCCGGGGAACAGATATCCATTCACCCATTTATAACCCTATCGAGAGAACTTACAATTCAAGTAAGAGACTCAGTCTAATTTCTATTCACAATTGCGGATTTAGATTCATTTGATGACGACTTTCACACTCTACATTTCTCAAAGCCATAAAATCTCCCAAAAACAACATGATCACAGAAAATACCCTTACACCCACGATCTTGAAATTCAAAGTCAATTACACTATAACATGCTTAAAAAGACTATATAATCTACCACGAAGCACTATGATCAAGAAAATTTGGAACGTAGGCGTAAGATGAGAGGGGGAGGAATTAATGTCTTGAGAAAGGGGAGGTTGTGGTATATAGGATTCAGACGTTTGGTGGTTGATCTTTTTGAGGGTTGTATCGTTGAACAGGGGTTTGTTTAGTGGTAAATGACGAAGGTGTGTTTATTATTGTGGGATCTGATATATAAAGTGAAATCCGAGAATTGTGATTACGTAGTTTGCGTTACTAGTTAGTTTAGCTTAACTTTTTTTTGAGGAAGTTGTGAGGTAGTTGAGGATGAATATAGTGATTAAATACCAATAAACGGATGTAGAGGAGAGATATGTAGTACACGGCTGATTTAAGTAAAGCCTTATATTATAAATTTTAAAGGCGTAATGAGGGGCCACTAGTTTCTCTCAACGCTTCTTCAATTTAAATAGATAACTCACCACTAACCTCAGCGTAAAAAACAATTTCCATCAACACCCCAAACTTCATCACGTACCTAACTCCAATCCCCAGTGAATTTAAACTCCATTTCCCTATCACATTGTTTGAATTATCTAACACCCTTTCAATTCCAAATCCTCTACTCATCATCATCCGCCAACCAAGATAAAATTACTCAATCAACCCATCAATTCCATGCACCCCCCTTTCCCCTTGCCCCCAATCTTTCCAATAACTCATCACGACCCAAAAAATGCCCCTAAGGATCCAATCGAGAGATAAATTCTAATCACCAACACAAGCCTCGCCATCCGGTATCCACTTTATTTAAGCAGAGTTATAGACCATAGTTCCACGGATTTTATTAGTATTAGTTCAGACGAGGTATATTCGATTTTGACGTGGAAACGACGTATTCAGATACTAAAATCAAAACATCTCCTGCCTCTTTGTGACGATATCAATAAAGCATGCTTGTAGACCCAGTCTACGAGATTCAAGGTTGAAATAAATAGCAATCGTGATCGAAGCGAGCTCACGACATCAATCGATTGTACAATAAAATCACTTTCACAATAAACGCACAAAACACACAATCCTTCAAGTTCAGGCAAGTATCATTCCCACACCCCCGTACAGGCCGCACCCAGCGCCTCACCTCCCCTCACACCAAAGCATCACTATCACTATATACAACGATCGCCCTTCCTTCTAGCGCCATAAGACATGCAAGTGATTCACTGTCCCTATTCATCTAGCTCGAATAAACACTGATCATAACACCCCATACAAAGTAATCGACCCGCGCTCCAGAGAGGATTATGCCCATGCCATCCGTTGCGTCCAAGAGGAAAAAGAACGAACGAGAGGGGGAAAACACCAAAATAACAAAAAAACACAAACGTTGGATATCTCTTTTTTTCTGAAAACTTGGTTCGTCGTAAGTATGCATGTATCGCTAAGCCAAATCGTGGTTGAGGAGATGCTTGGACCGCGAGAATAAAACAGGAAGGGAATGGATGATTTATACAAGTCGAGAGTTGTGTTGTTGGTAACAAACGACGATATGGAGAATTTAAACTTCGTTAAGCGCTTTCCGAACATCCGTCCATTTTTGATTTAGAGTTTCGTATTGGGAATTGATCTATGGGACTGTGAGCAAGCTGTAGGGTATATTAAGAGAATGTTGATGACTTACCTCGGCATACATCATCTTGGTTTCCACAAGATTCTTCTCCATCTCGCTCATCTCTTCCTCGAGCCTGGTGTTCTCTTCGTGCACCTCTTTGTTGGATTGCAACAACCGATCCATCTCACTTTTCAATCGTTGTTCTACCTCTTCGGGCTGTTTTTCAACAACAATTCGAAGCTCTCGAACTTGCACCTGAAGTGACTCGTTCTTGTCTTTGAGCTCTTCGTTTTCGACTTTGGTCCTTACAAGATCGGTAGCTAGAGCTGCATGTTCCGTGTCATGCTCTTGGACTCGTTCTTCTAAACGCCTGACCTTGAGTGAAAGCGCCTGATTGGTTGACTTCAAAGTCTCAAGCTCCGCTTCACGTTCCTTCTCTAGTCGTGTCTTTTCTTCCCATTCCAAGGTGTAAGTTTTGAGTACCTCGGGGGTAATTTTGACTGCACAAGCATCTTGAATCAGCTGGTCGGCACGATAAACTTCCTTGTCAATGCTGGCACCGGAATTTCCAAAGAAACCAGACTCAAGTATGGATCCGGCCGACGGCGCTTGGTCGATATAAACGTCGAACAATCTATCCTTAAGATGTGTAGTCAACGCTACCATGTCATTCATGGCAAGCAAAGCTGCAGCATTTTTCTGCATCAGGACAATACCGAACTTCAGAATAGCTGCTAAGCCTTCGCTGAGAATTAAATCATAGATTCGAAGCACAAGCTGAAGGGGAAATCGATATGCGAAAAGGGTAAGGAACCACTGTGTGGCGTATAAATGTGGCGTTACTTGGCGTCGCTGCAGATGGCAGTACAACGCTGGTTCAAAGTCTTCCAGTAATCGCTCAAATTGGTATAGATGCATATGCAAGCCTGGCATATCTTGAATGAATAAATCTCTCAAGTGGTACTTGTTCATCAATCTGACTAGCAAACAGAACGCTTCTTCTTCGGGCATCTTTACATAATTAGCCAAGATTCAGGATCTCAGGATTTAGGAGCGTAACTTACGTTAAAAAGCAAAGGCATGGCCAAGAAGTTCATACCCTGCGCATATCCCACACCCTCATCAAAAAGTGCGTACGCCTTGCATACACCAAAAAGGCCTTCCTGTAGCCCTGCACTGGCTGCAAATTTTGAATAGCTGGTTCTGGCGCCAAGATCCCTTCGAATGGTCTTTTCAAGTTTTGCTAGCGCAGCGGCATCTTCTTTGGCCTTCTTCTTCCTTTGTGCAATTGAAGCTGCTTGAGCCTTAGCCAAGGCATCTGCGTCTTTTGGTGGTGTGGGCGATCTGAGCCCGTTAAGATGTACTTGTGCAGGCGTTGAATGATCTGAATGAATAGACGAGGCCGACGAGGCGACCTCGCCATTTACTGAGCTGGAGCTATGAATCATGCTTGCTACTCCACTCGACGAGCTCATTCTATCCTTCTCCTTATCAGTGCCACGGATGAGCAAGTCTCGGTAGACACTTTCCAAGTCCTCACTCTTGCTCTGTGCTAGCACTTGCCACACCACACCTCGTATAGCATTTGGAATCCCTGTTGCAATGGCTCGATTCAACTCCTCTGCGCTCGTTCGGGCAACTGCAGCTGGACCTTCATATACCACCGATTGCCACAAGTCCCAGTCGACAGGCGCCGAAGGATCACCCATCGCTGAAGGGCCAGCGGACACCCCAGATGCGGTGCCGGGTGCCAAAGCTGGATTGACCGTAGCAATATTGGGGGTTGATGCATGCGGCGACCGGGGGGAACTTGCTGCAAGTGACAATTCTCTTTCGTCTACTCGAACTCCCGGGCTTGACAAACTCAAGGAAGGTCCTCCTTTCTCATCGTCTCCGAGACTGGTAATGCCAGCTTCCTCCCGCATTCGTAACAGCTTGAATCTGTCTCGCAGGCTGTTTCTTGCCGGCTTCTGGTTCCCATTCACGCCATCTCGCTCTTGGCCCTCTTCGAGCTTGCTCAACATCATTTCGGGGTTGCTTCCGATGGTTGCAATCGATGAGGCAGTATTACGCCGCTCGGTGTTAGGGGAGGGCAATGGCGGAGAGGCAACGGTTTCCTTGTTGGATGTTGTATTTCTTGATAGCCATGCGAAAGGGCTTGTCAGCTTTCTCGACGGCGGTGGTGGAGGCGGTAAGGATGCTTGTGCTGGAGGTGCTGGCGGAGGAGGCGCCCAAGGAACAGATGGCAACGCCCCCGATAAGCCTTGGAGACCAGGTTTGGGTGCTCTCGCCGGTAAACTAGGGGGTGGTGACTTTGCTTCTGCTTTGCATTCCCGTTAGCTGAGAGGATCTCTAATGCTACAAGTTTGATATACCCTTTGTTGCCGGTACACTCTCGGCTTTCTCTGTGGTTCCTTCTTCGTCAAGACTAACATTGTCTAGGGATGCATTTGAGAGACGGTGCGAGGTAAGAAGAGGGGATTTTGGAGGTGCATCATCATGACTCCCTGTGACTGATTCGTTCGTTTCCGTTGCAGGAGTATCAGGAATATCTGGGACGGAAGGATGTTCGGGGGAGTCGTCTCTTTTGGCGCTCTCACCAGAGGAAGACCGCCGTCTCGTCAGTGAGCGTGTTCTCACTACCGTTGCCATTTGTGCCGATTCAATAGCTGCGGTGTCATTGGCATCCTCGAATGTGTCCTACAGTACAAGCCCATATTAGTCAAACGGCTGGTGGTACCGGAATACAGACGGTGCAAACAGCCAGCTTGCGACGCCGCATAGTACTTACACTTACATCGTCCCTATCAGACAACGACGCAGCAACACTCGAGTCTCTCTTGTCCGTATGCACGTCGGACTGGGTGTGTTCTTTAGATTCGTGTTCCGCCATGCTCGCGTTGGTATCGAATCGAGCCAGAGGGAGTAGAGATCCTTAGCAGCACCCTGACTCCATCAAAGGGGTGTTGCGGCCAGGCGACCAGTGTCGTCCACGAGGTTCGTGCGAGGATGTGATGATTCTCGAAAGATATGAGTCTGTCGAACTTGTAGAAGAAATGGTAATTGTACGTGAGTGGAAAGTTGCGATGGCGGATAATGGCAGATGTTGTATAGTCGTCGAAGGGGTGTTGAGTTGATGTTGTTGACTTTGAGAGACAATAAATTGTTCGTCGGGGGTCGCTTGACACACCGGGCAGACCACGGTTGCGGGCCGCTCGTTCTAAGGGGGTGCAGTTTAGGTACCGTAGTACCGTAGTTAGAGAACGAGTAAGGTTTGATTCAATAGCGAAGAAGAGTGTAGGAGAATTGGTAAATGAAGATGAAGAGCAATTCTGTTGAAAAAGATGACAAGTATAGCCCTCACAGGAACTTTATTCACAAGACAGATATTCCTATGAAGTGATTCAATCCTACCAATGAGCTCAGCCCTATCACAGGCTATCGGTGAGTGGCTCAGCATCAGATAGAGAGCGAGAAACACGTAAATGCTCGTCCATCCTCCAAAATATCATTATTTTGGTAGTTCTTTTTTTATCCACAATCAAGATGTGTTAAGGACCTACATGATTAGTTTTCATGCGTTTGAAACGGTCAAAATCCAGCTTGAACATCTTTTTTCAATACGACACGCGGTTGCTATCCTCATCTGACTAAAGATGCCGAGCTTGAATCGCGGGATTCTGTAACAGATCAGTATTTGTACACGTGACTCAGCCTTGTCGACGAGGCTGGATTTGTTGCGTTCCCCAGACGAACCTGTAGGCGGTGAAGTTGACTTGAATAAATTGATCTTAAGATGACAAAACGGTAAATGATTCACCAAAGGCGAAATTAGACGTTATTAGAAAGAAAGAGCCGAGTGTTTATGTTGTCTTGATGAGATCAGACAAATGAGCTATAGTTGGGATGTCATTCTTCGAGTCTGCATGTCCTGGGTCTATAAATGGCAATATAACTAGCTTTGCGGTTTAACTCACCTTTTTATCTACACAATAAGAAAAACATTATTGAAACAGATCAAGCGGATTTGCGAGTATTTTGCTCTCGTTACATACTGCGAAGAAAAACTTCTTGTCACTTTACAACTTGCAAGTTACAAATAGCGGGGACTCAAACCATCAAAAGATTTCTTGTTAGTTCATTATATGCAACCAAAAAGCTGTAAGCAGTGTTACTGAATCTCAATATCAGTACTTACCGGTATCCAATCCGAAATATAGCATTTCGGTCGACCGTTGAAAGTGAATCGAGAAGCCAAGGTCTGACGTACTGCAGCATCCCGTCCCGAATATTAAGCGCGTCCCAGGCCAAAACCTCGCGAACTCGAAAGTTTCCTGAGCTCGCAACCTTCAACCTCCATCTTCCCCGCCATCCACCATCAACGATTTTCCATCAACATTCTACGCACTTACCCAGTCGAATCCTGGCATCGTATTCGAGCTTCGGATAGGAAAACTTTGGACGATCTGAGATCTGAGAGGCGCCTGCACCGTTCCTCTTCACACGCTCTTTTCGATTCATCACGATTCCACCATCACGGCCCTTCTTCGAAATAACTTCCACCGTACCGCACGCGATTTTAGCACAATACTTGCGTCTCCCGAGCAATCCTCTCTCGCACTCTGAGTGTGCTCCGCCGCCGCCTTCGTACTAGGCGAATACCAAGTTCGAGCTTTGATAGCCTCGCGGAAAGCTCATCTGCCAGCAGCTGCCTGCTCTCTGCAAACGAACCTAGCTGTTCTGCCATCGCTGGAGTCGCCCTCGTGGGGACGCTCCCAAAGAAACAAACAAGGTGTCGCCAGCCGGGATTGACGGTGAGGTAGTGGAGGGGTCTTAAATCAGCAAGATAGCGGGTTCGCCGCTCCCGCATTCATCATGGTCCGAATTACAAAGACCATGCAGGCGAAACACCTGGAGACTATGGTGAGTTCGTTCCGTACTTTGTAAACGATCACTAACTAATGCCCTCAGTCCCCATATATCAAAGAGTTTCGCACAACTGCATGTTCGACATCGTTGCCTCTCCTGCCACAGCATCTTTCGACCTTCCCAACCAGGTGGCCCTTCCCCCGTGGCGATTTGTATCATTGGATTTCCCTTCTGAACAGATTTGATGTTATACTCGAGAGATTCTGCAAGACGTATAAGCTTGATGAGGGGCCGCAGACAGTAGAGTTTGGGCGGCAGATTCTTGCGTCAAACAATGGCGAAGCAGGCGATGATTCCAAAGACAATCCTGAACTGCTTGGGTTTGCCGAAGATGGTGATCGCCAACTCATAGAGTCAATTCTCGACTTTTCCCGCATGCTTTTACAAAATTGCGGCAATCGTAGTATCTACCAAAGTAGCTATCATCTCAACAGCTTGTTGAATACCACATCGCTTTCATTGTTGCAGAGTACGCTTCTTTTAGGATCAGAGTTGGCACAGAGATATCAAGCTGCCTTGAAACGCATGCATATTCCCGTACGGCACGTCAGCAGTGCCTTACTATTCAATCATTATAACATCAACCTGGATAGAGTGCTACAACTAGCCGCTCCTTTCGCCAAGACCGGGCTTCCATCAACAGAACAAGTTCAGCCAGGTACTCCCTCTACGCCTAGTACAAAAGGAAAGGAAAAAGCGTACTTTCATACCCCACTCGCAAGCACCAAGTCTGCGGCATCGACCGTTTATGCTAACGACTTAGTATCACTGGTCAAGGGAGGCAGTGGGATCAGTGGCAGTCCGACCTCTCAAAAGAATGGTGCTAACAGAAATTCTTCCTCCTCTGCAGAGCCTAGTTGGGATCAATGGGGAGATGTCAGAATCACATATTACCCTAAGCATGTGCCGGATATCGACGCAGCAAACACTACTCAACGCACGCCAAGCAACGCGTCTCCTGCTGCTCCTGTGACCCCGACACCCATTCGGAGGTCATCCAACCTTGGTCCTCATGGCCAGCGCGCGAGTAGACCAGCTGCTTCTGACGAGTCCCCTTCGAACGGTCGATCACCAAATGTAGTCACTGAAGCTACGAACGCATCTACGGCTAAAGTTATTGAGATTCCATATCCAACATTAAAATCCTCCAACTTGCACACTCTTCTCCAAGAGTACATGCCTGACTTATCACCCGAACTTAGATACGAGCTTTTATCCAAGTTACGTGTCGCATCTGCGTTGACAACTTCTCTTGAGACCCGCCGTCAAATGCTGTCCATTCGTCTTTTGGCAATCACTAATTTGGCATACATTCATTCTGAGACTGCTTTCCTCGAAAATGTGTTGAAGCAAGACGCAGACGAGCCAAGGAGACTACAGATCACATACCAACTTGCGGAAATGATTCATCCCCCAGCCGATGGCGATATCGCGATACCTAGACCGCTCCAAACTTTGGCTCTCTCCGCGCTCGAGGCCCTATCAAGCCATCAAACCAAGTTTACAGATGTCTGCTCCGCTCTGAACACCAACATCAACCATGGAGTTCTTCTCTACGTGGTAAGAAAAGCTGTAGCTGGCATGGCGATTGATAGCCCGGGCGATCATGTGATTGAAGAGGATGAGTGGAGAGACGCGGTGTTCTCACTGCTTCACAACTTATCCATGAATCCTCGAATTGCGGGTGAGTTAGTCGCCGCTGGTCTTGTTCCTATATTGGTGGAGATATTGGGTTTCCGTACGGACGTTGCAGAGCGGTACCACCCCACTATCATTCAATTTCTCGACAACATCATGTACAGCGTTCGTGATTCATTCCAGACCCTTGTCAACGCAGAAGGCCTGGACGCAGTGTCCAACCTTATTGTATTCGAGGTCAACGCGGCTGCTGAAAATGCGCGTGCTGGAAGGGGTATCCGACCTGAGTATCGCTCAGTCACTGTGGATTACGAAATCCCTTTTTACCAGCAACAGACATTGAAGTGGCTCTTTAAATTCATTCATCATATGATGTCGGCCGCCGGTGCCTATGGAGCAAATTATGACCGCCTACTTCGTAACCTCATCGATTCGTCCCAGCTTCTTGCGAGTCTTCGCGAAATAATTGGCAATTCCTCCTGTTTCGGCTCCATTGTGTGGACCAATTCCGTTAGCATCTTGAACGATTTCATCAACAATGAGCCTACGAGCTTTGCAATCATTGCCGAAGCCGGCCTCAGCAAGGGGTTTTTGGAAGCTGTGACTTGTACAGAGATCCCCACACCATCCGAAACCAAGAAAGCGGAAGATTCTTCTGCGACCAATGCAGAGATACCTGTAACCTCCAGCACACCCGCTGCGCAATCTGATGATGACGATGACGATGACACTAGCGATGATGAGCCTGTTCTTCCTGCTCAGCGACCTTCGCTAGCAAAGCTTCAGCAGCCCCGTGAAGGTCGACTCGCTCAGGGGATTCTGCCCACTTCCGAGACGATTAATGTCATTCCGCAAGCTTTCGGTGCCATTTGTTTGAACAATGCTGGCATGAAAATGTTCCAATCTTCTCGTGCGCTCGAGTCCTTTTTCGAAATCTTCGAAAGCCCCGAACATGTCAAATGCATGGAGACTAACAAAGATCTGCCTTCCAGCCTTGGTGGCACCTTTGATGAGCTGGTGCGGCATCATCCGCCGCTCAAAACTGGCATCATGAATGCGATTCTCACCATGGTCGCACGAGTGGGGTACTTGTGCAAAACGAAGGCTGAACGCCAGAAGATTGGTGCAAAGCTGTGGACGACGGATTTTTCGGGGAAATCTGTTATTGCTGATTGGGATCTTTACCCAGCCAACCAGACCGCAAAGGGCAAAGGAAAGGCCATTCAAAGTGATGACGATGTTGACATGCAAGATGTTGATACGGCAGCTGTGACAGAGAAGATCGATCAAACAGCGGAAATTACGCCAAACGCTTCACTAACTCCATACATCTCTGCTGTGTCGACCTTCCTTCTAGCAATGCTCTCTAACTCCTCGGTACGATCTGAATTCTGTTCCAAGGGTGGCATCGAATATCTTTTGGATCTAGCCGATTCTCCTTGCCTTAGCTATGACTTTGGTGAAGGGTCCGCGAGTCGCAATCTGCACAGCGCGATTGCTCTTGTAGCAGAGCCCAAGCCACACCTGACTATACCCTCATTACTTCGTAGAGCTCAAGTTGCTGCCGATGTTCTCACTCCATTTGCTATCCACAAGGGTGATAATGCTTTTTTTGCGGCGTTCGTCAATGGAGATGCTCGAACGGTTGCTCCAGCTGAGTTTGTTGCACAGGGAACAGCTTTTGCCAAAGCCTTTGTCAACCTTCAGTCCCTGATTAGCACCATTCAAGCTTGCTTTCATGCTACCGCTTTTAACCACAGGAGCGCAAGCACCAGCTTCAATCAGATAAACGTTGCAGATTACTACGTACGTCTAGTGGAATCTTTAGGATTGCTGTTGGGTGCGTCACTGCGCGAAGATATGCTTTTGGTCAAGAGGGTTCCCGAGAGCTGGAAAAATGCAGGTAGAATCAAGGACAGCGGTTTTGGTGAGCCAGCAGCTGGGGGAATTGGTGACGGTGAACCGCCTTCTTTGAGCCCTGAACTCTCAAATGTCGGAAATAACGCCAGTGATTCTGCAGCACCAGCACAAAATGGAAATAGTATTGCATCGCCGGATTCCCACTCTCCCAGCAACGCGCAAACACCAAAAGCGTCGGATCTTCCCAAATTTGAACTGAATAGCCCGTACTTCAAGAACTTTCAGATTCTTCATTATCTGCTTGGCAAGATGTCGCGGACTGTGTCTCCATTCTTTCAAACACTGGGCAAAGCCTTGGTGATTAAGCGTAGCCCTGAGGGTTACCAAAAGCAAAGCCACAGCTCTATCGCAAAGGCCCTTGCGGATAGCTTATACCAGGAATTGTCAGTTGCCGAAGCGCCGTTAACGAGAGATAAATTCTCCTACTGGAATGGCGTCCTGAGTGTCTTGAAGGAAATGTTGATTGACGGTAGGTTCCCCCCTCCCTTGCAAATGCCGACGCTGATTTTAAAATTTAGTCTCCCGACACAACGAGCGACCGGTACAGATTGTTACTATCGTCCTGCAGGCATTCAAAGAAGCTGGTGGTCTCAAGGCTGTCAACAAGCTTCTCGAGATCTTCACAGACGAAATCCGTTTCAGTGATATTAACAAGCACGCTGATAATCTAGAGGAAACCACCGATCAGATGGTGAAATTTGATCAAGCTACCACGGGAACAAAAAACATTCTCACCTTGTATAGTCAGATTGTCAGTGGCAAGATACTGGGCGAGTCGCAACAAACCACAGCTATGACAAGTCGCAATGACAGAGATCGCATCAGATCTGAACATTTCTCTCCTTCGCAATTTCTGGTTGAGATTCGTATGGAGGTCTTGCCTTTGATGTATCGCCTGTGGCAATCCGACCTTATTGAGAAGGGCTCGAGTCAAATCTCAGAGAAGCTGATCGAAGTTATCCGTACTGTGTCCAACGCTGATGGGGAGTCGGGTGCTAGCAAACGGTCGGATCCACCTCAACCGTCCGTCAAAGCCACAAGAAAGCTCTTTAAAGTCGCCGAAGACCACGTCGCCTCGATGATTGATCAACGCGGAATTCCTAGAGAACTTGCAGTAGAGGCTTTGTATCGTTGCAATAACAATCTATCTTGTGCTGTGGATTATTGTCGAGAGATCACTGATGGCGAGGCTAAGCGAAACCCCATCCCTGAGGACGACCTCGAGCCTGTATCAGATACCACTCCATCTCGACCTCTTACCGGCGCCAGCTCAGACTCCGCAGCTCCTGGCAATGATGATCAATCCATTGAAACAGACCGACAGATGCCGGGTGTAATTGGTGAAGGACGTGATGGTGTTGCACAATCGGCGACGAGCGCCGAGGCGTCGACCGCGACTGCTGATGTCCAGCTCGTGGAAAGAATCAATTCGTCTCACGACGATGCAAGCACGACCGACACGCCAATGCCTGACAATTCTACTGCAAATTCACAGCTGGATGTTGCCGCCAGCGAGGAAGCATCCCAGGTGGCTCAAGTGACGATTGATGATTTGAACGAGATTAGAGAAAGCGTCCGAAAGGACTTGATTGATAAATGTCTGGACGTCATCAGAGCCCATGGTGATATCACATTCGAAGTCTCTGATCTAATCTCAATCGTCGTCAAGACCTCTGAAGATCCATCTGCCCAGCGCAAAAATGTCGGCGAGACGCTTATAATTGCCTTGACATCCTTTGCAGGTGAAGACGATTTGCGAACAGTCGGTAGCAAAATAGCCGCGTATGCCAATCTCCTGGCACTCATGTTGAGAGACAAAGAGTTTTATTCAGATACCATCGATGACTTGAAAGAAAACTTGTCTGGACTTCTGAATTTCGTCAGACTGTCGCCAACCCATTCTTCGGAAGATCCATCTCCCTGGATACCTCAGATTCTTCTCGTCGTTGAGATGCTACTCAGTGAGGATGCGCGGCCACGTAAGACCAAATGGGCAATGCCAAAAGAGGATTCGGAGCAGATCGAGAGCCCTGTGCTCGAGGCATATGAGCCAGCTATATCCCAAGACCAGAGGAAGGAATTACTCGATTCTATCCTCGATATTCTTCCTCGAATTGGTAAAGACGAGTCGTTAGCCCTTGCTGTACTTCGAACTTTGGTTATCCTTACTCGCAACAGGTCAATTGCTCAGACAATGGGCGAGAAGAAGAACATCCAAAGACTTTTTGTTATGGCAAAGCAGCTCGCTGGAGCGAGCGGTTCTCGGATCCAGGGACCTCTCATGCTGATTCTCAGACATATCATTGAGGACGAGGCTACAATTCGCCAAATCATGCGCGCTGACATCAAAACCTTTTTTGAAACTGCTCGCCAGCAGCGTGCTGTCGACACGACGAATTACCTTCGTGGACTCGCTCATACTGCAATTCGAAGTCCGGAGCTTTTCGTGGACGTTACCAATGAAATGGTCAAGTATAACAGATGGCAATTCTCGCAGACCCCGGGCGCCGGTCCGAGTCGACACGTCTCGCTTGTCTTAAAGGAAGCGACGAATTCTGATACCAGCGATAATCCAAATGGAGATGGTGTCTCACCCACGCTGCAAGCAACTGAGGACCTATCAATTCAAGATGTCAAGACTTCCACGGAGGCAGTTGACAGTGAGATGCCGGACGTAGCGAAACCATCTGTTCCTGAGAACAAACTTCCAGTGCTTGAGAACCCAGATGGAGTTATTCATTTCCTACTTTGCGAACTTCTCAACTATAAGGATGTTGAAGACAAAGACCCTCCTACTGCTACAACTTCTGTAGCCGATAAGCCTGCAACTTCTTCATCTATCAACGAAGATGTCCCCATGGACGGTACTTCAGCTGTTGCCGAAACCCCGGCCAAGGACTCTAAATCCGCGAAGCCTTCAGGGAAGCAGGAATTCAAGCCGGAAGAACATCCAATTTACATCTATCGATGCTTCATACTCCAGTGCCTGACGGAATTGCTTTCATCTTATAACCGCACAAAACTTGAGTTCATTAACTTCAAGCGTAGCGCTCCGCCTCAGGCCATGACGCCCTCGAAGCCCCGATCGAGTGTTGTCAATTACCTACTCTCCGATCTCATACCAATCGGTACTTTGGATCACGCAGAGACCACAGTCCTGCGCAAAAAGGTGCATACGTCTGGTTGGGCGGACTCTGTTTTGGTAGCTTTATTGAACAAGACTGGCGAGCACATCCTTGACAACAAGCGACAACCGTGGGATATTGAGGATGAGCCTGATTTGCTTTTTGTCCGAAAATTCGTCCTGGAAAATATTCTCAAAGCTTACAAGGAAGCTAGCTCGTCTACCGAGACCTTGGATGTTAAATATGCCCGTATGCTTGCTCTTTCCGACCTGATGGCACACGTTATGAGCGGTAAAGAGAGTGCCGGATCGGCAGAGAACCCTTTGGCGGCCATGTCCCACAAGCAGCTTAAGCGCATTATGTTTGAAAAGGGCTACATCACAGCACTCACGGCTTCAATTGCCGATATTGACCTCAATTTCCCTGGCGCTAAGCGAGCCATCAAGTACATACTCCGTCCTCTCAAAACACTATCTAACACTGCGGTACTATTAAGCGACCTTGGTCTTGTCACAAATACCTCAGGTCAAACCGAAGAAGATGAAATCGAGTCCGCCACTTCGGTCTCTGACGGTGATGACCGCGAAGAAACTCCAGATCTGTTCCGCAATTCTGCTTTGGGAATATTTGAGCCTGGTAGAGATGAGGATTCTTCTTCTGCTTCGGATGACGACGGTGAGTAAATTCTTTGCATTGCTTCCCGACTATCGCTAACAACAGCAGACGATGAAGAGATGTACCAGGGCGAATATGATGAAGAAATGGATTACGAGGAAGAAGAAATAGATGCTGAAGACAACATCAGCGATGAAGATGAAGAGATTGAGGGCATGGGTCCGATTGAAGGCCTCTCTGGTGATAATGTCGCCGTTGAAGTCATCATGGAGGACGAGGATGACGAGGACGATGAGGATGATGACGAGGGCTCTAGCGATGAGGACGAGGAAGACTCAGAAGATGAAGAGGCCCGCGCCGAAATTCTCGACGAACTCGAAGACGGCGAGGAAATTGACGCCGACGATATGGACGATTGGGAAAGTGACAATGAAGATGACAATGATGCTGAGGAAGACTATGAAGCTCATGCTGCTGAACACGATGAGCACGATAGACAAGTTATTGAGGACATGCAAAGAGCTTCAGGGCAACTGGGACATATCGTTCGTGCTCTTGGCGGAGAAGATGCTGTTGAAATCATGGAACGCATGGAGGAGCAAATGGAAGCTGAAGGTATCGATCCGGCCGAGGAAGATGATGAACATATTACGGCAGAATATGGAGAGGAAGGTGATGAAGAAGGTAAGTGCTTGCAGGTCTTTTTGAATCTTGCTAATGCAAAGCTCAGATGATGAAGAAGAAGACGAGGATATGGATGACGACGAAATGGTATTTGACCAAGGCTTTACAAGTGAGTCTAAACAGTGCTTTTCTGTACTCGAGCTGATGCGTGAAGTCGAAGTGGATGGGCCAGGCGGAGCTGGTTTTCAGTTTGAGGCAGAGCTGGAGAGACCCATGGTCTTCGTTCCTCGGCAACGGCCAAGAGCTTTTCCCAACATGCCCTTCTTTCCTGGAAACCCTCGCGACCCACTGGGTGGTATGTCAATTATTTTATCACCACACTCCGAGGCGGAGCTCATCATATCTCAACAAGAGGCGATGGCACGCGCGGCAGCAGTCAACAATGAGACAGAAAATTTCAGAACTAATTCTACAACAGTACCAGAATTCCGGCCATTTAGTCGCACCCAAGGTCGGCCTGGAGCCGCTCCACCTCGGGCCGGTGGCGACGACGGGACGAATCCCCTTCTCCAGCGAGCTTCAGCAACCAATAGAGAGGTTTCATCACGTCACAGCAATCTTGGACGTTTCATCCAGGCTATGGGAGGAGCTGCAATGCCACAAGATTTGGTAGATCTAGGAATTGGTACCCGCCCCTTCGGTGAGGAAGCAGAAGCCTTCCACCTCCAACAAGTGATCAGAGCTTTAACAAATCATCCAGGTATTAACCGCAATGGCCAAGCCATACAGTTCCATATCACAACTGGCCCAGACGGAGAATTTCCCAGAGACTTTCAAGCCATGTTCGGTATGCCCCCAATTGGTGGACCCGGCGGCGTGAGAGCGGCTCTTAATGGACGCCGCGAGCCAAGCGAGCCTAGCAATGCTGCTTCATTCACAGCCCAGACCACCAATACCAGATGGTTAGAGGAAGCCAAAATGTTATTCGGATCACTACATCTGGAAAAGGCAAACGATCTTGTCAATGCCATTCATGCGGTACTAATTCCCCCTGCCATAGAAGCTGACAAGGTCCAGAAGGCTGCCAAGGCTGAGTTCGATCGAAAGCTGAAAGAAGAAACGGAAAAGAAAGCAGAGGAAGAACGAATTGCACGTGAGGCTAAGGAAGCCGAGGAGAAAGCCGAGCAAGAAAAGAAACTGGCGGAGGAGCGTGAGACTGCTGAGAGAGAAGAAGCCGAAGCTCGTGCAGCACGCGGCCCAGAAGTTGAGCCGGCCGAAGACCCAGCTCCAGACACAGACGCTATGGATGGTGTCGAGGTTGAACAAGCGACCGCCGAAGCAACTGGTGATCAACCTGGTGAAGACACAGCTGCTGCAGATCGACCACGGATTACCACCATTATTCGAGGTAACCCATTTGATATCACTGATCTCGGCATTGATGCAGAATTCTTAGCGGAGCTACCCGAAGAAATCCGTGAAGAAGTGATCATGTCTGCGGTTGCTGAACGGCGATCACAGGCTGCTGCAACAGGAGCCCAGCCGTCTGAGATTGACCAAGAATTCTTAGACGCCTTGCCAGATGATATCAGAGAGGAGATTATTCAGCAAGAACGACAAGACCGTCGACGCCGTGAGCGCGAAGAACGAAACAGACAGAACGCTGCTGCAGGAGGGCCAACCCCAGACATGGATCCCGCTAGCATTCTCGCAACGCTGCCACCGGCCCTGAGAAATCAGGTACTGATGGAACAAGATGACGAAATTCTAGCCCTTCTACCAAATGAGATGGCAAATCAGGCTCGTCAAGCACAACGTGACTTGCCAAGTCAAAGGGCCCATCACACTCATTTTAATCGACGAACCCATCAGCCTGCTACTGGACAAGAGGTAGATATCCAGAGACCGGTACGGAAGGCCACGGTGCAGATGCTTGATAAGTCAGGTATTGCTACATTGCTACGGCTTATGTTCATATTCCAACAAGGGAGCCTCCGTAGTACCCTGAACTCTGTTCTTCAGAACATATCTAACAATCGCCAAAACCGGAACGAGGTTCTCAGTACAATACTCCATATCCTTCAAGATGGAAGCTTCGACATGACGGCTGTGGAGAGGAGTTTTGCTCAATTAACCTTGAGAGCTAAACAGTCAAAGGACAAGGACCCTAAAACACCACAGCCCTTCAAAAGAACTCTGACTGGGACGAGCGTGTCTTCTGTTCTCCCAGCAAACTTTGATGCCTCGCCGCTCATGGTTGTCCAGCAATGTTTGACCACTCTGGTCTACTTGATCCAGGTCAACCTACACATTCCTGCGTTTTTCCTCACAGAGCATGAGCCAGGCACTGGTCTTAAACGTAGCATTAGCAGAAAGGGAAAAGGAAAAGATAACAAAGCTGCAAAATACCCACTGAATTCGCTTTTGAGTCTCTTGGATCGACAACTCATCATGGACAGCTCTACCGTTATGGAGTCTTTGTCCACACTTCTCAACATGACAACATCACCTCTTCAAGCTTTACAGCGTAAGCAAAAGGAGGCTTCGGAAGATGCTAAAGCAGCAGCAGAAGTGCCCCCGCTTGTTACTGAGCCCGTCGCCCCTACGGAGACCAATGAGCCCGTTGAAGGTGCACAAACACCAAGTGCTCAACCAGTAGATGTTTCGATTCCTGAGGCTTCCGATAATTCAAACACGGAGACACAAACTCCAGCCGCCACGACTGCCGAAGCTGACGCGCCTACGACCACTGCTGGCGCCGATGCTTCTTCCAGTGAAGCGAAAGATGTTGCTAAAGAGCCAGAGAAGAAGCAGCGCACTATGGTCCCGCCTGTTATTCCAGAGCACAACCTCAAGTTGGTCATTAATATCTTTGTAGCACGCGAATGTAGCTCCAAGACATTCCGTGAGACGTTGTCAACTATTAAGAATCTCTCTGCCATTCCCGGTGCAAAAGCGGTCTTCGGTCGTGAGCTCATCTCAAAGGCGCAGGGACTTGGAGAAATCATTCTGGACGATCTTCAGAACCTCCTTCCCCAAATCGAGAAAGCTTTGACTGGAACCGAGATTCAAGGTGTTGCACTGGCTAAATTTTCTCCTGGTGGATCCGATCAAAATAAGTTACTTCGCGTTCTCACTGCCCTGGACCACCTCTTCGACCCAAAACGCGACAAGAAGGAAGATGCCGACGATGTGGAAGGCGAATCCTCGCAACTGTCAGAAAAGCAAGACTTGCTGTCTTCGCTCTATGAAAATTCAACTTTTGGGCCAATGTGGGAGAAGCTGAGTGAATGTCTACAAGCAATCCGTCAACGCGAACATCTTCTCAATGTTGCAACTATATTGCTTCCTCTTATCGAGGCCCTTATGGTTGTTTGTAAGAATACCACCCTCAAAGATACTACATCTCGCACCCAAGCCGGCAAGGAGATGATGTTAACAAGCCCACCTCCTGAATCCCGCATGGAGAGCTTGTTTTTCACTTTCACGGAGGAACATCGCAAGATTCTCAACGATCTCGTTCGGCACACACCCAAACTCATGTCTGGAACATTCTCATTGTTGGTCAAGAATCCAAAGGTATTAGAGTTCGACAACAAGCGAAACTACTTCAACAGAAGCGTACACACGAAGTCGCTCAGCCGTCAATCATTCCCAACACTTCAACTATCTGTTCGTCGTGACCAAGTGTTCCATGATTCCTTCAAGTCACTTTACTTCCAGACGGGCGATCAGATGAAGTATGGAAAACTCAGCATTCGATTCCATGGCGAAGAGGGTGTTGATGCCGGTGGTGTCACTCGAGAATGGTTCCAAGTCCTCTCGCGACAAATGTTTGATCCTGGATACGCACTCTTTATTCCAGTCTCATCGGACCGAACAACTTTCCATCCTAACCAATTGAGTAGTATTAACGAAGAGCATCTCATGTTTTTCAAATTCATTGGACGCATTATCGGCAAGGCTCTTTATGAAGGTCGTGTTCTCGACTGCCATTTCAGCCGTGCTGTATACAAGCGAATCCTGGGTAAGCCTGTCTCCGTCAAGGACATGGAATCTCTTGACCCAGACTACTACAAGTCTCTGGTCTGGATGCTTGAGAACGATATTACGGATATTATCACTGAAACCTTTTCTGTTGATAATGATAAATTTGGTGTTGTCGAGACTATTGACTTTATCGAGAATGGTCGCAACATCCCTGTCACAGAAGAGAACAAGCACGAGTATGTCCGCCTCATGGTGGAATGGAGACTTACTGGCTCTGTCAAGGAGCAGCTTGATGAATTCTTGAAAGGTAAGCTACAAAAAATACTTTTGTCTACATTTGATCGTTATTAACACGTTCATAGGATTCCACGATATCATTCCTGCAGAGCTCATTGCGATTTTCAACGAGCAAGAGCTTGAGCTTCTTATCTCTGGTCTACCCGAGATCGATGTCGACGACTGGAAGAGCAATACTGAGTATCATAATTATTCCGCATCCTCTCCACAAATCCAGTGGTTCTGGCGAGCAATCCGATCTTATGACAAGGAAGAGCGCGCCAAGCTCCTCCAATTCGTCACCGGAACAAGCAAAGTCCCTCTCAACGGTTTCAAGGAGCTGGAGGGAATGAACGGCTTCAGTCGATTCAACATTCATCGTGACTATGGAAACAAGGATAGGCTTCCAAGTTCGCATACTTGCTTCAATCGTAAGTTATGTTTGCCAAGATGTAGTGACAAATACTAATATCCTTAGAACTTGACCTTCCCGAATACGAAAGCTATGAAACCCTCCGCCAACAGGTGCTCACTGCCATCACAGCAGGTAGTGAGTACTTCGGATTTGCGTAATGCTAATAATTATATCCCATATTTTCTAACGACTTGATGCATTGCGGGCTTGGTCAGCATGGACGGCGTCTGCAGAGAGTTCTTCTCTTTTACGAAATGTATTTGCCAGAAGGTGTTATTATGAAGCAGTACCCTCGGCTGTTAATTGTTCATAAGGAACGGATGCCATTGCAAGGCATCGTCATTTATATGTCGTGCCGTCGGAGAACAGGTAGATTTGGTACTTTCCACACTTCTTCTAGTGCTTTCTTTGGGACTCGCGACGAAGTGCAGGTCGTTCGCTGGGTTCTCATGTTACAAGACTGGAGGTGGATGGAAGTGCGAGAAGATCGACTTTTTTGAGGATGATCGCGTTGTACAATAGATATTTAGCTGTTGTTTTAGAAAACAGTGACTACTATGTCCACTTGTAATAGATTGTCCTATGCTATAGATCTTCGAGTGTGAATTAAAACAAATCGATGTTTGGTTACAGTATGGTGATGAAGGTAAGAAGCAGGAACACGTGGTTTAATGATGCATTACCCCACATGCCACCATTCCAAATGCGTCATAGCGTCCAGCGCAAGCTTGTGAAAAGTGCCCCGCTAAATATTTTTCGATGCATGAGTGTGCAGCCTTCCAGTTCTGTTCAAAGAACCTCTTACCTGATGTCAATCAATTAAGTCACTCGACTGTCACATCTGCTACGTCCACGTCAGACCATGGAAATTGCATAAGAAAGTTTCATTGGACATTCTCTCCCAATTCCCACCTTCGAGCCCTATCTTCTCAACCCCACGACCTTCCAATCGCTCTGCGGCAGCTTCACAAACGAGACCACCCCGAGTTATAGCTTTTGCAAACCGACACAATGGCAACCAATTCAATCAAGTTGCTTACTGGCAATAGCCATCCGCAGCTTGCAAAGCAAGTTGCTGACAGGTGCGTTGGCCAGCTTGATAAAGCTTTGAATGGTAATATGGGGAGCTTGGCTGACCAACGGCTGCAGATTGGGCATTAATCTTGCAAAGACGATGAGTCTCAACTACTCAAATCAGGAGACCAGTGTTACTGTTGGAGAGAGTGTCCGCGATGAAGATGGTTCGTTGCCTTTCCTTTTAGTAGCAACCAGGAGACGGTGCATCATGCTATGTATCCTACGTACTAACGTCCTTGCCAGTCTTCATTCTCCAATCCACCGCCCCGGGCGACATAAACGATGGACTCATGGAGTTACTGATCATGATCAACGCCTGCAAGACCGCTTCCGCCCGACGCATCACTGCCGTCATCCCCAACTTCCCATACGCACGACAAGACAAGAAAGACAAATCTCGCGCTCCCATCTCGGCGAAGCTTATCGCGAATATGCTCCAGACGGCTGGCTGTAATCATGTTATCACGATGGATTTGCATGCGAGTCAGATTCAGGGCTTTTTCAACGTGCCGGTGGATAATCTTTATGCGGAACCCAGTACGTTGAGGTGGATTCGATCAAATCTCAATGTTAGGGATTGTGTTGTTGTTTCGCCGGATGCTGGAGGTGCTAAAAGGTTTGAATCTTTCCACTATCTTGTCCAGGTGCAGAACAGCAATTGACTGAGATACAGAGCAACATCCATCGCCGACCGCCTCGATCTTGGATTTGCGCTTATCCACAAGGAACGCGCTCGCCCGAATGAAGTTTCCCGTATGGTTTTGGTTGGTGATGTTGAAAATAAGATTGCTATTCTTGTAGACGACATGGCAGACACCTGCGGCACCCTCGCAAAAGCCGCCGAAACCGTTATGAATCACAAAGCACGAGAGGTTGTCGCAATAGTAACTCACGGTATTCTCAGTGGAAACGCCATCGAAACTCTGAACAAAAGCAGGTTATCGAAAGTAGTAGTCACCAATACGGTTCCCTTGGGCGATAAGATTGAGACATGTGAGAAGATACGTGTGATGGATATCAGTCCTACACTCGCGGAAGCGATTCGACGGACGCATAATGGAGAAAGTGTTAGTTTCTTGTTCACTCATGCTCCTAGTGAGTAGGTACATGCAAATATGGGGGGTTTTGAAACGCAGATGCCCTTTTACATGGTTTGGAATCAGAGGGAGTCGATTCGGGGATTTTGACAGGGATCTCTATCGTAAAAATGGTGTTTGGAGTATATTTTATGGCATATTTGTATATCTAGAAGAAATGCGACGGGGAAGAATACTCCTTTGCCATTGTGTTGGCACGTGGCACATGACTGTGAACTGCATTCTACCTTTCTACATGAGAAGTCATGGATAGAGAAAAGTCGTGTGACTTTTTGTTAGGTATAGGATACAAAAATGAAGACATGTTGTTGAAGTGAGGTTTTAAAGACTGATGTATCGCTCGTGATGAATGGCATTGTATAAAGATTCTTGTACCTGTGGTCGAGTTAGATATTGAGATCTGGATCGCCAGGGTCTAGATCCTGCCCCACATTAGTCAACCCCTGTGCTCGGTGCTCCAGGATTCAACCGTAAATAGAAACATGATCCAAAACATCAATGTGTTCCTTGCGACAATCATATTGTACAGCGCCTTCGTGACTCTTTGTACATAATACCGCTAGCTTTTTAATTCCATATTCCTCTTCTGGCGCTTTGCAATATGCAGTTCTCTATTCTATTTGCGCTTGCGACTATTGCGTTAAGCAATGCAGAATACGTCCCCGGCAAAGCATTCGACAGATTCATTACCATCTGGCTCGAGAACCAAGTCCGTCTCCCCATTCCCCGTTGCTACACCTCCCCCCAGCTAACCTTCTCCCCAGGACTTTTCCGCAGTCTCCCAAAACCCTCAGATGAAAAAACTAGCAAAAGACGGTATCCTCCTCACGAACTACTTCGGGCACACGCATCCCTCGCAACCGAACTACATCGCCAGCGTCGGCGGCGACTACTTTGGCATGAACCACGATGATTACGTGACGATCCCCCGCAATGTGTCGACGGTCGTGGATCTGTTCGATACGAGGAATATTGCGTGGAAGGGCTATTTTGAGGGATTGCCTGGTCCGGGTTATATGGGTGTTGGGAGTACGGGGTTGGGGGGTGGTGGGTGGGATTATGTTCGGAAACATAAGTATGTTGTTCGAGATTGGCGGGTAGGGGTGGAGAGAGTGTTTTGGAAATTATGCTGACGAGGACAGTCCGTTTATTTCGTATGATAGTATCAATCGCAATGGGACGAGACTTGCGCAGATACAGAGCTTCAGGGACTTTGCGAAGGATGTGGCTGCGAATACGCTTCCTCAGTATGCCCATTTGTCGCCGGACATGATGAATGATGGTCACAATACTACTCTAGAATACGCCGCCAAATGGAGCGAGTCCTTCCTGACACCGCTTCTGAAGAACAAGGACTTCATGGAGAAAACTCTCATCCTCCTAACCTACGACGAAAGCGCTACATACGAGATCCCAAACAAAATCGTCTCCATCCTCCTCGGCGGCGCCGTCCCATCAGCCAAAAAAGGCACCAAAGACAACACCTTCTACACCCACTACTCCATCCTCTCCACCCTCCAAAACAACTGGGACCTCCCCTGCCTCGGCCGCTACGACGTCGGCGCCAACGTCTTCGACCTCGTCGCTCAAACGACGGGCTACGTCAACCATCCACCTCCCAACGTCGCATCCGTCAATAATTCGCTCTCCTATCCGGGCGCATTGAGCGATGATCCGGCGCTGTTTAGACCTATCCCGCCGCCGAATCTTAAGTTGGTTGGAGCCGGGGGACAAGGTGTGGTGAGTACGGTGAGGATCGCTTGGAAGGGACAGGAGAACGAGATGAGTCCGTATGATGGGAGTGGTTCTGTGTTTGACGGCGGGGATGGGAGGGGGGTGGGTAATTTGCCGGTTTATGGGGTGCAGGAGGCGGCGCTGAGGTATACGGCCACGGGTGGGGTTACGGAACCTACTGCTGTGGTTGCGGCTGAGAAGTCGGGGGCGGGGAGGAGGGGGCTGGGATGGGGGGTGATGGGAGTTCTGATGGGAGTGTGTGCGTTGGGGTGGGTATGAGTGACCTTTGATTTGAGTGTGAGCTCGATCGGGAGCTGCGTGGTGTTTCGCACTTCGCGGGACAGATCATTCACATGAACCGCTCAGAGCGGAGTTTGGTGTTCTTCGACATCGAGACTGTCACAGTCGTATCGCTGGGAACTCCGTTCAAAGACTGATATCGCACCTACCTGGTCTGAGTTATGGTTGCTGGTCAATCAACATCTCCCCCACGGATGAGTCGAGCTGTCTGCTCGTCTGGTGGAGCATTCAATGAATATCGCTAGAAGTCGCGGACTGGGCACCTAGAGCGTGCAGCTATCGTCTCCAAATCTTCAAGTACAGTCGGGCAAGCGGCAAGCCTCGAGAGATCTAGTTGCGTGTCAATATTTAGGGCCGAATTCTTCACCAGGACTTCAATATGCGACATCCTCGCACGTCATCGCTGGAAACATCACTAGATGAACGGAGCGTGTTATCTCATATATCGGAACCAAGTCTTCTACCTTCGATTGTCACTGACCTTTGACTTCCAGTCAAGGGAGATCTTTCAAAGGCGCACAACATGTGTGTCGAGGGCAGAGCTGTAGCCGCCAAATTCCAACCGACTCAGTCATTGTGTCTTCATGAAGTGCATGTCACCTGGTCGAGGAGTTACGAGGTCGATCAGCCGTGGGGGCGGGTTTCCATTCATGTGGTGATCAGCAACGGTTCACGGAATGGTAGCAGCGTATCGTCACTCATGCTTCTGCGCACTCCCGAGGTCGGTCATCATCGTTCTGTCATGGATCGCAGACGGCGTGGTCTTTGATCTCAGGTTCGGTCGTTCGGTCATGGACCTGAGCCGTTGGCCGTGAGGATATGAACCAGTGGCGACCGTGAGTAACGATAGTCACTCGTGCTTCTGCCCATTCGGCAATCGTTTTCCTGTCATGGTTTGCAGATGCCTTTGTCTCCGATGTTCACGATCGGTGGGTCTTAAGGACGCTTGAGAATGAAGTCAGCACTTGACCGATTTTCTGCCAACCCGCTTCTCATTTCACGGCCATGAATACAGGTCTGTTCATTTTCAAGTCAAGCAAGGAACCAGTCAGTCATCGGGGGAGTGCTTCAGCTCTGCGGTTATGAATAACGATTCTGAATACGGGATTCATGAGACCAACACTTCACAGCTCACCTTTCTGACCAACCCGATCATCCTTTCTTCCTCGATTCTCATGTGTCTTCCGACTCTGGGGACTCGTCTAGTTCTGGGGACTATCTGCCGTTCTTGTGGGTATGAATAACGACTCGTCAGATGGGAGTCCCGAGAACAACACTCGATGATGGGAGTTTCTGTCCAGCCCGGTTCTCATGTTCCACTCATGAATACAGGTGTGCTTGCCTTCGACTTTAACGGATTGTCAGCCATGGGAGTAGGTCTTCAGCTCTGCGAGTATGAATAACGACTTCGAAGACGGAATTCAGAAGACATACACATGATAGCTTACGTTTCTATCCAACTTCGTCATCGTACCTTGTTCTTCGATCAGACTGTGCCTTTGTCTTCGATATTGAGGAATCCGTCGTTCCTGTGGATATGAATAACCACTCCCATGATGGACTCCGAGGGCAGCACGTGCTAGATTCGTGAGAGCAACACTTGAGGGTTCAGGTTCAGTTTCAACTTGACAGTTATATTTCTTCGATGAATATCAGATCTCTTTGTCTTTGAACTCGGGAAGGGGTCAGCCGGTCATTGTCGTAAGTCTCCGCTCTCATATGTTCTCATACGGGGCCCGAAAGGTGAAGCATGCCCCAGTCAACATCCAACTCTTTTCTTTGTCTTCGGGATCACGAACTGACATATCATGGAGATAGGTTTTCATTCCTGCGGACATGAATAATGTATCTCACCGTTCGGACATGTGGTATCACCATCCTAACCAGCCATCCCATTCACACGGATTCGATGGGGTATAAAATGCAGCGTCGAGCCTGCTAGGTTTTTTCTTCTTCATCAACCTCGAAACATCGATATCTTCGCAGCGACAACTCAGCATACTAGCCTTCGCCTTACGGGTCAGAAATATACCTCCGCCGAAATGTGCAAGTACCAGACATTCGTTTATCCAGATAAAGAATGCAAGCACGAGGTCATCGAGCTCAAGGAACAATGCGACTATTCCAAAGGCAGAAATTGGGCATGGGACCGCTGTCCAAACCGCTGGTTCTTTGCAGCAGACCAACACCGCAAAGATGGCAGATGTCCGCAGTGCTTAGTTGGATCTGTTCAGAGTGAGCAAAGGTGTGAACCTATGGACCTTCAGAATTTCAGGGATCATAAGTTTCGTGAGAATGCGTTGATAGAACACAGGCTGGGAAATGGAAAGTTCATTTGAGGTTCTGACTTTTTCAACAAAACACAAGACCAATACTTCGCGGCTCACGAAGCGACTCTTGAATTTGATCACAAGCCAGATGGGTTCAGAGGCAAGGCTCTTGACAATCCATCTCCTGGAATATGATATTGTGGGAGGACGTGTCAGAATTCTATGGTCTTATTGTGCGTATGCGTTGGAGGATACGAATGCTGGAGGATATGTTAGAGTTTTATGATGGTCTTATTGTGCGTATGCATCCGCGGTGGGAAGTGCTGGGAGCACTTATTCACCTTCCGCTAGTCTGGTGATTTATGGGGTTGGAATGTAAGGGATATTTGAAAGTGATATGAGGGTTGATGTTTGGGAAGGTTGTTTGGGATATTGGGATTTATGGAAGGGATAGATGAACTGTTTGGGATTACATTTGATAGACTGCTAGGTGGCTATGCTACCTTCAATAGAACGTTGATGTTTTTCAAACACGACTAAAGCGTGGCACGTTGCGAGTCGGTGGATAGTGAAGAACATTTGATCTATTACACAGAGCATAACAACGCACACTTTTGGGACGTAGAATATCCTCCGTCAATTCAACCACCCGCTTTTCAAGCAATTCTCTATTCCTCACGCAATCACGCCCCCTGAAGCCATTCAAAGCCAACAGACCTCCTCAAAACTCCTCAATCCTTCTCACTGCATCTCACACTCACCTCTCCCCTCCGGCACATAATCACCCTCATTCTCATCCTCCTCCTCAACACCATCCTCCACCGTAGGCGGCCGATATCCAGACCGTCGCACGTTCCTCCTCGCCGTCCCAACTTTCGCCTCACCAAACGATTTTTGATACGGCGAAAACCTACTCCCTAAAATCAGCCCTCTCTCTCACCTCTGAATCTCAACTACATACCGTCTCCCCAACACCTTCACAGGCAGCCCACCCCCTTTCCGTTCCAACCCACTAATCGAAGACAATAAAACCGTCGTTAGCGCGAATGCTTGTTCTCCACCCTCACGAACCGTCAGTCGGAATGCTAGGGAGTTCTGTAATTCCTCTGCGTTCGCACGGATGTAACTGGTTATCCAGACGGCAAATTTCGCGTTTTGGTCGAGGCCTAGGAGGTGTGACAGGATCGCTGCTTCGATGGACGTCGCACTATCGTACTTCCCGTTCTGGATCTTGAAGATGCAGGATTGGTGGATACGTTCAAGCCTTAAAGTTTGTATTTTAGCTTCCGGGAAGAGGAGAGGGAAGAGAGAGGAAGACCGGGGATACGTACCCAAGAAATCCGGCGAGTTTGCACATTTGTATTAGTTCTACGGCGGTTTTGTCGTGTAGTGCGGCCACGATCTCGCCATTCAGACACTTCACTATTGTGCGCACGACAGCCGGTTCGGACTTTGCGAAGTATATGTTGCCATCGCGTTGCATGCTTGCCGGTATGGTGTCGGGTTCGTCGAGCCAGGCTTTGAGGATGGGAGATTTTCGCAGTAGGTTTAACGGGACTGTGAGGACTTCCTCGTTCACATCTAGACCGGCTATGATTTTACCTATTTTTTCATCTGAGGACCTGGAGCGTGTTAGTGAGGCTGCGATGAGAATGGAGGGAGGGGGAGGTATATTTACTGGTCTTCAGGGAATGACATTGTGGTGGATCGGAAGTGATGGTTTGTGAATGATGATGCGGGACAAAGCGGAATATATATAGCTGTGGATCTGAGGTTTCCAAATAGTCAACAAGTTGACGCGATAATGTTTTGTTCGCGACGCGTGTTGAGGTCGTGTGTGTTTAGTGTGAAGTTTGCTGCGGCTTCCCTTATGCAAGGCGGTGTTTTGGGACGGGATGTGATGGAATTGTGAAAGTTGAGTGAGTTTTGGGGTGGGAAGATGAGGATTTGGTGTTGGAAGAGGAGCGATATGAATGTGTGGGTTGGGAAGTTGAGGGTTGTTGGGTTTGTTGTGTAAAGCTTTGAGAACTGTGTTGTGTTTTGTGAGGAAGAGGCGGAATTTAGATCAGAACTTAAAAAAAGTACTGCTATCTCAATAGCTGAAGGTGAGGAAGTGAAAGGAAGGAAACTTGTCTTATTTCTAGTAGCATTTTGAGTTTATTATAAGATTTTCAAACTCATCTTTTGTAAATGCCATTTTCCACAAGTACATAAAGAGCTCAACACCTCCTTTTCAAGACTCATTACAACCAACTTACCTAATCCCAAGAACTATACGAACTTGCATTACAGCATCAGAACGTCGCCTTCCCCAAATTCCCCACAAAATTCGCATCCTTAAACGGCACATTCGCATCCCCAAAATCCGTATTACTCAACGCAGTTCTCGCCGCATCCGTAAGCGACTCCCACGCAATCAACGGCTGCTGTCCTCCAACATCACTCGTAAGTATACACTGATGATTGACCGGCCAGGAACTCTGATACCCGATACGCGCACCAGTACCCGTGAGCGTGTAGCCGGACGTCGCGCAGTCCCAACCGCCGTGAGCAGAGGGACAGACGGCTGCGATGTTAGCGGCGGTGGTGGAGGTGGCGCTGTTGAGCCAGATGATTACGCCTTCCCAGTCGTGGCGGTGGCCGAGACCTGTTGAGGGCTCGTCTTTGGGGAAGTACCTGGAGATTTATTAGTATTAAGGGTTATAGGGGGAAAGGATTGCGTACCAGGAATACATCACAGCATAACGACTACCAGATTGAGCGCCCCGAACGTAAATCTGTCCGGTACTGCTACCACAATTGGCGTTCGAACCTCCACTGGGTTTTAAACCGCCTCTGTTTAACATTAGCTTTTATGATTCAAAATCAGTCTGCTTGATGGCACTCACCCAGTATTTCCTGCTGCATCTACAGCTGGGAATGGAACACAGCCGTTGAATACCTTGAGGTATGGTTGATATGCTTCATATACCGCTCCTACTGTTCCAGAGGGAACCTTTTCGGCGAATCCTACCACAGCGTCGTGAGCGATCACTGCGCGGGTTTGGAGGAGAGGAGTTGCTGTGACTGTTGTTGCTGCGAGGAGACCGATTGAAAGTTGCATGATTGTGGAAAAGATAGCCATTTTGAGGGATATCAATCTGGTAAAGATGCTTGCAGAGGAGCTGAAGTGAACGATTCAAACTCGTTGGCCATCCCATCCCCAGAGCTGCTCGCATTCTACTTATACCCAACCTTACACTGCCGTCCCCAGATCAACACCAGGATACACACGACACTGCATCATCACAAGCTCCGTCCATTCCCTGATCTCATCGCTATCGATCGCAGGTGCAGATTGCCGACCTCCCAATTAGGAGATGCCTCGCAGCACGGTTCTTCAGTATTGGACACCCAGAGCTTAGCATTGGGCGATATAGGGTTTGTACCTGGCTAAGGCGTGCGTAAGTCTTTGACGAAGAAGGAGAAACATCCGCGTGCGATATGCGATGTCGTCCGGATAAGGTTGGGGTGGTGATGCTTGGCGGTTCTTGATGTCGCTAAGATTGGGTTTATGCGGTTTCTCGTATTTTGGATGTGCACGTGTGGCGCTAGTTTGGATTAAAAATACACGTGCTGAATCTTTCAAATGGGAAACGTCGTTGTTGATTTAGATGGCCTTACTGATTAGATCTCGATACCATATTTTGTTTGTCCATCACTCTTCCTTGGCTGTGGGGAAATGACCTAGATGGAGAAGGTGGATCTGACGGTGATCGGCAGGGGAAAACATCGTCCAAGTTCTTGCTCGCTTAGCGGACATGTCTCCAAAAGGGGCACAATCACTACCGGTACTTATCTCTTAGCTGCCGAATTGTTTTTCTTTTTCATGCAAACTGTTGGAGGTTTTGATGCTAATGAGGAGAGCATTATGCAACTTTGAGATCTACAAATGAAGTTCAGGGCAGCACAGTGACCTGAGGCCGTATACGACGGAGGGGAAAGGTAACTCCCGAGCAAATTTAGCAGGTCTCTTAAGGTCTATGACGCTCATCTTGGAAGAAGTATTGCGCGCTCATCTTGGAGAAAATATTGCGAAATAATGTTTACTCATTGGAATGTAGTATCTGGTATTACCTCAATTCCCCATTGAATACGAAACGACATCACCCGCTTACCTTCTTCATGGTGCAATATGAAACATTACCAAGCTGCGAGACTTAGCATTTTAAAAAAGACCAATGCAGCAGTTGCGTAAGCTATTCATAATTTTATCTCTCTAGAAGAGCTCGTGGTGTTGGTACAGCATGTGATTGGCGATTGGGAGATAATGCTATAATAGGCGAGACATCCTCATAAAAACGGAAAATCACGAGGACAAGAACTTCAATGTTTCTGGGTTGATTTCTGTGTTGATGATTAAGAAGACTATGCTAACCTCCCCTGTAGTAGATCTGGTTTTAATGATCCAGTATGTTGGCCTAGTCTCGCGCATTTTGTTTCTGAGATCTAGAAAGATTAAATCATAGTGAGGGTTTCTGTGAATGTAGAATCATTGTATTATATAACATACTAAACTCTAAGTGTTTGGTTTGGAACAGAATTGGGATTTGGAAGGGAAACACCTTGAGCCTCCAGTTGTCCCACATATACCTGTGATGTCGGAAGAACGAAAGCGTCACGACTTCATCACCATTCATGTTACCTATTACTTGCGTTCTTCTCCAAAGTGTTGGGCTCCGGAACAGCGGGGCCTTTTTCAGTGACATGTTGGGGCTTTGGTTTGAGAGTGCTTCGGAATTCAAGTCCAGCTACGCTCACCACAGAAAGACACGATACGACCGCTCCGATTACAAACACCGATCGTAAGGAATTGTTGTACGCCTCGAGTACCATAGCCCTAACATCAGATGGAAGCGACGAAATGAGTGCGACAGCTCCACCCGACGTGATAAGACTCGAGTCAAATCCAGCAATGCCTGAGAGCTTCTCGATGAGTTGATTGTCGAGAATATTCTGTCCAACAGGCACGGCAATGGCTCCCCCAAGGAGCTGACCAAAGAAGACAAGCGCTACTCCAATCGGAACATCTTTTGTGGGAAGAGACGTCTGCGCTGCTAGATTTGGAGCTTGTAGACATAAACCAAGACCGAAACCAAAGAGGATTTGGTAGCCAATCCAGTGGCCGTTCGAGGAATCCACGTGAAGTGTTGTGAGTAGCCCCGCACCAAGTGACATGATTGATGATCCGACTATGGCGAAGGGTGTGTAATAGCCTACTTTTTGAATAGTAAGTCCACCGGCGATGGAAGATACGACCATTGATAGCATGAGAGGGAGAAGGCGGATTCCGGATCCTATTGCGTCTGAGCCTTTGATGGCTTGGAACCAGATCGGAAGGAAGAAGACTGCATTTGTGAGCTAGTGTTGTTGGAGTGACAGTATGGTGTTATCTTACCTTCGATGTAAGTTGCAGCGCCAATGAAAATGGTTGCGAGAAAGCCGGTAAAGACACTTCGCTGTTTGATGATCCGCGGAGGTACAAGTGCCGTAGTCGGCATGGATATTTGTACAACTACAAAAGCGACGAGCAGGACGCTCATAAGTGTCAGGAGTACTATGATACGAGCATCATTCCACTACAATACATTAGTCCCCACCTCACAAACTCAACTCCCAAACTCACCATGTAACTAACACCACCCCACTGCAACGCCAAAACAAGACAAACCACACCCGACATAAAACAAAGACATCCCAGTCCATCAAACTGCGCCAGCTTTTTCATCCATGGAAGACGAGTCGTGTCCCGTGACGGAATCTTGAGACAAAAAGGAATGATGGCCATAGCTAAAGCACCGAAAGGTAGATTGATATAGAAACACCATCGCCAAGACACATTCGAGGTAAAAGCACCACCGATTAAAGGACCGGCTACTGATGAGAGACCGAAGATCGCGCCGAATAGTCCTTGGATTTTGGGGCGTTTGTGGAGGGGGACGGCGTAAACTATGGAGACGACCTGGAGTCATCATCAGTTGAGTACTGAACGACATGGAGTCATTGAATTCAACAAGAATGTTGATTGAAAGCTCCGAAGTCCAATAAAGAAAGCCTTCAAACTCACCGAACCAGCGAATATCCCAGCAGCACCCACCCCCGAAATCGCTCGTCCCACTATAAAAGCTGAACTCGTCCTTGCGGACCCGCATACAGCAGAACCTAATTCAAATAACAAGATACTCAGCATAAACACCGATTTGATGTCGAAAAGCGTGTAGAGCTTTCCGAAGAGCAGTTGGAAGGCCGCGCAGGTTAGGAGGTAGGAACTCCCGTACCAGCCGATGTCTGGGAAGGAGTCGAATTCGTCGGTCATTGCTGGGATGGCCTGGAAGGGTTAGTTTGGGAAAGGAAAGGAGAGGGGAAAGGGAGGGAAAGGGGGATGTACGGTGGTGATTATTGTTCTGTCTAGAGCGACGAGGAACATGCTTGTTAATACTGCGAGGAGGACTAACGAGACTTTGACAGTAGACTGTTCCTGAAAAGTGTCCTCGGGCTTGTCTCCAAGATTGGCTTTATGATTAATCGAAGGTTCAGAAGTACTTTTGTTGATCTGTGTTTCTGTGGGTGGTATCGTGGAATCCTTTGGCAAACTATATGCCGTGTCGATCTCCATCTTTGGAAGGATGAATAGAATGAGGTTGATTTGTATAAAGTAAGGTTAGCGAGTGTCGTGTGTTGATGGCGGGAAAGTAAATGAATGAAACGAAAAGGGGATAGAAAGAGGGAATTTGTTCCATTTTGAATCTTACACTTATCAAAGTCATTCAAGGAAGAGAATACAAGAGATTCCACTTATCTTAAGGCATTGATCGTTCTAAGGTACGTCGGGTGGTTGAAAGTTGCCGGGATCGAGTCAAGCCCTTAACGTGAAGTGATATAATGACCAAGAAATATTGCTCGGAAATTTCCAAAAGCTACGTAAAATGATTGCGGAAGATAGACCAGTCCTTCGTCAGAATTTGACGTTTCAGGTCTTAGATTTCGAGTGTCGTGGGGATGTTGAGGTGATTGCGGACTTTACTAAACCCCGCGCGGATATTGAGGGAGCCCGCTTGAAATATTCGTCAATACATAGAACACATATGATTAGGTAATGTAATATGAACTAGTTATTCTCTCATAATGTGAATGATAACGCACTGAAACAAAAGTAGTAGTTGTTGTTCTAATATAGGCTCTGGTTGAATATGAAATGAAAAGATAGAAAATGGAAGGGGGTCGGGAAATGAAACTGCGATTTTATTTTATTTTTGGTACAAGAAACACACAATTTAACATTAACTAAACAATTTGCCTATTTCTCTGGATTATGACATTTTCCAAAGGAAAAAGTCCGGGACTGCTGGTGGTCGGCAGCAGGTGGTCGGCAGCAGGTGGTCGGCAGCACTATCTCCCGGATGTTCACTTCCCAAATCTCGAGTCATTTCTCGAAAAATACCGGATAATATTTTGTCAAATGCATATTTAAACATCTGACTTTACGTTCTTGCCATCTAAATACCAGAATTCTATCTTTGGCAACGAAAATGACTCTCTGTTATAATGGAGTATCCACTTACTGACAAGCGCCCCCTGCGTGCAGCTGCTGCACGTTGTTTCTCGCTTCCGCCCTACACCGACCCTGACTTAAACGACGACAACAATTTTTAAGATTCTTTAGAGCACGAATTCCACTGTTTCTCGCGATTTAATATGATTTCCACCTCCATAAGTGATAGGACAACATCTAATGGAAGTACGCAATCGCCACCTACCCATTCTTGTCACCCCACTAGAGCTCCGCGTCAGCTATCCTGCATACACTGTCAGAAGCGCAAGATAAAATGCGATCGCAAGACTCCTTGTAAAAACTGCGTAAACGCACGTGTAGATTGTGTTTCGGCGACGTCAGTATCTCATCGACGGAAACGTAGGTTTCCGGAGAGGGAGTTGTTGGAGCGGGTGAGGAAATACGAGGAACTGTTGAGAAGCAATGGAATTGAGTTCGAATCACTTCACCCGGAGAATCGAGGTCATGCAGAAGAGAAAGATGCGATTAACGAGGGAGACGATAAGAATAATGATGAGAGATACGATGAGTTTGGGGGGTTTTGTGAGGCCAAGTATGCATTTTTCAATAAGCGTGAGAGTATTAGAAGGCTAATAATCACAGAAACGTCTGGCGCCGTGCGTTAAGTCAACAAGTAACTCATCCTAGGCGACTATATCATCCTACTAACATCTCCCCATCAGTCACCCGCTCAACTTGACGACCTCTCCTCCTCAGACGACGACACTGCTCGTAACCACTTAATGAAAAATACATGGTTCGATCTCCACCCCCAAGACACACCCCTTCTCTTCCAGGCCCCCACAGCACCACTCTATATCTTCCACCCCTCACCCGCTCAAATCTTCTTATTATGGCACACTTACCTGGAAAACGTCTCGCCAATTCTAAAAGTAACGCATACGCCTACATTACAAGGCAAGATTATCGAAGCCACAGCTAGTATTGCAGATATCAAATCAACCGGACTAGAGGCCCTAATGTTTGGAATTTATTGCACTGCTGTTGGGAGTATGGAGGACGAAGAATGTCAAGATAAGTTTGAGTGTGGCAGAGATGTCCTTTTGAGGAAGTTCCAACTTGGTTGTCAGCAAGCTTTGGGGAAGGCGGGGGTTTTGAGGTGTAGCGATCGTGAGACTTTGACTGCATTGTATCTTTATCTGGTAAGTCAACACGCCCGGAAATCAGATCTCCAAGCTCATAACTCAGATCTCACTTCGATCGAACACTACACCGCAATCCCTATCCAGCGTCCTCGGAATAGCAATTCGTATTGCACAAAGAATGGGTATCCACTCCGAAACCGCGCTGGCGAAATGTAATATTCTCGAGACGGAGATGCGTCGAAGACTCTGGTGGTCACTTGTGCTGTTTGACACTCGAATTGGGGAACTGACTAGTTCCACTAATTTTGTGAAAGTACTTGCTCCTGGATGGGATTGTGAGGTTCCACTCAACGTCAATGACACGCAGCTAAGACCTGAGATGAGAGTACGACTAATAATTGAGTGTCCATCAAGCGAAGCATTGTTCGCTGTGGTGCTTAGTAAATTGGGAGATTTTGTCAGGCACACAACATTCAACAACGGCGTTCCTGTCCCAGCAACCTCACTACCACGAACGAGTGAGTTAGCCAATCTAGAGACCTCAATCAAAAACGAGTACCTCAGATTCTGCGATCCTGAGAACCCACTCCACTACCTAACCATCTGGACAACCCGAGCATACATATCAAAATGCCACCTCGCAGAACACCACTTCCGAACCCTCTCAAAGCAACCCATCACACCCCAAACCGAACACCTCGCAACCACCCACGCCCTCCACATGGTCGAAGCAGACACGCACCTCATGACCTCTCCTCTCACCAAAAAGTTTCTCTGGCACATAAAATCTCACTTCCCATTCCCAGCTTACATCCAGATCATCCAGCACTTGAAATGGCAACCCCTAGGTGTATTATCAGGACGTGCGTGGGAGGTGATGAGTGCGAATTATGAAGCGAGATTTGAGTTTTTGTTTGCGGAACAGAGGATTTTTAGGGTTTTTGCGGGCATTGTTTTGCAGGCGTGGGAGGTGAGGGAGGGGATGGGGGGTGGCGGGGGATGTTCCGGGGATGGTGGGGGATGTTAGGAGGAGGTTGGCGGAGAAGACTGTGCATGATGAAGGGAGTCAGGCGGGGATATCGTGTGAGTCTGGAGACTTGGGAGTTGATGATGTCTCTGTGCCTCTGTCTACAGCTTTCGAGGAGCATGCTATGTTGTTTGACACGAGAGACTTGGGAGGTAACGAGGGTGGAGAGACGCTCGAGTTTGAGGAAATGCCAGCGTTTGATAATGGTATTGATCTGTGCAATTGGTCGACGATGGACTGGGGCCTGGTAAATGCTCCCGCTGATGAGTCTTTATTCACACCTTAACCTTAGTATATATTGGAAATTCAAGCGTCTTCCTGGATTGACCAATGAAAACCTGGAACTGATTTGTGGAAAGCCAGCTATAAAGTCAACAAATTGGACATTACACCTCGAGATACTCATGTATTAGTGAGACATGTAAATTGTAGTACGAAGTTAATATCAAATTCAAAGTAGGAGACTAAAATGTTGAGCGACTTATTTTTAAGTTGGACAAGTAAGGATTGACCTACTAGCAAAGTTGCAAGTGATGAGAAACAGTAAGTAGCGAGAGAAACTCGTGTAATCTGTAGAATCAAATGATAGTTATAATTCGCTACAACGCTTTCCCTTGTGCAGCTGTGCTTTTGTATGCGCTATTTTCAACTATGATGACGAGAATATCTTCCAATACGCTAGCTTCACTCTTGAGCGAGTATAATGATAATACACACAGCGATTTTGACGGCGAATATATCATAGTAGGAGTTGACATTGGCTACACGCAAAGTGATATAGCTCGTACATTGCTCAATGCCCTCCCCCCTTACCAATCACGATGGCAACAGTAGTAGTCTTATTTCTCCTATAAAAAAGCCCAACAAGAAACTTAGGATGTTCTGCGCTCATCAATATTGTCCCCGGGCTCCATACACTGGGCCGCAGTAGTCACACTTGGCATGAGAGCAATCAGGGCAAATCTCTCCCCAAGCCGCTTCTTCAACTTCTCTCGAATAGGCACACTTGGAAATATTCAGTTATGCAAACTCCTGGACTTGAAATTGTTAAACTTACACAGGTGAACCATCCATCCATATATCGACCATATCGTCGAGGTTCCTCACCACACCATGGGGTTTTTTTGAAGCCCTCAACACGAAAAGGGAGCTTTTGAATTTTCATTCCCAGTGAAAAGGTCATATTTGACGGCCAGCTATATCGATACCACGAAGGTTGCCTGGGGGCCATGTCTAGTGTTTATTAGCGAAGGTTATAGAACGAGGGTTACCGGATTGGGCCATACTCTCACAGCAAGCATACTTAAATACCCGTAATTATTGATGATACAGTTTAAGCTCAGTATTAGTGCTTCACAACGCCCTGACGGGACCTAAAGGTGTAAAGTTGCAAAATTCCTAACTCAGCACTGGCATGTCGCGAAACTCCAAGTGGTAGATGTCCCAGTGATAATCGTCAATAGTTTCTTTGGGGCATGAAACGGTGGGAGTAAGGAAAAAGTAAATTCCTATTGATGTGTTTGTTCATTAGGAAAGCTTGTGTCGAAATTGACGAGCAAGATGAAAGGCGCTAGAGAATATTTAGGGGTCCGCTCGTGGTGAAATTCAAAAAGTATCTTAGAGCCGTATAGTAATTGATATCGCTAGCAAACTAACAAATGAATTTGTTGTCTGTAGATTACTTATAAGTAGCAAGGTAACAAAGGTAGATAATTAAGCATTAGCTTCCTCTAAAAGCTAATCTCTAGAGGTTGAAATGTAAAAGGTAGTGAGGCTTCAGAAACTCTTGTAAAGTACTCGCTAAGGACTAGTCGGGGTATAGTTGGCCCGTCTTACATGCGAAGCTTATTAGCCTGATTTGTGGCAGTACGGTACTCTTGTTAAAATCGACCAATACTGACAGTAGCCAAATCTTTGTGTGAGAAAGTTACTTATACACTTTTGCAGAATAATGGACGCATATAGCACTAGCCCGTAACGTAACTCAGCTTGCTGTTTGGCATAATAAATTGAGATTTCAGCGCCTTCCAACGGGTCCAGGACTCTACGGATCGTAAGCAAGTTATTTTTCGCGATGATATTTTCAGGATAACGTGAGCCCAGCAACCCAAGCAGAGAACTACGAAGTGATGGGATTGGTTGCGCAACATATTCAAAGAGCAAAGACAGCCTTGCCAAAGTGCCAGCAAGAACGCTGTGTAACGATCAAAATGAAGACCTCAGACTTCCCCAACTCAGCCATCTCACAATCTCACACTTGTACCAGTAGGTGTCTAATGAAGATCTAAATTTCAGATTCGGAACCGCTTGATCATGGAAGTCTTATCGGGGGTGTCCAGCGTAATTGCTATCGTATCTTTAACCGTCCAGACTGCCAATGGTGTGAAGAAGCTGTCCGATTTCTGGAGCTCTATTCAAAATGCACCACAGTCAGTCTCCGACATCATCGAGGATCTTGCTATCGTATCAAACGCCCTAGAAGATATTGGCCACGAAGCAGACAGTGCCCGACCACATTCCAGGTCTCTTGACATGAGTCTTTCATGTCTTCGATCATGCTCTGAAAAGGTTCAGAGGCTTCAAAAACTTTTAGAAGAGCTTCAGTCGGGGCTATCTGCCACTAAGCGCAGGAAACGAGCTTGGTCTTCTTTCAAAGTAGTATGGTCGGAAAACAAAATCGCCAACTTCCAGAACGCCGTGAGGGAATTGAAAACGACGTTGCTAATTACCAGGCAAACAGCCACAAGGTGATCGATGTATACCCATTATCAAAAAAATGCTTCATCTAACTCCAATACAGTAAGACGATCACTGCAAACCAGGAATCACAGCAGCGTGAACTGTCTTCAATTAGAGATGCAATCGACTCTCTCTTACAGCGGGAGCTGCGATGCGCCATTAGTCCTTCCTCAGAAAAGCAACTTATAGCGAATTTGAAGAAAGAAATTGATAAAACATCTTCAGCCAGGGCGCATCCTCAGTCAACTTCTGCAGACCAGGAAACAATGAATTCAACCCGAAGAATAAACACATCACTTTACTACCATTGTGCCGACCAAAGGCTCAATCCGGAGATCAAAGTCAGCGAGGCTCAGAGACAAGAAAATTCGGGAACGACCTCTTCAAGCTTAACTTTTGCAACAAAAACGCTACCTTATCGACATATCATCAATTCCATATTCGGCGTTGTAGAAGGGACTTTGACTACGTTTAGCATTACCCCATCCGCATGCACCAACGCGGCGAAGCATCACTGTACAAGGCATTTATTCATTTTACATCCATCAAGGCTTCTCCGGATCTTTGGGTTTGAGTCTGGCCTCCGTATGTCGTTCCTTAACTCTGGACTCTTCGATTTTCAATTAAATTCGTACCAAGCTGTTCCGGATAACTCAGCTATCTTCCATTTTACCAAGAACGGAGATATCACAAGTATTCAAGGCTTGTTCAAAGACCGTCTTGCTTCGCCGTTTGACACGAACTCCAAGGGTCTGACGCCGTTGTTTGTAAGTTTCCAAATCCAAATTTGCGATTACCGTATAAAACACCGGTAGAGCCCCTAAATCTTAAGACAATAAAGTGACTAGTTTAGTTCGCAGCACAGTTTGGACATGTTGAAATATGCAAGCTGCTAATCGACGAAGGTGCAGACGCAAAGGCATACAGTTTTATGAAAGAGCAAGTGGTCTCCACATAGATATATTAGCAATGCTACCTAAGCTAACCAAATTCAAACTCCGTCGCTTCCTATGCATGTTTCAGGGCCAGCGATGTTACAACTTCAAGATCATGCAGCGATCACATACAGATTTTGAGGATGTTCCTCGACCACTTAGAGTTTGATGAGTATATGAACTGCTCAGGTCTCACAGGGATTCGAAGACTCGTCACAAAACGATGTAGTGATCTAAGCTGTCAACATCGACCGTCGTATCCGGCGGCTCTGTACTGGGCATTGCCAATCATAAAAACACAATTTGCGCGCCGTATGCCCTCGATAGACCGGACCTTAGCGCATCTCTGGGAGATTTCAATAATGGAAAAAGATCCTGAAGTACTGGGGGAACTTGTCGCTCTAGTAGGAAAGGCCCATTTCCAGAGGATTTTAACATGGTTTTGTCCAGTACACTTTGTGATTTGCAACATTTACACTCAAACCCTGGCGCGCCGCGAATCTCTTCGAGTTCTGATCGACAACGGCTTAGACCTCCACTATTTGGCAGACGAAAGATCAGAGGCAGATCCAAATCATCGTAACATACGCGACACCACTCCTACGTCCTTGGCAATGAGATTCTCGTTGAATTTCTTCCACTTCCGCGACGTACTTCTCCAAAGCGGCACTCAGCTCTCGACTTTCATTGAGGAAGAATTGCAACAGGGACCGCTGGTAAACATGGGATGGACACCATCTACACTCCAAAGATTGTTTGAGTTAGAATTCAAACCCGTGGAACTGCTGAGGTTCACTTGCACGGCGTGCAGATTTCCTAATCGAAGTTCGACAGAGAAGGCCTGGCAAATGCTTCTGAAATGGTTGATGGAAGGGGGCGATCCGACGGATGTAAGCAAACAGTTTGAGGAGGCCGAGGAGGTATTTACGGATGGAATAGATGGTATATGTTGGTATTGTGCCAGTCATGGGATTAGGCCTACGCAGGAGGACTCATCTACAGACTCACCTTTCTTACTCTCAATATAATAACGCTCTGTTCCTCTATGAAAAGCAATCTTAGTAGACTCTCGTCCCAAAAACGCTAACCCACCTCAAGATAAGAAATCTCATAACCGACGTACAGCGGACCTACCTCATACACACCCTCCACCTCACGGCTTTTGCACAGAGTCTTGGATATTGAGTGAATAACAACAGGAATAGCGTACAAAATGATGACGGGGCAATTTTTATCTTGTATGAATAAAGCGACCTGCATTCCTCGACTCATGAATTACATGCTGCAGCCTGCTTCCAAATCTCTACCAGTGGCCCTCCAGCACCAAACACTGGGTCCGAAGGAGGGATTGGTACGGCTCTAGCATTTATTTCCTTCTCTATAGTCTCTTCTAGACCTGCTTTGCAGAAGTTGTTGTCCCAGTGTGGACTTCCCTTGGTAAAATCAGCCAAGTTTCGCCCGGAGGACTTTTCAAATCGTACCTTTGGGTACAAGCCAACATATTCATAATCATCACTGCTTTCTAGACTGCAATGAGCAACACCAGCAGGTAGAACAATCGCGTCTCCAACATTCAAGTCAACCAGTAGGTCATTCTCGCTCTCCTCGTCCAAAGGTCCTCGCCCTAGCAATAACCGGCTGCGCCCTTTGAATACAGCGTAGCATTCATGGGTGACAGAGTGGAAATGATGGGCTGGATAATGCTTAAATACTCCACCTTTAAGCCAGTTGTTGGGTTCAATCGTTGCACATACTGAATTCGGGTCTGGATCAGGTGGTAAAGCTGATCGGTAGATGAGCACCGGCAAGGGCGAATTTGGAACGTGAGGAGTGCTATTCTTGATGAAATACTGCTCAGGTTGAGACCTAGGCGACGCCATAGTGATTGTCCTGGTTAACCCAAATCGTTGTAATTTGGAAAATCGTTCTCAAGTCTCAACTTATTCTGATGATGTTATGGTGGGGTAATCGACCATGCCGATTCTGGCTTGCCGATCCTGATTTGCCACATTTGACAATGAGGTTAATTTTGTGTTTATGTTCCAGCTTCACAGACGCCAACTGGCTCTGGTCTTGATGAGAAGATGATCTTGTGTTTCACAATCTCCACAATCTCCAGATCCTCAATCGGCTCTCCGTCGTGATGGTCCACGTCCATAGATCCTTCATCCGGAACTCTCGCTTTCTTCCTGATCACAGCAATAGCCTTTGGTAATTTCTTGACCTCGCCAGTTAGTCGTTGATAATTCCCAACATACATATAGACGGGCTTCATCCACGCTGTACTGTTTTTGTCTTGAGGATCATAATCAGGAAACACAAGACGCCCAATGGTTGTTTGACCTGTGATTGGAACGGCTTCGTCATATTGAATCTGGTCTGGAAGATTGATCGTCCCTTGAAGCTCTAGTATTGCGAGGCCAGAAGGTAGTTGAAGCAGATGAGGAAGAGGATTTTGTACTGCAGTTTCTGGCAATTTCTGATCTTTCCGACTGTCGTAGATTCGAATTGGGGCGGCCATTGCCAGAAATTTGTGTGATACTGTAAATCTTCCCACGGTTTGGCTTGCTCTTCTGTGTAGTCTTGCGAACTTGAACGCGACTTTGGAAGCAGATGATTTTCGCGACTTGCCAAATCGGACCGGTTGCTGTTCGGCGACAACATCGGACACTTCGGGCGCCCAGAACAATTCACCAAGTCACGTTCATTGACCCACTTCCCGCCCATTTTTCGCTACATTCTGCTAGCGCCATTTTGAAGCCGCACAATCCCAAAATTTCCCAATTGCTGCTTCGCGAACTTTCAATCAACGACAACATTCGACACCCCATCGCCAACCGCCGAGATGAAGCTTGTAAGTATTCCCATCATTGCGCAATATCAGTCGATCATGCTAACATACTCTTAATAGAACATCTCATTTGTGAGTTTCCCCTGCGACACGACGATATCTTCGAATCGCGAAATACCGAACCTCGAACTAACATAGTTTGTAGCCTGCCAATGGCAGTCAAAAGCTCATCGAGATTGAAGATGAGAAGAAGTTGCGCGTCTTCATGGACAAGCGGTACGATACCACGATGTATAATGGGATATTCAGGGGTGGAAGCTGATTTGGATTTACAGAATGGGCGCTGAGGTTCCTGGAGACTCCGTCGGAGACGAGTTCAAGGGATATATCTTCAGAATCACCGGTGGCAACGACAAGCAAGGTTTCCCAATGAAGCAGGGTGTCATGCACCCAACTCGTGTCCGCCTTCTCCTTTCCGAGGGACACTCCTGCTACAGACCTCGCCGAACTGGAGAGCGAAAGCGTAAATCCGTCCGTGGATGCATCGTTGCCATGGATCTTTCCGTCCTCGCACTCAGCATTGTCAAGCAGGGAGAGGCAGACATCCCAGGCATCACAGATGTCGTCCACCCAAAGCGTCTCGGTCCAAAGCGCGCTACCAAGATCCGCAAGTTCTTTGGTCTCACCAAGGAAGACGATGTACGTATTACGTATATCCTTTTCGCCCACCAATCTCCCATAAAACGGAGATTGTGTGGAGTGTGAGTTCGGAACACCAAAGGCTGATTCGGGTTTAAAATATAGGTCCGTAAGTTCGTTATTCGACGAGAGGTTCAACCAAAGGGAGAGGGTAAGAAGCCATACACCAAGGCCCCAAAGATCCAACGTTTGATCACTCCTCAACGCCTCCAACACAAGCGCCACCGCATCGCATTGAAGCGCCGTAATGCTGAGAAGACCAAGGATGCTGCCGTAAGTTAAATTTTCATGGAGGGATCATGCCAAATTCTAACGGAAAATTCTAGTCCGAGTACCATGCTCTCCTCGCCAAGCGTGTCGCCGAGTCCAAGGCCGCAAAGGTCGATGCCCGCAAGCGTCGTGCCTCCTCCATGCGCAAGTAGATTTAGGATTCGCTTCGCATTTTAGGTGTATCATGGTTTTGCTTTGGTGTGGATGGGATATGAAAATCACGAAAGCGCGGTCGGATCATTAAGATGGGTTTATCTCGATCATCTTTTCATACGAATATAGATGATCAGAATTATCTCTTGCGTCTTCCCACATGTTGGTAGAAGGGCTCGCGTTCGCTCAGTCGGCGAATGAACCTATGCTATGGCGTTTTTAAAAATGATACTTCCATTTCACATCACTTGTACATATTCTAATGTGATTTTTTGTTTACTCAAACCTGAATCTGAATTTTGCTGATTTCCCTTAATAAATCTTCAACAGTCTTCAACAGCAACTCAGTGTCCAAGCCTGATAAACATACCGCAATCGACAAGGTAGCAACCTTAGCTGTTAAGTGAGCGACCCATACTGGATGTCATACATTACTTCTGACTTTCGGGTCCCACTCCATCAGCAGTCTCCTCCAATGCGTTCTTATCTGCAATTTCATACTGCACCGCACTTTTATCGTCCTTGCCACCCCGATGACGAGCTCGCTGGCGGATTCGTTTTCGTCCCTCACCACCAACAACCTTCCCACCTTCTACAACAGGCAACTTATTAACCCTCATAATCTGTACCACATCATCAGTCCCATCCTCTAAACTCAACCCCCTCAATTAGGAACTCACCAACTCACTTAACCCCCTAACAACTTCATCTCTCATCACCTCCTCCTCGCCCATCTTGCTCCACTCATCCTTCCACAATTCCTTACATCGATACGTAATTTGCTCCTTTACATATCTTTGTAGAGCATTCCTCTGATCGTCTCGCTACTTCATGTCAGCCAACTCCCCTGCATACTCCTTATTCAACCGATCTCCCCAGAAAGCCACTTACCAAACCCTCCCCTCCCTCAACCTTAGCTAAATAATAATCCTTCAACTCCACCTCTCCCCCTGTCAACCCCCCAAACAGCGGTCTCTCAATCCGCCAGCGCGCGCGTGCTTCATGCCATGTTTCGCCAGGCTGTTTGTCGGGACGAGCTCCGCGTTCGAGGTGCGTAAGTTGGGGGATTGTTGGTGCTGGGTTGTTGTTTTCGTCGTGCTTGGGTTTATGTCTGTGTTTTCTCTTCTTTCTGAACGCGTGTAGGTCTGAAGGCCCGGTAGCTTCTGGGGGGAGTGTACGCAGCGCGTTGTCTGGAGAGAGAGGGGTGGGGAAATCGAAGATCCAGTTCCTTTGATGTGTTTCTGTAGTGCGAGCTCGCAAAGAGATTGGCTGAAAAGCCAACGTTGACAATGCTTCAGAGAGATCTGAATCTGGTGGCATCAAGCCCGCGAAGATGTTTTGGAGGGACAATACGTCGTCCATTATGAAAGTGCCCACGGTGGTGATAACAAATTTGCGGATACGGATGAGGTTTTTAGATTTCGTGATTTGAGGTTCGAGTTGATAAGAATCGGAGCTCGCAATCAATGAGTTCTCCGGGTCTTGTGTCTGAAAACTGAAAAATAAGAGTCTATCGTGAGAGAGGCTGAAATATAGAGGTCGAGATTGAAACGCGAAAGGTGGGAACTGGTGAGTCAACATGATGGCGTCACACGTTCCAGTGGAAGCAATGCAACTTGTGATGTCCAGGTCAACGATCATGGACCGGAACCAATTGCTGCATATACTTTCCAAAGTCAAATACGACGACGTCGTCGTGAGACATGTAGTAAAGAACTCATCGAGTCCACCGCGAAGTTCACCAAAATAAGTTAATCGAAGTAAGCTTCAGTCATATCGTACATTTGGTACTAATTAGCGTAAGAATTATAGTACAGTAGAACAGGGGTATAACGATAAATGCGCCAAATCTCCAGTAATCAACTATACAAATCCTAGCCGGCCTCTGAAGTTTTCAAAGTCATCCGGATTGACAATTTCCACTTCCTTTCCCCTATTAATCATGCCCTTACCCTCCAGATCCGGGATGTGAAGTGATACTTTAGCAGCCAAATTTCCCCTGGGTTTCTTCACCATCCCACGATTAGCATCACGCTCAGCAAGAACATGAGCCTTCTTGACAACCGCCTCCTTCCAACTTTCCCATGCGGCATAATCCTCCTTCTGCTTGGCCACATGGTATTGAGGTGTAGACTTTGCGGGACGCCAGCCTAGCCTGTTCTTTGGTACAGAGCTAAGATCATAAACCTTAGCAGATGCGCTGAGATTCAACAGTTCGCTCAAAACATCTTGGCCTTCGGAGACAACAAGTTCCTCACGTCGCTGGGAGACGGATTTTGGCTTCAACAAAGGAGCGGAAAGCCAGTCAAGTCCCTGATGATCAGCAAGTCGAGCACGTCTATTGTCTTCTCGCAGATAGCGCACAGCAGCTTGGAGGCTTTCAATTTCAGCCTTCAGTACGTCCATTTCGCGAGCCGTAGCGACGGCACGCTCTTGGCCAGCCTTTGTACCGGGAGCAGCGACACCAAGAGCCTTTGCATCTTCTGCTGCTTTTCTCCATTTCTCTCGGTCCACGTCGAGAAGTGCCAACTCCTTATTTTGGGTTTCTAGAGACGCCGACAATTCAGACTCTTTCTTCTTTGCTTCTTCGATCTTTCGTTCGAGCTCCGAGATCTTGTCGTTCTTCTTCGATGCGTCTCTCATACGGCTTTCCAGGAGTTCAATCTTGACCGAAGCTTCCTCAAGAACTTGGTCTTTCATTGCTAACATGCGGGCTCGTTCGAGGTTATCGTCTTTGAGACGACGAAGCTCCTCCTCGGCGTCGATAGAAACAGTTTTTGACGATTTCAACTGCTGAGAACGTATCAACCAAGGAGCTGAAGCCCTTTCGAATTCTTGTGTGACTTCCAAATCCGAAGCAAGGGCAGCCAGATCCATCAGGGACGTTGTGAGTGTCCTGAGCTTGTTTGAATAAGCAGAGAACAGATCACTTTCGCTGGATGCAAATACGGATGTTGTTGTTCGGTGGATTGAATTTTGGACATCGAAATACGTGAATGCTTCCGTTTTACCTTCCTCGTGGAGTAATACGCAGAGATCGAAACCGACTTGTCTAGAAAAGGCGGCTAACTCCTCTGTAGCCGTCTCACACTGCTCAAATGTCTGTGCTGTATCTGGGGTCAGGGATAAGGACCGGCTTTTCAGGTCCTCGAGTGCTCTAACGGCCTTTCCAACAACCACTTTGGCGCTACGAGTAGAGCTCACTACTGACTCGGTCTTTCTCGAAAAGTGTTGAGCATGCTCATCATTGTCATCTTGTGCAGGTATGCTCGTCTGTACGAGACTCCTTGCGGCGGAAAGCGCTGTAGCTGCGTTCTCCAGGTGACTCTGCATAATGAGAGTACGCATATGCACTTCATCCGCATAACTTGCTAGCCCAGGAGGAATGTGAACCTCTGCCAAGTGTGACATTAGCGCGATGGTCCGTTGGAGATCGCTTGCACATTGGCTCTCCTTCAGTTCATCACGGCGAAGCCCATCAATCCAACCGTTTAAGCCACGTTCGACAGGTTCAAGCTCATACAGCGCTCCCTCGAATTTGGCAAATGCTTCAGTAGAACAGTGACTTAGAGCATTCACAAATCGATCGCACATGGCCGCAATCCAAGCAAGTTTATCCAGCACATCGCATGCCGAGAAAGTGTTCTCTTCATGGCCAGGAGAAGGCTGATTACCCAATCTCTCCTTGACAAATCCGTGCAACAGATTCGCCTTGAACCCAACACGCTTGAAACGCAACAATGCCAGAACCGAGTTCTTATCAGCCAGGTATGTATCGGGAAGGAAGAGCTGTACTATCGCAAGATGCTCAGAAGCTTCTTGTGCGTCTAGCCGTCTTAGTTCGAGATCAATAGTTTTGACTTGCGTTTTCGCAGCTGAGACTTGAAGCTTCATATTCAAATCCATCATGGCACGCGATCGACTTGCCAATTGTTCCGACTCCGTCTCTGAGACTGCGTGAGAAGCTCGCATGTCTTCTAGGTCACTCTGAAGATTAGTCACAAGTTCTCGGAATCGTGAGAGCGTATACTCCATGTCCTCCAAGGCTTCATCCTGTTGTGCGGCACGACGTATCTGCTCACTGATGACACTGTCTTTGAAATCGATGTCTTCTTGCATATCTTTCTCGGTCTCAATGTGATTGATTTCAAGCTCATCATTCACCTCTTTAAGACTTTCCAAATCTTCGATCGTGACCTTCAATTCTTCAATATGCTCGCTCATCGCCATATTCTTTTCAGTGAGTTCCTCAATCATATCTTCAGCTCCAAGAGCGTTGTCAAGTTGTTGGCGCAAGTCTTCAATTACAGTTTCCGCCTGGGTCAACCTCTCGCGGGTTGAGTTGTACTTTTCTCTGATCGAAGCTAGCTCACGGGCTTCCACCTCGAGATCTGCGATTTGAGCTGTGTATTTGGACTTGTCATCCTCCATTCGGTCCCTGAGCACAAGCACAGCATCTCGCAGTTTCTCTTTCGACGCTTCCATGGCCAACCAGCCGTGACTGCTCTTTTCTTCAAGACTCATATCACCTCCAAGTTCGGCGTTTTCTTCCCTCAATATCTCCACTTCTAGCTCTAGCTCCTCCGACTTTAGTCGCAAGGCATCCAATTCCGACCTGAGTACTTCCGCAGTTTCTTCAGCCATCTCCCTATCCAAGGTCGCCATTTCAAGAACAACTTCGTGCTCCGCTTGGAGATTCTCAACTTCCTCGAACCTGGCCCCAGATTCCTTGAGCTGGCGCCGAAGCTCGTTGACCTCGAGCTGCTGTTCTTGAACTTTGGCTTGGAACTTCATTACGATTGCGTCGTACTTGTCCTTGTCCGACTGTTGCTTGTCCATGTTTTTTAGTTTTTCCCTATCTTCCAGTCGTTTACCCTCCATAACTCGCAGTTTCGCTTTTAGACTTTCAATCTCTCTAGTGGCTGCGGTGCTTGCCCCCGCAGCTCGCTGAGTCGCTGGGGATGCACTATTCCGAGACGAAGCGGGAGATCCAGCTAGGCGGTCTCCTCCAGTCACTCGAGACATGGTAGGGCTCAAAGCTTTCGGAGATAAGCTGTCACTCTTAATTGGCGAATCTGCTCCATCGTCATCGCCCGTATCATGCCCACCGTCTTCACTAATCTGGCCACCACTTAGTTGGCTACCTATCGAACCAACCCTGTCCACGTTGGAACGAATTCTATCTCTCGGAGCGAGAGCTGGCCTAACACTTGCCGTGCGGCTCGCGGGCACAGAACTTCTATTGGTAACGCCTAACCCACCAGCTAAAGATTGTCGGCTTCCACGGGACCCAGGCGCGGCCGGTGGTCCCATTGAGGTTCGGTTTCCACGAGTAGCTGGGGGCGGCTTTGCCATAGAAGAAGAGGCAGTCCTTGCATTGGACGGAGTTCCAGTTCTTGGGGTGGGAGCTTTCGAGGACGTTGCAGACAACTGTTTCGTGGGAGACTTGGTTGGCGACTAAGATTGCATTAGAGATTTGATATGACAGATCTATGAAGTACCTACTCTGATTATACTAGAAGGGCGAGCTCGAACCGCGGGGCTTGGGCTAGCAGCGTTGATACTCATACGTTTTCCACCAGTGGTATCAGGAACAGAGCTCAAACGTCGTCCAACGCCCGGTGCTGCAACACTACTCGGTCTTGAGAGGCGTTTTGCTGGTGGAGGTTTGGGCTTTGGTGCTGGCTGTTCAACAATCCTGACGGCGGTGGGCCGCAAGAACATCCCCCTTCCCATATCACACTCAAAGTACCGCTGCCCTTTAACACTTCCATCGTTCTTCCCACTTTCGTCCTCCAATTCTACTCCAATCCATTCTCCAGGTGCAAAATCCGGTTGCCCTGCGTAACGAACGATTGCCAGCCGGCCGCCGTCATTGAGCTGGACTGTCTGCCCTACCTCGAAACCAGACATATCAAATGATCACCAAGTCAAAATCACCATCCATGAGAGTCGTCGACAAGTCGGAGCCGCATGGGTCGAAGGTGTGGCTGACTCGTAATAAAGGGAGTAGTTAGTGTTGACGTTGTCGCGTTGGTCTCAAAGGAGACGCGATGCCATAGCTTCTTACCCGAAGTTTATCCGGCACCTATCTCGAGCTGGACAACGACCACCAACACTTAACCCTCGGAAGACGAAATTGATGTATCAATCGACATACATTCCTCGACTGAAGTAGCTGCTAGGTATCAAATTGTTCGCCAACCCTTCCCTGTTTGATGAACGATGAAGGAACACCAGAATCAATACAGGCCAAAATCTATTTTCCCTGAAGCTCTCGAGTCTCGTTATGTCCCATTACAATGATTTGACTTAAGACCAACAAAGTCTATGATCTAAACTCATCATTATTGAAATCACAGAATAAATATAAGGAAAAAGCTCTGTTCCTATTTCGCCCCTTTCCCCAGCCATGTTTTACTTTCTGAGTCGGTAATACACCTTCCAAAAGCCAGAAACAGGACCTGGTGTTACAAGATAGGACGACACACCGAGAAATTGAGAGACGAATCGACGTTTGCGTCCTGCTGCAAAGATTTTGAGACACGGGTGCTAAAACAAGGACGTCTTGTGCCGTAAACATGGGTAATTTTACTCTCAAGTGCGTCTATTATTTGAGGTTGGGTATGTTCGGCATGTTCGAATTCTTTGATTTCACACTGGTTTTCACTCAAACTGAGAATATTACAGTGCAGGTGGGTGGGTGACCGTAGGTCAAATCAGCTATATGGCTATCTAGCTTAGCATAGAACTCGGTAGAATACGTATCTCCTTAGGGGTAGTAAACCCACATGATTGGTGTGCAAATTAGGTACTGGCCAGATTACGAACACCTACCTCAAGTAACACTATAATTATACAAAGAAAATACTGTATATGAAAGGTGCTTCTGGGTAGGGCCGTGCTTTGTATGTTGCTAGCTTATTAGTATCTACTGCTAACGCCGTACTCAACCTGCGCACTATAAACAGCTGTCTTTAGCGCACTTTAGGAGCTCTACTCCAACCACAGAGAACTTGCAATTCCAGATTGAAACCATTAACAAGTATTGACACTCAAGTATGTCTACAACCTCTTTATGTAAGTTTAACCTTTTATGCGAAGCACTCAGAAAGTTCTTGCAGCTCGAGACCGTCCAAGACCATCTTTTCTGTTAGCCTTAGCAAAGTTCATTAGAATTTTATGAGACTTGAGGCAGTTGATAATTCACTGCCACAGTAAGTTAGCGATGTTATTGCGGGTCTGATATTAGGTGATTGATCGCCGATACAAGCAGAACTTATCCGGGACGCGCACACTTGCTTCCTTTCATGTCGTTAAAATTATACTCCAACTCCGCACCAACCGCAAATATATGGATCCAGGAACAAACAATCAAGGCGTGTCTCGCAGTGTTGCTGACAAAGTGTCTATCGAATTATGGATAATGGTTATGGAACAAGTAAAGAACTTCATAGTAGAATGGATAACGATCCAATGCTAACCTTAGATCAACAGATCGATACACAAACACCAGAAGAGACCCCCTTTGCGATCAGCACGCCTCCCACACGTTATCCATTCCCTGCATCACTTCGTCTTGTGTGTCGAAAATGGAATGATGCTGCAACTCCGTTTGTGTACCGCGAAGTCAACATGAAGTGCATTTTCGGAATTATGAAACAAGACAATTACATTAGCCGCACGGCATCTATTTCTAAAATTAATAATATTGTATTGCATGCCAAATCTTTCACGCTCGCTATAAACGGTACAGAGGTGGAGCATATTCAGTGGGGTATGCTCTTCCAACAGTTGTCGGCGTGCGTAAAGTTGCAACGCATTCGGTACGTCTCCCACTATCTTGGAGATGGAGTGATATCATGCTTATCGAGTCTCCTTTAGTTATTCCTTCTACGGCCGAGACCACGAATTTCCAAAACTATTGACCGAATACCTCGCAGGGCGAAATCCGCCATTGCTGCTTGAGGTACCTGGCTTCGTAAACTCCCTTAAATGGATACCTTCTTGTCTAGTCCCAGTTTTGACGACAATACAAACTTCGGCCGATTACTTACAGCAGGCGGTTGAATGCTCCGATTTTATCTTAGCCGCTGCGAAAGCAGATTCGTGGGATTCGTGTTATGTGCCATTCAAACTGCAACTAAATGGTCGCTTTGTATCACCAATGAAGGGTTTGCGTATGATTGAACATCCATGGGAAGCATATACTCCAGATGAGTTTAAAGCGTGGGACTTCTCTCAACTACGCGACTTACGCATTGTGAATGCCGAGGGTGGCTTGATTGCATTCATGTCACAGAAAACCGCCAAAAGCCTCCCACGACTCAGCAAAATCAGTGTAGCTGTGATTTCTGGTGAAATATCTGCATTGTACAATGAACGACTCGCTGCTTTCATCGCAGATTTTACCACTCTGACACACATAGACCTTCACCACTATGATTTCACGTCGTTGCTCCCGACGATTGAAAAATTGGGCCATCAATTATTCGAGTTGTCGCTACATCGCAAAAAGCAAACCAACCCCCCATTACGTGGCCATGTGATGTCTCCTGAGGTTGCGGACAAGATACAGAAATCTTGCGTCAACCTTCGCGTGTTTTGTGTCGATATCCCAAATTCCCAAGTAAGGTTTCCCTTGCCTGGACCTTGAAGTCCCTGGTCCTCTGTATACTAGCAATAAGGCTTACACCGTGTAACAGAAGCATCAGTGCGCTTTGAGCATTACACGTATGCCTAAGCTCAAATACTGCAGGTTGACAGTCGTTCGAGATTCAGTATCGATCATGGAACCGGAGAAAGCCAACGAAGACTGCAAGGATATAGCTCGCCTTCTATTTGGCTATACTCCTACCCGTAACTCTCTCGAAACCGTCACAATTCGTCACTACATCACAAGCCCCTATCCCCAACTCGTTTCTACAGGAATTCCAACCCCGGACCACTTCGCAACTTATGAGTTTGATCCTAGCCATTTTTCTGCTTATCTACAGACGAGAAGTAATGGGGCACTGTTTGATCTAGAGGACGACAAAACTTTCATTTCCGGCGAATACTAAAGAGCCACGATCTAAGTGGGGTGACTGGTAATCACATGAAGTTAATGGAATTCTGCTGTTGTGTTAGTTCACCGAAAAAACACGAATTGACCCTAATATTTATAGGAGCTTGTGCTCATGTCATGGCAAACGATTTGATGTTACAAGCCGGTCAAGAGTTACCAATGGCCAGTAGCCACACAAAGTACAAGAAATTGAATCCGTTTGTTTATCAAGCGACCTTGGTTATAGTTGTACGAATTGCGGAGTTGTCCTCAATTCTCATAGCTTTTCTTCTAGAGCTTGACAAGAATGTAAATTTAGAATCAGAAAACATTATTGAGCCTATTCACACAGAACTTAATTTCGTCTAGTCCATGTTCAGTATATTATACTATTGTATGGCTGCGTAGAGTTTCTGACATTAAAACGGCCAAGTCATGTCAATCTAAAAGTCACAATCAAATTAACATCAATGACCCAATACTATTGATATCAACTCTGACGCTTCTACTAACACAGTCTTCCGATACCCCATATGTTGCAAATGGTACTCGGAAACTCCTCGCGGTAGATAAAAGAAATCGAACTGAATAGGTATACCGGTAACCCAATTTCTACTCCATTATGTTACATATTCAAACAGTGAGTGGCATGCCCAACCGAATATTGCCAAATGTACAACACCAAAAACCATATTAAAAATAGAATGCTCGAGTCAACAATTATGATGTGCAATGCGTTATAACTCTACACCACTCTGTACATACGATCATTGACTGCGTCGGAGGGAAATTGATTGAGACGTGCTTTATCAGATGTAAGTCTCGTACTCCACAAAATGGAAAGAGCATAAAACCCGGTCTTCTACAAATTCCACTATGACAATACTGCATACCTAATTGACCTAAGTACAGATGAACATCATCATACTAAGTTGTATGTTGAGACACCGAGTGTTGTTTGGTACAAATAGTTATGCAAGCCTGGCTGAAATTTGTGTGGGTCATAGTAACAACTTTTGTACAAACCAACCCAAACGTGCTAACACCGTACTATAACGCACATTTCTATTCTTTGGTTAGCGGATTTTAGTTGAGCTGAATACATCATTCGAGTCCAATTATACGTAAGTAGAACTGTTTCTTGTTTCTTCTTCTTGTGCTGATGTCCATTGTGTTGTAGTGGCCGCGACTCCGACGAGTGGGGCACATCTAAGCGACCTCCTTTTTCAGTCGATGGCAATACATCCCGTCTGCACCTCCCGTCTACATCTGTATTTTTCAACTTCATTGAATAAAATCTCACTCAAATTTCCTTCCAGGGTTTTGTTCGAATCGATGCCGTCATTCCGTGACACTCGATGTTTAGCTTTTCGGAAGCCCTCCCAAAAGGCGCCATGCTGATATGTACACAATTGTGTTGTTTCCAACCGCTCCTCCTTTCTGGGTCGTTCTTGCTGTAATTCTTCCAGTGCGCGTTTTATTATGGAGTCAATTATGCTTCGCATGACCGGTGCGACTCAGTGATCTACTTTAGTGTCTGCGATGCTCCCCTCCTTATGCCTCTTCTGTATGGTTGTATTTGTTTCGGGCTTGTCTAGCCATTCGTAGCGCGTGCTGACTTGTTTCGATTTCGATTCTACCATTTCCTCACTCCAGTAGCAAACTCTCTGTTTGTATCCAGTTTCATTATGCCTTATCCTCTCCACCGCTAACCGGCATCTTTAAGCTCGCACGCGTTGAGAGTCCTCGTTTACTTGACTTGATTGCCTACTAGCGACGGATTGATGCTTAATTGACGCAAGCTACGTACTCGTACTGGGTATTGGACTCTTAATATGGATATTTTCGACATACAACTGATGAGCTAGGTAACTTTGAGTAGTCTAAGAGAAGTTGATCAGCACACATCTATCCACTTTAAGAGGTGCGGGCTTGAGGATGCTATTTGGAGGTGAAAGGGATAAGACTTGAAGCCTTTACTCGCGATGAGTGAGCTGCAAGTGCATACAAGGTAGCATGGTCGATAAGATCTCGTAAGAATAACTGGATACTAGGTAATACAATGTTGCTTGACCTCTTGCCTACTTACCTGCTCTGCTTTCGATTTTGGTTCGATATTCCTATGGTCCCAAAGAATTTGAGTAAACTTAGACGCAATTGTACCTTCTGCGGAAACGGTTTCCCTCTGAAGCTTCCCAGCTTATCTATTTGCCATTGATTCGTTTCCGACTTTGCGAGAGCTCGCAGATTTAGTCCGGCCTAATCGTTGATTCTCTGTATTTAAGTTAGCACCTGCCCTAATTGTAAAACACATGGAGTAGAATACTCCCAAGATAGCAATCGGGTTAGTATTTGGGCATCCGCAGCCTTTGCACCACTGGCAGATATCCCAAGGCATCTTTCGGAATGCCTGAATTTTGTAAACTCAGTTTTGCGCATTACTCGGATTCTGAATACATCCCAGGGAGAGTTGGTGAGTTGGCGTTCTTTCAAAGATCAAGAACAACACGCTGACAGACTTTGCTATTCAGGGCGACAGATTTGTTAGCATAGACAATTAATGACAGAGCTGCTGATTGTGCGAATGTTCAGGAAGCGAACCGAGTATGACTGAGGCACAGGGTCGTTTCCGTTCCCTAATTCAACTAGGTACAACGGTGTTTCCAGATCGTGGAGTTGTCTAACGGTACCAAAGGAGTTGTAAAATACAGCAACAGAAGCAGCAGGGGCTGCCTAGCCCCCCACCGGCCTGAATATGCCAACCAAAACATAGGCTGTCGGGCAACTGTTCACCATGCCACATAAACCCTTTTTAGTGACAGATACGACTTCAATATCTGTCTCCGAATTCGCACAAAACCAGAAATGTGTGGTCGCTGCAGTTAGTGGACTTACCTGTGATAATAAACTCGTAGCCTGTTGTGCACAAATCCTTACGTGGTCGTCATGCACGATTTCGGATGCTTTGGCGGATAGATCAGTTGAGTATTTGAAGTTCCTGAGCATACATTATGGGCAGCAGAACGCACTGTAGAATACCACCATAGATTACTTCAAAGCTTGTTTAGTATACTTGTTGAAGAAAACAGATCGTTTGGCTCTCTGTCCTTTTTCGCTGTTTTACAAAGCTATTCTCGTGTGCAGGCTTAATCTGTATCAAGGCTTGGGGTTTTCTGCCGAGAAGTAGAGCCTGCTGATAGGACAACTCTAATCGTTGAATAATGTGCTTGATGCCAATACTATCAATACCTCAAAATCTACACTCTCCACTACCTGACAGAGAACTAGTTGCCTGGTAGCTCTTCCTGTCAAAATGGATTTACTGTTCTTCCTGACTTTCTTTGTTCACCGGCAGCAACTGACCAGCTAGGGGAGTTAGACAGCACGCCAGCTGATTAGCAGCGTCAGCAGGACTGCTATCGGACCACTAGATCATACTTCGCTGAGATGTGAATCAAGCGAGTGTCGGTAAAGTGTTTTGGACCTGTTCTCCGCACAAAGTTTGTTTATCGAGAATCACCATTGCTCAACAGGCAAGATCGCTGATAAAAGACTTTGCTAAACGCTGATTGCACGACCGTGTTCTCTAAAGCACTGCGCTAATTCAATTCAAACGCCATACGCAGATACGCACCTCTAAAGCAACTGCGAATAACACAACAGTATCCAGCTAGCTCTCACACCAAGCTCAGTTCCGCAGAGAACGTCAAAATGCCAGTCGAAGAAACAACTGTACGCAAGCCGTTTTCTTTGTTCTCACGTTTCAGCCCTTAGGGATAGCTCCTGGGAAAGATTCTTCTCTGCAGATACAGAGCCTGGCTCCAGGACCAATAAGAAAGGCTTGTGCTAACTATTTTCAGACGGAGGCTGACGCCAACACATCACCTCCCGTGTCCAGACTGACCACGGACGTACTGCTGATAGTGATGGACCACGTGAGTTGACAGTACAAGACCACTAGATGCTAAAGCTAATCTTCCCCCAGCTCCAAAAAGACTTTGGTCCATACGACTTCCCACGAGACATTCGAAGAGTTTGCAGAGCCTGGAACGATGCGGCTATACCTTATGCTTACGCGAACGTGGATCTCACAAGAGCTTTGAGGAAAGGCATCATCTCCGTGCTGTGGTCAGGAGATGCAGTTGCTGGTGCGGTTGGCGCAATTGTAAAGAGCAACACCAGAAATGTCCTTCTAGGACAAGGAAGAAAGCACATAATATCCGACTGGCGTCAGATGAACGCATTTCTTTCGAGATGTCAAAAGTTGGAAAATATTACGTAGGTTCTACGATGATGCCGTCTTACACCATTGCTTTGCTGTCTAATTCTGATCAATGGTCATACAGATTCTGTTGGCTGAGCAGTTCGGGAGAACCCCAAGTTCCCTGTTCACCAAGCACGCTTGATTTTGGTTTTCATGCGGCCTTGAATTTTGAATTTCCTACCGAACTTGTCAACGCACTACCATCTACCTACCCCCCGAACGTCACAATCGGCTTCCCCAATTGCACACCCCTAAGCAAAACCTTTCCAATTCTACAACAACTCACTCAAGCGAAACTATACCTAGAAATAGGGTCTGAGGCACAGAAAGCAATGGAACTGCTCCTTCAGTCACAGCGGCTGGAAACGGTGGGTTTGGCATTACATGGAGACTTTTCGGCTGAAGAGCCAAAGCGTTTCCGCGAATCGCAGAGAATCTTGAGGGATGGGCACATATGGGACGATGCCTCGCAAGGCAAACTCGTTGTTTTGAACTGGCCGAGGTTAAGACACATGGATCTGGTTACCAACCTAAAGTGTTTGACGGAACTTCTAAAATACTTCGAACCTGATCTTCATCCTGTCACCCAGCGCCTTATTGATAACCATCCCCAACGATTGAAAGAGGTGGATATCGAAATAGCCACTGAAGGAGTAATATTTGCGGAACCCGCCCTCAAACCTCTTTCCGCATTCGTCACGCGACTAAACGAATTGACTGTTTTAAAACTCAATGCGTTCGACTCTAATACTATACCAATGTCTATCGCACTTCAGGGCGACACGTTGAAGGTTTTGCGCCTGGTGGGCCCCGGAAAAGACTCAAGAACGTTCTTCTTGGATCCATGGGCACTTAGGCTCATCATTACAAAATGTCGTGTTCTACAAGAACTAGCGTTGTATGTTTATATTGAAAACGTAAGTGCGAGCTAAACTTTTCTCTTTGGCTGCTGTTGCAGAGAAGTCTTGCAGAATTGATGGCTGACGTGATTGCAGAGAAAGTCTTCGCTGTTACATATATGCACGCTTCCATTATTGACCATACTACAAATGGAAATAAAAGGCAACAATATCCCATATTACAATCGGTACCATGTCGCAGAGGATCTATTGGAGTTGATGACAACCATGGCCAACGGGAAAACAGGTTTGGACTTTCGGAAGGAGGGAGAAGTCATGTTAACCAGTCATAATGGCATGGGCGGAAGTTATACTCTCGCTCTCAGGGGATCGCCAGATGAAGCTGCAGATTTTCTCAGTTTACTTTCTGCATACCATAACTAAGTAGAAGCTTTCTTCCGCTCGACCCTGCCGTATAACAAAAGTATACACGCATAAATTGACCACCGTAGTTCTTTGCGGCTGATGATTGTAGATACACCCGATGGAAGGATATATTGGATCGAGTTACGGCTAATATGACTTTATAAAATTTGAAGCGGACAAATCACAGGAAACTACAAATAGGTCATTCTTGGATGTTGTGAAGTAAATACTTAGAATATTAGCACTTGTATGGCGGGAGATATAGCGGAAGGCCGTACGTACAGCGTGTTTCAATTTTGGGACCATTAGTAATTGCCATCCAGCAAACTTCCCTCGGGCGTTTGACAAGTACAATTGCAGATGGGCCGCAACCTGTAGAGTAGGCGGGGACTATGTTTCTGAAGCACCAGGGGGCTAGAATACACGTAATCCGATAGCGGCTAGCACAATATTTGCACTTCATCAGCAAGAAAGTAGCAAAGCTCCACCCAACGTTGTTGGACAGTCGGTATTAACCTGTAGTGTCAATACTTGAAAACAAACAAAGGAATGCTGGGTTATAGTCATGTTGGATTGTAGTCATGCTGTTGTTCTACTGGACAACAATGCAAAACGCAGAGTCAAGAACAGCGAAGTTTCACTGACCGACAGCTTTGACATCTTCCACTCATAGCAAAGAGTGCTCGGAATCCTATTTAGGCTCTCTTCCCCAATGGTGAACATCACATTCCATCATTTACTTCAGTAATCTTCCCCCAAAGAAATCTTCCTGTGCACCTCCGGTGATTAGAATGTGACATCTACTACCGACAATGCAAATGGCGCTTCCGATGGATTCTTGAATGGCTATTGGACGACGTGTCACAGGGAGCAATACTCGTTGAGCCGCTCGGAAGTGGTCTGGACTGTCCCGCACACCTTTTGACGCCTAAATTCTCAACACACACAAAGCTCTCGTCTCCAAACGCGTTCTGCAAGATCTACAACCACATCGCCACTATTCGGCATCCCCAAATCCTGAATAAGGAATCTACATTTGAAGATACCTCGCGCAGAGGAAGCAAAAACAAAGATTCAGCCACACGCAACAGCAATACACATACACAGTATCCCACAATAGGACCTGTCGCATAATGTCCTGCAAACCGGAATCCAGCGTTCCCCTCGACGGTATTCCCAATGGATTGGGTCCGATAAACAAACTGTCGATAGAGCTACTCGGTCTGGTGATGGAACAAGTACGCAAACACAAATCTCGCCGGCTACTGCTAACGCTCTTTTAGTACCACGAAATCCACCCATTGTTTGATTTTCCAATAGACATCCGTCTCGTATGTCGTACCTGGAACGAGGTCGGCAGACCATACACATATAGAAACGTGAACCTGGTGCACTTCATCGACAGTGAGCCCGGAGAGTCTCATCTCTGGGACCAGAATGAAGCTGCGGAGAACTTCTGTGCGCAATTGTGCAAGTATGCTAGGTGCGTACAGATTGATGAAGGCCCTAACGGGATTCCTTCTGGTTGGGCTTTCATGAACTGTCTACTATCAAACTGCATCCGCCTAGAGAAAATCATATATGTAAAAGACTGTCCTGGTGCTTGCTTTTTGTTATTAACGCTTTAAATAGTTTCGTTATTGTCGCCGACCCACGGGTACAACGTCGTGTACCACCCTATCCGCGCTTTCCTCAAAAGCTAATTGATGGACTGCTGGGAAAGACCAATCCTGCAGAATACGGATCCCTTACTCTCGGCACCCAAAGATTTTCCCACCAAGCGTACAATTCAAAGGTGAAGATTGATGTCATTCAAGGCATCGATCTGAGCAAAGATTTCATCGAGATATTCCCCAGAGTTTCAGCGATTGGAATTAAACACAATGGAGCAGTGCATGGATCGCCAAGAGAGCTCCAGTCTCTACTGAGCAAGGCCAACTCGCTGGAGGAGCTTTCGTTGGGGCTAGCCAATTGTCAATTTGAAGAACCGACGCTTAAGATTGTACCGGTAAGATGTTTGAGGATCAACTCTTACTCCTGGGATGGAAGGCTGGCATGTGATCCATGGGACTTTTCCAGACTTGTAAAATTGGAACTGTTCAGCAATTCTAGTAGGTTGGGGAGTTTCCTGAAGTTCTTTTCAGAAGACGAAGGAAGTAAGACACCAGAATTGAGGGAGGTCAAGATTAGCTTGACACCATATGACACCAACTGCGAAGAAGCTTCGAGGTTGCTGGGAACTTTCGTGGCAGGCTTGAAGAAGCTCAGGAGCTTCGAGACTACTTGTTTCAAGTCCCTTGACGTAAACCGTCTAATCGTGAAACTCTTACGATTTGCCGACACGTTAAAATCGCTTCGTTTAACAATGGCGAAAAGAATGTCAAACACCAGTCCTATTTCGTTCGATAATACAACAACTATCGCCCGCAACTTCACAGCGCTAGAAGAGCTGGAGCTCTTCGTACCATTTGAAGTTGTGAGTTTCCCTAAGTGCATTTTCTACCTCCTAGGAACGGCCCATACGGGAATTCATGCTGACACAGAGACAGAGAGTAGGCAGTCTTTTTGAGGTATGCAAACTGCCTCGCTTGGCCGATCTACGTTTCGAATACAAGGGGCCAAGTATCCCACTTGGTGAGGCTTATGACGCCAAAAGGGAACTTCTCCGTCTTGGTGGTTTAGCTCCCAAATTAAAAGCTGGATGTAGTTTGAAGAATATGGAGTTGAGACTATTTGATGGAGCAAGCCCATTTGTAACACTTCTTGGGGATGTGGCATGGGGGGATGGTAAGTATGCTTACCCATATATGAGAAGATACCTCGTTGACGGTGGCGGAATTGAAATTGTCGAGGGGACCGCTGCTTAAATTACCAGGATAGCAAGGTTGTCGATTGGACCGCTGCTTAATTATCAGGATAGTAAGGGAAAGAATGTGAGATTACCTACGATCGGTGGCTTCGTAAGCAACGCATCCGTTAATATATCTGATCACTCGCCTCCAAATAATTCATTGTCAATGTGCCCATGCCTAGCTATGTCGTACATTACCATACACTGTAATTGCGGAGTGCATCGGGCATTTGGTTTGGTTTGGGCTGTTTCTATGGCAAGTATAATAGACGATTCCGTATAGTCGTTCAACGAAATGAGCTCGCAGTGATAGAAGTTCAACGAGATGAGATAAATCATCTGATAGTTGATCTCCCAAGGGCGAGAAAGATATGAATTAGGATTGCCAGGCATGTGGTCTCGTAAGAATTGAAGTGAGGTTGAAATAAGGTGAGACAAGCCCCGCTTCTGCATTTCAGCCACTCAATCGGCAAAGCACGAACATGTGCCAAAAAACACCCAGATTCCAAGCTAGGAAACAACCTCACATCTCCACTTCAATCTCTCGTATATGTTCAACAATGCAATTCATTTGCTACACCGGAGGAACCGTTTTCGCCGCTTGTCCTTATTGATCTCGAGAAGCCAATTCCTCTCGATTCATCCCACTTTGCTTAATCTTTTCAGGAACGTGGACTCGGGAATCTGCAGGTCCTACAACATAAATATGGATGGACAACCCTCGAAACTCTCCATGCCTTGGTGGCCATTGGACTACGAAACTCATACCAATCGCTTCGGTTCTTATTCTCTATCTACTCCTTAGTAGAGAGGTCGACGACATGCGTTCTTCTAGAAAATCTAGCTTCCTAGCTGCATTGACAGCTTCCCTGGCACAACATGGGGAAGCTGCAGCTGCGTCAGGTGTTAGCTTAAGCTGGTATGCGCCAAATGAAACGGCTATCAACAATTTGACGCAAGTCATTGGAGGGTCTGGTGTGTATGGATATATTTATAATAGCTCGGAGACTCCTGCGGCCGACTATGGGCTTTACAACTGGTGTAATATGCCGCATGTGCGTGCAACAGAGTACAAGAAGCCATCTTCTGAGTATAAGCTTCAGTATGTGGAAGTGGTAAGTACTACTAGCTCAATCATACACATTTACTAATAGCAGAATTAGATCCATCGTCATCACAAACGAACCGTCTACGCCTCAAACGCATTTCCAATCGAATCATACGGATGGAACTGTGACGACGCAGGACTATTCTTCTACGGCCAACCAAAAGTAGGAAAGAAGTCTGCGCATGCATACTGGCAAGGATACATCTCTCCCCAGAACCCTTTCACGCCTCCAGGGTTCTTGGGAAGCTGCCAATTTCCTCAAATCACGGCGGAAGGGATGGACGATTCGTGGCAGCATGGTAAAGACCTGTATGGTGTATACCATGATCTCTTGGGTTTTCTTCCAGACAAGTTGGATGAGAAAATGACTTTCAGGGTCTCTCAAAATGTGATTACAAGTCAAGTGGCAGGCATGCTCGTAAATGGCATGTTTGGCAAAGAGCAAGATGTACCATTGCTCGTTCAGGTAAGCACAAAAGCCCCCTTCAAGAACCCCAAAGTCGCTAACTAAAGTAGCCTAACGGATATGACTCTCTGGCACCCAGTTACACCTGTCCATCGGGCTCCTTCTCCCCCATCACCTCCGGTCCAGCCTGGACGAACCACCTAACCGCTGCCTCTGCCCTCTATTCCACACTCGACAACATATCCGGCGTCCCAGCTTCCGACAGCGGCTGGCACACAAGTTTCGACCACTACTACGACAATCTTTCTGCCCGACAATGCCACTCCAAACCATTTCCCTGCAAACTCGTTAACGGAGTCAACTCAACAACCTGCGTTGACCAAGCCATTGCAGACTCGGTATATCGTCTAGGACATTATGAATACTCATACATGTACCGCGACGACCCTCGAAGTCTTGCTGCTGCTGTAGCCAGTTACGGTGTTTGGATCGGAGAACTGACGACTCATCTACGGGATATCATGGATGACAACGAAAACGTGATTTATAGGCACAACGTCGCGCACGACGGCTCAATGTCTCGCCTCCTATCTATTCTGCAGATAGACCAGATGGTTTGGCCTGGCATGGGCGCTGAAGTGGTCTTTGAACTGTATAAGAAAGAAGATATGGTGGCTACACCTACGACTTTAATCACAACAACACCTACGATCCTCGCACAGGGATGTAACCGCGATAACTGTCTACGCCAATTCATCCAAGAATCCGCAGCCGCGTCTCAGTTCTGTCCGACTTACACCGCGACTTCCGCCTCCTCAATCCCAAGCTTTGCGAGCAATTGCGGTGGCTCGCCAGCAAGAGTATCAAGCGCGTGTTCTTGCCTTACCCCCCCAACTTCAACATCCACGCCGTCCTCCTCCTTCTCCACTGCACCACCAACCCCTACAAGCCCAAGTGCCCACTACGTACGCGTCCTCTGGAAAGGCCAAGCCCTCCGAAGTTCGAACCCTAGTCTAGGACTTATGGATATGTTACCGATCGAGACTTTGCTCGCGTATTTTGATGGGCTAGTTGGTGTGGGTGGGAGTCTTGTTAAGGGGAAGTGTGGTGTTTAGATTTCGTGGGGAGAGGGATGAGGAGGATATCAATGATGACATTGGAATATTCATGAACTAAAAGGGCATTGTGTTTTGTTCTGGAGCTGAGTTGGGTATGTGACTTTAATGTTGCCTTTCGTAGCTTCACACTTTGTAGTTCTGGTGGAAGCGCCCGGCCAGGAGAGCTTGAAATGTTATATGAGGCTTGGATATAGATTCCAAGTATGCATTTCAACCAGGCTCTGAAATTACTAGCAGACATCTTACTACGAAACCAGGATAACTGATCAAAAATATACCTAACACTCATCTATTTAGTCTAGGCTACACCAAAAGGATTCCGGCCCCATCCTTACTCCATTAATTAACGGAAAAAGAGTTCGGGGGTAAGTTTGTTTAACGATTGAATCTCACACATCTAAGAGTACCAGCCAGCCAGTGCAATCTAAAGTTACAATCACATCACGACCCCCTTCTTTTACAATCGCCAACCTCTCTCAACAAACTTTAAATCACCGAATCACATCACCCTCCTTATCAATACCCTCCAGCGCTTCAAGAATCTCGCTACCACCAAGTAACCCTTCACCACCCGCAGTAGCTTTCTGATTAGCAGTCCAAACCTCATGAAATTTGACACTTTCATCACTTGACGCAACAACAATACAACCTTCCTTAGCGGTACGAGTGAGTCCCCGTCCACCTTCTCTGCTAGTCTGGCTCTCGTTTGGTCCGCCGGGATACGGGATAGCGTACAAAGCACGGTGTTCGCCCTCCCATGGTATTGCTGCAACCTGCTTACATTCAGGCCACGAAAAGACTGCGATTCGATATGGGTGCTCGGGCTGAGCATAGCCGAATGTGGCGGCGATTTCTCGACGCGTGGTTGACCAAATCAAGGATGTCACTTGAGCAGACACGCTGATAGTGGCTAAGCATGCTCCGGAGGATGTATGGTAGAAATGGATACACTTGTCGTTACTTCCACCGCCAGTGGCAACCAGGCCTTCGCGCCAGGGGCAAAAGGCAATTGCTTTGACAGCAGCACCGTGTAGCCAGCGGTGCTTCTCCGCCCCGGATACAATTTCTCTCACCGAAGCATTCCCCTGAATGGTATGGACACGATGGTTGCCGTCTGCCGCTGTCATTACCTGCCCAGACGTCGCGTCATCTCCAGCTGAGCCGTGCAGCACAGAACTGGATTGAAACAAGCAGCAGAGATTGTCGTTTCCTCCAGTGGCGAATAAATTTCCTTCCGCATTGAAAGACAATCCACATATTTGCTGGGTATGGACGGAAATCTTGGTAACTAAGGTCATTGAGCCGGACCACCCATTGCGAGTAACTTCCCACGAATCTGGCCACTCCACTGAATAGTAATAAATGTTTCCTACCTCGTCACCGACAAGTAGATCCTCAGTCTTTACCGATATGCTAGGGGTAAGTGGACATTTTGAAGGCCTGACCGTAACTCTTGGCCTCCAGGTTATGCAAGCAATTGGACAAGGCTGAAGAATCTCAAATCGTGCAATCATACTGTCATATAGTGACATAAGTGTAAGTGATCCATCCGATCTTCCAGTGGCGAGAATTGACTTCCCACCACTGGCGGAAGAAAATGCAAGTGATGTGATCCAAGATCCATTTTGTGGCCCTGCATTGAGCAGGTGTACTCCTTGCATCTCTGACCACGCGTAAAGGAGTGGACCAAGTCCTACAGCCAGCGTGTGTACGGTTACACAATAAGCTAAGACTGAGCAGTAGAAGTCGTCTCGTAAGCCAGGAGCGTCTAGAACTCTGTCTCGGTTAGCGACTTGCCATAGATCTAAGTGTTTCACATACTTGAATGGAGCCATTGGTAGAGTACGGGGTTCCTGGGTGACTTGAACTTCTAAGACAAGTCAATCTGTTTGCACGGGAGCACAACTGAGCATGTCACCTACTCGGATCCGGGCCATCCATCACCCACTCAGTACCTTTCCACACAGTCTTTTGTTCCATCCAAGACCGAGGTCTGCCATTTGTAGGACGTTTCTTGACAACGATTGGAGAATCTCGAAATTCAAAAACTCTGGCAGTACGGTCTAATTCCAATGCCTCAGCGAGCCGTCCTTCATGCTTGTCCAGTTCATCTTGTGCTTTTGGTTTGGAAGCAGAAAACGAAGTTGTGTAGAGCCGCGCATTCGTTCCACTGCCCATTAGGCGACCCCGACCGTTTGAAACGCCTGCTGTAAAGGGCGCCAGACCCCCAACAGTCCAGACAGTACCGACACTTACCTATCACGGTCAGTAACGGAGCAGACGAGGTAAAGCGTAGTAGCGTTTAAGGATAGTAGCTGAGGCTGAAATGGATGGCCAAAAGGTAGAGAGCATGGCAAACAACAATATTCCTCATACCTGTCGTTCACCATCAGGTCCCGGTGGTTCTCTGTGGAAAGAAAGTATACTAGCCCCTAAGACCGCATCAGCATTTAGCTAGCCACATGAACAAGTGTCACCCATCACCGCCGCTTCGATTTCCAGACACGTTCCGCCGCTCTGGAGGTCTGCTTGCCCGCGGTACTGGGGACGTCACCCTTCTTCGCGGATTGAAAGAATCCCAGCTAGCACACTTGTTTCTAAGAAGCTTTTCGTCAGACGTAAGACTCGCCGGGTCCTTGTTAGCACGGAATGTCTGAGTTGCAAGGTCTAAGGAAGACAAAGAGCGAGTAGGCACAAATCTGTCAGGATGCCGAAGCGTTGTCGATTTTTGGGTGGAGTTTGAATCACAACTATTGATTACTGGTCGACGTCGAGCTGTTACGCTAGGTTTCAGCCTATGTAGAGTAGTGACGCTGGGAGGTGGTTGATCATCAGACGGGCCATCGTAGCGTTGTCTGATGGCAAGATTTGTTTGGTATTGATTATTTAGTTCTCGAAAGTCTACCCGTGCAATCAGTAACTAACGAAAGAAACCTTTCAAGTAACTTTACCACAGGCGTCCTTTCTCCTGTCTATAGCATCGAATCTTTTCTTTGATTTTGAGTAGGAGCCATAACACGAGTCTGTAAGGCTATCTACAATCCTCGTGGGCGTTCGTGGAGTCCGCGTTGGAGAACTGGAGTCATATCCTGAGTCTATTGGACTTCCTGGGGTATAATGGGGTTGACTAGTCACATTCAATATGGAATGTGGCATGCTGTCCGAAGAACGAGCGGTTCGGTTGAACTGTGAAGAGAATTTCCGGCGACAGAAGTGTTGATTGCCAGCTCTTGTCACAAACGTCCTTTGGCATGAGAAGGAAGTAATTGGAGAAGTATCACACTGAAAAACAGAACTGAAATGACCCAGAGAATGAAAAATAAACAAAGCCGAAGAAAAATGAGTCCTGGGAGTGCTGCCCTAGCACTAATAGCTTCTGGTGTATGCTTGCTGCATTTGTTTCGATTCTCTCGCCCCTGGTATGGAAGAGACTGATTTTTGGACCGTAGAGATGTAATAATGACTGCTGGTCGTTAATAATACTTCGCGTGCATCCGCCGATATGTTGGTGTTGATGAAGGAAGAGGAGAAGAGACGAAGACAGTGTGGTGATGGAAGGTTTGCATGACATCAGGCGGATGATCCTTGGCATAACATCTGACTCGCGACTTCCCATGCCAGACGCACCACACGACAACATCTCATAGGCAGCCAATTGTAAGCCACGAAGCAACTTGTCCCTTCCTCGGCGCTCCGAGGTGGTCAGGTAAGAATCATCTTTCGAGCGAAACATGGCAAGCGTACGTTGCTCTGGGTTTGGGGATTTTCGGAAGACTGATTGAAAACAGCATGGTGTTGCGCGCCCCGCGATCAGTGTGGTTAGAACGGACGAACAACTCCACGAGGAGCAGCAAAGGATCCAGGAATATCGTGATCTGGAGGAATTGATCAGAGCGAAGGTATGGAAAGAAGGAAATTGGCTTTGGGGCGTACTGATATAGTCCAGATAGCGGAAGAGCAGTACACAGTCGAAGTCCTCGACCTCACATCGAAGCTCCTAAAGGAAAACCCCGAATATTATACAATATGGAACGTCCGGAGGCGTTTGCTAATCTACGGATTATTCTCCAAATCTTCGGATTCCTCATCGCCCTCGAAGGCTTCGCAGAATACTTCGCCAACCGACACTACACAAACCTCTTCCATACCCTCGTCCGCCTCTACTTCTACTATACCCGCGGATTCGAACACGATCCAGCACGACCCAATATCCCAGACTCGTGGGAAGACTGGTACAACTCTTGATCTGATCTCGGCAGACTTGGAATTTTTGTTTCCCATCATGATGAAGTTTCCAAAATGCTATTGGCTCTGGAATTATCGTCTTTGGCTCCTACATCAGGCAAATGAGAGATTGGATTGGCAAATAGCCCGAGGTCTTTGGACTCGGGAACTGGTGCTTGTTGGAAAAATGCTCGTCAAGGATAGCCGCAATTTTCATGGCTGGGGTTACAGACGGACAGTCGTTGCACAACTGGAAAGCCAGAAGCTGCATGGCAGTAGTATGGTTGAATCGGAATTCGAGTACACTACAAAAGTTATACATGGAGACAAGGGTCTGTCAAATTTCTCGGCATGGCATCGACGGAGCAAGTTGATTCCCAAGTTACTTGAAGAACGGCAAGCGGACGATCCTACTCGGCGGCAATTTTTAGATGATGGTAAAACTTTTGATAAATCTGTCAGCAAAATGGTGCTAACGAATCCCCAGAATTTGACCTAATTATTGCTGCAATGTACACAGATTCATATCCATATGCCCAGTCAGCCTGGTTTTACTACCAGTTTCTCATGACAACATTAACTGATCCCGTCGGTCACGCCACGATCACACCGAATTTCACATCAGAAGAAAGAATTGAGTTTTTGGTCAGGCAATTAGAAGTATTAAAAGATATGCTGGATGGTGCTGAGGATTGCAAATGGATATACGACGCTCTAATCGAGTATACCTTATGTCTCTCACGAATGGAGGAACGCCAACTACAAATTGACGAAAAAGATGATTGTTCTCAGTGGCTAACAGAATTGAGGAAACTAGACACTCTTCGGAGCGGGAGGTGGGTTGATCTGGAACTTGACCTTCGTGGCAACAACATCCCGGGGGTGTGAAACTATATTAAACGTCCAGTTCCCCAGGACATGTTCTACCGAATCTTCTATTTCTAGTCGTTCACCATTCATCGTTAATGGGATATGCTTTACCCATTGGGGTTAACCTCACCCACTCGCGAATCGGGTTGCCTACACTTCTATCATCCATCGATATTCTTCTACTTCCGTAAACGTCAAGGAAAATCATCAAGCATCGTTCTGGGCTCGCACTGCAAAAGAACTGTTTTCTTGGAGAATCACGCACCACACCAATATATCCGAAATCGCAGATTAATCTCACCATGGAAAATTTGCCGACCATTTGGTCCGCAGTAGATCCTGCCCCGCAGCAACCTCCGCCCGTTCGTAATACCACGCCTATGGTGGCTCAGAAGAATATCGCTGTCGCCTCCAACATTGATACTTCACTCGAAATATACGGTTCCCCAAAAGCAATCACCGAATTCCATCTCTTCGGCAAACTCCCCACGGAATTACGTCTCCATATATGGGGGCTTGCTTCCCCTCCGTCTAACATCTTCTACGGTACATTTGATTTACCTAGCACCCGCGATTTGCGTCCCCGCATACGCCCAACTAATACTGCTCTGCTCCAGGCTTGCACTGAAGCGCGAAACGAGCTTGTAACTAGCGAACGTATCAAAAGGTGGCATCCAACATACCAGTCGTGCTTCGATCTTCTCCACAAGCCGGTCAAAGTGGGAAGACGGTATCCAAACCAAGCAGAGCCTTCATACTTAAGACCCTGCTTACCCCCTTGTTACATTAGTCTCAGCTATGATATTGTATACGTTAGACGTTTGGAAATTAATAATTTAGAAGATCCTAGTGAGTATCTGAAAGATGTGAATATCTGGATTGTTGAGAGCTAATCATTCTCAAAGTTACTGCTCATGTTATTGACGTTCTATCAAAGGTTCCATATTTGATTATGAATGGGTATCCTTCGCGTACTGAAGCATTTAGAAAAGTCCTGTCTGCCGTCTCATTCAAGCACACGAAGAAACTCTTCATCATGACATTTACCCACAACGATAGTAGGCTCAACAGGGCTCGCGATGAAGCTCATTTACGTCGTGCGGAAAGGGTCAATGGAAAGAAAATATCTGCGGAATATATCTTTCCATCCGATATCGAAGATATGTCGATTCTGGATCTTCACGATGGAATCAGACCAGGCAGGGGACGAGTGGATTTCGGCACAAGAAATTAGCACGCGTATCACAGCTATTAAATGCTTACAAATCTGGTGTGTGAAGCAGTACCTACCTTACCCGGGGGAAGAACGGAGGTCAAAGTACCAAATACTACTCATCAAATATAATACATTTTCCCAAACACAGATTTGCAAGACTTCATTTATTGACTTCTGTTAAATCTAGGGGATTTTTGAAATTTCTACAGTTGCCTTTGGTGTACCGACTAATAAACATTCGACTTGGTCACTGGCGACGTTTACTCCAATTGTCTGTACAGTAATACTGGCAACATGATAGACTTTATTTATCTATATCTTGACTCTTGGAGATTTAATCAACTTCGTACGATATCGAGAAGAATTTTTATAAGGGCAACCTGCTCTAATTTCTCGTATTGTAGGGAATGATTGTGCAATGTATGCTAGTAATGACGAATGTTTTGCGCCCCTCACTGGCACCTGGGCAGGTCAGCACCGAGGGGCGCACGTGGTCTTAGCACTTGGCACAATACCAAATAGGAAGCTAGCAATTCATCCAAGGTGCCGAGGATACAACTTCGTAGCACAAAGTGTTTTCCAGAAGCACGATGCGACATGATGCACGTATAGGCTTCTAGCTTGGCCTCTCGATTAGGTTTATCCTATCTGCAAAATGCGACATATGATTGGTGGCTCCAGTCAGATCTCATTTCGATGGACGCAGACAATATATCACGTTTTGGCAGGGAGTGATAGCACAAGAAGGCGAAGAATGGCGAGTTCTCGTGTAACGAGAGCTCTTAAATGCAGACGCTGCCAGGCAGTGCCTTGAGTCTGAATCATCATTACCATACTACAACAGCAATCAGGATGGGTCTTGCTTCATTCTGGCAGGATGCCACAAAGTCGGGACAGCAATACCTGGGTACACAGCGTGCTGAGTCTATAGAGTCAGTCGTTCGAGATGGCAATCTCGAATTTACCAAAGAAACGGCCGGAAATGATTCTCAGCCATCCTATCAAGAAGCTTCCGGCGCACCTGTCGAGAGAGAATCACCACTTGGATATGAGATCAACTGGTTCACAGTCATCTTTCTCAACATTGGTCAAATGATAGGAACAGGAGTTTTCTCTACCCGTATGTTTTCATCTGCTCCTTGGGATTTGCGAAAATGCAATTGCTGATCATGTGCTAGCCGGGTCAATTCTCAAAGGTCTCGGTTCTGTAGGATTGAGCTTGTTCTTCTGGTTCATTGGTCTCTTGGTCGCCGTCGCTGGATTCTCAGCTTATCTTGAACTTGCTTCCTACTTTCCTAATCGTTCTGGAGCTCAAGTGGTCTATCTCGAGCAGGCTTATCCAAGACCAAAATATCTTTTTCCAACTGCTTATGCTATGTTGAACATCCTATTGGCATTTAGCAGTAGTAATGCGATAGGTTCGTCGTCTTCCAGGCTCCTTTCACACGAAAGTGGCTAATGTAGGAATAGTTTTGTCAACTTACACATTTCGTATGGCTGGCACTGAGCCTACTGAGTGGCAATCCAAGGGTGTTGCAATTGCAGGATTCACACTCGCTACTATCGGTTAGTCTGGCGATATTTTCAAGTTTGACTATCAAAACTAACAATCGAATTATAGTGGTCATCATCTCCAACAAATGGTCTCTCCGTTTCTCCAACGTTGTTGGTGTTATAAAAGTCCTTACTTTGATATTGTATGTTCCCATGCCATAGTCATGCTCACAAAACTGTAATTGACCGCCTGCAGTATCAGCATAACAGGTTTCGTGGTTCTAGGAGGACGCGTCAAGTCAATCCCTGACCCAGGAGCGAATTTTCGCGATTCTTTCCAAGGTACTACTGGAGATGCTTCTGGAGTTGTGAGAGCTCTTGTCAGAGTAAACTATGCCTACGAAGGCTGGTCCAATTCGTTCAACATGGTCAATGAAATCAAGGTATGTTCTCTCATCTTACTCTCAAGGCTCGACTAAACAATTTTAGAAACCCGTTAAAACTATTCGATGGGCGGGGGCTTTGTCACTCTTAATTGTTGCTATTCTTTATATGCTTTGCAACATTGCATATTTTGCTGCAGGTAAGTGATTGGATACTTTCTCAAATGCTGCATTATTGATTCCAGACTATAGTTCCTAGAGAAGACGTCCTCAGCTCAGGCACTGGTGTTGCTGCCCTGTTCTTTGCAGCTGTCTTTGGCAAAGGCAATGCTGCTCGAGGATTGAATTTTCTTGTTCTCCTATCATCTTTCGGCAACCTCGTGTCAAACTTGATTGGTGCATCCCGAATCATCCGCGAATGTGGACGGCAAGTTTTGAGAAGCATCATTGCAATATTCTTGTCACTAACACCGATACAGACAAGGCGTACTTCCATACCCAGCATTCTGGGCATCGACCCAGCCATTCGGAACTCCACTCGGACCATATGCCTTCAAATACGTTCTCACCCTCCTAATGATTCTCGCCCCTCCATTCGGAGATGCTTTTGATTTCCGTAAGACCAACCTTCCCCTTCTTTTTCGCTCTTTGCTAAGTTTTCACCTAGTCGTCGACTTGAAATCGTACCCCGATGCAGTTTTCAACGGCGCTGTCGCGGTTGGAATATTCCTCATTCGCCGCCAGCGTAAGCGCATTAACGCCGAACGACCGGAATTTAAAGCTTGGGACGTGGTGTTATTGTTCTATATCGCGATCCAAATCATTCTTCTTGTGATGCCTGTACGTGTCTTCCCTTGGTATCAATCTAAACGGCCACTAATTCAAAACTATAGTGGGTACCTCCCGCTGGTGGAATTTATGCAGGAAGTGTCAGCTTCTTCTACGCAACATATGCCCTCACTGGTATTGCCATGTATGGTATCCCGTAACCCACTTCTTATTCTTTACTAACGCTAAATCCAGTCTTGCGTCATGTGCTCTCTACTACTGGGTCTGGACGTACTTGCTCCCTCACAGAGGAAATTACACTATCCGTCAAACAGTAATTGTCTTGGATAATGGCGCCCAAACGCACAAATTGAACAAGGTCCCTAATTCTGAACTTGCGGAGTGGGATGCTAAGCATGATGTTGTGGGCAATGAGATTGCGGGTGTGGCGAGGGTGGATTCGAATAGTGGGAGTGATAAGGAGGGGGTTGTGAGAGAGAGGGTTGTAGGCGGCGAGAAGACGGATTATGAGAGGGAGGTGTAGGAGGCTTTTTCATGATTATTGAAGCTCTCGCCTTGAAAGCTGAGAGTATATCAATCGTCAATCCTGTGCTCCCTCATGGGATGACAATATTTTCGTCGGGAAATACTGAACTGGGTGCTTCGAATACGGGCTTTCTCCCGTATGATTAATAAAGAAGAAGTTTAACTGCCCTGAACTTAGTATTTTATAGTATTAGCAGCCGACGCTCTACCTTTGAATTATTATCTTTGTAAATTTAGGAAAAGAGCTTAAAAGTAAAGATTGACCCTTGAGGCTTTATGATGTAGCTGTTCTTGATTATCACCAGTATGGAAGAAGAGGTAATATCTAAATATATCTCTATTAGCTTCTACGTGTTTTACATTGTAAGAGCGTGAAAGTAAATCAAACCGTTAGTTATTTAAGTTATATCATGAGTCTGGGGATGAGCGCACGGACCATTAAAGATGCACAAGACGTAGAGAGTGGAACATCACGATAACCAGCAGACCGAGGTATTGACAAGAAGATACCTACTTCCCATCCCAAAGATCTTGAACGAGAGAAGAGGTGACGTTGCAGGAAACGAGACCTCGCAGCGCAATACCCAACATCGTGTGCTTATCCCTCCGAATACCTTCACCGCTCGAACACGATTCCCCCACCACATTCCTCCAACCCGACTCGAAATCAATCAACGTCCTCAACCCCAGGCCAGAGTTCGATTATGGCCGCATGCGCGTGATCCTTACGAGGCTCCAGTTGGTCATAAGACTGAACGCTGCTAAGCGGCAACCCTGAGTTACACCGACTAGGATTCTTTGCGCGAAGCCTCATTGCAGAGTACGGAGGTACTCTGGTCGTATACGCTCATCCTCCTCAAGATGATGAGCAGATCCCCTTCGTCGTCTGGCTTATTACCAATGCCGGGTACACCAGGCTCGTCCTGGGCAGTCTATAAGGCGAGATTGAAAGGGGTGTTTAACGGTGCGGATAGTCGAGTGTTGGCATCATTTTGGTTGTTTGGTACGCTATGATATTGCGATTCCCTGGACATAGCTAATTATCTTCTTTAGGCCTCATCAACAATATATCCTATGTTATCATCCTCACTGCCGCCCTCGACCTCGTTGGCCCAACAGTCCCCAAATCGGTTGTCCTACTCGCAGACGTCCTCCCCTCGTTCTTCACGAAGCTTACAGCTCCATACTTCATACATCATGTGCCGTATTCCGTTCGAATCGTCGCCATGACATCGGTGTCAGTCTGCGGAATGTTTATCATCGCCCTCACCCCAGATTCGGTTACCATAAAGCTATTTGGGGTTGGACTGGCAAGTCTGAGTAGTGGAGCCGGAGAACTGAGTTTCTTGGGATTGACACATTATTATGGTCCTTTCAGTCTGGCAGCTTGGGGGAGTGGAACAGGTGCGGCTGGTCTTGCAGGATCTGGGTTATACATTTTCTTGACCAGTACACTCGGATTGCGCGTCAAAACCTCGCTATTGACATGCGCTTTCCTACCATTCATCATGCTCATCTCATTCTTCCTCATCCTTCCCCTTGGGCCACTTCGAAGAGCATCGTCCAACAAAGACTACACTCACGTTCCCTCTGAAGAACCAATCACCATAACCGCAACCGATTTCGACGAGGAAGACATCTCTTCTATCCCGACTGGATCAGCCGCAGAATCCCTCCTCGCTCCTGGTCTCGCCTCAGAAGCATACACGTCTCACAGTCCACGCACGCGATCACCCTCGAGAACTCACAAATCACCCTTCATGGCAAATCTCCATCGCGCCCGCCTTCTTTTCTTTCCTTATATGCTTCCGCTGCTTCTCGTCTACATCGCGGAATACACCATAAACCAAGGCGTCTCCCCTACTCTCCTCTTCCCCTTAGCCGGCACGCCATTCACACATTACCGTTCTTTCTATCCCTTCTACAACCTACTCTACCAACTCGGCGTATTCATCGCTCGCTCATCAACCCCCTTCTTCCGCCTCCACAACCTCTACCTCCCATCCTTCCTACAGTGTCTCAACCTCGCACTCCTAATCGGGCAATCACTCTACTGGTTCATTCCATCCGTCTACATCGTCTTCCTTGTCGTCTTCTGGGAAGGTCTTTTAGGCGGCGCGGTTTACGTAAACACGTTCGCTGAAATCATGCAGCATGTGCCTGAGAAAGAGAGGGAGTTTAGTTTGGGAGCGACGAGTGTGAGTGATAGTGCGGGGATATGCATCGCGGGGTTTGTGGGGATGGTGCTTGAAGGGTGGCTTTGTGGACGGCAGGTTGAGAATGGGAGGGCGTGGTGTAGAACTTTGGAAAGTTAGATAACGCAGGGTTGACGATGAGATGAATGGAAGAGAAGAGAAGTGTTTCGGTATACGGTGTCTGGGAGGCTTGTTTATTTATTTTGTTAGATACCCATAGTTACATTGGCGATTGGAGCGAATACAGCGTGAAACTTTTGGTAAATCTCAGTTCAACCTACTACTCAAACAAAGGTAGATATAATTCATCAGCCAATTGAGACATCACGTTAAAGTGGGTCTCTAAGCGAGTGTCTTCCAGACCTCGACTCGATAACTTGCACTTCCCGACTTCATCGTCAAAACACCAAAACACCGGATCCTCATGAAACAGAGTCACTACCAAAGAAATTGCTCCTCCGTATATTATCGATTTTATCTGTTCACATTATCATATCTCGAAGCGATTCAGGCCCACATATACTGGTACAAGATACTACCTTACGAGTTAGGCATGACGACTGCGCCCTGCGGGCAATCGAGAAGATTTATTCTGCACACGTTTTGTTTTTGATAACATTCGTATTTGAAGAGTTTGGTCGACGAGGTATAGGCGAAGTACAAGACTCTTCGTACGTAAAAAACCGGCCTTGGTAATTGTAAACCAGAACTGAGATATTGTCAATAAATGCACCGACTGGGATATCACGTCAATTGAAATATCTCGGCGACTGAAAGATCACGTCAACTGGGATGTCAGGTTAATTGACTTATCCCTTCCAGATTCATATCGTCAAACCAAACTCACGTCCCACAGCAAACAACACGACACAAAATGCAGAATTCCTGCTCAGTCACTCAATCTTTCCCACTCAATCGTCTCGCCACCGAACTCCGTATCAAAATCTGGTCTTTTGCTTTTCCTGAACCTGCGTGGATTATCCAAGTCCCGCACCCAACCAAATTGGCTAAGTTCACATATACGAGACCCGTCCCTGCTATCTTACAGGTTTGCAAAGAAGCGCGAGACGAATATATCGACACCGACGCGGTCGAGCTTCAAGCACTAGTGAAAGAGAGGAGAAAGCGTCATCCTGTATATAAGCTATGCTTAGCCAAAGACGGAGAATCCCCAGTCTATTTCTCCTACGAACTCGACACTTTTTGCGGCTTACGGTACTCAGACGAGACACTCCAAGAAAATGGAGAAGTCTGTTTACAAATCAGAGTTGATCAGACGTGTGCGATACGAAAGTTAGTCTCCCCCAATCTTTTCCTCCATACAACTACTCATCACATGATAGACTCGACATCTGTCACTTTCTTCAGCACCTCGCCCTAGAATATACCCCACGTGTCCAGAGCCGCCTACACGAAGGCGATAATGAAGCGTCGGTCCTCCGTGCTCTGTTCCCTGCTCTCAAGACCCTCACCTACGTTGCGTCCGCCTGCATCGCTTTCCCTAGAGTTCTTCCTGTCGCGCCGATCGTGGCGTTCCCAGCACCGCCCGAGATGGATCCTGCGCTTAGCATGCGAATAAACTGTCGAGGATGTCGGATTCCTCTTTTGCAAGGGCTAAAGAGGATAGATAGCGATTTTAGGTGGGAGGTGGAAAACGGGTGGGGGCTTAAGATGGTGGTGGTGAGGAGTGCGGAGGGGGTTGTGGGTGGGGAGAGGGTGGGGAGGGATATGGTGAGGGAGAATCGGTATACGAGACAGGAGTCTAGTATATTGCAAGATTATTTTATTGAAAAGGGATGGGAAGGGATGTGGTGATGTTTTTCTCATTTTACTCTATCTCGATTTTCTTATTTGGTCGGAATTGTGGTAGTGAAGAGGCGGGAAATGCACTTTGATATCACCTCATCGTGGGTAATGAGAGGGTCAAGATGGACTGACTGGACACCCGAGGGTGAGGTACGTGGCTTACTTATTCTCTAAAACTCGATGCCGAGTATGAGAAAGAAATAATATTCGTTGCACAAGATGTCTAACGCAGTAACAGTACAGTCCCAGATGCCGGTCGGCACATCGCCACACCGACGCATGTCATGCATGTACGTTAAAATCGGGGACGCAGGCAATGGTAGCGGCAGCCACGGAGTAATATCACCCCAAATAATTCGATACGATTATCGCAACCCCTATTCGGTAAGCGAGCCAGCCCTGTGGCCAACATCAGCAACGCAAAGCAAGACCATCGAAAATTCCAGCTCTATTCATCCCTATCTTTCTTGCTCTCTTTAATCAGCGGGTTGTAAGCGAGCCCTCCTTCGTTCCGAATTTCCTGGGGGAGAATCGAGTTAGTAATGTAAGCGTGTTGGTGGTCGCTTAATTTATAAATCACGTACTTTTAAGGACAAGTGCTTACTCCAGATGCCAACAACCAACAACTAACATACTGAGACCACCAACTCACTCCAGTTGCACAAGAAACTGGTAACAAGTAGGGCTCGCTCAAAACCTCACGATTGTCTCCTTCACGGGGTGTCATACATCCTTATATCACCATGTCGTCCACAACATTCCCACTCTCTTTCATGAAGAAACTTGGTCCGCTCGTCTCCATCTACCAACCACCAGATGCTTCACAGTCAAGCAAAACCACCACCAAGGCAAAGCCTCCACGCTTCATCATCATCGCCGGCTGGACCGACGCCAAACCCACCCACCTCGCAAAGTACATCCTCAAATACCAAACCCTATATCCCGCCGCACAAATCCTCCTCCTCAGAAGTACCATGAGTTGTATCCTACGCCCCTCCCAAATAGGCCCCGCCATGAAACCCGCGGCCATAGCTCTTCGCGCCGCGTTCCAGACATCGACAGCTGCAGTTTCTTCACCACCCCTGGTCATCCACATCTTCTCCAACGGCGGCTCTAGCAGTATCGCGAAGTTGTATGATCAATACGCCGCCCTTGCCGGACTGAGTGAAGACACCCGTCTGCCACCACACGTCACGATCTTCGATTCCGCGCCAGGCCTCTTCCATATCTCCAACTCTATAGCATTCATCAGCGTGTCCTTCTCCCCCTTCCAAACCCTCCTTGCTACCCCTTTGCTCTATCTCTGGGCTATTCTGTGGAGTGGCGCCATGGCACTGGGTCTCTTACCGGATCTATTGGGTGATACGTATAAGTCGCATAATCATCATGAGGGGAATGGCAGGGAGGTGAGGAGAGTGTATGTTTATAGTGAGGAGGACAAGTTGAGTGATTTCAGGGATGTGGAAAAGCATCACGCGGAGGCGGGGAGGAGGGGGTTTGAGACGAGGTTAGAGATGTGGAGGGGAAGTAGACATGTGGAGCATGCGAGGGGGGATGGGGAGAGGTATTGGGGTGTTGTGAGGAGGTGTGTTGAGAGTTGAGGGGGGGACTGAGAGGAGTAGGGGAAGAAGAATTCTGGGGTCTCCGAGGTGTTGAGGTAGTTAAGATTTATAAACTTTGGTCCTGATAGTCCGGATGAGTAGCAACAACCAAGCTAAAATCTATTACCTAAATTTACCTCTCTCGTATTGCTTACAAAATGCCTTTATTCTTTGCAAAGTCAAGGATTAATCCTCATGATTTCCTAGCTAGATTCATTTTGATGAGTATACATAGAGATAGCGGAAAATATGAACTCATCAATTTTCGATCTGTCTATGTAAGCTATGAGGGAAATGATAGCAAACTGTGGCATAACGAATTTATCAAACTTATTATCACTCGCTCTTCGATCTGGAGATCAACGTAGAGACCGGTTTCTGCAGGCTGGATATCTATCCCTTCTTTTGGGGTGCCAGAAGCTGCGGGTTTCCTTTTCCAATCTTGTCGAATTCTGCCCTCTCTCTGCTGTTGAAGAGGAAATAGGAAGTTGAGGGGACGCCCACATGACTTTCTGGTTTAATGAGTAAAGATGAGATCAGAGTTCTAGGTTTGAGCACGAGTCTGTAGGTTTTATATATGTACATCAATCTCTTAGTCATATACTATGATGGAACTCTTTGATGGGGTAAAAGCAGCAGGCTAGATGAAGTACGATATAAATAATGCCAATAATAAATAGAACGGTTCCTCTCCGAAACCATCTCAGCAGATTCGAGCTCGGAATTGGCTTATCGCAGTAGAGGAAATAGTTAGGGTCAAGAGTGGAATGGCTGATAATAAAGACTCTGCTTATAATATGAGCAAACAACTAACACCTGTAGATAAGCGAGCCAGTCAGATTCACGGGCTTGTTGGGCCTATCTTCGACCATCCACCCCACTTATCTTCCTATCTTTAGGCGTTTTTGGAGTTTCCTATCATTGGCCCGTTCAGGGTATGTTTTCTTCACTATCATAACGATGGAATTGAGCTTTTGTTATTTACTAATCTCAGAGAATCTGTGAATCATCATCTGGATAGAAGAAAAACATCCAGGCTGAAGATTATATATAAGCCTGTTAACATCTCTATTACCGATCTCAGTGCTTAACTATCTAGATCAATACCGTCGACCTCGGTGTTATCAACCTACCACAGACACTAAAATGGCACCAGCCATCCTCGACACAATAGAAAATGCTTTCGAACCCTCAGAATTCCCCAAATCCGAAGTCGCCAGCGCCGTCATCCACCGTAGTCTCAAAAGCGCTCCTTTACAAGTCATCCGCGCCGAAGGAACCAAAGTCACATTCTCAAATGGTCAAACAATCAACGATACCACATGTGGTGCAGCAGTAGCCTGTCTCGGTTACCACAACGAACGCGTGAAAAAAGCGATGATTGCTCAGATTGAAAAGTTCTCATACTGTAATTCCATGTTCTTCGGGACGGAGATTGGGGAGCAGTTAGCTGAGGCTTTGGTGGAGGGGACGAGGGGGGAGATGGCGAAGGCGTTGGTTATGTGTTCTGGTAAGCACCTGCTCATTCAGCAAAACGAGAATAATGCGTGTTGATAAATATCTAGGATCAGAAGCAATGGACGCGGCGATGAAAATGGCACGTCAGTATTTCATGGAAACTATTCCTAAACAGCCGCGCCGCACTAAATTCATCGCTCGTCATGGCTCTTATCATGGGACTACTTGGGGTGCACTGTCAGTTGGTGGGCATGTTGCAAGGCGAGAGCTGTTTGAGCCGATGCTCCTTCAGAATTGTGCGAAGGTGTCGGCTTGTAATGAATATAGAGGTCGACTTGAAGGTCAGAGCCAGGAGGAGTACGTGGCGCGGTTGGCGAAAGAGCTTGATGATAAGTTTCGGGAATTGGGAGCTGAGGAGGTGATTGCGTTTGTTGCTGAGCCTGTTGTGGGAGCTGTAAGTAAAGAAGCCCTTTTATTTTACCTTTGCTATGGAACTCATAATCTTAGGCACTCGGCGCTGTGCCAGCAGTCCCTGGTTATTTCAAAGCTATGCGAGAAGTTTGTGACAAATACGGAGCTCTTCTCATTCTCGATGGTAAGTCAAATCAAAGATGCTAGTCTTGAGAAAGATGCAGCTTTTTTGACCGGTCCTGATAGAGGTGATGTCTGGAATGGGTCGTTGCGGAAGCCTTCACGCTTGGGAGCAAGAAGGTATAGTTCCCGATATTCAAACAATAGCTAAAGGTCTTGGTGGCGGCTTTGCGCCAATCGCTGCGATTCTAATCAACCATCGTATTGCGGATGTATTGAGTCAAGGCTCGGGGTATGTGTCGGATTGAAACACTCGAAGGAGAAAATTAATGACTGGTAGGGCATTTTCTCATGGACATACGTATCAGGGACATCCGGTCTCTTGTGCAGCGGCTCTCGAAGTCCAAAAGATCATCGCAGAGGACAAGCTCGTTGATAACGTTAGGGAAGTTGGAGCTTATTTTGGAGAACTACTTCATGCCTATCTCGATGACCATCCCCACATTGGAAACGTCAGAGGGAAAGGATTTTTCTGGGGGGTTTGTACTCGCTGTTCCCCGAAGTCGTAATCTACTAACGTAATTTTAGGTTGAATTCGTCAAGGATAAGATTACAAAGACTCCATTCCCGAAGTCTTTGGCTGTGGCAAATACAATTTTCGATGTGGGAATGGGTCCCGAATATGGTATCTCGCTATATCCTGGGCAGGGATCTGTTGATGGCGTGGTGGGTGATCATGTTTTGATTGCTCCGGCGTATGGGACTACGAGAGAAGAGATCAAGGTGATCGCGGAACTTACACGAGATGTGATATTCAAGGCTCTGAGCGAATTCTCTTAAGCTGTCAGATCATCTCGGTTTCAGGTTATGGATTGGGAAATACATAAAGGCCACTACTCTGAAACTTACATTGCAAATTCGATTATTGAGCAGGTAGGAATGCTTTTCAATGCAGCGTGGCTATGAGAATCTGGAACGCGAATTTACGTCACTGGAGACTCGTGTCCAAGTCTACTAGCTCGCAGATCGATAGATACAAACATCTCAATACAACTCGTGAGGTGCGAGGAAAGGTTCAACATTTTTTAATAGTAATACTAATAACATCCGACGATTAGTTGATCGCGTATCTGGCGTGGTATTCAATGTAGATTGTGCTCATCCCGACCCGCAATATATTTCAATTATTCGACTTCTCAACAACCCATTTTCGAGTCCAACCCTCCGTATCAGGCGAAAACAATCTCCCTTTCCACTGCTCATCTCCTTGAAATCAAAAAAGGTTCGTTGAAACCGTAGAGTGAACATCCGGAGCTTATCAAGCGTAATCACAAAAAGCACCTGCTGCATCTATTGCTTATTTCCTCGAAAGTAGAATAGGTGGGTCCTTAGAAATGCGGAGATCGAGCAACTGACTTCTTTAGGACTAACATTCAAACGCATTTCCCAAGGGGAACAACAAGTTATGGCTGGGAAATAAGTCATTCTGGGCACTACCGGCCTTGCGCTTCGGTGAAAGTTTGTCTAGCGCTGATACGCTCCTTCACGGCTTAACAAACGGATGGACATACCATAGCCGTAAGGAGGTGTGTTGTCGACGCATTGGTCAGCCCATATTCAATGGAATCCTACCATAGAACTTGCTGGTGAGAAACGAATTGCTCTCTTTGCCAACAGTAAAATAATTGGCAAGTACACTTACTAGATTTTTTCTTCAGCTCTCGGCCATTCGGTGACTGTGCGTGGAGAAAGCTGAAAAGGTGGAGCAGGTATGGCATTCGACTTTTTTCTGATATTAAAGTTTCTCGTCGAGTAGTAGAGTACTAGCGAGGAGGTTCGCAGTACACTTGAGGTCCAGTTATAGATAGTGTCTATATACGGGGAAATTCTTTTTTACGCTTTTATTCCGTCTATGTGGCCTAACAGTTCTCTAATAACAAACCGCTCAGGAGATACAAGACACTAGTCATTAAGCAGCTACTCTTATTATATTTCGAGCCTTTTCTATTACTCACAGGCCTTACTTCGAATATAATGATGTTGTTATTAATATGTAAGATTTTGTAAAGAGAGTTAATGGTTAGTCGCTTTCTAAGGTTAGTTCAGAGGTCCTTATAAGCATATCTTGTAAACTCCAGTAGGAGAGGTCACCCCCTACCTTACACGCCCCCCGCCCAAACTGTCTATTGTCGATAGTTAAATATCTCTGTCTCCGTAGCCTTTCATCTTGCTAACAAGCGTATCATAATCATTGTTCCATGAAACCGGTTGATCTAGTCGAGGAGATATAACATTATCATTGCTGCCAATTCCGCATTTTTTCCTCGGTGAGGTAAAGTTGGGATTGAAAGTCCTGTCAGGAATCATAACCCTAACCGCTAACAAATCCAGGACAGCTTCTAATACCTTCGCGTTATCCTTTGTCTAGATTAACGTCATATCTAGTCTTGGCGAAAAGCAGAGATTAAGGTAGTGAGTGGGACAAGGGACAAGTGAACCTTGTTGGGGACCACTCGACAACAACAAGGAAAAAACGATGCAGACGCAGAATAGCTCTCCAAATCTGCGAATTGATTCTTCAAAGCCCAGGTATCGACAGTTTGTGATGAGAATGGTAGCCGCTAGATCCTAAGTTCTGGGCTCCATGTGAAGGCGAAAGAGCGGATGCCTCGCATAGGGGTTCGAAGATGAGGACGTTCCAAGCCGTTATGAAGATGGGTGTGCTGTCGCAGGAGCCATCTGCATTAATCAAGGAGATACTCATGATATCATTAGACGAAGCGTAAGTATTAGGTCAAGTTTGTATAAAAACTTTTCGCTCAATACTCGAAGTCCTGCATCCTTATGAATTATCTCCATGCGAAAATTTCATCTTTTGGTTAGGTGCATACCCTTACCTACATTAGAGTAACCTACCTGCCTAGGTAGTTGGCCATTGTATGTTCCTCACGGGAATCGATGAACGAGGTTCTCAAGTGAGACGTGTAAAGGATGAAATGGTGGAAGATTGCCAAGTGCATCAACATAGCGTTACGCATCACCTGACTAGATTTCTGACGGACTATCGTAAATCCGTCTTCCGGGACGATAACAGATTGTAAGGCTTTAACAATCTGCTCACTATATTCAATAGGTCTTATCAGGACACTAGCGGTGTATAATAATAAAAGCTATACTAGAGGGTAATTCAAGACGAATTATTACTTCATCTCACCCACACAAACGGATTGTAACGGATCCAAGCCATCAGCAGCTGAACCCTGCAAACTTTGCTGGTTCCCTGCTTGGGCTTGCTGCTCCCTGCTTCTCAGCGCTGCACGGTCCAAGTAAGCTGCAGGCGCGAAGCCAAATGGGGAGGGGTTGATGCTGAGAGTGGCCCCAATCCCCTGTGACCGCGATGGGATCCGACGGTGCCTCAGGGAGACATCCATGCTAGATTTGCGGGATCGAGCTTGCATTGGGCTTGGGGCACGGCGGTGGCATGGGCCCGGTGGAGCCCTAGAGGTTGACGATGATTTTGGACCAGGAGAAGATTTGACCCGTGCGAGGCCAGCCGGGAGTTGGAGAAGAGAGGAGAGCAGAGGTCATTGATATTCCAGACTCGATCCTCGTACACAATACACAATACACAATACACACGAAGAAGCATCATCACGTCGTAGACATCGTTATATCGAGTGAAAGGCATCCATCTCGAGCTCCCAAGTATATCATCACTTCACCGTCTGCCACGTTCTCCACAACAACACCATCAACGCGCTCCTTCAATATTCCCTGCTGCAACTCTGCAACTCTGCAACTCATTCTCTGCACCGCTGCACCTCACCCACCACCACAGTCATCCTCCAAGTACCGCGCATACACACCTTCCACACCGCATATCGTTACACTCGTCACACAGCCATCGATGCGAGTATTGGTCTTGCGCCGCTTAAACTCCACGAGCCTTGACCCAACCCAACTTGTTGGCCCTCCGAGAAGGCCATCTTAGCCGCTACAGATCACACAGAGAAAGAGGAGAATCATCGGGCATCAACAGCACCAACAATCGAGAGCATGTGGAGGTGAATGCGCCAACAGCTGTTTCTGCGAGTCCCATAACCGACACGAGATTTATACATCGAGCAGAGCCGAGGAACGAGAATTATTTGACGGTCGACGGTGAGCTCGTGGAAAGATTATTCGGAAATCAGAGACAAACGCAAGATGGATCCAAGACAGCCGCCTCAACTTCCATTCTCGCGAAATACAGCCTCGCCCTACGATGGTCGAACACCTTTTCCTCCCTCGAACCAGCCACCGTATCCTCCCTCTTCACATCCCGCGAATGCTGCTCCAGCTTACGCCGAACACCACAGAAGACCATCAGATCCTCCATTCTACAACGCGCAACAACGGAATTATGCTCCAGGAGGCCCTCCTATGCCAGGACCGGGCCATGCCAGACATCAGAGTGCATCATCGATAACACATGGAACGCCAGTAACGCGAGCAATGCCTCCTCCCTCCTCACCTCAACAACCATCTTCTCAAGCGCCTCATCATACCTACGGTCCGCCGCCTATGCGCGCTGCCTCGTCGTCAGTCGGGCCTCCAGTGGGATTTCAATCAGGTCGCGAGCTTCCTCCGATTGGAAGCCGAGGGAACGGCATGTCGATATCATCTCTCTTAGGAGGCCCACCAGCCGCAAGTCGCGAACCACCACAGCCTTCACAATACGCTTCTCCCATCAGTACGTCCTCCGCGCCGGGACCATTCCCTAGCACGACACATCCCTCACCCCGAATGAGCTCGGCGGGTCAAGAATATACGCCGTTTCGCCGACCTCAAACACCCGAGCATCCACGACCCTACGAACCTGCGACGAGAGATCATCGTTCAAACTCGGCCGGGTCTCCACCAGGAGTTGGTCATTATGGCACTCCAGATGGGAGAGGGAGGTTCAGTACAGCGCAGACGAATTACTCACGACCTGGCCCTCCAGGGATGCGGGTAGGAGAAGAGCCCCGCCCAGAACCGATTCGCGTTCCCAACCCAAATTCTGCGTTACCTCCACGACCGAACAGTCAGCCCAGTGGTCACCCTCCTCCGAATCGACATGCGCCGGGTCAAAGAATGTCAGGACATGGCGAAAATATTTTTGGCGAGAGAAGGGTGGAAAATATGTCACGACCCGCGGACCAGATGAACCGGGCGCCGGAACCAGCATATGCAAGAGCAGCATTCGAGGAAAGAGGAGCTTCAGCCTATACATATGTAGAAAGGGAGAGACAAGAGCGAGAGGTGGCTATCCAACGGGAGAGAGAACGTGCGAGGGAACGAGAAGAGGAGATGCACAGAGTCCGCGAACGAGAGCGTGAGAGAGAACGCGAAAGAGACCGGGAGGAGAGAGAACGAGAGAGGGACCGAGAAATTGAGATGGAGAGAGAAAGGCAGAGACGGGATCGAGCACTGAGTGGCCATGGAAATGATATACATATGGATTATGCTCGTCAACACGCTGCTCAGCGAAATGCCCAGCCTGGTTACAATCGTCCAGAAGCTCGAGAACAACCTGCATGGATGCGACCTGACTACGAACCACCACGACCACCGTATGAACCTATACCACCCCAGCCCGAAAGACCTCCACCGCAGCAGACTCAACCTCCTGGATATGGATATCCAGCGAGTTCTGCTCCACAATATCAAGGACATCACGCATATGCGCAAGAGGTCTCACGATATCCGCCAGCATCTCAGCCATCACAAATGCCCGCTCAACATGCGGCACCTTCCAACCAGTATGAAGCATCAATGATTGAAAGACAAAGAATCGCAAATGTTGCACAGCATTTGCATCAGCAACATCAACCAGGGCCTGCTTATGCTGGACCGCCTATGAACGGACCTTATCAGCCACAAGAATCACCTACGAGACGGAATATGGAAGAATCACAACAGATGCAGCAACAACGAAGTTTTCTTGGAGTAGAGTTCAATCGTAAGGGCCGATTATCGCCACTCCCTCAAGCAGTACAAGGAGCACAAGCACAACACGGTGGTCCGGGCGGTGAGCCAGGTATCAAGAGCGAATTTGGAAGAATGTTTTCTGGTATTGGGAGTGGTGTAAGCGGTCTCGGAGTACCAAGTCCTGTCTCTGCAAATGCTCAATCGATGCCATTTTCTAACTCCGGTCAACTTCGACGTGAAGACCTCGAAGGGTTCGCCAATCAGGATTCGCCTATGGATAATGGTAGCATTAAGCCTCGATCATCATCTCGTGGTGGTGCTACGTCTAGAAGAAGGAAGTTGAAGGAAGAAGATGGTAGGGATGATGAAAGTAGTACAGGTAGACGTACCCCTAGTGGAAGAGGTAAACGTACAAAGACGCATCACCATCATCATCACCAGTTAGTTTCCCTTTCTGTAGTCTTTTGAATTTTGCTAACTGGGCTTTGATTGAGTCACCATCACCATCACGCGGAACAAAATAATAACACTTCCTCGCCTGCTCAAAATCATCTCACGCCGTTTAAAAATGCGAAAGGATCTGCCATTCCATCTCCACCTGGCACTGACGCCAAGCAAACCTCAGCAACGCATCATCACCATGCTCCAACAAGCAAACCACATTACCATCATCATGCGGCAGCACCAAGGCCCGTCCCTCAGATCAATCCCATAATTCCGATACCAGTTCGAACTATCAAATCAAATGAAGTCTTTGAAAGTGTTGCAGATCGCCAGCGTCTTCATCTGGGGGTTCAAACTTATCAAGCCAAACTTAAGCCCAAAGGAAAAGATTCCAAGGGCAGGAACTCATTATCAAACCGAAGTTTCGCAAGTACCCCTCTACCTCTACCACGACTAGAAGGCAAGGAAAATTGTACAATGACGATCAAAGTTTCTCGAGCATACCTATCAGATGTCAGTAGAGAGGAAATCACCCGCCGTCGCGCCGTTTACGGTACCGATATCTATACCGACGATTCCGATGTCGTCGCCGCTTGTATCCACGAGGGTTGGTTCCGCGGCGCTTGGGCCCCAGACGTAGATATCTCCTTATTAGACCTTGAAATTGGCGACCCTCCTGCTCGTCCCATCGATGCCGAGGCGGTATTGACAGCTCCACCGCCACATGGTCCTTTGATCGTCCCGAAGAATCACGATGTTGATATCAAGATCCTTATACTCCCTGCACTCGTCGAATATAAAGGCTGTGTCCGCTTCGGCATCAGAAGTAGGGAGTGGGGTGTGAAGCATTCGGGCTATCAGGCGCAACACGACGGGTTGAGTTTCAAGATTATGAGTGTGCAGTTTGTTGCTGGTGACGGGGGTGTTGAATCAAAACGTGGCAAAGTGGCGTATAGTCAAAATCTGACAGCGAGGGAGTTGGAAGAGGAGAGGCGAACCGCGCGGGTATTCGAGATGGGCGATCAGGTGATGCAGGATAGAGCTGAGGAAATCAGTTTCGAACGCGGAGAGGCAGGGTTGAGGGGCGTGGGCATGAGGAGTTGGAATTTAGATCCCCCGCCTCCGAAGAGGGTTGAGGAGGTGCAGAGGGAGGTGCCGGCCCCGATAAGGGTGCGCACGCCCAGGGTTATGGAACCGCCCGTCGTGGAACCTATTACGCCGGCGGCGGGACAGGAGAAGATGGTGGGTTTGGGTGTTGATGCGGTGGTTGAGACGGCGGGGGTGTTGGCTGCTTTGAGGGGTGGGGAGGTTGAGGGGGTAGGGATGGGAAGGAGGGAAGGGAGTGGTTTGGGGGAGGGCGGAGATGTAGGCAGAGTTGCGGAGGGGGCAAAAGAGGTTACTGAGGCGGATATTCAGAGGGTTATGGGGATTCAAGGGGGTACAGGGGAAAGTGAAAGAGGGAGAGTAGTAGAGATGGTTACGGAGAGGATGGTGTGGAATGCGAATTCGGTGGGGAGGCATTGAGTACAGAGAAGTGGAAGAGGCAAGGAGAAGGAGGAACAGGATGATCTATCTGATTTTATATACCCCCTTGTTTGTATAGAAAAGGGGAATAGCAAGCGATGACTAAATAGCTAATAAAAATATCTCACATTTATCTTGGTGTAGTTTTGTCGTGGATGGGACAGTACTACGCGACCGATTTAAATTTTTCTTATCAAATTATACTTACCATATATAATTTCATTGCTTGACTACTATAACCTTAAAACCAACGATGTGTTAAAGCAAATCAATAGTTATGAAAGAAACTAATAATTCGAAAAGAAATTGGTTAGAAGAAGTCGTAAAAGTGTATTCGAGCTTTTTCGTTGAGAGACGTGATTTCGATGACCAAGAAATAGATGGATGGGGGGTTCGGATGGAGATCTGCGTGTGGGAGGTAAGTGGAAACTTTTAGGTGAAAATACTCATGTTATACTTCTTTTATTCATTCCCTAATTTTACCAAAGTTTCTAACAAAACAGTCCCGGAATTTTTTATCACATGTTCCACTCCGTCTCCCCTTTCTCACTATCTCACACCTCTGCCCCCCTCTACCCTTTTAACTACCCCCTCCAACATCGCCCACCTAAAACCTCAAATCCCATCCAATCTTCGGCCCCAACGTAGGCAACTCATCAGCCACACTCTGCACATCCTTATCCCCGCGTCCACTAACACATATCACAATATCCTTGCCCTTGCCGAGTTCCTTCGCAACTTGCACCGCACCAAACACCGCGTGCGCCGTCTCCAGCGCGGGGATGATACCCTCAAGCTGACTTAGCAATCTAAAGCCCGTGAAAGCTTCAGCGTCTGTGGCGCTGATGAAGCGCGCGCGGTTGCTATCTTTCCAGGACGCGAGTTCGGGGCCTACACCCGGGTAATCGAGACCAGCGGAGACGGAATGCGTGTCTTGAATCTGACCGTGGGAGTCCTGGAGAACGTAGGTGCGGACGCCGTGGAGGACACCCTTTGTGCCTGCGGAAAGGGTGGCGGAATGACGCGGAGTGTCGATACCGTCGCCGCCTGCTTCGACGCCGATGAGAAGAACGGAGGGGTCTTTGGAGAACGGAAAGAACATGCCTGTGGCGTTTGAGCCACCGCCGACGCAGGCAATGACTGCGTCTGGGAGTTTGTTGCGTTTGGCGAGCATTTGTTCGCGTGTTTCGTTGCCGATTACGGATTGGAAGGTGCGGACGATGGTTGGGAAGGGGTAGGGACCAATTGCTGAGCCGATTATATAGTGTGTTGTGTCGAGTTTTACGACCCAAGCACGCATGGCTTCGTTGACTGCGTCGCGGAGGGTTTGGGAACCGGCTTCGACGGCGATGACTTGAGCACCGAGGAGTTTGATACGGAATACGTTGAGGGCTTGTCTGCGTACGTCCTCCTAAGGGGTTGTTAGCAGAAGAAGCTTGTGATGGTGTCCATACTTACAGCTCCCATGTAAATTGTGCATTTCATGCCGAATTTTGCGCAAACTGTAGCTGTTGCTACACCGTGTTGACCAGCTCCAGTCTCGGCAATGATTTCAGTCTTGCCAAGTCTTCTAGCAAGCAGAATTTGACCAAGAGCGTTGTTAATCTTGTGGCTTCCGGTATGGTTGAGATCTTCTCTCTTTAACCAGATATTGGCACCCCCAGCATGCTCTGTTAATCTTTCGGCTAGATGGAGTTGACCTGGTCGGCCCATGTATGGATAATATGATCGAAACTCTTCCCAGAAAGCTGGGTCATCCTTAATTTTGTTGAAACCTGCCTCCAATTCCGACAAGCAATCCATTAATGATTCAGGCACATACTGTCCACCGAATTCACCAAATCTTGAAGGTACGGTGGCTGGATCGACTGGTCCATCGGTATTAAGAGCTTCGAGCTGATCAGCAAGACCAGGCCCAGAAGACTCTTTGATAACACCATCTACATGCACATCGTCTCCGTTTGGCTCGTGCGCATTTGATAATGTCTCGACAATGCCGACTTCTCTTGTGAGACCACCATTTGGAGCATTTCTTCGTCCACAAACTTCAGCGCAATACTCCTCGACAGCCTTAGCTCCTTGTCCAGCAGGAGCCTCGGCAAGTGTGGTAACGATCTGACTTCCGATAACGACACCATCTGCGATCTTTGCAACACTCAAGAAATGATCTCTTGTACTGACACCGAATCCAACAGCTGCTGGAATATTTCCAGAGTACTCCTTAACTCGCGCCAACAGATCTGGAAGTTTTGCGTTCATAGATCCGGTAGCACCTGTTACACCCATTCTTGAGACGACATAGATGAATGAATCAGCAAGTTTGCATAGTAATTTCATGCGAGTTTCTGATGTCGCTGGCGCAATAAGTGGTACGTATGATAGACTGTCAAAGATTGTTAGCATAGAATCGAACAACCCAGCGTCACACATCTCACCCTCCCTTCGTACAGAAATTTCGGAATGTAACAGCCTCCTCAGGTGGTAGATCGACAACAATGAAGCCATTGACACCTGCCTCTCTGCAGTCCCTGAGTAATCTCTCCTCGCCATAACTCAACATTGGATTGTAGTAACCCATGAAGAGTACAGGTGCTCTTAATCCTTTCTGTCTGGCTTGTCGAACGATATCGAGGGTTGATGCAACGGTAACTCCATTTTTCAAAGCAATCTACTATACATCAGCGGATGTTGATTTGGAGTTGTCGCGAGATATATACAGTATTTGACTTTTGTATCGTAGGTCCGTCTGCAATTGGGTCTGTGAAGGGTAGGCCGAGTTCAATGACATCTAGAGAATGTGTTAAGAGAAGACCTGATATTTGGATTTAAGTAGCATGACATACCGGCACCACCAGCTTCCATTCCCAAAAGAATATCCACAGTCTCTGCCGATGTTGGAAATCCAGCAGTGACATATGTAACGAGAGCTGGCTAACAAGAAATATTTGTTAGCGACTCAACATCAATTGAGGAATTGAAGAGCCATATAACATACTCTCTCTTCCTTTTTGCATTGCGCAAAGGTTTTCTTAAGTCCTTCCATGATTTCGAATAGTCTGAAAATAAATTGCGAGCTCAATTGCAAAAGAGAAAGAAGTGTCTACTATTATATGATTTTATTGTGAGTCAAAGAAGTATGGATTTATCCAACGCCCCTCGATTTCATTCGGCGGGCGGTGAACGAAACTCCGAGAATCGCCCGCTTATGTCATGGTGGGGCAGCCCAAATAGATCGTCGAGCGTCATGTCGGACCCTGAAATCTCTCTACGACAATGCGAACTTTCGTACATTATCAAACGATTCAACTTCCAAGTTTGCGCAAACCATTATCCAATCAATATATCAAAAATACCACGCAATACAGCAGCGACGTAAATTATTACCAACATGCCTCGACTACTACCCACAACCTTCCTTCTTCCGGCCCGTCGTCACTTTAGTCAATCCCTTCGTCGAACAGCCTTCGCCACAGGCCCAGCACCACCACGCCTTCCACCAAAAGAACAAGAAGAATACGAACGTTTACAACGAAGCTCTACTGGTGCATTCAGTACACCCAAACCACAGCAGCCTGCGTCAACACCCACAGCGGCAACCCAATCCCCTGCCCGACCTCAGGTTAATCAGTCGCCTGCATCCCAAGCGAGCACGGAAGAAGCTCAAATCAATGCAAGAGTGGAGGCGTCTGGAAAGGGCGAGGAACTCCACCCGGATATCAGAAGAGGTGCCAAACCCGAATTTGAAGGGGATAAGAACCCGAAGACTGGAGAGGTTGGAGGACCAAAGAACGAACCTTTGAGGTGGGGAAGTGATGAAAAGAGAGGCGATTGGAGTTACAATGGACGAGTAACGGATTTTTAATCTGAGTTCATGAGTTATGGGAGTAATTGAGCTCATGTGAGTTGCATGTTTGCATGAAGTATTAATGTATCACAAATGTACAACATTCCGCCTAGTGGCAAATTTCTTTCGCTGACTTTGTTCCCCTCTTCAACCCTTTTTGCCGTTTGTAGAAGTTTATGTCTTAGCCTACTGAGAGTATTGATTGTGTATCATTCTTTCAATGCATTCAATATCATCTGCATTTTTTCTTTCCATCTGTGAACAAGTTTCCGGTTAAGTAGCCTATTGGTAGTCGGCCGGCTATGGGAGCATCCGTGTTCATAGACTCAAATCCCTAAATGCCTTTGCTAAGCAGGAATCACTTGGAGCTATAATCATTGTTCTGCTGGTCAGTCATTCTAAGTCTACTTCTTGAAAGCCATGGGAATCACACCAGTATGTCACTTGCGATTGGATCGTCTGCTCGCAAGATTTCGGAACATGGTCAAACTGTTTGGGGTCCACTCAATCTAAATCACGTTTTTCCAACATTGATCGATATCGTCGTTTGTCATTCGACGATTAAGAATCATTCAAAGTGCGATTTAGGTTCAGCGGAGGCCAACAACTTTTATTTTGTGATTTGTTATCTGGAAATGAATCAGATCTGTACCAATATAACGATATCTCCTGCCTAGCTTTTTCAAAAGCCTCCTTATCCTCAATACGTGGTATCGAGAAGCAGAGTTTTTACTATGCCAATTTCCTAGGACTCTTGAATAAGTCAATTGAGAAATATTTCATGCACCCACATCTTTCACACACGAACATTTTCATTATTCCCTACGTCACCTAGGGGTTGCGGAAATTCTGCCGACTTAACTTTGTTTTTGTTTATCTATTCTTTCCCATGAAATAACTATGATCCCTAAGGGCAGAAGAGAACATATTTGCCGTTTTGATATAAATTGGGAAGCAACAGTTTGTTTGACCGTCCAGGAGACGATCAAAAAACTCCCTGTCCTAAACACTCAAATTTATTCTTATCGTGAAATTTAAGCGGCATTAATAGCAGTTGTTGTTGACAGCGTCCGCCCATACCCAGACACCACCATCTTCAGCTTTCTTTGTCTGATTCTCTTCGCCAGGGAAGCAGACGAAATCCTCGAGTTCCTCACCCCCCACGACCGCCTTTGGCATATCCGCTATTGACTCTCGTTAGCACTTCCTCTAATTGCTTGTTAATCTCGAGGAACTTACTCCATTTCGACCGCTCCTGCCCACTCAATCTTGCCTTCAAAGCCTCCTCTGACATGATACTGATTTTAGGAATAAGGAAAGGTTTTCCACCATTCCATCGCGGCTCTTTTTGAAGGGCGTCTCTTACTTTTAAAAGATGTTTCATGAGGTTCTCAATTCGTCTAAGACGAGAGCAGACGGCCCGATGATCATCGTCAAACGGGCAAGGCGAAGAATAAGTCCTTGGATCTCGACGTTGAACCGACTCTGCTTTACCTGCATCGATAATGATTTCCTTGAATAAAGCCCATTTAGCATTCACAGCAAGATTCTGATAAAAGTCCTTGTTGTTTGGATCTAAATTCTCCAAGGCTCCGACCGGGTTATCACTTAGATGGTGTCGATCTGAAACCCATCTTTCCGCATTCAATGCCCAATCCCCCATGTGTCCAGAAAGAAACAATAAAGGTCTTACATCATCGGTGAGTGTACACGAGCCCAAGCAACGCAGAAAGCCCTGAAACGTTTTGGACAGTTCGAAAATCAAGACGTCTTTTTTTACATTGAAATAAATCGGTGCGCTTAGCTCCTGCGCGAAACACAACTTGTAAGTTTCCTGAACGATATTTCGAGACTCACTACTAGTCTGCAACAAGTTGTCTAGTGTCCTTGATGTAACGTAGCCATCTGGCTCCCCAATAAGCTGTGCGCCCTGAAACTTATTCCAAGTAGTTTGGTGAACCACGCCTTGGATTTCCCGAGCGCCAACTGGGTAACTATAGATGAAACGAGGTGGAGGAAGCGCAAGCTTCCATATCATGCGACTAATGTCTTCAGGAAATTCTGGAAAAGGCTCGAAATTCTGGGTAGGTAGTAGAGCCTGGAGTGAATAGTCCCCAGCTGACAAAATTTCTCTGGAATTCTGTTCACACCGAGAAATGGAGTAATCCGAGTTAGGATTAATGCGCGGTTCGTTACTGACGCTATCATTTTGTCAAATTCGGACTTTTTTGCATCATGTGAACTCAACAATGAGATCTCGACGACTCACCTCTCAAGCACAGTGAGAAAAGAACCCAATTGGAGGTCGTGATTTCGTATGGCAGTCATTTGGGACAGGCTCCTGTCGTTTGTTGGTCCATTTTCACCCTCAATTTGCTCGTAACTATTACGCAACCTGCTTGTATTTTCGTCTGATCGTAACTCGGATAAATCAGGCCTGTTCACTGCAAATAGTGGAGATCTGTTAGAACCGTTATCGAATGAACAATCTTTGTTCCAACTATTTGGTCGCGCGCTACCAATTCTGGTACACTTACACGAAAGTACTTGAAAAAAAAGCCCACATCATTGCTTTTAATCTATCTAGGACTGATCTCTTGTACTCGATCCGAGTCCCATCGATAAGTATATAAAACGAAACTGAATATTCGTTTTCTAGATATTCTTTCGTCTCGCGATAGCTCTGGTACAGTGCGTAAAGAATTTCTTGCATCCATCTCAGGCGCTCTGCATTCCTCCTTGCTATTAGCTAAAATCCTTCAAATCGAAGCTTGAAAATGTTCAGGTAAAGGTTAGCCGATGATAGATTGAATACATACTCTGGCGTGACGAGTAGGGGAACGCGATTGCGGCCCCCACTGATATCGACTAATTCCGCAACAGGTGGAGCATCCTCTTGTAAGGACTCACTGTCAGACGGCGTTGTCATGTTAGAAGAAAAAAAGAAGTCCCAAGATTCGTGACGAGTGGTCGATGCAGAAACGTTGACAGCTGGTCGTCTTGTCTGTTTGAACTCGAATAACGCGTTCGTGGGTTGATGTCGAAATTTCGTGACGGATGTCGGATGATGGCAGCCTGCAAATTCTTGATGGAGCTCGCGCTTAAGTACCCAGAAAATTGGGAATAATTCACTGTCAAGATGAGCACGGTTTTGGGCTTTGCGAGGCAATGGAATGAGAGAGTTTTTCAGTTGAATTTGGTGGTTAGTGTGTTGCGAATAATTATTAATTGACTTCACCTGTTGTGGATTTTACTGAAGATGCAATCAACATACGAAGGCAGGATAATATAATTAGGCATAAAATTTTACTAAAGCGTGAGCAGTCCACTCAAGCTCGAATGGGTTCGACTTCTTTTCGTGCCGTTATCAATCTGCTTCGCTCCCACCAAAAATCGTCTCCTCCTGATACAGATACATAATAACAACATGAGCCTCTTGATATCAAAGATTGTTATTTTTCATTTCTAGGAAGACATCGAGTTCAATGTTATTGGAAAATGCTGGGATGGAATGCCGAAACCGATATGCTGAACCCTTCTTGATAGTGACTGATGGATTCTTCCACCATGCAGATGCCTGGAATGGCAGTCTTAGACGACTCACACCATAAAGCTTCTGTCGCTGATTTGACAGGGCTTCAAGGACTGGCCCTGAGCTTTTGGATAACGAGAGCTCAAACGCCGACTTAAACGCGGTGAGGGTTTCCCGGCTGATAGTCTCTATGCTTGTTGCTGGCTGATTATTTACGGACTCGCTGTCCTGTGCTGAATGGAGTTGATATCGTTTGGAACAAGGATTCCAAGTAAACCTTCCATCGTGCTCATAGGTCTCAATCCAATCCATATCATCCATACCATCGATCAACAGAATGAGTTCTTCGAGGTTAAACAACTTGGCGAGATATACCGCAGCTATGGCCCTCTTGTCCGGTTCAGCCCAGGGCTTAGTTTCACAGAAGGAGCTTAGAATGATACGTTCTTTGGAATCATTTCGTACCACACTGAAGCGGCCAATTGCTACCGACAAAATACTACTATTGTTAAGTGTCTGAGGGATGGAACATCGAGCGTCGCTTGTAAGAAAGCTTTGCATCGTTTCCAGGTCGTCGAAGTATAACGTGTCTGAAGGTGAGAAGTACATTGGGACGTGGCGAACCATTTTCAATTCGAATCCAGCGTGTCCATCCTCTTTCCTACTTCTCGAGACTTGGAGCAGGCTGTCATCAAAGGCGGTAAGCCTGATCGGTTGACACATTCCTTTATTGTACGATTCCATTCTTTTAGATGGATAACTCGGCCATTTTTGACCGCAAGCTCCCTATCTCAAGCTTCAGCTTCATGTTTCTTTTAGTGAGTCAAGGTTACCAATTCAAGCTGTACGGCATCTGCAATATGAAATTTAATTCAAATATGGAACGGAATAGACACTAACCAAATTGTCAGACGCAGCTCCGTAGGGAGTTTGGGAAATAATTCAAATTTAGATTCCCGATACCAATCGCAGATTTCTTGTTCTCGATCGTATAGTTCCATGGTGGCTTTTGACCTTGCCAGAGTTGATCAATTGCGCCAAATCCGTGTGTTGATTGCTTGATCTCGAATTGAATAATTAATTGGATTAATTGGGAGAAGGGTCTCAAAATCATTTGGGACATGACGTTTTATAGATGAGAAATACAAAGACAAAGATGAACTGATCTAAAAACGTGAATTCCAATGGGAGTGTGACTGGACAGGGCGCGAATACTGAAAATAAATGATTCGCACTGGCTTAGACATAGTAAAAACACATGAATTGGGCACTTAATTTGCCTCCTTTTCACTATGTTCGAGCTAGGTAGTACGATAAATTCAGACTAGTAGACAGAAACTGAGGCGAATTAGCAGCTTACATTTTCCTATAAACGAGGTATATCGCCAGTGATGATCCTTTGTGATATGACGATGTTTCTACCTGCAACTCCATAGTATGCTTGCCATATTTTTGATACCAGTGACCGAATGTTGATAAATTTTCAACCCCTAACAAACAGGCGTGAAAACGAGAAATGTGATTCGTTGGAAATTGGAAATTACAAATTGGAAATCTGTCCTAAAATAACCGGCCCCCTGACAGTACAAGAAGCGTAGCACCTTCAAATGAATCTCAACAGATTAAACACACCAAGCATGTGGCTGAAGAAATTGACTCCTAGCAAGTTTATAGTGATTAGCAATGAAGCTTTTTGTAGCGCAGGTTCAAAGGTTCAAGTTTGCTCTTTCAAAATACACGCGACCAAACTGACTAAAGAAAAAGGATTTGACCTCAACTTTATATTCAGACAATGGTCTCAGCAAACAGATAACTTTTTAATGTACCTCAACTAGATTTGCGATGCTCTTCTACAGAGTTGTATGACCTCCATTCAAGAAACTGCCAGGTTCCATGTCAATTTAGCAACACAAAATTATCTGCGATTTTCTTCCTAAGCAATTCCCGGCTTATTCACCCTTCCATCTTACACTAATCTTGCTCCACCACAACATCTCGACAAAATACCACGATTGCATGGACACGGTCAAAGACATCGCATCGTCCCTAAATTTCTTCCACTTTCTCAAGTTGCTACTCTCTGCCATGTCGAAGAAGGTTTATTTCATCGCTTATTTTTTCGATTTCGGCTTCATTCTTCGCTATCGCAGTTTTCCAGTTCTCTTCCATGTATGGGTTCTTTCGTTTCAGCGTAGCTCTCTTTTGAATCAATTCCTTCATCCGTTTCCTCCTTCGCAAGGCCTTTTGATCGGCCCTTTCCAACCGCTCGCAACGCTTGAATATACCCGGCTTTGATACTATGCCCTTGGTGTAAATCTCTTTGTCGAGGATGGAAACTTTTGGATTTTTCCACCATTCAGACGTCGAAACTGGTAAATCGTTGCCCCCTCGCAATAAGCAATACATACAATCCCCCGGACCTTCGTTTATATGTGAGACATACGAGTGAGACATCTTGCGTAATGTGTTTTCGAACTTCGACTTGAATGCCGAAAATATGGTTTTAGAGTATGAAAACATGCGGCCTTGTATAGGTCCATTCTTCGAAAACGAATTTTGTTCAATATCATTAAGCTCGATACTCTCGCCAGCAAAAGTTGCCCGAGTCCCAAAAGTATGTAACACATTGTTGTCGAGAAGTAACGTGAGCCTCTCGAGGTTGGTCAACATGGCAAAATCACGAGCTGCCTTGGTTTTGTGGCCGAAGTAAGACATGCCAACAGCTGTAAATGATCTTTCTATCAAACCATCCATGGTACCGAATGTTCCAAGGGTAACCGATCTAATGTCGCAGTTATTGAGTGCCAGTGGTTTCTCTATGTTGTTCCGAAATCTAGTTTGACGAAATACGAAACCATCAAAATCTTGGATAGTTTCAAAGTACAGAGTGTCTGCGGGCGAAAAATACATCGAAGCGTTCCGATACATCTTTTGCTCGAATCCGCGCACGTAGAATCTTTTGGCCACTATTCGCGATTCCAGACATGCTTCCAAAAGAGGCGGGTGTCCGGAAAGATTGACGAAAGAAGGTCCCTTGGGCGCCTTCGACAAGTGAATGATTCGGCCTTCATCTACCGCAATTTTCCTTGATAAAAAGTCAGTGATCGTGTTTGTCTAACCTCACCATAATGAAGGGTGTAAATGATGTAAATGCCTAGTGAAGGTAGATCGGAGGGAAACTTACCAAATGATGAGCCGTAACTCGATCGGTAGCTTTGGAAAGAAGCGGAACTTTGCTTGCTGATCTTCAAAGATTTTGTCTCCATACGGATGCGAATAAATCTCTTGGATTTCCATTATCTCGATCTACGTTTGCGGAGATGGTACCAGATTCGTGTCGTGGAGTTGTTTTTGGACGGATGTAAACGCATCCGAGCTGGAAGAAAAAGATTTTATGCATACGACTATGAGGTCCTGTGAATGACCTATAAAGTCTTCTCGACTTAGATGTAGGAAAGAATTACCTCAAATTCACAATGAGATCTCGAGGCGGGGAGGTGCATGAGTTGCGAATTTATATTTTCTTCTCGAGATACCCTGCTACTTTTAGATTTAGAGTTGTGGAGGATTGAACTAGTATGTCAAAGGTGAGATTGTCCTGAAATAATCCTGTGGAACCATATACCACCTCTTATCCATGAAGGGGACAGCCAACAACATCGTTTGCAGAGTACTCATTATTCACTCAACCTCATCTTGATCCCAATACATTACCATCAAGCGGCACGGGATAAATCTTATTTTCGACCAAATCCTCTATTTCCAATACTTGACCTACACCTAATACCGTACTTTTCACGACAAATGGGAAAAGCAGCCAACATGCTTGCTGGACGTGCCATTTGCGACATAAGAAGTGCGATAAATACTTGCCAACAAATTTATCTTGTACCTCAAAGTTAATTCTATGCGTCGACCATAATATGAGTCCAGACTTGGTAAATGAATAATCGTAACCGAAAGCCAGAACAGAGGTGGCTGTCCAAGCTGACAACTCCTCAAATTCACATGCTATGAGAAAGACATGCGGTGATATAATCATGTCAGATCATTAGCACGAGGCAAAGCGACTTGATTTCAGTAACATGAATGAGTCAAAAACGGAAAGTCAGCATACTGTCCTGAAGTGGTACTTCCGGCACAATGTTCATCCCTCGAGATGTTTGATAGAGAGGGTAGTTATAGCCGGCTATTCAAATTCATGTGACGAACACAGCCTCTTATCAAGACAGAGAGTCACCAAAATGGCAATATATGCAGGCATTCTGAACAGCGTGTTGACGATGCAAGTTCACTCTTCTCATCCGATTACCACATTGATGCATAGGGCACCCTCTGACCCAACTACGTTGACTGAATGATTAAATCCCGAAAGTGGGAATATTCGCTAGTAAGCCATTTCTGATTTCTTTGATGGTATAATCACCAGTGTAATGCAAGAAGTGTAGCGCAAGTCTGACGTGGTGCCCGGCAAGTGCATTAATGCCAGAAACCGACATCGGTTCTCTGAAAGGTGTATTTACCCTTCGTAAGAGAGGCAACATTTGTTTTTTTGCTTAAGAACATTAACTCTTTTCTTTCAGAATATGTAGTTACTCTAGCGTAAGGAGGTGTCCCGTCAGGCTTGAAACACACTGTTGGGTTGACCGCACCTTTTCCGTGGATTGTCGTCTCTTTCGACGATGGAACCAGCTGACGAGTTCATTCGTATGACTAGCTTTAGATGATCGTACAAATGGGTACGTGAACATGTGTGCGCCATTCATACTCGATCGAATTGCTTACGACAAGGAGATCAAGCTATCGCTGGCGAGCCAACTTCGCCGAAATGTTCAATCCACTAAAATTGGTCTTCACTTTTCAAAGCATCGCGAATAGTTTGAAGTTCTCATATGTGGGCTCACTGACATTGTCTTGCATCCGAAGCTGCTGAGCATTGTTTGATCTCACATTTGAACAAGAGTATGGAATCACAACTTGTGACACCTCTCGGTTATTCACGTTTGGGCGGTGCTATCAGCAGGAATCAAATGTGATAGCTCAGGGATTATAATATATACCGCCGCTGGGTGAAATTAAGCTACCGGAACATGTAATCCTTCACTTTCATTCAATACTCAAAATCACTGAAATTGACGGTAACCCAAAAACTTTTTCCATGGATCATTCGAACATCAATATATACATCCAAACCACTCATTCCTCCACATCATCAAACCGACTTAAACTGTTCAAAGAACTCCCAACTATTCCCTGGCGCAAACGGCTTCGAACTCCCCGAATCAGTCTGACTTGGGTTGTGATCTCCCCCATGAATCACCCAGGTAAGAGGCAATCCTTCCTTACATCCCTTGTAAACTGTCTTCACACTCTTTCCATTACTTCCAGGTTGAGTCTCAGTGACAGCAGTGCATCCGTTGTTCTTGACAAACTTGTCTCTCAAAGCTCGACCGTTTGCAACAGGCAACACACTATCCTTTGTTCCATGCTGTCCATAATATGCAACTCCGTCATTTCCTCCAGCGCAGCCAGATAGTTGAGAGCCCGAGATAACTGCCACTGCACGTGTTTCTTTGCCCCTGGCGCAAGCGATGGCGAAGGACATGCCACCGCCGTAGCTGAATCCGGTGTGGAATCGAAGAGAGGTGTCGACACACAAGTCGTTTTCCACAGTGTCCCTCATTTTATCATAGAAGCTCACATCTTCACCTCCGCTGTTTGCCCAGCCATTGCTGATCCCGTTCGGGACCACGAAGATGGCGGATTCGTTTGCAAGGGGTGGGAGACCGTAGTATGCGAGGACACCGCCTTTGTTGGGATCTTCACCGGCAGCGATGGACGAGGCGGAGCTGCCGAGTTGATGCCATGTGAATATGAGACGGTAGGCACGGGTGTTGTTGTAGTTGTTTGGGAGACGGATGATGTATTGGCGGGATTTTCCGTTTATGGTTGTGCTGTAGGTTTGGGATTTTATGGTTGCGGATTTACCACAGCCCGGGGAGCGAGCGGCGAGAACGAGGTTGAGAAAAAGCACGAGGGCGAGGGTAAGGGATAACATGTTGGGTGGTTGTGAGGATGATGAGGCTTTTGGTATCCGGGGATTGGGTTTGTTTATATGGTTCGAGGATATATCCATCAAGATTTATTGAATATTTGTGTGTATCAGGTGTATTGAATAGCTATATTCATCCGACTTGTCCCAGACTCGGCACTTACCAACGGCATATTTCTGAGAGTGTGTTAGAAGGGCAATGTGTATAGGCATTGTGGGAGATATCGTATTCCTGCGATTTTCATACTCATTCCATCCAATGCTGACTCTCTTCATCTTGGCAGGGCAGGATCCTACTTAAGGCATTTCGGTATAGCTCTCTACTCTGCCAGTATATTGTGGTGCTACCCATTTACATACTTTTCTTTGCTGATCAATCTTCAAGGGTGATTGATTAGTTGGTGTGGTTACCCTCGCTTCGAATATCAGGAACGAGACCTTTTGAGAGGTTATTACACGGTTTTTCTTTTTGGAATACAAGCTTTATCAAAGAGCATTGATATTAGAGCATTCGATTATGGACAAAAATGAAAGTAAATTCCGATTGTGCAAAGTAGAAGTGGTATTAATTATCAAACGATCCTCACTTACTACTTACTTACAAAGAAGCTCCCAGGCACCTACTAAAGCGAGCCAAAGCTGCCAAACTGACTCTTTTACCGACTCTTTCATCAACCAAGCATGGCCAATCTTACTAGATAAAATGGATATTTCTATGGAATATCCAAAAAGAAAGCGCTTGTAAAATAAGCGAGAAATAAATTAAATGCCACTTCAATCTTCCCGAGCTTATGCAACGTTAATATATACCACGTTTCTCGGTGCTACCCCACATAATTTAATGTAAAAGATATATGACTCGATTATATATGCATAGAGGCCGGAAACTAATAAGAAACAAACAAACATACAGAGAATCCGCCTTGTAGAAAGCGAAGCTCGTGATCTCGAATTCGTCACAATTCTGAGCAACATTAAGCCTAGGTGATATTCCCTCGAATTAAAGCACGAATCAAGACACAATAGACATTCACGAGCATCCCTGAATGACAATAGAATATTCTTTACGAGCCTTCACTTACGCCGCTAGTTCGGTTCGTTACCATACTTTAGGCTATTTGGGTACCTGTTCCCCGCGTTTCGGCAATTGAATCATTGGAAATTTCGGCACGTTCTCCACAAAGTTTATTCTGACTTCTTTAAGAGTGAAACAACGCTTTTGAACCACGAAATTCGTGCTAAGTACTTTACACCCTAACATTAAATCTTCATAAAAACTGTAAATATCTTCAACTTCTAGATACGTCTCCCTACATCAATCCCAACTGGACCCGACCTTTCCCCCAAACAGTTCAAAAGAAACAAAATCCGGCCAAAAAACAACCCTGCAGCGATCCCCAACTCGACATCTCGCTGCGAACCCTCGCCTAATCCGGTTGAATACCGCATCCTGGCATTTGTTCCCGCTAGACGCTCCCAGATGGAAATCCTCCGCGGTTCACTGGCAGTTTCCATATCGGGAGACGAGCCTCAAAGACATGCGCACCAATTGAGAAATGGTAGACGCGCACCAATGATAATGGCCTCTTGAACATATGTTCGAGCCTGGATGGAGATATGCGCGCCAATGGGCTGCGGCTTTGTACGATGGGTTCGTGCTACACGTGGCTGGGACCTGGGGAGTTGACATAACCGAGTTGACGACGAGTGATGATGGTTCGGCTGATAATTTTCACGCTGAGGTTTTGATCAGTTGATTATTGTCAGGGAAAAGTCTGGTAGGATTTTTCTTTTCATATCTAGTACCGTGGTATTCATTGATGAGTTGGTAGAATATGCTAAAACGACAGATATCTTGGCTTTGTTGTTACGATCCCGAGTCTCACTCTCAACGAGCAAATTTTCAGTGTCCAGGAACTGAATAAGATTGAAGCTCGAAGAACCGAATTGTATTTACAAAAGAATTGCTACAGATGTAGCATGTAGAAAACTATTTACAGAAGTTTTGTTTGAATATGTACGTGCACCTCCCGATCCTCAGCCACATCTAACCAAGACCCAAGCTCTTTCAGCACCCTTATCTGCATCTTGGCTTGATATGTACCGGGCTCAGGACTTAGCGCTGAAGAGTGATCAATCCCGGACGGTAAGGAAGTTTATCATAAGCCGCGCCCGAGTTTGGCTTCAAACCCTGGAACAGCAACTGCAAGTTACACGGATCAACAGTGAATGTCTGATCCGCGGTACTGCGAATCAGATCACCATGGCTGATATCGTTGGACCAGGTGACGCCGCTGTTCGCCTTACCAGCGAACGGCGCGCTCTCAAGACCACTTTGCGCTTTCCAGGCACCGTCCAGACTCGTTGCTGTGAACGAGCGGAAGTACCGTCCGTTGTTTCCTTGCGCCTCGACGATCATGAGGTATAGGTTCTGGCCCTTGACGGTGTAGACTTGAACAGCCTCGAAGAGGTTTCTCTCCGTGTCGCTTAGGACGACTGTTGATGCGGTGCCGAAACTACCTGGGAAGTTTCCGATGGGCATACTGGAGCGGTAGATTTTGCCGTTGTCGCCGGCGAAGAATAGGTACATGTTCTTGCTGTCACCGATGACGGTTTGGTCGATTGGTCCGTACGCTGCTCCGCTGATGGAACCGGAGAACAGGGGTTGTGCTGCTGACCATCCGTTCGCGTTGGTGGGATCGCTGGATGTGCGGTATGAGAATGCTGTTGGTCCCCATTGGTAGGCCATGACCCAGGTGTTCTTTGGTGTGAACTGGAATAGGGTTGGTGCGACGGCAGCGAAGTTCATCTGGTTCTGGCTGGCTGATGCCATGTCACCCCAGTTTGTGAATGTGCCGAAGTTCATGGAACCGTAGTTGGCTCCGACATGGTTGGATGCGTACACAAGGTGCTTGCCGTTGTAGGGAACGTGAGTGAAGTCCTTTACAGAGTCCCAACCGCTCTTAGGAGTTGCAAGTGGTGCATTGGGAGATGGTGTCCACTTGTACGTGGTTGGCAGAGTACAAGTTTGTCTTTCGATGACGGCTCCCGAGGTAAGAGCTGCCGCCGAGAGCAATGCGATACTTGTGGTGATGAGTCCCATCTTGATGTTTCTCCTCAAAATGAAATGAGGTCAAATGAGAAGGAGACGATTGAGGCAAGCCGAAGGAATGAGGCGGATGAGAGAGGCAAGGTGAAGAAAAAACTTGAAGGCAAATAGACTCACTTTATATATTTCCTAACCATGGTGCCTCCGTATAGCTTTACCAAGATACGGATCCAACAGCCCCGCAACAAATTACAGATCTTCCGCCGGTAGAATGCAGATCAACAGTGTCATTCTACCCCATACTCTTGTCGTAGTCTTCCCGCCAGTAGTGCTGGCGGCTTCAGCTTAATGAAGACCTTAAATTATAGGGGTTCTGCTAATGCGGATATCCCATTCGTGGAGAGTCCTCGCTTAGCTGTTAGTGAGTATCAGATACCCGTTAAGGTCCACCACTCGGGACCAGGAAGATCGGGCAAATGTAACTAGGTTTAACCCGTTTTCTGAGCATCTAGAAATCGCTTTTTGAGAAGGGCCTTCTGGGCGTTTGGTGCCCGGTTGGGTGGAGGTTCTCCGACAATAGTTGACGGGCCCTGGTATTCTTTCGACGGTGGTGTAGTAGATTCTCTCGCGACTAGTGGAATAACTCGTATACTGCAGGAGAGGAGATAGATATTATCCTACGAGGAAAGTCATGTTATTGAAGGTAGATTCCACAAATCGAAAAACACTAGTGCACGTTTGACAGGAAGCGCTATATCCACTTAGAAGATTGGACCCGGCAATTGGTGCGGTACTAAACCTTGAAGATTTCCAGCGCGATGGAGATCTGAATTATGACAGGGCTGACCGAGGTGGAGTAGAAATTATCAAGTTTGTGGATTCTGGATTCCCACGAAAGTCGGGTCCAGATCCCGGCATAACATCGGCGTATTTAGTAGATTTGAGAACGAGTGAGAATGTTTTGGATGAAATTACCGAGGTATGATGGGATGAAACAATCGATGGTTAAGGTTTCTCGTATTTGTGACGGGAGGGGTGGGGGCAGTCGAGTTTGGCTGAAGGGTGGTTGCGATTTGCTGGTTGTTTTAAGCGACTTTGAGGAACTTTTGCTTCTAGACCACGAAACGTTGGATGGAAAAGGAGTCAAGACATGACGTACTGAATTGAATAATTGGTTTCTTTTGTGTTCTAAAGTGAGATTTCAAATTTCTTTGGTATGCAATCATAGATAGTGACACAAACTTTCGAACTAGTGTTACAAGATTCTAGGCATATGAAGTATATAAATATGTAATTTCCTCTAGCATGTTACCAACTCATGAGTCTCCCAGTGGGATAACTGCAAATTCCTCCTCAGCGAACCTTCTTTCAGTTTCCTAATCTCCTGACCCCACCGGCGAGGTAATTCAACGCTCGGTAATAACTACAAGCTGTAACGAAACGGCCGAGGTGTGTCAAATCCATGAACGCCTCAGAAACTTTGCTGTTGCTATTTTTCTTGATGAGGGTAGTTCTCGAGTAACAATAGAACTCTATGTTGTCGATAATGACGAGGTATCCACTTCAGGTATTTGCGCTGAAGCTTTCCTCCTTTCCTCGAGAGAGATAGACTCATTTCATTTGAGTTGATGGATCTCATCATTCTCATCAGTACCGCCTGTCCATCTTCGTGTGGTACCAAGCCCTCAGAACTGCTTTCATGCGATGTACCTCTTCCTCCCAGCCACAGATGCGACAACTTCTACGAATTTGTCAAAGCATCTTCTGCACTTGGCTCGACTCGGTGCTCATCCTCCGATTGACCATCCAGGACGAAAGCGTCCCTGAGACTAGAAGGGACTCATTTAAAAAGATCCAACGGACTCTTCGGACTTCTCCAATGCAACTTCGGCACCTCAAGCGCAATATTCAGCGGCGACATATGCACAAATTCAACCACAATCAGTCTCCTCCTTCTCCGACTGCTATTTCTCCTAAACTGTTTAATCCATCAGTCTCTTATCCCAAAAAAACTCCCATGCCATGTATTTTATTTTTGCGACTTACCAGCATATTCCCCGACGCCATAATTTTCTCCTCCAACGCCGGCGATTGCGGATGGAAAGCCTGAAGAGAAGATTGAGAAGCCCATGATGAACTGCGTGATCTGGATGGAGTTGTTTGTGGTGTTGTTTGTGAGTTTGGGGATTGTGGTTCTGAATTCTGTGTCTGTGATTCTGGTGTTGGTTCGTCGTTCAGTGGGATATATCCGCTTCTGGTTGAGTATCTGCGGAAGAGAGACATTGTTGCTAGTGTTGATATTTGCGACTGATAATATCCCCTTCAACCAAATAATTTCTTTCGTATCAATCGTTTCCCACTTCAATTCTTCCAAACCAAAAAAAACATAAGCACCAAAAAACCCGGGCCCATCTCCCATTTTGACCTCCCCCTCATCGTCAAAAATCCATCGCTATTTCCATCCTCACCTCCACCGCCCAACAACCCACGAGCGCTCCCAATCCTTCGGAATCGCTGCGCAACCAACACCACGAGGCGTCCTCCCACAAAAATTTTGAGGATATAGAAGTCGAGGTGTTGGGTGTACGTGATCCAGGAATACACAGCCCATGCCAAGCGAGAAAACTGATCTGAAGCGAGATATTGCAGCCAATTAAATCTGAGAGGGCGGAAGCGTAGGCGGGAATTATGTCAATTGGCTCAGCGCAGTTACTTGGTGTTTGGCGGCGCATTAACGTCTAGACACATGCGGAGAAGGGGAATCACGTGAAGTTTGCGTTTCAGAATTCCGCTACGAATAGAATAATTGTGGGATTGATTTCTCATATATCAGGCTTTATTTGTCTTGTTGTGATTTTTGGAATTGGGCACTTCTGCCTCTCTTTGCTTGGTCACATACCAGTCGTTAATGAAACAGGATATAACGAAAGCCCTATGCGTTACAAGCTGACCAATCAATTCAAGCACTTTGATAACTAGTCCTGCAGTGCTTTACTCACTAATACGGGGATGGCGAAGCCCAAAAAATGGAGGAACTCGGGGTTATTTAAGTCGAAATAAGAATTAGTGGAGTTATATTTAAATACCATTCGAATTACTGAAAATAAAGCTAACCTTCTACTTTTAAATGTTATTGATCGTTGCGAGATTTAACCTAATAATGATTCTAGTTATTTTTCAAAAGCGATGTTAATATTATTTCCGGTTTCGATTTCTCAGTTATCTACATTCAAAATCAATCCTGAAATTCCTAAATTCGATTAGTGAGTTAAATACCACCGTACAACACCCGAAACTTCTCAATTAATCGACACTTATAATCTCATTCAAACAGACACTTAAGGGCCACTGATCCTCATTAGATAATAACGAACGAAATTTGAGTAGCACGTATTAATTTTTCGACTACGAGGAACGATCTTATTAGATTTACTAGGAAGTGTATATACGTGTTTTAAAGCCACTGAATTTAATCTTAATTATCGAGACATCTATTTATCTATAAATATAACCGATGTGAATTTTCAGGTTGAAGAATAGGAGAGTAAAAAGAATTCTTATATAATTAATGCTAAAGACTTTGTTACCGTATATACTACTAGTCTAACGTCTATTCAATCCATTACACCTTATTCCGTTTCGTGATAGCGAGAACAAGAATTGTGAACCCGTGAGATAGAAGGTAATAGTTCATACTTCAACCTAGGAAGGAGGTTGTGAACTTATTATAGAGAAGCATGATTGTTAAAGATAATATAATGCTTGGAATTAGACATACAAATAGGATTACGAGTTTCGCCTGTTACGAACTTCTCCGTTCAATCTATCACTAGACTAATCTACGACCAACTTAACATTCAAGGTCTTCAGAACCGTAGATTCCAAACGTTCACACCATCTTCTACTTTCCTCCAACATCTTAATTACCCCAGCGGATGTAGGCCGCGGGCTGGTGTAAATGTAGGTGGATGTGGATGTGCTCTGTGTTTGAAGTGGTATGGGTCAAGATAGGACAACTACATCATCCTACCACCTCCATGAATCTAAGCTGCACAAGAACACTAACAAGCGCGTGAAATTCAGCATTTGTATTTCATATTTCTCATATCCCATATCCCCACCTAAAACTATCCCACCACCCACCACACACTCTACTCCTCATCCCCGCCAACCCCCGTCAACGGCCCCGCAAGCCCCAACATCCTGCGACCCAGTAAATCATCACTACTCCCCAGACCAACCATACTCTTCTTGCGCTTCCCCATTCCCCTCCCCAACGCCGCTCTTTCTTCGCCCCTCTCGCGTAGTTGTTCCTTAAGCAACTTCTCCTTCCTCATTCTCTCCTCGTCTTTCTTCCCCTTCGTTCTCTTCGTCATCGTCATTTCCAAGCCCTCGTCGCCAGAAGATTCGGTACGGGTACGACGGTGATGCAGGCCTTTGCGGGGTGTAGTAGGTGACTGTGTGGTAGCGGCGGCGAAAATGTGATCGATCCAGCGGGCACAGCGGAATATGTATTTCCAGCCTTCAGGAAAACAACCTACGAATTGGAGAAAACCGTGGGAGATCCCGGGGATGAGTACGACCTCAACTACATCTCGTTCATCGAATTCCTTTCCGCTATTTCTGTGCTCTTGTGCGTGCTTCGCAGCTTTAGCTCTTCGTAATCTTCCAGCGAAAATTACCGTGTCGTCGACTAATGGATCCCGTTCTCCGGTTAGGAAATAGGTCTTGGGGAATTCGGCGAGAAGGTTATCGGGTGCCAATATTGGAGAAAGGAGGTATTCTGTTGAGAAATCTGGACGATTGTGGGGGCCGATATAGAGGATGATCATTGCACGCATCATTTCTGGGGAGAGGATTCGGTCATTGAAGTAGGATATCATGCTTGACATTGCGAGGCGGGTTCGTAGGGGTTCGGGGTGGTGAGATTGTTCTCGCTCCTGGTTTTTGGTGACTGCTGGGGACATCAAGGGTGGTGCAGCTGTTGAGTATTGTGGTGAGGGCAGGGAAATGGACGTAGGTCTCGATACTTTGGTGTCAATGATAGGTGGACTTCTTTTTGGTGGTGTGACGTCTTCTTCATCTCCGGATTGATGTGGCGTTCCGGCCGCCAGATTATATTGCATGCTCTTGCGACGAACGATATTATGGTTCGTCCTTCGGCTTTTTCTGTCTTTTATCAAAGTCATCTGCTCATCCGACATCCAGTTGCCGATATTCATATCTAGACCAGGATATATGAGAATCAACCCGTCTGGAATAGGTAACGGATTCTGAGACTTCGTCCTAGACGCCATCAAACCAGACTCAATAATCATCAGCATCGTGCTTGTTGCAAGATTTCCTCCTGCACTATCACCACTCAAAATCGTCTTCGGCATAACATCCCCAGATAGACCAATACATCGTCCCTTGCTCGCAATGAGGGTGCAGTAAACATCAAAACACTCATTCAGCGCATATGGGTATGGATATTCGGGCGCTTTGCGATAATCCAAGCTAAGTACTGGCAATCCAGTCTTTCCTGCCCAGGCAAACAACTTATCATCGCTCGTTCTTGGACTCATTGCCACGAAACCACCACCAGGAATATCCAGCACAACTTTGTCATGGCTCTTCAAAGCAGATATTGGTCCGTCGAAATATAACCACGCATTGACGGATTCGGTATAATCGCTATTCGACGGTCTTGGGATGCGAATTTGACGCGGGGGGTATCGCATGAGTCTCGGTCTTGTCAGGTTTTGAAGAGCGCTTAGGTATGGTGTCGTGCCCTTGTTCCAGCTGACTCGAAGATGTTCTACAGTCAACCCGGCTCGAACCTTTCTAACTTTCTCATCCGCCTGTTCGGCGGCTATCAGGTAATATGCAGTAAACACCACTGAAGCCAAATCTCTCAACCACTTCCTCTTTATCCTCATCGCACTCCAAAATCCAGCATCTAGAGCTGTGGTAACCCATGTCGCCCTGAAGTATGATCGCGTGTATAGGTTCGCGAGAGGTTCGGGGCATTCCAGCCCAAGAAGCTTTCCCAGATTTCGAGCGACGTAGAGGTAAAGAAGGGTAATGACTAGAGTCTGCCATGGTGTTATGTATCCAGAGAGCTTCCTCGACAGTTTTCGAACTACAGGCGGGCCATGTTTATGTCCTCTGAAGGAGGCAATTAGCATTTGTTCCCAGAACGGGTACCGTCGGAATTACCTGTAAAGATAGAAAGACCAGAAAGAAAGAACTCCTAGAACTTGGATCTTCCGGAATTGTACAGATGGTCGACCAAGAACATGATCTGAAAGTGATTAGCCGATGGCAGACAGATTAGCTTATGCGCATACCTATCATCTTTACATTTGATGTTGTTGTTGGGTGCTGAAGCAATCCGATCAAAGAAACACGGTCTTTGTAGTTGACATGTGCGTACGACAATCAAGCCCTCCAATAACGCGTTTCTTTTCTTGATTCAAGGTTGGGAAGCCATGTGATAGAGAATGAGAATGGGAAAGCAAAAAGAAATTCCCAATCACTCAAGTAATCATGATTCGTGTCGCTGTCAATTCTTGTGGTCCGGATGACCTCAATCTGTCAGCTAACAAACCTCGGTGGCCGTGTACCTGCGGCGTTTGATGGAGACACCAGCAGCAGTGTCGAATGGGAGAGAGGCCGTGATGGGAATTCGTGGGGTAACACGAATGGATTGGTTGGATTTCCATCCTGGCAGGAATACTGTTTGCGGCGATTGCATGTGATAGTGAGGAAGCATGTGACCAATCACGTGATGGTATTGTTATTATGTCTATGCCTTAGGGCACACCTGGAATTTGAGGCTTAAAGCTACATGTTCATCTCCTAGGTATGAAGATCATCGTATTTTCGCTTTATACGGAAGACTTACCTCTCTCGCAAGATATTGTCGCTTCTTCATCCTGCAAATTCAAGTATGGCCATCTCGTAGGACATATATACTTCGTCCCTGCTCCCCGGGTCTGGGAACCATGGTTCCCCTCATTCCGGCACCCGTCGATGTTTGGCATACCCTATCGAGGTCAGACGGCGAGATATCAACATACCCGAGCGATCAAGTTCGTCGTTCGTCAATCTTCGATCAATTGAGCCTCATCAGCACTAAAGAGCCTCGTATCGTTCGAGGCAGTACAAACATTTCAACATCAAATCGAGCTCTAGGGAGATGACAGAAATCTGGCCAACTTGAGTCGTTGCCACGGCCAGACTGCTGACTGTTGCAGGCTGTCCAACAGTCGACCTCTTCATTTCACTTCGGTACCAAGAAGAGCATCGGTGATGGATACAAACAGACAAGATGCAAAAATCCCCCGATATGGATATATGCCGTCTTTCCCTCTCTCTGTCGATTGCTGACAGGAGCTGAGCTCAGAGAAAGTGGTAAGTATGATTAACAACGCGGTCAGCAGTCAGCTGTTGCTCCTTTGTTTACCAACGCGCAGCAATTTGTACAAACAATTCCATCTGGTGCCGCGCAGGTACTTCGTCTGTTGTGGCGCCAAGTACTCCTACGCCTCAATCGAATTTGATTTGCTCAGAGTTTGGGATGATTGGCTTCGGATAAAATGATTGAAACTTTTGTGGAAGCCGTTGACAGGGCGCACATGCCTTGGCCACGACATCTGAAACGAGACAAACTTTTGTTCCTCCTCCTGAGACGTGGACTTTGTGGACTTTACCCCACAGAGTATCGATCTTCGAAAAAGATTCTTTTTCTTTTGACGCTGTGTTCTGTGAACGAATCCTTTTCTCCATTCATGCACTTGGTACCGCCAGCAAGCTTTGATGCGAATCGCATGGTCTTGCTTGGCCAGATATATGTACTCGGTACGCTGTATCTCACTGCAGCGACACGCAGAAAGGAGTCGTCGTTTAAAGTGGATGGCTTGGCTTCACACTCTGTGGTCTGGACATTGGGGTTTTCTCCTTGGCTCGCCCAATCTGGTAGCCACTGTACGTATCTATTTCAGTCAGGGCCCGTCCCGGACCCACTTTTTCAGCCTTGCCTCGACGTCTTCCCCTGGATGCCACATTGCCACGTCGAACTCTCGAATATCTTCACCAATTGCGCAAGTTGGCTGAAAATAATGTTTGTGTTATACATTGAATCTATCCTATCAGCTTCATCAGCTCGTTCCTGATGTTTGAAGCAGGCAGTCATCATCCAAATAAGGCACCGATAATCTCCTTGGAGCATGCCAGGAGTCGAGGCTGTACTCCGTACTGCAAAAATGATGAAGAATCGAGAACACGAGATTTATTCACACCGGCTTCGCTTCCCCACTCACAACGTTCCCTCCCTTGTTCTCCATGCCGACCGCCGACATTGGCTGAGTCCGCTGCAGGGGAAAAGATCCTAGGTGAAATCTACCGCATCCCTGAAACGAGCCGCGGACCCAGTCAAAGTGCCAGACAGACAAGCACAGTCAAAAGAAGACCAACTTCGCCTTTCCTTACCAACGTCTTTCCTTTATCATAACATTCCCTCCTTCGCCAACTTTCTGATTCTTCTCTTTGCGCATGCGAACTCATTTCTTTCCTTCCACATACCACCTTTCCGAACTTCCATTCACTTTCGATATCGATCCTCTTTAGACACCAGATCGACTTCTTTCTTAATACATCTTCAACATGGCCGACGAGGGAGGTCCAAATCATAATGGAGGAGGTCCTGGTGCGCAAGCCGAACACCATAATTCCGATATCCCACAACCAAAAAAGTTCAACACCGACTCAAGGAACTCGACGTTAACAAAATCCGCGTTCGAGGTAGCCGCGGCAAGCTATGGAGGAACAAGTACCCCGATGGGCACAGCCAGAGGCAGCATCGATATCACAGACTACTTTGTGCGTTTGCAAACCCGCGTATGGAAATCATTCTAATTAAAACAGGTTGGTCCTCGAGATCTAGATCGCCATTCAAAACTTCCATATTTCATGCGGATGCACGGGAGCGTTCTGCCACGAATGATCCTACCCTTGGCGTTCGCAGGAGGATGGGCAACGCTCATTACATGTATCTCTAAATTCGTCACAAACTGTAGGTTCAAATTTATCAACCAGCGAGAATTCGTGCTAATCGTGAAATAGTGGGTATTTCAAACGCCCTTCTCACAGTTCTTGGTTTCGTCATTGGTTTAGCCCTTTCTTTCCGTACTAGCACAGCATATGAGCGATACTCTGATGGACGTAAAGCCTGGACGGTTCTCTCGGTTCAATGTCGAAATCTTGCACGATATATCTGGATCCATACCTCTGAGCGTGAAGGTGAAGAAGGAAAGGAGGATCTTCTCGCCAAGATCACCGCCATGAACATGATTCTTGCTTTCACCGTTTCTCTCAAACATAAGCTCAGATTCGAGCCATTCACTCATTACCCGGATATTGCTAGTTTGGTCGGACATCTAGACACTTTCGCTAAGCTTGCTAATAGCGAAGACAATGAGATTACTCCCAAAAAGACGATCTGGAAAAAGGTCGGAGAATATTTGGGTGTTGATTTCGCAGTCAGCAATCCTCGAAAGGCCATCAAGAAAGCAAAGAACGCAAACGTTCCATTGGGCAATCTACCATTAGAGATCTTATCCTACCTCAGCGCGTACCTCGACGAGGTTGTCAAGAACGGAACAATGAGCTCCCCAGTCGTCGTAGGACAAATGCGTAAGTTCAACCGCCTATTATCCATATAACCCACTAACATCTTCAGTCGTCTGCCTCTCAACCCTCACCGACGCCCAAGCAAACGCCGAACGAGTCCTCACCACCCCCCTCCCAATCGGCTACAACATCCTCATCTCCCAAATCGTGCTCCTCTACATCTACCTCCTCCCCTTCCAACTCTACCTCGCCCTCGACTGGATCACCATCCCCGGCACCGTCGCCGCCGCCTACATCATCATGGGCCTCGCCGCCATCGGCAACGAGCTCGAAAACCCCTTCGGCAATGACGTCAACGATCTCCCGCTCGATACCTACTGCCAGGAACTCCAGACCGAGCTCGATATCCTGATGAGCGTCAAGGCGCCTAAATTCGGCGACTTCCTCAGGAAGAGCACAGATAATCAACTCCTCTGGCCCCTCAGCTCGAGCGGATATGGAGAGTGGAAGGATAGGAGTGAAGCTGATATTCGAAGTGCGTTGGCGGCGAAGGTTAAGGTTGGGAAGGGCTTGCCAATGTGTGAAGCTGATATGCCGAGGCCGAGTATGAGGGAGAAGATAAGGTCGGCGGGTTCGCCTGCGTAAAGCAGTGTTGACGTCTTAGGTCGGGGTGTAAAAGTATTGTCTGTTTTTCGAATCGTAAATTGTGGTTATGGGAGGACGTACATAGCGAAGGCGTTTCTATCTCTGTCTATTAAAAGATAAGCAAGCAAAAGGGCTTGTGTAGTATATCAATCCAAGGATCTATAATGTTCCCAAAGCTCCTTCTACCTTTGTCTTCTGTTCACGGCTTTGAATGGATGGTATAGTCTCGTGGTTCATGATTTGATGTAAGACTTTGTAGGAAGGGTTTAGTGGTGAGTAACTCGGTAGGTAGCCTTGTCTATAATCATATCTGTTTCACGCTAGACGGCACGCTTAGGAGGGAGCTTGATGGTAAGCTAAATACTCCTAATTCATAGGGTCGGGACGTATGTATAGACATACAAGTAAAAACTGTATCCCGCACGCACGCACGCATGGTTTTTGTAATATTAGGCTGTGGGAATGAAGGGGGGTTTAATTTAACTTTATTGTATAGAGTGTATGTCTATAAAGTTGAGAATGGGATGGGTATATATACTACACTACAAGAACTTTTAAGATTCCCTCGAATTTTTTATTCTTTTTTTACCTAATCTTATACATCCTCACTCCTCATCTTATCCCGACTTCCCAAAAGCAGTTACGCATTCCCTATATCATCTACCAACAACCCCCCACCTCTCCCTCTCTCCAATTCCTGTCTATCAAACATTTATAACAAAAAGAAAGGAAAGGAAAGGAAAGGAAAAGATTCGATATCTAAGGCTTATTCTAGAGTAGTATGGTAGGAGGTTTTGTCTATAATGAGAAAGGAAGAAATTTGTTTCTTTCTTTCTCTCGGCACTCTTCTCTGTCCTACCTAAAAGAAAAAAAAGAATAAATACTAATTCTTATCCCCAGGTGTTCAGCTAAGGAAAAGAGTAGTGGCACGTGGAAGGAAGGGGGGTGAAATGGTATACATGATAAGAAAACGCAGGGTGAGAAAAGAAAATGTTTAGGTATATGGTGTATAGATCATGGTGTTGAATCGCTTATTATTCTAGTACCCCTTTCTACATATCGGAACGCTAATCCAACCATCTCAGCGCACGAGCAGAAACGAATTTTATATATCCCAACGCCAAACTCCTCCGCATCGATTCCAACATCGCAATGAATTACTGCAAAACCATGACCTCCTTCGACGAAAACATCGCTTAGAACGTTAATTCGGCGAGTCAACCTCCCCATTAACGAGCTTCCCCGCGGGTTCCTCCCCAGGACTAACCAGGATCCTCATCGCTTCATCCAAGATCTTCATCCCCTCTGCAATCTCCTCCTCGCTAATCGTCAAGCTGGGCACAAATCGCAATGTATTCGTGCCAGCCGTGATGATTAGGAGTCCTCGTTCCCTGGCAGCAGTGACGATTGGCGTAGGATCTTGATTAAGTTGGAGACCGAGCAGAAGGCCCTTCCCACGGATCTCAGTAATGAGTTCAGGGTATTTGTTCTGGAGCTTGCGGAAATGTGATTGGAAGACTTGAGATTTTTCGAGGACTGCAGCTTGCAGTTTTGGGTCGGAGAGACGCGAGACCATGTAGTGTGCTAATCGACAGCCGAGGGGGTTACCGCCGAATGTGGTGCCGTGGTCGCCTACTACTATTCTTTCTGCGACGGAGCCATTGACGATTGTAGCGCCGATAGGGAAGCCGTTGCCGAGGGCTTTGGCGGTGGTGAGGATATCTGGGTGGGCTGATTGAGGGAGGGAGGCATGGGCCCAGAGTTTGCCGGTTCGGCCCAGTCCGCATTGGATTTCGTCGTATATTAGGACTGCGCCGACTTCTTTACAGCGAGCGGCTAGCGCTACGAGGAATTCTTCTGTTGCGGCGATTACACCACCTTCTCCTTGGATTGGCTCGACTATCACACCGCATGTGTTTTCGGTGACGAGGTCTTTGATTGCTGCTACATCGTTGTATGTCCCGTATCTAAACCCAGGTAACATTGGTGCGAATGGCTTTTGGTATTTTGGATTTGGCGTAGCTGATAGCGCGCCCATTGTTCGACCGTGGAAGGAATTGTTGAAGGAAATAACTTCGTGTTTGGCACCTGATGGATCGAGGACCTTCCCCACCTTTCGAGCAAACTTAATTGCGGCTTCATTCGCTTCTGTGCCAGAATTACATATGAAAACGGAGCGAGCATCGTGCATGCTCCCTGATTCGACGGTCTTTTGTATGAGGAGTTCGGAGAGTGCGCCGGTCCAGGGATTGTGGTATAGATTGGAAGTGTGGACGAGGAGTTTGGACTGCAAAATAAAATGTTAATTTTGGCTGTGTAATGTATGAATGGTATTGCTTACTTGTTGGGCGAGAATGCGATTCATTTCCGGATCGCAGTGTCCCAACGCATTAACAGCTATACCGGCAGTAAAGTCCAGATATTTCCTGTTCTCTACATCCCACAAGTAACATCCCTTTCCCTTGACGAACATCGGTGGTGGTCGGGCGTACGTCTTGACCATATATGGAGCTTGCTCATTGACCAGAGCAGCGGTGGCCGAGTCTTCAGGAGGATCGGCATTTGGAAGGGAAGCTTCTCGCTGCGGGAATTCAGATCAGTAATAGTTATAATTAAGAGTCGCAGAGATCTTAACTCACATAAATATCGTTCCTGACGCTTTCTGACAAGTTTGAAGCCGCTGCGGTTGCTTGCGAAGCATTCCTCTTCAGAATGCAATTGGCGGATGAGCAGACATTTCCTGCCTTGATGGCTGCAGCCACCCTTTTCGCAGATATTCGAAGAGCCATTTTGAATCGAAGAGTATATACAATTGTCGTGACTCAAGACGTATGTTTGTTGGGTAAGAAGAGTCACTCTTGATAAAGTAATAAGCCCAGTCAGTCACCCACTCCCAGTCCCTCCACAATCTTAGCGTTATCGGAGCTGCAGCCGATTTTTCTTTCCCGTCACTCACTGTTTGAATTGGTGACGCTACGGCCCGAGCCAGTTCCTTATAATCATTTGAAACGAGATGTTGACAATGTCATCTTATGTTGATTCTTTGTGGGAAGGTAATATTTGGGTAATTGGATAAAATTCCATTGTCGTAGAATCGAATTCTGTGATCATTATTGCCCAACCTCGGACGTGACCCCTGCGCAATAGGAGAAAGGCGGAGAAAGGCGGTGACAAGCGGCAGAATCATTCTCCCCGCATAATTTTTCATCCCCACTTTCTCCTCGATTTTGTTCGAGTGAGTAAAGAGGACGAGGTACTCGAGTATTCATGAGCATAAAGAATATGATGGTCGTGAGGTTATGGGAATACAATTAAAGTAAACGATAGAATATTCAAAAGAATGAATTTTGAACTACAATAATTGATACCCTCTCAATGATACTCACTGCATCTTAACTTCTACTTTGCCAGGCAAAAAATCAGCAAAAAGTTGTTCGAATTTAGATAATGGTTGACCATTACCCGCAGATGTGCGGCTTCTGTGGATCGAACACAGTGCCTCCAGATAATCAATGATCTAAAGTTTACTTCAGTCTGGCGCTCTCCCAAGTGAGCTAAAGCCGCTTGGATTGGATGACAAAATTTTCTGTTTTTGTTTTATAAAGCTGTCTCTAATAAAAGTGGAGCAAAACTTGAATTGCGGGTTGTGGAGTGGGGCCGAATCGGCTCTAACTTCCAAGCTGATGTCCTTGGAACTTATTAGAAGGTTCAACTTACGACGCCTTTTCAACGACATCGGAATCCAAATGATCTCGGTAGAAAAGTTTGCTTAAGCTCTAGTATCATGGAGGTCTCCGATCATGATACTATCTCGCATACCCAATCGTCTGATACTTTCATTCCGAAAATGACTTGCGAGTCGCATCCGGCCAAGTCGTACAACCTATAAGCTGATAGGACGGGATGTGGAATCCGTTACCTTTCTTCTCAAGTTCGTGTCACATCCGGCAAACTTAATACCCACCATTTTGAAAATCGTTGAAACCATACAGAATCCTTCATGGAGAACTACGATCTTTCCTTCCGCGGTGTCGTGCTCGCCTCAGCAGCGGTGGCCCTCACCACTTACTTCATTGAACTTCGGTTTTTCGGCCAGCTCATGAAGGATCACCGAAAGAATCCAATCACCAACTTACACGAAGCCAGATGTGTTCTCAAGTGATCAACCTTGCCCGGCAGAGCCTTTCCAAATAACCGCCTAGTCAAGGCCTTCGGGATTGCCAACGCGTTCACAACCGAGCTTGAAGAAGTACATAAAGACTTCGTTGCAAAGGTCAATCTTAAACTCCGTATGAACGACGAGCAATGGATTGCTGTGACAAAACAAGCCTCAGAGTATCTTGAAAAGTTGATCCCACAGATACAGTGCTCTGATGGAAGTCTTCCTCTGGAAACTCTCATGCAAACCTACGTTTTCAAGTTGGTGATTAAGCATTTCTTTCCCAACATGGATGAAATGACAGTCAAAGACATCCAGTATATCACCTCGAACATCAACTCGCTCTGGATGGCCTCCAAGGACTGCTCATTAGAACCTCTCCCCCAAAAGAAGGCTCTCCTCGAGCAACTCTCCAACATATTCAGCATCTTCCCTCCTCTCGACCCCAACGGCGACAGTAGGAATCCTCTCAACATCATCCTACCGGCCTACGAAACCCTCTGGCGCGTCGTTCTTCGGTGTTTCTTGGAAGTGCACTTTCGTGCTACCTCAAACCAAGCGGAGATGCAAGATTCACTCAACTCCTTGATGAGCTGCCCGACTCAGGAAACTTTCGAAGATGTATCAGCTGAAGGGATCTCTGCAAAAGTAATCGTCCGCGAAGCCTTACGACTATATCCTCCAACCCGCCGCATTCATCGTCTCATATCACCCATCAATCCTGTACCTCACGGTCCTTGGTATCAACTCCTTAATTTACTTGATATGGCACCAACAAACGATCCAGAAGTCATTCATGCAATAGACGTCGAACACCTCCATCGCACACCCGAAATTTGGGGCGAGGATTCTCTCACTTTCAACCCGTCACGCACTCATGATGCCAAACAAGTTGGCTTCATGCCATTCGGTGCGCGCCCCTTTGTATGTCCCGCTGGCAATTCGTTTGCACCTATGATGATTGGGATTTGTGTTGGTGCGTTGATCAAGGCATTTCCCGATGATGCTGAGGGCGAGGGTTGGAAATTGATGGACGTGGAGGGAAAGCGGGTTGATCTCGCCAAAATTGATGGACCGTTGGATAATGGGAGGGAAGGGTTTTCTGGATTGGTGTTGACGAGGTGTTAGTGGGTTGGGGGGGAGGGAATGTAATTCAACATTACGACACGATGGACATCGCTTATTCTTCTCGGATCAAATTTCAACAATTTCCCTACCGTTTCAGTTTTCGGCTTTCGACTGACGCCAACTCTCATTCTCAGCCTACATTCGCTTATTCTAAGTATCGTCTACAACTTAAATACATGGTTTCCCATTTGGTATGGTATACCCTGGTACCAACCCATCCAACCTCTCTTGGGTACTAACCTAAGCTAATCTGTTTGGGTATGGTACTAACCCATGAAGATATACTTAGGTATAGGGTATACCCTTAATATATACTAAATATATAGTAAATACTAAGTCAGGTTATAATGTTGTAGTGTCGCTTCTAGAGAGTGAGTTAAGATATAGTAGAATTATCTGACCGCTTCTAAAAGTAAGTTAAGATTTAGCAGAATTGCCTTAACCCCCCTCGGACCGAGATAGGAGCGCTTTAAACCGAAAGGGAGCCGCGCCGGACCGAGTACCCTGGGTACCCTGGGTACCCCCGATGTTTTTTGGGTACCTTACCCAAGTATATCTTTATGGGTATAGTACCAACCCACGGAGGCCTTGGGTATGGTTTGGGTTACCAAATGGGAAACCCTACTTAAATATACTCTAATCCAAAACATATTTATCATCTCACACCACGCAGACGACACTGCCCATCCTCTCTGCTGTCCCCACTGAAACCCTCCAGCTTCTCCGGTCTAAGCACACCTCGAGCATGAAATATTATTGCTGCAACCTGGAAGCATTATCAATCTTATCCCTAAATTCGCGACTCAATCATCTACGATGCAACATAATTCCTAAATGTAGAAATTATTTTGCCAATCTTCTTCATCATGGGAGAGGGAGGTCGGAGAAGACGAGGTCGAGGGGCGGGGGGCGGGGGGGGGAGCTGGGGTGTTGCTTACGTATTATGGGGAAGAGTAACGAATATGATAAGAGTTTCAGGAGGAGCATCGGACCACTCCCCTGCGCTACGATATTGTAGTTCTATCTATGGAGCTGGCAATTACATTATTATGACGGGCAATGTCCAAATCAGCACCCACCACGTCGTGGTCGACAAATCTGCGTGGAAGGACTTTGGAATGAGATTTTTAGCTAAGTGACAGCTGGTTACTTACTAGCTAACTTAAGCCTTGGATACTGACTCCACGAATACGCTTGACACGTTTGCTTATAGTTTCATCGGGATAGACCTACTACTCGTTTGGTTTCATTATATTCGTCGCTTAGAATGGATGAGATGAATAATCGTTGATGGATACAGAAAATTGGAGGTGTCGGAAAATTGGAGGTGTTAGAAATTTGCGAAAGACACTATTCCGGGTCAACTCCGGATACTCCTCCAGTCAGGCTCCTAGAATACCTTCAATGAAGCCGCATCAGAATATCCAATGCATAAGACCCAAGTTATGCAACCAGAATCGACGATGCCAGACGGGGAGACTACCGTTACGAAGCTAAAGTCAAACAAGTATAAGCAGCGATGGGGGGAAAGGAACAACTCCGGATATCTTAATTAATTTATGTTTACGAGTTACTAGTCTAATTCCTGACTTTAAATCTAGAAGAAGTTGTTTAAATCTCTTTCTAATAACTTGTATTTTCATATAAGCACCTTGGCGATTTGAGTCTTGCTAGTCCCCTGTGAGGAGCTTCTTCTTAATTTCATTTTGTTTAGATATGTGATTTGGGATTGGGAAAGTGTGCCTGTTACTCTTATCTCTTCGGATTAGCTTTAAAGCTAAAATTTAGAGTTTCGTTTTTACCTTTAGATATAAGATTGATCCTAGATTTAGTATTTAATTTTCACAAGTTAATTTAAATTACCACGCTATCAAAATCGATCGTCAAAAACGACCTCTTCTTGTCTTAGGTTTGAAAATACCTCTTGTTCTTATTATGTTATTCTTAAATACTTCTTCTACATTGTCGTCTCTCGTATTATACTCTTCGTGAAGCTTTTACTGATATCTCGCTTAAACCCAATGCAACCTTACCTGCAGGTGCACACCCCACAATCACGTCCCCCCTGAATCTCGCTAAGATTCGGTCTACCTGCCCACTTACGACCGACGCCCTTCCTTCTAGTTAGTAATCCGCACAACCTCACATGCATGTCATCAAATATGGCGACCCACCGTCATTTTTTCGGCCCATGGTCGTGTGAGATAAATGCAGCCTTGTTCCCCCATTTCTTATCCGTCAAACGTGGTGACTGGAGTGACTAGAATACACGATCGATAATGCGCTTCGGGTAACCCACACTACAAGTGCTGACAGTTTTGCCGATTGTTAGATTCATATCAGGTTACCAATGTCTTGGAATTTTGCATCTTCTTTTCATAATCTTTCAAACTTCAGACAGCATCAGTCAAAATGTGGTTAACAATCCTCACCCTCCTTCTCATCTACACCCTCGCTCTCGTAATCTACCGTCTTTACTTTCATCCCCTTTCCTCATTCCCAGGTCCGAAACTCGCCGCCGCCACAAAATGGTACGAAGCATACTATGATCTCTTCGTATCCGGAGGTGGCCAATTCGTCTTCGAAGTCGAGCGTATGCATGAAATCTATGGTACTCCGCCCATACATAAACCTTTAATTCCCAAGACTCACACAACCACAGGTCCGATCGTGCGAATCAATCCCCACGAACTTCATATTAAAGACGCCGATTGGTATGAGGTATTGTACACGAAATATCCTACGCAAAGAGATAAATACCGACCCGCAGCCGAAATGGCTGGCGCGCCATTATCTGGTAATTATCCTCTCCCCCCCCTCATCTAGGGAAATCTAATCGAAATACAGCATTCGGAACATCCGCCCACGCTCTCCATCGCAAGCGCAAATCAGCAGCCTCCCCTTTCTACTCCACGCGTGCTATTTCCGGCTATGAGCCCGCCATACGGGACTTTGCTACGCGTCTCTCATCTGCTTTTCAAGGCGTCTACGAGACAAAAGGTGTCGTCGACACGAAAACCACGTTTCTCGCTTATGCATCAGACTTGCTTTGTGAGATAGCTTTTGGTGGTGCGTTGGGTTTGATGGATGATGAAATTAAGGCGAGGGAGTGGGCGGAGACTATGGAATCACTTGCGCTAGCTACGCCATTGGTGAAGCAGTTTACTTTTCTAGCGGGGGTCGGCAAGTTGGCGCCGAGATGGATGTTGAAGTATCTCGGGCCTGGGGGAAGGGTTTTAGGACTACAGTTTGTAAGTATTTTGCTCTCAATCAAAGTCAGTAATTGACATGAAGAAGGAAATGCATGATCGTGCTGCCGACTTCCTTAAATCCAAAAACTCGAATCCTGGAGACGGAGATAGTAAACAGCGGTTTTTGGAAGTGATTCACACCTCTTCTCTGCCGCCTGAGGAAAAAGGCGTGGAGCACCTCGCCCAACATGCATTTGGTCTTTTGGGTGCCGGTGGGGAAACACTCGCGAGAGTCTTGAGCTCGACGGTATTCTTCATCCTAGACACACCCGAAGTCCATGCGCTTCTAATGCAAGAACTTCGAACCACAATACCCTCTCCAACAGACCCAATTCCAGATCTAAAAGTCTTACGAACTTTACCATATCTCGTGCGTCCCCCTTTCTGTTCCCCCGCAATTGAGCTAAACACTCGTAGACCGCAATAATCAAAGAAAGCCTTCGAATCACCTCCGTGGTATCGAGTCGACAACCTCTCGTCTCGCCAACTCCGCTATCGTATCCGCCCTGGGTTATCCCCGCCAATGTACGTTGTCCGTTCCCTTACTTACTTCAATAAATTAAAAATACAGACCCCAACATCCCTCTCAACCCGCGATATCCTTAACGACCCAGCCATCTTTTCCAACCCTTCTACATTCAACCCGTCAAGATGGCTCGACCCCAATTCCGCTTCTTTGGAAAAGTATTTCGTGCCGTTTAGTAAGGGGTCGCGTTCTTGTCCTGGTTTTGAGTACGCCTCCCCCATTCCTCTCATCCTTTCCCCATCTCTCTTTCCCTCCTAGATCCCCTCCTTCTTCTCCTCCCACGTTTGTAACCCCAACTAAACCCCATTCCCTTAGAATCGCATACGCAGAATTATACATCACACTAAGCACACTTTTCCGTCGCTTCGAGCTCGAGCTATACGATACGATCCGAGAACGCGATGTAGATTTCAAGCGAGACTTTTTCCTAGCGGGACAGAGTGTTGAGGGGAGGGGGGTGAGAGTTAGGGTTTTGGGAATGTGTGAGTAAGAGGTAAAATGGCCGGGAATACACTTCAAAGTAAATGACTGGCAATCAATTTAATTGAGCATATCGAACAGTTCTAGAAGATCTGCCTCTTGAATTTTAGATTTAGAATATCGTCGTATCGACACACTAAAGCAAAGGTAGTTAGATTTGGATACCATCCCTTTACCGCAATAATGTGCTAAAATTACGAGGCGTTTCGCTTTTGGCTCAAACTTGATGTCTAGTACTGAACGTCCATCGTTCACATTTGGCCTTTCAAGTCTCAGATATTTTGAATATTTGGCATTGTTATTTTCACATAGTCCACATTGGGAACGCTTATGGATACCCCATTTTTAGTGCAAGTGTAGTTGCGTACTGATTTTCTTTGTCATATGTGTTTTTACTGACCGCCTCAAAAGATGCATCAACATTCTGTCTCAAAAATCAAGTCAAACTCCGGAGGTCTTTCTTTGAGATGCCCGGCGGCCAAATCCGAACAGGCTCCGTGCATCTGCATTACGCCGTGGTGGACAAAGAACTCCTGTGCACTGGCATAACCTGTCACGATGCAGGTTGTCATCTCAGAGGAACACTTCAAGCTAGATGTAGAATGCTGAAAGCTATTTCGGGAAGCAACTTGAAATCTCAAAGAAAAAAATAAACTTGCTCTAAAATCCTGAAAGAAAGTTCGTAAGGGCGCTGAGACGTCTCTCCAAGCAGCTTGCTTAAATAACACATGTTGTTGGAAGAAGTCAAAATACAAACCAGGGACATGCCATACTTATTAAGAGCCCATCCACGTCTGCTGGTTCTTCTTGAAAAACACAACACCTTCACAAGTCAGTCATCAGGGACTCTAGTTGCAGAAAAGCTCACTCTGTCAATCGAAATCGATCGAGAACTTAAATCCAAAACTTTCAGCCGGATCTGACGCCTTTGAATCAAATACCAAATCCAGTTTCTTCAACAGAACACTACGACCCGACCTAAAAATGGCTGCAGCTCCGATTCCATCCCATGCGTGCTGGTTCTGTTCGTTCAACAACACATCGAGGTGCGAAGAATGCGAATCTTGTGGTGGGCCGACGATTCCGACTCTCGACCATGAGTCAAGGTCAATTCAATTTCATACCTTCTTTTACGGTTCACACGCGGACCCAACAAGAAACTCAGCTCCCCTCCAACGACCTGCCGCGGCGAACACTTTGACTTTGGTGCCGCAAAGAGGATTTGCTATTTGTGTCGGCGACGGAGTCAACCGTGCTCTATTCATTCGATATCATGCAGGCACAGCAAAGGGAATAAACGGAAAAGATGTGATGAGAATGGGATATAGGGTCGGAACGGGAGGAACAGTCGTGTGTAAATCCAATTTGGCTGACGATGATATCCACAAGTGGATCAACAATTATGATAAGATAATGTTCGATCACTGCGTCGCTATTGTTCGATAACATCCGCAAGTGGATCACCAATCATGATAAGATGAGGTCGGACCTCTGCGCCTATCTTAATCTAAGCCAGAGTCAGTAGGCAGTTACATGAAGCAGTGGAGGAAATGTTTTTGCTTTTTTGGTCGGCATCTATGTGCTAGGAGTTTTTATCATTTGGATTTTGTACTGTCGAAACAGCTTCTGGTAGAGCGATCACGATCAAAATAGTCTGAAAGAGAGAATGCTGACGTGGTTGTAATCAAAAATAAACTAATATTTCATTATTACCAAACGAACGTACTTATTCCTAGACTTGTCTTACAAAATTGACCTTCGCAAACCCAAATCCCACAACACAGCAATCAACGCACCCAAAAAACAAATGAAAGCTAAAGAATAGGCCAAGCGTTTTCAAACAAGTCTCCATGCGCTAAGATTAAAGGTATAGACGGTGAGACTTAGGATCTTTTGACGTCACCCGGTCCAAGGCGTCTGTATTTAGTACGTGCTCTCTTTTTTCCGTGAGACCACCCATCTGGCACAGCCGAAAAGTCCCTGCGTAAGGTTCACTCTCGGAGAATTCTGAGCGAAACCACTTATTCCGATACCCTGGGTGCTGTTTGGTGCAATGGTCCCAAGCATCTGTCACCGGTAGGATCTTGCGATGAGCTTGTTCTCTGAAGGTATCAAGATCCCCAGATGGCTGGTGTAAAACTTCGAACACGCTCTCAGTAAGCTCATGACTTCCATCTCGGTTTTGTTTCAAACACAACCAACCTGTAAATTGTTTAGCAGTTAACACAAATGCGGCTGTATCCGCTGCTTCTCAATGCACTTACGCTCTGCCCACCACGGATAGTATCCAGCATATTCCCAGTCAATAATTGCGGTTATGGTCAGGTCATCTTCCTTTACCATGATATTGCCAAAGGTCAAATCCCCGTGCGTGAGGACGTATGGTTCTGACTTTGGAAAATTCGATTTGAGTTCTTGAAACCTTGCGTCGATTTTTTCTGGATCCTTGGTTTTTAACTGCAAAGCTATGCCAAGTTTCACTTCTGTTGAGAAATTTTCAAACCATTCATCGTTGTTGAAACCGATCTTTAGACACTTTGGTTTGACAACCGAACAATTTGCAACGAGAAGGTCATCAAGCGGGCCACCGTCAACAGTCTGAGCCCCAGAGGCTGTGAATTGTCTCAACTCTCTGAGGAAAGCCACAAGTTGGTCCCGAACATGGTCCTTCTGGTCTTGCGATAGACCAAACCATAGGTCGCCAAGCGGCTTCCCCTCCGCGCGGCTCATAACCACAAACTGGGTTTTATCGGTAGGTTCGCTGAGGAGTTCCATTTTCTTGACAAGAGGAATGTTTTTCAAGTTCGGTTGGGCACGAAGGAACTTCTGCGTGATGTAGTCGTTCCCCGGTGAGTAGCCATCGTTTGGAGCGTCCTTCAAAATCAACTTTGGTCCCAGGTTCCATAGGGCAGTGTTGTCTCGGTTGTGGAAAACCTTAACCCTTGACACGTATGTCGAAAAATACTGCTGATAGTTTGTCCAGCCGCAGATCCAACATAACTCATGAGGCTTGGAACCTGGAGCCCCAATCTCATGGTCTTTGATATGGGCCCATTTGTCTGTTTGTGAGGTTGGAAACGCGCCGTCCCTGGCCCAAAATAAAGGTTTTTTATAACTTTTTTCGGGATGCTGGAAATCCTCAGCTGGACACTCCATTGTCGGATGATAACAAAGACTGGCAAGTACGATCCAAGATTGTAAATCGAAAACGAGTTTCTAACTTTTTGTTGGAAGTTGTAAGAATGGGACTGAAGATCCATGAGAGATTGTGCAAACTTTATACTCGATCTCTATTTCTTTCATTACTCACTATTCGCTTGATTCGCCTCCGAAGATATCGCCGTAATTTTTAACAAAGAAAATCGTTACTGAACATGACCCAATCCGTCGATTCACACCACACAACCCACCATTGAGGGCTTTATTTACCGAGTCACAACAAAAAAACCACAAGCCTTGACTTGACGTTTCTTTCAAACCTCCCCCGCAAAAGTGGGCGTTGGGAGACGAAAACAGCAAAGAAGCACAGTTGCACCACTCATTAAGGATCCAGCCCTCCGAAAGCATAAGGTAATTAAGCCAATCACGTTGAATGGAAACGTCCAAAGTTAAGGGGTAGACTCGCCCACTCTTTGTCGCCAGTATTTCTTTGAAAATTTTGGTTCGCGAATACGCAAGCGGTTGATTTCCCGAACTGCACGAGGAAAGACGACAAAAGATTCAGCCTTCATATCCTGATTAAGCCATTTCCGGTACGAATTATCTTTCAAGATTACTTGGCCGACTTGTCAGTCTTTGCGACTCGTAGAATACTGAACTCGGATATTCTACTAATAACCTTTATCTTTGTCAATGGGTTTCCAAGGTACCCTTCCTCTCGCCGGCTTCCCCGCTAAAAAGTACGAAATTGAAAATATTGAATACTCCTCATCTCTAAGTATTGAAACCTAAACTCCTTCTGACCTATATTAATTGTTACAAAACCTTCTTTTAAGTATATAGAACAAGTTAAGTCAGGTTAGGTACTTGAATATGACTCAATATAATCCAAAACATATCTTTATTTTGTACTCGACCAGTAGCTTATCATTGCCTCGTCTAATAACAGCGCACGACGCCGGTATCCTATTGTCATTGTCATGTGACATAAAATCGACAAGGTCCATTTCAAGTAGTAGCTCAACACTAAGCACATTCCATGAACTGAGCGTGCGACATGGATTTACGGTCGATAGAGACTCCATGACTGGTAATGACTTAGGCTATGTCAAGCATCAGATTAGCGACTGTCTTGTTCCTGTAGTCCGCTGCTCCCGACAGCAGCGTTACACGACCCCGTGGCTCTTTCGAATTAACGAGGACATTGTAACACCAGATGCTGATAACAGCTTCATGCTCCCTGTGGTAGCTTTGAAAGGCGGTGTTTAACCCACGTCGTTATTGGCCCATCGACGATCGATTGAGCCCAACTTCATAGTCTCATCACAAGCGACTAGGAACTGGACAATGGCTAGATGTTCGCTCGAGGTGGCAATAAAATAACCGAGCGTGCCGCGTGCGTATTATCTGTTTCCCAGTCTGTAAACCCAGTCAGTTTTGTGAGTAGTAGGTCCTCAATAGATGTGTGTGCTTTCTTAGTAGCAGATGACACCGCCGTCCGATCATTTGATCTTTCGTGTCAGCATCGACCTCGCCGATCTGATCTCAAATGACAAGCTTAGGGCGATTTCAATTTCAAAACGACTTTGCTAGGCATAGCTTTATTACTTGCTTTAAGAAGTTTTTGTAGAGATGAATGATAAATCTGTTCTGGAATCCTTTCGATGTCCGTTCAACCTTGGCTCGACGAATCAAAAGTAGCTGTGGACGTATGCCAATATAAAGCCATTCTGGCAAATATCACTGTGCTATCCTCGAGAGATACAGTAATGAGCTTATGGCCACCTGCCATTTGACTGCGAGTTGAAGCTCTGTGAGCGTGATGGCGCTATTCCCATGCGGCGAAATCAGATACAGAGATGATTGTAATGCTGCTCGAATTAGCCAGCCATATCATAAGAGCAACACCCGGAGACACCAAACGAGAGGTTGATGATCCAGATTGTCATAGCAAGGCTCCGAGTTTGGTGACCTCATAGCTCTGAGCTCACTCGAGGAACTTCATATTGTGCAATCAATTAGGCGAATGCCATCACTCTCATCATCAATAGTGACGGATCGTAATGTATATGGGAGTTCTGGGCTTCTAGCATAGTCAGTGGTGTTTTACAACCGTTTTTCATGACAGGACCTGGTTAGCAAGATCCGCTTCACCAGCTAGTCGCGCTTTAACGTGGAGCAATGCATCTTTGTAGGGATTGCTCTGGATGTTAGATCTCAATGATTCGGGTTCAGTGCAGCTTTGACTTCCTCCTGCAAATCAGTATGACTTTCGATTCTCGAAACGAATGGTAGGTTTGGTACGTAGCTGTCCACGAGCCTTCACACCATGCCTGCTTGTTCGTATCTCAAAGAATATACTTCTTTCGAATGTGGTGGTGATTCTAGTAAGTTTCTACTCGGAGTTATGAGGAGACCTGGTGGTAGGGAGACCACGATAACACGTGACCATGATGCAGATTCGGCTGGAATATCTTTGTTCCTTTTAGATATTCAAATTTATCGGCGCAACGAATCACAACAGCTGTTCCTCCGCATGCTCAATCGCAACCCGGGTACTGGTAATGTTTCTGTCAAACATCGCATTGTCTTACAAACTCCCCGAATGGAATACGCACAGCAAAGAAACAGCTTGTGACGCTTTACTAGGTAGAACTATTGCCTCTACGTAATTCTAACTATAGCCAATCGTTGACCCCGCCGAGCTTGACCGGGCTCCTCCACTTCATTTGCGCTTACAACAGTCCACAGTCCACTGTGATCCACCCAAAATGCCTGCCGTCAACTCTGCACTATCTTCACGATAGCTTCAATCAGGAACCTACACTCTCCCTCCTCTTTCGAGACTCAAGGTCGGAATAAACCCCCCAAGACGGAGACTCGACCTTCAAACAGGCTGGCAGGAGGAGGGAATACGACCTTTGGCTCGCCGCAACCCCAATCGAGCATCGCAGAATCCTACGAACTTGTCGACTACGCCAAAGCCAGGATCCAGCAGGCGGAATCCGCGCGGGATCGAAGGAGGGAGTCAAGACGACCAGAAAAATACCTGAGGCTTGCGGAGGCAGACGAAATGAAGTTCTCCCATAGTATACAGTTCAACGCTGTTCCGGATTGGAGCAGCCACTACATTGCGTACAGCAATTTGAAAAAGCTGTAGGTGCACCATAATGCGATGGCACTCAATCATGGATCGCGCTGATTGCTTTCAGAATATACGCGCTCGAAAAGACAATTCATCGGCCGCCAGTCGGCGAGGAGGATGCGGAACAGTCACCACTCATACATTCCGAGGACCCGGATCAGATATTCCAGAGGGCGTTGGATGTGGAATTAGAGAAAATTTCGTCGTTCTACCAGCTCAAGGAACTTGAAATCTACGGAGAGGTTTCCGAGTTCTTGAAAGACGAGGAATCATACGAATCTGAGAATGCGGATCAACTGGACGGCGCGGACGGAGGAATACCAAATGCTGGCGGTCGGGCAAGTGACCGGCCACGGCAAGGCAGTGTGTTCCGCAGTTTTCATTCTGGCAGGAGAGCAAGTACCGTCAGCAAATCAATTGATGAGGGCGTAGAGGATAGCGATGACGACGACGACGAGAATACCGCTTTAACGAAGTCGAGGGTTTCGCTGGGCAAACGCACCAAGAGCATGCCATATGACGTTCATGGCGGTCGCTCTGAGGATATGCGCGCTTCGACAGAGTTCAATAAATCCGCTCGACGTAATAGCAACAGCTATGACGACTATGCAGAACAGGCTTTCTCGGCCATGTACTCTTCTGGCATCACCTTGAAGAAGAGAGCTATCAGCTTGTTTGTCCAGCTGTGTGAACTGAAGTCTTTCATTCAATTGAACAAGACTGGTTTCACCAAGGTCTTGAAAAAGTATGATAAAATCTGCGACCGCAATCTCAAGGCAAAATACAGCGAAAAATTTGTAGCTCCCGCGTATCCTTTCAAGCCGGAAACGATCAAGCACGTAGAAGATAACATTGCCCGACTGGAACAAGCATATGCGGATGTAGTTACGCAGGGAGATGTTGTCGTTGCCAAAAAGGAGTTGAGACTGCACCTTCGAGAACACGTGGTATGGGAAAGAAACACAGTTTGGAGAGAGATGATTGGAATCGAGCGCAAGGCCCAAGCAGCAAATATGGGATTGCGAAGAACCTTGCTCGGTCGTGATAATGATCCTGCCAAAGCTCGACTGCAAGGTGATGATGCCGAGGATTTGGAAATCAAAGAACTGGAAACGCCGGTTGGAAGGATTAGAATCCCGGCTTGGTTGTATAGCTCGACCATGCTGACTCTGGTTGCTATCATCGCGGTATTCTTTATTCTGCTTTATCTTCCCATCATGAAAAAGGTCGAACAGCAAAATTGTCTGGCTATGCTGATTTTTGTCAGTCTACTATGGGCTACGGAGGTAGGCAACACGATCTGAAAGGTTTTCGTTATGCTAATAGCGACAGGTCATACCGCTCTTCGTCACTTCTCTACTTATACCCTTTTTGTGTGTCGTCTTGAGGGTCGTACGATCTGATGATAAGCCACATCATCGTTTAGAAGCTGGCCCCGCGACGAAGTATATATTCGCTGCTATGTGGACACCGGTCATTATGCTGCTTCTGGGTGGTTTTACAGTAGCAGCAGCACTTTCCAAATATGATATCGCTAAGCGAATCGCGACATTCGTCCTGAGCAAAGCTGGTACTCGACCTCGAACAGTTCTAGTCACCAATATGTTTGTAGCAGCGTTTGCCAGCATGTGGATTAGTAATGTCGCAGCACCAGTCTTATGCTTTTCAATCATACAGGTATGGATTTCCACGGGTTTCGCATTACATGACTGACCATCACAGCCAATGCTGCGTAACCTCCCGTCAGATTCGGACATGTCCAAAGCTCTCATTCTTGGTATTGCGCTTGCTTCCAACATTGGTGGAATGCTCTCTCCCATCGCATCACCACAAAACATTGTCGCCCTACAAATAATGTCACCACCTCCTTCCTGGGGCACTTGGTTCTTTGTAGTCATCCCTGTCGGAATCATTTCAATCCTCTTAATCTGGGTAATTCTTCTCGTCTCCTTCAAACCAGGAAAAGGAACGACCATCGTCCCAATCCGACCCGTGAAGGACAAGATCACCGGTATCCAATGGTTCATCTCTCTAGTTACCCTCGGCACAATCATCCTCTGGTGCGTAAGCCATCAACTCGAATGGCTGTTTGGAGACATGGGGGTCATAGCCATTATCCCTCTCGTCCTCTTCTTCGGTACCGGTATCCTCACCAAAGAAGACTTCAACAATTTCCTCTGGACCATCATCATCCTTGCCGCGGGTGGTCTATCTCTCGGTAAAGCAGTCAACTCCTCCGGTCTCCTCCATACCATCGCAAATGCCATCACCGCCCGCGTCGAGGGGTTCTCGCTCTACGGTGTTCTCGTAGTATTCGCATCTCTCATCCTAGTCGTCGCAACTTTCATCAGTCACACCGTCGCCGCCCTCATCATCCTCCCGCTGGTCCACAGTGTCGGTATGGGAATGGACGAACCACATCCTAATCTCTTGGTCATGGGAAGTGCGCTGATGTGCAGTGCTGCTATGGGTTTGCCTACCTCAGGATTCCCTAATATGAGTAAGTCTCCCCTTCCACCGGTCTTTTTCGTGCGCTACGTTATTCCGCAACCGAAAAGTTGTTATTTATGAAGAAACCACTAATGCGTGACATACAGCCGCCATCATGATGGAAGATTCTCAGACCGGACAGAGATATCTCCAGGTCAAACATTTCATCAGTCGCGGCATTCCGAGTAGTGTCGTTACCCTGGTCGTGGTCGTGACGGTCGGATATGGATTGATGCTTATAGTGGGCATGTAAGAGATCTGCGTTGGGTGAGCAGCACGTATAGCGACGAGTCGGGGGTTTGTTTGGATAGATTGATTTAGACCGATGAAATTTAAGTATTATATTGCACTTTCTGGTTGTGTGTAATATGTGATGTCTATGGGGTTTTGTGGGTGGTACTTTTTTGAGGTTGGTGTTTTCTGTACAGCTGATCTTTTTGATGCGTGGGGACCAGGCATGACGGATGTGAATATTGAGATTGTTTACGTGAGCAGACGATGGAGATGGAGATGGAGATGGTCTTAGAGGTCTACATCCTCGTCTTCTGCTTTGGGTTTTGTGTAACCTTAGCCTTTGGATGCAGAGGTGACTCGAGAGTGAGTGGTCGAGTGCTGACTCAGATATAGATGAATGGCTGGAGAGATGGTTGGTGTGTGTGTTTAGGCTCAGCTGGTGTTGGTTTCGGAATAGCGTTGTGAGCTGCAAGGTAGTAATGTGGTATCCCTCTTTCAAGCTACGAAGTATAAACATAAAGGTTTCTTGTTTAGACGGAATATAGATAAGTTTACCTAGAATATCGTGTTTCAACTACTGTTTATCTTGTGATCTCGTACATAGAAATGTGTTTCGACTACCTAGTTTGCTTACAATAGATGTCACTTTAAAGCGAAGACTTAACAGGGAGGGGGAAAAGTGCATGGATTGTCAATCGTTGTAAGTCGTTTGGTGGCAACTGTAGATTTGTGAAGGAACCTCATTGACTTGGAGGGTTTCGACTTTAACAGTCAGTAGTGTGTAAGATTGTCTAGGGCGTGAGGGAATATGTTGTTCTTGTTTCGACGAATCGACAAAGATGTTAGGTCGGCTTTTCATCTACTCCATACACTTTCTTCAAAGTCACTATCAATTTCCACACGCAATCGGAAAGAACGGTCAAATCACAGATATAGATTTCCGAACCCCATCCTCACTTCCCAACCCCCTCCTTCCCACCCCCCACCTCCTCAGCCCTAACAACCTTAACCTCCGGCCCCTCAATCCTCTTAATCTTCCTCCCTTCCCACCACATCATCACCCCCGCCGCAAGACTAACACCACACCCCAACGCAATAAACAACCCCGTACTCCATGTCGGCCGATCAATCCTATTATAAACCCACATGAACGTCGCGAGCGCAACCTGAAACAGCGTGTTAAGCACCATCATCCAGACCACAAAATCCAGCTTCCACAACCGCGTAGGCGGCGCCACCTCCCCCGTAAACGTAACCCGTTTATCCATACCCAGTTCCAAGTACCGGTCTTCAGGCTCCTCATACCACATTGGCGGACGGAACCACGCTTTATTCTGCTCGCAGAGACGGGCCATGGCATATCTATTTTTCTTGACGCGGATCTTCATCATCCAGTAGAGATCGCGGAAGCGCCAGGGCGCGAGGCCGAAGCCGGTGACGCAGAACAGGGCGTTGAGGATCTGGGAGTCGATCTCGAGCCATTTCTTGCGCGGGGAGTCGTTGCTGTCGGCGGAGGGGTGGTTCATGGCGGGCGCGGCTTTGAGGAGGAGGAAGAAGAGCATGGCGCCCCAGGCGACGATGTTGAGGCCGTAGATGGTCATGAGGAAGCCAGTTGGGGTGATGAAGAATTTCCAAAATGCTTTGAGGCCGTTTACGGTGGCTTTTCCCCAACCGTGTTTCTCGGAGGTCGCGGATTGTTCGAGGAGAGTTGGTCGTCTGGCGATGACTCCTGGTCGTGGTTCAGGAGATTTGGCACTGGTGGTTTGCTGGAGGGCGACCGGGAGTACAGGAGTGCCGGCCTCGTCGATGATTACGGTTCGTGCACTATGACCATATTCATCGAATTCGATGTTTTCTCCTCCTGCAATCGGTTCTCTTAATTCAGTAACATTTGGTGCATGGGCTATGACCGTCCCGGTCGCTGCCCACATTCCAGGCGGGGGATTGAAATTGATGAGGGTATTGGCGACAGAGACCGAGGCTCCTCGAATCCTACCCGTAACACCATTTCCGCCCGAAGTTGAAGCTCTTCGCATTCGAGCGCTATTCGAATCCCCTCGAGGTCGGCCTGTGGCAGGCAAGCCTTCTGAGGGTGGTGATTCTCCAATCTGTCCGGACTCGGGTTCCCCTCGTCTACTCTTGAGAGTTGCAGGTCCCTCATCTTCAGCCATGTCGATAGGAGACTGTGCATTGGACGTTTCTTTGGGAACCTCTCAATAGATTCTCAATATTCCCTTGCTCAACGTCTCTCACATCCAAATTTCGACGTTGTGAAGAGTATCCAGGGACCAGAAAGCATTATCTCTCGCGCCAGAGCCATCGAAACTTTATTTCGACGGCGTCGAAGATCTCGCGCCATTGCTAGACTAGCGGAGGGCCAACAGCGATAATGAATGTGAAGAGGCATCTTCAGTGACAACTAATTGTCTGCATCGTGGGCAAAACAGTGTTTACATTCCTCCATGCATCACGGCCTTCGGTTGCGAATTCGTCACCGAATGACCGCAACTTGAATGTCATTTTGAGGATGTGTGTTGAGTCGGTGCTCGGATGAAATGGAATGCCAAACCCGACGCGAAAAGCTAACCTTTCGTCACCCATATCGGCGCGGTCGGAGATGTGTAAGGCGAGTATTTATTTGGTTCGGAACTTAGTAATCCTCGCATAGGGCATCGGTAGCTCCTCGTCCTCGGCTGCCATGTAGCATCTGATGTATGCATGTGGCCCTGCAAAGTCCGATTGCCCAAAGAGGCGGACATCGTTCTCTGCACCAACGGGACGAGCGCAGCAACTTCCACAAAACCATGGACCCTTTCAAATTAGAGGTCGGCGTTTATGTGCCTGGGCCTATAATCTTCAACTGGGCTTTTTCCAGACTGGATGAATAAGCCTGACCGCATTACCGCGAACCGCGGCCGACCCATCAAATTAAGCTCCAAGACCATCATGATCCTTGTTGACATCAGAAAGTTTATCAGGTTCGGATAGCCTGGAATTTCTCCACAATGAACAAGACTTGATACCTTTAATATTTTGGAAGTTTTCAAGATCATTTTGAACAGTTTCTGAACTCGAAATGACGAATGTTGAGACCGGTAATCTCGGACGAGTCAATACCGCAGGCGCAGAATTTGGCGATTTTCACGCCCAAGCAGAAGTGACCCATGATGGCAGAGCCAAGATAAACCTTCACAACTTCAAGCTCGAAGCTAATAAGCTCATCTCACAACGACTTGTGGACAGTCCAGTGTGGAAAATTCCAATTGGTGAACATCTCACCAAAAACAACAAGCACCCAACCAAGGAATTCAAGAACATATTATCGAAATGTACTCATACGCCAAGGATAAATATCGCCATCTTCATCGTCGGGTCGAGGGGTGATGTCCAGCCGTTCATTCCTATTGCACAGATTCTCTCAAAGGCACCGTATAATCATCGAGTCCGGATATGTACGCATCCGGTATTCAAAGGGTTGGTGGAGGAGAACGGCCTCGAGTTCTTTTCTATCGGAGGAGATCCTGCTACTTTGATGGCTTATATGGTTAAGAATCCGGGGCTGATGCCTGGTCTAGAGAGTCTGAAAGCGGGTGACGTTGGGAAGCGAAGAGCGGATATCTCAGAAATTCTCGAAGGGTGCTGGAGAGCCTGCATTGAACCAGGAGATGGAATGACACCTGCGACCAGAGAAAGCATAGAAGATCCAAAACAGCAATTCATTGCTGAAGCGATCATTGCGAACCCTCCAAGTTATGCACACATCCATTGCGCCGAAAAGTTGGGAATTCCATTGCATATGATTTTCACGTGGGTTGACGTCGTTGGCAATTGAAGACGAAGACTGATATTTGTAGCATGCCCTGGTCGCCCACTCAATCATTTCCACACCCCTTAACTTCTTTCGACAGACATGATAGTGATCCGAATCTGGCGAACTATATCTCATACACAATGATGGAGCTTCTAGCTTGGCAGGGGTAAGTCTCTGAAGATGCTAGATTGCGTTGTGCTGAGGTGTAATATTAGACTTGGAGACGTTATCAACAAGTTCCGTATAAGAACCCTTCGCCTTGACCCGATAAGTCCTTTGTGGGGCCATATGCTGCTCTCGAGAATGAAAATACCTTTTACATATGCCTGGTAGGTCGATGTTTTGTCACTCGTTGTCACTGCTCTAACACTTTCAGGTCTTCGGCACTAATTCCCAAACCTGCGGATTGGGGACCTCATATTAACGTCACCGGCTTCTCCTTTTTACAGCAAGCTTCATCATACCAGCCTGCAGATGATTTAGCGGAATTCTTGAAGGCTGGGCCTCCTCCAGTCTACATCGGATTTGGCTCGATAGTCGTAGACCATCCAGAGCAATTGACGGCACTAATTTATGGAGCCGTGAAGAAAGCGGGTGTTCGAGCTCTGGTGTCGCAGGGTTGGGGAGGGTTGGGTGGTGACAAACCACCAGAGGGGATATTCTTGCTTGGAAACGTACCACACGACTGGTTGTTCCAACATGTTTCCGCAGTCGTACATCACGGAGGAGCTGGTACAACTGCTATTGGTATCGCTCTCGGTAAACCAACAGTAGTTGTCCCTTTCTTTGGAGATCAGCCATTTTGGGGCGCGATGATTGCAAAAGCGGGTGCAGGACCAGAACCGGTACCATTCAAGAAAATGACCGAAGACTCTCTGGCTCAGAGCATCACCACTGCTCTAAGCCCTGATATCCAGGCAGGTGTGAAAATTATGAGCGAGAAGATAGCTAAAGAAGACGGTGCAGCTGAAGCTGCGAAGACGTTTAGTGACTCCATAGACATGGACTCGATGAGATGTCTTGTCAGCCCAGACAGAGTCGCTGCCTGGCGGATCAAGAATACAGATATCAGATTAAGCTTGGCGGCCTCATCCGTTCTGATTGACGAAGGGTATCTGAATATTGGTCAACTAAAACTGTAAGCGCAATGGTCGAGTGAAAAATCCTAGACTAATATGCCGCAGGGTCCGTCACAGAGATTGGTATATTGACGAAGGGGCCACAGACCCAATCACTGGCTTAATAGCGTTCGGCTCAGGCGTAGCGACAAAATCACTCTCCCTCATATTCGACTACGAAAATTCGCTCTCGAGAACCATCAAGAAGAAGCGTGCGACGCCCGCGGACGCGGCGAAACAAGCCTCTTTATCATCAACTGATGCTCCTCCAGAACGGAGATACTCCGCTTCATGGGACGTTCCTGTAACCCAGAACCCGGTCACAAAGGCGCTTACGTACCCGCCTGAACGATTGGAATTGTTCGCCGCGAAGCTGGCAAGTAAGACATATGACCATAAGGCGACCCCAAAGCGGACGAAAAGTGGCTTGCATCTCGTAAACTTGGGAAAACCAAGTGGCAAGGAGCATGGCGTTGCGTATGAAGCTGCACATGAGACGGGTGACTTTGGTAAAGGGGTTCTAGTGACTGGACTTAGGAGTGAGTTTTCTCGTCAACGGAGAGTCTATATTTTCCATGGATGCTGATGAATACAACTAGCTCCCGTGTTGTTCTTCTACAATTTAGCGAACGGTTTCCATAATGCTCCCAGCTTTTGGCTAGGAGACGAGACTGTGAGAAGGCGAGATAAAATCACCGGATTTGGTAGTGGTGTTCGGACAGCCGGAAAGGTACTGCCTCTTCTCCACGAAATCCATTTCGTTGGCTAACGCAAAATAATTAGGAATTCACATTCGGCCTCTACGATGGCTTCACTGGGGTAGTGACCCACCCTTACACCGGCGCTCGCAAAGATGGTGTGGCAGGTTTTGCAACTGGCGTTGGGAAAGGCCTTGGTGGTCTTGTCTTAAAGACATGCGCTGCTGGCCTTTCGTTGCCTGCGTATACATTGAAGGGGGCTGAAAAGCAGTTCGAAAAACGGCGCAATAGACCCTTGGTAGCCAAGCTGTTAGCTATACGCATCAGACAAAGCTTAGCGTCTTTTGAGAGCGTAACTCAGCAAGAGAAGGATGAGATCATAAAGAGGTGGAAAGAGCAAGGGTTCGATAAAGGGAGCTTTTGAGAGGCCGAAGTGAGATGTTTTTGAGATTTCGTGATGCGCTTGTTATTTGAGCTCGATCGGTGTTCGAATATACCATGTGGAAATAGTCTTTGTATGCGAAGGATGAGAAGGAAAGCCTGGATTGGATTAGATAGTAATGTAGAGAGAATGCGTCGATAAATACCTTTTCCTTGCAGTGTTATGGAACATCTCTTCTTCTATGGGTAATTCCTTTGATAATCGGCTGTTTTGGGTGGTACTGCCCACTGGGTGCCACAGTGTCAATTATCCTTCAACTCATTCCAATCATATCCAAAGTCACGCTCATACTCCCTTCCAGCAGCAATCTTGACGCCTCGAAACGTGAGGTTTTCATCGAAGTACTCACACCCAAAAAACCCCTCGATAATCATACCTCTAGGCTCCTTGAAAGTCATCGCGTACGGGTTGATCACCTCACGCTCACCATCCCCCTTTCCCTCGCCACGCCATATATACATCCACTCCGCATTTTCCGTCGACGGCAAATCATCAGAGTTGATCTTCGCAAATTCCGGCGTAGGACTTCTTCGTTCCCACAAACGTGCATTGTGATACTCCTCAGAGTAATCGTCGTATTTGCGCTTTTTAACTAGCGATTTATGTTTCGCTGCACCAAAGCGCATGATGCCTTGAATCAACCCGATATCGAACTTCGCGAACATATGTTGGCGGTGGGCTGCTGGTTCGATGAAGATTTCCATCCACCAAGGACCGCCTTTGCCGTAAGCATCTTCGATGGTTTTGCACTGAATACTGTATTTGCCACGAACGTCCCAGCTAATGCCTTTGTTGGCTAAGCGGAAAACTGACAACTGGTTTTGTTTCTTTTCTTCCACTGCTCTCTTGCGTAAGATATCCTTTGCTTTTTCGACTCGCGTGTCAAGTTCTATCCAAACAGAATTCTGATAGAAGTCATCTTGAGACCTTGCTATGATATTCATGTGTTGATGCTTTTCTGTCCACATGGGGTGATTTGGTGGGAGTTTATACTCGGCCCATTTCAAGCCCATCCTGCGGAGGGAGTCCCAAAGAACGAAGAAACTAGTATTCTTTTCAGTGAGGAGTAGATATGGCTTTCCGGTCCAATTTCGCGGATCAGGTGCGAAAGTCTCCTTTACAAAGCGCCACCCGGCTTCCTGTATCTTTTGTTCGTCTGATAGGCTAGGCCACTAGGCGTCCTGCTTGGCCTTCTGCTTCTCCATGGCCTCTTTGCAAGCCTTGTTGTTTTTCTTCTTATATTCCTTGATCATGGCTCTCTCCATATCGCTCAATTGTTGTGTGAAATCGGCCCGCGGATTGTCCCTCAATCGCGTCTGGAATCCCCAAAGCGTGCGTCCGGATATATCGAGGCCGCGGAAGGCACATTGCGCTTTTCACCATTTCAAAGGCTGAGATTCCACGACTGGCTGGTTCTTCAGAATGCGATTGTTCTTTCTGCGTATTGGCTCGAGGAGGGGTAGATACTTTTGAACGTTATTGTGGTAAGAGTGACCTTCAATCTTCAAGCCTTCCTGGTTACAGAATACAATGAAGTTTTGTACTTTGGCAGTCAGCGCAGGGAGTACACTATCGTATATATAGCCATCGGATTCGCTTTCGGACATTTTGTAAGGGTGGTAAACGCTCTAGACAGTACAGTGACGGGAGAAGCCCAGTATTGCAAACGCGGCTAGTGTGGTCTCGCGGACTATGAGGAAACAAGCGGCGAATATTGGCCAGTGGATAAACGTATGGGGTGTTTACGACTAGTAAGCTTTCCAAAGTGATATAAGACGATGGATTAAAACGGCAGTCCGAACAGCATCGGAACGAGTAAATATGATGGTGGTCAGTGCTTGGTCTGAAACCAACAGGACAATCACACGAACCCACGTGACTATCTGCTGTATCATTAAATTCTTGAGCAGCGAGAATTGGAGTTACAATAGTCGCTTATGAATGCGGAGAAATCCGTCTACTGTGTACATGTATTGAACCTTGACATATGTGCAACCTTATCAATTCCCCAAGCTACCAACTACGCACCATTAACCTGCAAGAAATAATTGGCTCGAAGCAATGGACCAAGCTTTGCCTCAGTGGCAAATGCTGTGATATTGAAGTTTAATCTGCTGTTGATGGTGGCAGTCTGCGAGGCGGGGACCTTGAAGTTATCTGGTTGAGCATAAAGCAATTCGATGTAGTGATGGGGCCACGCAGGTTTCTCGGCTGGTGGTGCTGGAGCGAAATAGGAAGATGGGCCGGTGGCTGTTGTGGTAAGTTGATAAATTCCATCCTTTAAGGTTGTAGCAGATTTGTATCCAGTAAGTAGTCCGTGAAGGACAACACCTCGGTTCTTGTTGGAGCCTTGTGGCGGTCTAAAAGAGTTAGTCGGCTGATATGCAAATTTGAGTTCTACCCACAAATCGATGTCTATTTCACAGTCAGCTTGATTGCATTCATTGGGGAACATGTTCTTACCAATCATCACAAAGATATAAGTGCCGTTGAGAGGACCGTCAGTTGTCCCCAGAATTGGTGCTTTGCCAGTGTCTTGCTGATTGTCAATATCATATTTTCAAGCAGAAAGCTACCAACTTACCTGCTTTTCCCAGACTCTGTCCAGGAGTAAGTGTCTTCGATCCATACTTGACAACAAGATTTGTGGTGGTGTTTGGAAAGAAACCTGGAGGTGTTTGCGCCAGCACAGTGCTGGCAGCAAGCAGAGAAAAGATTGTTGAGAAAAGCATTTTGAAATGGATACACAGGACAATTCAGAACCGTAGGTGCAATAAACTATGAGTTACTGAAGGGAATGGATAATTTATACCCCGCGATATTCGCTGCCAAGTTTGCCCGTATGGCCGACCAAGGGGATAATCCCCTCCAATCCTGACGTGATGTCTGGATATCAAGACCATAGGACAAAACAAATGATACTTTAGATGAAATTCAACTCAGCCTGTAAATTCGAAATTGTTTCTGCTGATCGTTGAAGAGAATAACCGATTCGGCACTAGCCTTGCCCCCGCGTGGCTCAACATTCAGCCTCCAAGTGATTGGTATGGGCCAACAAACAAAATGAGTACCCTCATGAAAGTATTTGCGTCGTTGATTGAATATCAACGGAATAAACACTAAGAAGCCACTGCTGTAGAACAGTAGAAGAATAAGAACCGTGACATAGGCCTCGTCACAAGCGACTTGACTTCTAGTAAAAGATGAGAAACAAGTATCTGAAATCACTACACCGTCTGATCAAGCAACCGCTATCGTTCTAGTCAAATTCTGATTGCTGCTGGTGCTGAACCGCCAAAGCAGTTTTCAGCACCATCAAGGATAGCATGTCACAACTTCGCCATCTCTACGAAAGCAGGACAAAAGAATCCCGTGACAAGAATGGACCTCCTCGTAATGGAAGAAATGAAACTTTGACGTCCTATGGCAGGATAAAAGGTGGGCGGCTGTATGAATCGTGATGAAAAGGAACATGTGGAAAACCTTGGCCAGGTCGGCAGTTGGATGATCACGTGCATGGTTATTTATAGACAACAAGGTATTGAACACAAGTCTCGGGACTCCGCCTTATCTCTTCGTCCGTTCACAACATCACCAACACGACAAATGCTGGACCTCAAGATTCCACGTCACCGCCATTCCAAATTCGACCATGCATGAGGGTATAGATTGGCAGAGTTGCGAGCTTCTCCCGGGATTCGGGGTCAGCATGACGGTGAAGCAACTTATCAGCCTTGCAAGCGATGGCTTGCGTGGAAATGCAATGCTCACGTCCTGTGCGACATATCTTGATGTAAGATGATGTTTCTGGAGCCTTGTCAATGGCTTCTAAAACATTCGCCTCGGGCGTTATGCTGCCTGGTCCTGCATGCATGTATCAGTTGGCTGGCTACATATTGACGGCACATCATGAGATCTTTGTGTAACTACCCTTCTTTTCCAAAGACTTCTACACTCAACCTGAAAGCATTTTTTGAGTATCAGATGATGTGCACAACCTTTTTGGCTTCAAGTGTGGCAAGCTGCAGATTTGCTATATCTGATGTTTAAGGTTCATGTTCATATTTGGCATCCCATTCGGCCGGCGACAGTCTGATGTCTGTAGTCGTTGGTTATGATTGGATTGCGAGAAAGAACGATGTCTTAAGTCAAGATTTATAGCTGTACTTCAGAGTATCTGTTTGCCTTCTAGCTAATTATCACAGTCTTCAAGTATTGTGTGAGCCGCTGAGCACCTTTTCAGCTCCTTTCTGGTGCTGCGATATTTGTTGAGTACGCATCGTCAGATAATCATGCGTAGAGCCTCTACTGGCCGAATAAGCGTTACGAGGTTTTTCATTTGTTCTAGGAACTTTTGCCTCTACATTTTATATTTTCCACTTTCAACGCATCGTTCCACCATGCATTAGTTCGCTCGTCCGTATAGTTTTGTGTCATAATTTCAAGTGGCGTTGGCCAAAGTACTTTTCATGTTATGCGGTCTTCCAGGCACATTTTGAGACTTATTCAGATATCTCGGTCTAATTACTCTTCGTATGGTCAAGTTTTCTGACAACGATGCGGTCAGTCCCGACTGAATATGTTAGTTGTGAGGCTGACACCTGCATGCCAACGCCATATTCTGGAGCTGATTGACCCCGGATTCTTTCTTTGGCATCATTGGTTCGTTTCAAAGAAGGCTTAGAACGAATATTGGTGGCTGTCATGCTAGCCATAATTCTTTCAGATAGTGACATACGAAGAGCTACTTTGACCTACGGAATTTGAAGTAAGCTTACCGTGCTAGTTTGCGTTTACGTCTTTGTAACACCTTGCTTTCTGCTTGGGTTCACATTTCATATTGCGAACTGGTTCTATGGCAAACTTATCGGGTTCTTACTTACCAATATACGCCACATAAACGACACTTTTCAGACTCAGAGTATGGCTGTGTATCAATGCTGGCGTCGGAAAGCAGAATAGAGTCTTAGACATACCGCTGCTAAGAATTTCCATGCAATATTCCGACTGGAGACATTGGCATCTCACTGTAAGCCATCGATGTACCCGCTCAGCCTTACGATGTTTATGTCTCGTATTCATTCAAGCCAATGAATAGTGACATGGCTTGGAACACGCCAACTGAAAGGTCCGATATGTGTCATGCGATGGCAAGTGATCGTTAGGTCGAACTGAATACGGGTGGTATGGCTTGAAAATGCAGCAGTGATCTGACTCTAGAAGAAATACTTAAAGCCATGGTCTTCCCAAGCAAAACCTCTTCATCCTTCCACAATCACCACCACCACCATCATCATCATCACCACCCATCAATCTACACACTCTTCACTTCTCAAGACATCTCAATAACTTTCACTTGAATCCAATTCAAATCCATCAACATGCAATTCTCAACCGTCTTCAGCCTCACAGCCTTTGTCGCTTCCGCCCTGGCCCTTCCAACCGGCACAAACCCATCTCCATATGGAACCATTATCTTCAAAGGAGCTGCCAACGCTCAATATACCCTCAGTGTCCCTCTCGATGGCTCCGAGACCTTCACCCGTAAGTCACCTTCCCATAACACAAGTCCATCACTAACAAAACCACCCAGACAACGCCCTCTCCATCTCTTCCCTAACCTCCACCGACATCAACGTCCCTGCCCAATGCACCCTCAAGACCGTCGACTACACCCCCGCTCTAGTCGAAGGTCCCGCCCGCACTTGGGTCGTCGGTCCTCCCCAAACCGTCATCTCCATCACCTGCACCAACGGCTCCACTCCACCTCCAAACAGCATCACCATCGAGTTCCAAGGCGCAGACCCATCTCTCGGCGCCAAATACTTCGTCACCGTCCCCCTCAACGGTCAAGTCGTACCAACCAACAACGTCCTCAGCATCTCGACCTTGGTCTCGAGCTATCCGATTGACAGCAAGTGCACTTTCACTTTCGTAGATGGCCATGCTGCGTTGGCGAAGATTGCTACTGATAAGTGGGCTGTGGGACCTCCACAGACTATTATCAATGTCAAGTGTGTTGCATAAGCGGATGATGAGAGCGATTTGTCATTGTGAGAGTGAGCAGCATATGGATTTAGATTGGAAGCATGGTTGTGTTGGAGTTGAATTTGAATTTGGATTTGGGGTTTATGATTATGATTTTATGAGTTAACTTAATACGCTCCTTATTAGCTAATAGTCAGATTGATGTTTGCAATTTTAAAGTCGGAAGAAACTTTGCCTTTGCTTAAATAGTTTTTTCCCTTTTGACTTTTTGAACTCGCCGCTATGACTTTTGGTCAAAGCTTTGGGTTGGAGGAACAACAAGCAGATAGTTGTTGACGTTTTTAGAATTCACGGTATACCTGCTGAATGCTGGGAGATTGCTCTATTAAGTTTTTTCATAGAATAATGGTGGATTTGGTGGATATTAGTTGACAAAGAAAAAATGCATAGGTATCGTTGTCTCCTCTCCGTTGACTTCTCGCTTAATTTTGGTGTTTTGAAGAAATTGTGAGGGCTCAGGGTGTCAGCGACATCTGATTCAAATCCACAAATAAGGTTAGATCTTGGCGAGATCGGCATAATAAAGTGAGACAGTTTGTACTATTACTTTGATTTAAAGCTAATGTACCGACTCTCATCACCAGAAAGTGTAACAGACAAGAACCACAACTGAGGCCCCCGAAACAAACTCATGCTCGATATCAAAAGGGATTACGCTTTCCACTCTTCTGAGGTCTCGCACCAGGAAACACGCTATTCGGCTCAAAGACCGCCCTTCCAGCCGGCAAATTAGGACAATCTCCAAGCAAAGCAAGCGCAGGATTAAGCAGCGACGTAACAAGACCCAACGCCGAGCTCAACAACGCACCCGAAAACACATTCGACAAGAACCCCGGAGTCTCAGCCTTTACAGCTTGTGCTAGAAAACACCCAAGCTTCACAGGATCCTGAAAGTCCTCAACAGCATTCACGAGACCCCCGGAGATATCGCCTAGTGTAACACCCGCAAACGAGTTCACAGTCCCCGTGTTCCCGCCAACTTGACACGATTCCGGCCACGCAAGACAGCGTTGTGCGCTACTGACAAGGAAGTCCTGAACAGTCCACTGATCATCCGCCGCTGCTTTGTAGTAGATATCCGGAATACGTTCATGCCCGTATGTATACGTCAGATTCCCATCCGCGTCTCGGCTATAGGACCAGAGCGACATAAAGCTCTCGGGTGAGAGATAGCCGCGCGGGTGTTCGGCCAAGTGGTTCGCGAGGATGGTATAGGCGAGCATGTGGGCGCCGAAATTGATGAAGAGGCCGGCGAAGGGGGCTGAGAAGTAGTTGGGGTTTGTGGAGATGGAGTGTTGACGGCGGTTTAGGGCGTGTTCGGCGAGGACACGGGGGGTGATGTTGCCGGAGGGTCCGTTACGGAGGAGGGCTAGGTCGAGCAGTTGTTGACCGAATTCGGGGTAGGATGCGCAGTTGGAATTTTGGCTCGGTGCTAGCCACTGGGGGTGTTAGTCCGGATGAGTGAGGGATTGGGGGATGATCTTACATCGCCGCGGGTCATGGAGGCGTCGGCTTCGATGTGGTTGTGGCCTTTGATTATCTTGGTTAGCGTTATTCGACTTAGGAGGTCTTAAAAGTAATTGTATTGCAGAAGCAGACTTCCTTATAACTATTACAGGATGTTTTCGAACGTAACATAAAGGTCCAAGACGAAATGCTAAGCGAGTATCAACATACCATAAGCACAAATACCTAAAACCATTAGCATCTATCACTTCAACATTTCACACCCCCTACTCACCCGTCTCATTCCCCAACAAACTCCCCAAAATCGGAATCCCATTCGTATCCTTACTATGAAACCCAATACTAAACCTTCCCGTCAACGGATCCCCATCAAAGAGCACCGCTAACGCATAGAACACCGCCGCCGGTCCAGCATCAAAGTTAAACGCCGCTTTCAACCCGTTAAACACATCGTTACGGCCGATGACGCCCGAGCGAGAGATGTAGCCGTGGTTTGCGGCCGCGTTGAGACCCGGACAGGGACCGCGGATGTCGTTGGGTCCTGGTGGTGCCCAGGCGTGAACGCCGGTTGTGGAGATGCGTTGCGCGATGGGGTCGAATTTGGTGTAGAGACTGTGGTTAGGGAGACCGGGGTATTCGGGGAAGAGGGTTGGGTCGGTTTGGCCTGGTGGTGGTCAGTTGATGGGTGATGGGCGAGGGAGTACGGACTTACGGTTGAGGATGGGAGCAGATTGGTGGAGGCCTGGGAAGGCGGTTGCTAGTATAGGTAAAAGAGTGAAAAGGATTTTTGAAAACATTTTGAAGCTTGTGTTAGCTCTTGTGAGATGTGAACCCTCTTTGTTGTGGATGGAAAAGAATTGATAGAGTGAGATGGCTTGAAGAAAAGGAATCTTGGTTAATATCTTTCCCTATTCACTACTCGGCCGTAATACCTACATGACGATTTGATAGGCGGCATTTTTGATTGTGTCAGTCCCTGATGCTTTGGAATTTTGGTGAATTCAATGTATAGCCAAGTAAGGAGCGATGACTTCTGTATTGACCTCCTTATTAGATACTTGAGCACAATACGATGGCTCGGATAAACTGGCACTATAAGACCAAAGCTTCCACTAGATTCTCACTAATATTTCAAGCTATACTCTTTCATACATTCAAACATTTTAAAGCGAAAGAACTGGTCGATATAGACACTACTATCCAGCTATTAGCGGTCAGAACTTAACAGACTAATAAGCCACAGATTTGCTCAATCGATAAAAGCTTTTCAAGCTCTGTTACTTACCGTATAAACTCACCGTAATACCGTAACATCAACCTCTTCCACCCAAATAAGCCCTTCCAAATAATCCCCTCCACCCAAATCCTCCTCCCCCCTCCCCTTACTATATTCAGCAATCCCCCTCCCTCCCCCCAACTCCCCAACTCATCCCATCCTTCCCCAACTCAAATCACCGAACCACCGCCGTCGCCTTCACAAATGTAACATAACGCTCAAAGTCTAGACCTACACACCGAATATCGATGTGCTTGTCTTTATCACGTGCACCCCCAAAACGGAATACGAATCCTCGCTTTGCCTCGGATAACGTCATCGGTCCGTGTCCTCGAAATCCCCTGATCGACCACGCCGCAGCAACCACCCATGCAAGGTGTGATCATGGGGTACCGTGTCATTTCGGGAGAATTGTCATGGAATTGAAAGGATGGAATTGTTTTATGTCAAGACATGGTGTTTTGAAATTGGGGTTTGTTGATGATGAGAGGGGAGAGGGGGAAATGGGATAAGGGGAATTTAGACGATCAGTTTGAGTATGAAGGATGAAGAATTGAGAGCGCTTTGTTAAGTATTTGTTATTGTTATTAATATTGAATTGTTATACATATATTTTCTTAATAAATGCAATAAATCTCGCTATGTCATTTTTATATCACCGCCAATGCAAGAATATCATAATCATCAACTCCTCGCGCCATGCCCAAATATCATACATATGCGCTTACATCAACCCAATGAACGCAAGAACAGCACCAACAACCACACTGACACCTGGAATAACAAGATCGCTAGCAGAGCTTGCGCTTGTCGTAGCAGCTGCCCCAGCATTCGAAGTAGCAGCTGCCGCTCCTGTACTTGCAGCGCTGGCGAGAGACGAAGCGTGGCTTGCAGCGGATGCAGTAAGGGCGGAAGCCTGGCTCTGAAGAGACGCAGAGACGGATGGGGCAGCGGTAGCAGCGACACTGGTGAGCGAGTTGAAGCTCTGCGATGCTTGGCTGGCGATGGAAGCACCATTTGCGCTGGCTTCCGAGGCAAGACTGGAAGCTCTGGACGCAGCATTGCTGGCAAGACTGGCTGCTCCGCTGGTAACGGTTGAAAGGGCTCCTGCTCCTCCGCTTGTAATAGTAGAGAAGACACCGCCGGCACCGCTGGTAACCGTGGAAAAAACGCCCCCGGCACCACTGGTGATTTCGTTTCCGATAGAAGCTGCACCGCTGGTGAGGGAGTTGATAGCTCCATTTCCACCACTTGCTATCTCTGTTGCAACTGAAACTGCTCCGCTGGTGAGTGTAGCGATAGCACCTCCAGCTGCAGATGTAATTGAGTCTCCAATGGCTCCAAAGTCGACGGTTTGACGTTTGCCATATTGTGCCTCATATCCCTCGTTCAATGCTCTGGCATTGACAATAGCATCGCGAGCGGCGATTTCTGCGGCAACGACGGCAGCTTCGTAACCTTGACGCTTCGCCTTCTCAGCGATTTCTCCGCCGGATCGTTTGTCGAGGGTGTCTGAAGCTCTTCTGAGGACTGCGGCGAGATCGCGGTCCCAATCGAGGGCATAGGAGGAGCTGGCAAGGGCCAAAACGACGACTGGTGTGAACTTCATGATGACTTGTGGATTGGTGGTATTCGTAATATGGTAGAGGATTCTTGATTGTGGATTGACAATTGAAGTGGATCAAGTATTTGGGAAGGATGAACCAGAAATCAGCGGAGCAGCAGGAGTTTATAAAGAAATCATGTTGATGGCGAAGTCAGTCCGCCGCGCATGAGCGTTCGGCAGTGCAGGGGACGAATTACGACGAATTTAGCTCAGGGGTCGCCCTCGGTGAACACAGGGGTTCAAAGCCACCCGCTAGTTTGTTGCTGCGCTGACGACCATCATCCGGGACCAGCAGCCAAGCCTTTGTGATTGAGATTTTCCTCACATCTTCCGCTTTGCGTGCACAATTCGAAGACAAAGTCTGGTAATGTGGTCATCGACGAATGAGATGCTGGTTACGGTTCCATTGATGGGAGCGGCGGGGGATTTTGCTAAAGTTTCAGACTCAGCCACAAGGCATAAATCTGTGAATCCTCGGTGCATGGATTTGACATGTCTGAATGGGGAAAGCTGACCTCGTGATACCCGAATCTGGTACCCGTGGCATGCTGTCCAACATAGGAAAGGCGTGATGTATGCTGTGTATGGGTGAAGCTATTCAAAGAATCACATATCCAAAGCAAAGGCTGGATATGTGTTGAAATGGGGTCATTCATAAGGCTATAGGATTACCAACTGCTTCATCTCAATGCAGAGCCTCCTGAAGTACCAACAATCGACCAAAGCTTGTGTAGATATAAGCTGCATATCACACTACCTGTTAGAAGTTTCAAGTGTTGCACAATCCCAGTGTTTCGACAAAAACAACTAAAAGCTGACAAGTATCCTTGGCATCACAAATTATGAGATTCAACCTTGGCATCTGGTGGAAACTTTTTTCAGCACTAACCTACCAAAATCCGGGTCGTAAATCTCACTATGCATTTACCCAAAACACAACAGTAAATCAAAATTCCAAAAGCATTTGCATTTTACTAAAGCACTACATTCCCGCCACAATTCGAAATCTTGCTTGCTCTCCCCACCACCTAACAACAACCCGATTCATACATGACCCTAAAACCTCCACCTACAACAATCTGCATAACTAGCTCTCCACCCAAAATCCATCAACAGCCTTGCGTAAAAGTCGTTTAGGTGTCGAATCAAACAGTATTGCGAACAACACAACGTGTCGAGCTCCACAAAGCCGGCAACGCAACGTAATGGGCTTGAGCTTTACGAATGTGGCTGATGCGGGTACACATGTGTTTATTTATGGCGAGGCAACGACACTAATGGACGTTAATCAACCTTGAAACAATGGATTTTGCGTTGCTTTTCAGGATATTAATTCCGTTTTGTTTAAGTATTGGAAGATATTTAGTGAAATTTGTATTCGAGGACTTGTCGTTTGATTATGAGTGAGTACAGTTTTATCACGTGACGGTCCTTGATTCTGAGGTCGTGACATGTTATCGTAACTTAGTTTAGTCTTATTTCGTCTTGGATGATGTGTTTGGTTTACTTGTATGATGTAATTACAATATAATATCTTCAAATGGTACGTTATTATAGGAAAATTTCTGAAACCAGTACACTCATATTATCATAAACAGCTAGACATACAGAAAGCTATCCACATAAATCCCACAACAACAAGAAGCGTACATTCGACATGCTCCAGCATTACACGGACATGTCAGACTTTTCCTCACCTCTCTCACGCTAGAGAATCAAAGTCAATCTCGAGTTTCGATACGCACTTGATTTGAACCTTCGAGCTACCGTCTGAGTTAGTGAATTTGAAGAAAAATCACCCTCACCCTTCCTTAGAGACATTATAAAATATTGTGTGTACAAAACGGAAAGCGTGGCTATCGACTGCCACTTAGTCCATCAAATCGAAAAATGGTCATACAGAGGATGAAATCTCCCAAGCAGTACGGATATCCATATAGACATTGAAAAGCTCAGCTGAATGCGCAGGTGAGAACACCCTAGTAGCGAACAGTTGGTGTGGCAACAATTCCGCTCCTCGTATGTCTCTTGCCGTGACGGTATCTCTGGCAAGTCCAGCACATCCGATGATCTGATATTTGAAGTGTGAAGTAGCTTTATCGATTTCGGTCTGACGAACTATAACAGCTCTTTCGATGTTTGACACCAAGCAGACATAGTTGCCGGGACACGCCTCCAAGGGCCAGCCCTACCCAGCTTGGAGCTAGATTCGAGGAATCTGGTTGTAGGAGAACTAAACGAGCGCCAGGCTGATAGTGAAATGCTGGAATGACCTCTGTATCATGCCGACTGTCGAATGATTCAATGGTGTGCTGTTTGGTTTCTTCCCAGGTGATAGTAGAATCGAAGGCAAAAATAGTGCATTGGGATATATCGTCAAAAACGCGAAGCGCTTCCAGGAAAAGCTCGCTCTGCTCTAGAACAGATGATCTTAGTGGAGTTTCCAAGATATTCCTCCAGATCAGAGAGGTCCATGCATTCAATTTCTCGGTCTTTGCAACGAGATCAGAATGCAATGGTCCTACCTCTCTGATTCTTCCGACGATTCTCGCGGGAACACGGATCGTTCCAAGACTAGGTTTGAGATCAATATTCCCAGCATTGAAATCTTGCGCAGACCAGTCCGGTTCGATTCCCATTGGCCCTCCCAACATACGTCCAACGAGTCGACTCATTCCCAGGATATCGTGTTGGCTCCGGCTCGCGTCACTATTCATAAATTGGATCGTGTCGTAGAAAACCTCAAACAGAGACTTCCAGTAGTCCATTGGAAACCTATCATAAACATCGACGGCCAATCCAATGAACCTGCATATTTTGTCGTGAGGGTCTTTGCATAAAGCATGCTCATTGCTTATTAGCAGGTTGGCCAGCGTATGACCTCCAACAAAACGAACTTTGCGTTGTGCGTCTAGTTTCAAGGGGATCGGTTCGTGCTTTATTTTCTGAGCCCCAAGGATTTCGATGAAGAGATCCCATGGAATGGTTGTGGCATCATAATGAATTCGCAGTGCTCCATGTGCCGATTTTCCAATTTCTTGGATAATCCACAATCGTTTCCAGTAATCGCGATGACACAACGCAGCAACCGTGTATGCTCCAAATTCGCCAGGTTTGTGTAATGTCGTGAGATAGTTGGCTGGCTGATGTTTGGGTTCTTTTTGCGATCGTATATTGTTCTCGACGCGCAATATATGTTCGAGGCCTAGGCCAAGCCAGACAATAACTTGTTGTGCTCGAGCATAAATAAAAGGCATAAGACGAACTTGTCGATTCCTTTCCTCGATATCGGCTTGATTAATACAGACTGCATCGTCCCGACGAGCGCATACAGCAAGTCGCAGGTGCCTTCGGGTGAGCCTTGGCAGGGTCGCTAGTTGTATATCCTAACTAAGCTTTCCCTAAATACACCACTGTCTCGTGAATTCCTTACTTTGTAACTTTCTCTAAATCTTAATTATAAACAGGCTCGGAGAGTTTCTCGATCTCGTTGGCGGTCGTCACGCCACAAAACTTTAAAGTCATGCCACCTTCACAATACCAGAAAACACATGTTTCTAACTATTTTTCTGCCTCGTGCGACAGTAGTTCCCTTTACATGAATCCATGGTCCGCTTCTCTTTGCTTTTGCTTCGGATTAGATTCGGAATAACAATTTCGCCGCTTCTCAATGGCGAACCAGAGTATCGCTGTCGTAATACCATTTTGAAGCTTTTGCGCAAAGATTTTCTCATCACGATTCTCTGTAAGTGTCATCACGACGGCATCAGAGGGGACACAAGGATAGAAGAAAGTAGCAAAAAAGAAAAGGATCGCATCTAGAATAGTATATAGCCTCTCACCCATCTGTCCTAAATACAAACAGTAATAATACTCTATAGGTATACCATAAACGCAATAAGCATGATCGACCCAAACTTCAAACTTTCAGGACCGAAGGCAGTAGGCGCTGAGTTTGTTATCAGAATATTCGTTGGTGTTGAAGATGCAGCCACTTTAACGGTGCTATTGCCTGTGGCCCCTTGGCTAGGAAGCACATTCACAGGAGCGATAGACACGGAAACAATAGTCGCTACTCCAACCGCTGAGTTCGTCACTCCAACCGCTGAGTTCGTTTTCGTGGGTGTGGTTGCTGGAATCTGACTCCCGATCGCAATATTGGTAATAGAACCAGAAACTTCGCCTTTAGTAACGGGGCAGTACGTCGTGTATAATGCTATAGTGACCTTCCCAATGCTTGCTGGGCAGTTGGTAACGTTTGGTGCGCATGAGGTGATTGTGTATGTCTTGGTGGCATACACTGTTGAGATAGTGTACTCTATTGCAGATGGAGTAGGAGTCGACGTAGGAACTGGCTTGATTGTGCTGGCAGCTATAGTAACTGGGCAAACGGTTGTGTAGAGGCTTATCACCTCGGTGGTAACTTGGCCGATAATGGCTGGGCAGTTCGTGATTCTTGCAGTACATGACGTGATAGTGTAAATAGAGGTCGTATAGACTGTTGAGATGGTATAAATTGTTGTCGACTGGGGAAGGGACGAGGTTGAAGAAGATGAGGTCACCGTCGTTGCTGTCGTGGAATTACTACCTGGTCCTGATGGAATTCGTGTGGAAGTAGGGTCAACAATCAAAGTTGATACTACGCTAGAGGTCGAAAAAGTAGAATTTACAGCAGTCGAGGAAGTTGAGGAACTGACGCCTGAAGTAGACGTAGGTATGCTGGTAGGAAGATTCGAGCTGGATATGGACGTAGTTACTGTAGAAATGGTGCTACCGACTGGAGCAGCTGTCGACGTACCAGAGCTAGAGCCGGATATCGAGGATGAAGAAGAGGAAGATGTGGAAGAAGAGGCCGTCGTAGAAATAGTGGAAGAAATGGTAGAAGGCGTGGTAGAAGACGTGGTAGAAGACGTGGTAGAAGGCGTATCAGAAGAAATGGTAGAAGAAGTGGTTGAAGAAGTGGTAGAAGTGGTGGTAGAAGTGGTAGAAGGCGTGTCAGAAGACGTGGTTGAAGAAGTGGTTGAAGAAGTGGTGGAAGAGGTGGTAGAAGGCGTGGTAGAAGTGGTGGTAGAAGTGGTGGAAGAAGTGGTAGACGTGGTAGAAGATGTGGTTGTAGTAGTGGTCAATGTCGAGGTTGACGAGGAAGTCGACGAGGAGGAAGTGGAGGTAGATGACGCAGAAGATGTGGTCGAAGTAGGAGCTGCACAACCACCTACAATAGAGGGTACAGCGTTAAGACCAGTGGTGATGGCAGCCAAGTTAGTGCCACAGTTGGCAGCGTTGGCGAGATGAACGTTCTGGTTATCTAAGTCGAAAACAACAAAGGCGGCTCGTAGGAAGCTATCACCAAGCTGGGGTGCAATGTCATCAGCAGTGACACCGAGGTAACAAATTCCTCCATTCTGCCAAAGGAAGTCTTTGAAGGAGATATGGATGATAGTGCTTCCAAAACCAAAATCAACGGTCCCTGCTTGGCTGCCCACGGCACAATCAACGACATACAAACCAGATGCGTCTTGGGTTGCACCAGGAAAGTCGGCCACAATGGTATTAACAAGTGTGGTTGGAAGGCGGCTGATGGTGGCGCGGCTGTTGATAAAGGCTGGCTGACCCTGTGCAGTCCCGGTTGCTGGATATAACTTGGGAGTGCTGCCAGGCTTGGTGATGCCAACCGAATTGATGTAGATCCAGTAGCGGGCAGCAATGTTGGGTGTGGGTGTTTGCGCTAGAGGAATCATAGGACGTTTCTCCAGAGCACCAATATATTTCTTGGTGTCAATACCGCCAAAGATGACGGCTCCATCCGGAGAGTCCACACTGCGTAGATCGAGACTGAAGGCACGGCTGGGGGTGACGCCCTGGCTTTTCAAAGAGTCAATGACGAAGGGGTAGGGGTTATCGACATCTCCTCCAAGGCCTAGCACGCCTGCGACCAAGTTTGTGCTCGAGAATATAACACCGAAGATTTGCTGGCTGATGGTAAACGTTCCAAAGCGGAGAGAGTCCCCGACATATGAGAAACTGGCGGAGGATGTGCCAAAGTCCACGCTACCTGTAACACCGTAGTCTACAAGAGTGGCAGATGAAGTAAAACGCGGAAGACTACTACAGAAAGCAGCATTTCCGGAAGTGGAACATATGGGATTTACAAAAGTCTCGCCCGAGCTGGTGTCAATAGCAAGAGGAACGCTCTGTGGTACACTCCCCAATGGCACTGAAAGGTTAGAAAGAGCCCGTTGCGCATTTGGGTTTGGGGTGCTTACCTTGAATGAGATAGAGGGTCCCCGTCAACGCATTCTGCAACGGTACTTCTACAATGTCCCTACGCCCAAAAGTCGCCAGATCCGTTACATTCACAGCCTGCGCAGTGACTGGTAACCTCAGAATCCCGTTATTTTGTCCGGCAGAAGAGGAAGGCAACGCGTTTGACAAAGCAGCCAACGAAAGAAGAGCCAGACGACCGCAAAGAGTGGAAGGGAGGGAAATCATGATACCGGTATAAGTAAGGGAGTGTGAAGGAATGGAAGGACAAAACTATCTGCTGAACGAGCGGAGCAGACGACGATTGAAAATGAGGATGAGGATGCAAAAGAGAACAACAAACGCATGGCAGCGATCGAGTCTGTGCCGACCTATGTACGATTCGAGCAAAAGAGAAACATTGTTGTGCCCACCGGCCTGTGGCGGGCTGAATCAATGTGATGATTATCCCGATTAGGTGTATAGAGAACCCTGCATCAAGGGGCTCCGTGGCAAGCGTATCACGTGGTGCGCTACATCCAATATTTTGACAAAGGCTGAAGAAAATACAACGTCTAGCCAGCTTCCTGCCAACACATCACAACTTAGAGAGAGAAACGGGGAAAGCAGCCGACAATGCTCTTCGCTTACTTCGACAAGCGACACACTTGACTATAGGGGCCACCCGCCGTCAAGAGGAATAGCACCATTCATCTTACTTCGAAGGACGTTGTAGGCCGTTGCGACCGCCTCCACAACCGAAATACGGAGGTACAGAGTCTTCCAGGAGAATGCGGGGATCCTCAAGAGGCGGCTTGGGCGTCGCTTACCCCTGGTATCGATTTCGCTAGATCTACTTGTTAATCTCCACCACTTCCACGCGATGCACCATATTGGGATCTGTGTCTCAATTAATCGGCTAGGCTCTAGTCGCCAGAAACAATGGCCCAGCCGCCCAGCAATAGCATTTTTTGCGCGATAAGGAATATCCAAGCCATTGATCGTCAGCGATGAAGTCGGCATGAGTGTTTTTCAGCTGCTGCTTTTTGCTTTCGATGCGATTTCAGTTGTGTACCCGGGTCCCGGACTGGATTTGGCATTGCAGTTTTCCCTGTAGATAATGGCGAAGCGTAAGTAATTTCGCTGTCATAACCGCACCATAAAACTTTGATGGTCCTCTCATCACAATTCTACCTCCACTCGTATCCCATTCAGCAACACAGATCTTTGATTCGTACTCCGTCCCCAGGAATATGAGAGTGCCTTATAGTTGGGCCGATCACCAAACGCAACGTGAGATATTGTGCATTCTACATCTTCAGCCTTGCGCTTGGCTGATCGAGGCTGAAGATGAATGAGTCGAATACAGTCTTCCTCGAGAGGTGCGTACTCGAAGCGAGGCACCAATAGACTCTGGGAGGCTTTCTTGCCTGGCCTCCTAAATGAGAAGCGCGAAAGGCTGTTCATCGTAAGCGAATTGCTTCTTCAAGTAAGTTGTAGAATTGTCGCGCTTCAGGTCGTCGTCACACAACCAGGCGTAGAATTGATGAGGTCGTGGGGGCCAGCGCCACATCTTTCATGTACTTTGAACTTGTCCAGAAGTACCTTCGAGAGGACCTTTGCGGATTGAACTTGGTGTCAGTCTACAAACATGCACCCAGCGTCTCAGACGTGTGCTCCAATGGAACCAACGACGTTAACACTCTTCCAAGACAAATTGGCCATTACTGAAATACGAATGCTGTCAAGCCCAATACTCTGGATAGAAGCTGGAATAGAGCCATGCAGTCCGAGTATTACCGCCGTTGAGAATAACATTTCGATAGGGCTACTATTTTTGAGTTTGAGCTGTTGGAAAGGAAGAACGGCGACAATGTAATTGAGTGACTGAGGTTTTATAAATAGAAATGTTCTTGAAAATGGAAGTCTTGCTCACGTCCAACCCAAAAAGATACATTGTCGATCACGTGGGGTCGCTTATCGCAGCTTCCTCAGGTTGAATTGCTTTTGGTGAAGCTTAGCTCTAGCTTGTCAACTCCAACCCAACCTCCCACGTCAATCGAGAACCTACAGCACCGCCTCGACCTTCGAACATACGGGCAAGCTCTACTGCAGCTCGAGCTTTACGCCCTCATCCTCAAGCATAAGTCTTCACCACCGTCGCAATCATGGGAGATCCACGAGAGTCGTCATCGTACAGCGTTACGCCAAGATTAAGATATAACACCATTGGAGGTATCAACGGGCCTTTGGTTGTTTTGGAGAATGTGCGTTTACACATGGAGTGTTATGGGAGGGTATGATGCTGATCTTCTGATTAGGTCAAGTTCCCAAGATACAATGAGATTGTTACGTTGACGTTGCCTGATGGCACAGAGAGATCTGGTCAGGTCTTGGAGGCGAGAGGTAAGGTGGCTTTTGAGTTCTCTAGAATATCTCGTACTAACAGGATTCTCACCAGGAAACCGAGCTGTTGTCCAGGTACATTTGGGACGAGGGAGAATGGCAGGTTCTGGTTGCTGATATGGCTGCAGGTTTTCGAAGGCACATCTGGAATTGATGTCAAAAAGGTTGGCGCAACCGAATAAAGTAATCCAAGCAGATGCTGACGATCAACAGTCCAAAGTCGAGTTTACAGGTCACAGCTTAAAGTTGGGTGTCTCGGAAGACATGCTGGGTCGTATCTTTGATGGTTCAGGAAGAGCGATTGACAAAGGACCCAAGGTGTTGGCGGAAGATTACCTAGACATCAACGGCAGTCCAATCAATCCATTCTCTCGAGTATGTCAATTTGACGTCGGACGATGGGGCCTTGCTAAAACCTTTAGGTCTACCCGGAGGAAATGATCTCTACTGGTATCTCTGCCATCGATACTATGAACTCAATCGCGCGTGGCCAAAAGATTCCTATCTTTTCAGCTGCTGGTCTCCCACATAACGAAATTGCTGCTCAAATTTGTCGACAGGCTGGTCTGGTACAAAAGCAGGGAATAACGAGCAAGGGCGTGCATGATGGACATGAGGACAATTTCTCTATCGTTTTCGGAGCTATGGGTGTGAATTTGGAAACTGCACGTTTCTTCACCAGAGATTTCGAGGAGAATGGAAGTTTAGAACGTGTGACACTGTTCTTGAACTTGGCAAACGATCCAACGTAAGTCCCTTTCGCACAAGAACCGAAGAGTGTGTAATGACAATCTTTAGTATCGAACGTATTATTACCCCTCGTCTCGCCCTCACCACCGCCGAATACTATGCATACCAGTTGGAGAAGCACGTTTTGGTCATCCTTACCGATTTGACATCCTACTGCGACGCCCTGCGAGAAGTTTCCGCCGCTCGTGAAGAAGTACCTGGTCGACGTGGTTACCCAGGTTATATGTACACTGATTTGTCCACCATCTACGAACGTGCTGGTCGTGTCGAGGGACGAAATGGATCCATTACTCAGATCCCAATTCTGACTATGCCCAACGATGATATCACTCACCCAATTCCGGATTTGACTGGTTACATTACCGAGGGACAGATTTTCATCGATCGTCAATTGGACAATCGTGGTATCTACCCTCCCATCAACGTACTGCCATCCCTTTCACGTCTCATGAAGTCTGCTATCGGTGAGGGCCACACAAGAAAAGATCATGGTGATGTTTCCAACCAACTTTACGCCAAATACGCCATTGGTCGTGATGCTGCATCGATGAAGGCAGTTGTTGGTGAGGAAGCCTTGTCCTCGGAAGATAAACTGTCTTTGGAGTTCTTGGAGAAATTCGAGCGAACGTTCATTGCTCAGTCTCCGTACGAATCGAGAACGATTTACGAGTCTCTCGACCAGGCATGGTCTCTTCTACGTATCTATCCAAAGGAGCTTCTCAACCGTATCCCAGCCAAGGTCATCAACGAATTCTATCAACGATCCGCTGATCGTAAGGGTAAGGGACGTGCTGGAAAGGACACCAAGGATAACAGCGAGGAGAACAAGACCAACGGTGGTGCACAGGAAGAGAACTTGATTGATGCGTAGACTTGCTTGGGAAAGGAGATGTTGGGGCTGAAGCGGGGAATCGTTGGCGAAGCGGATGAAGAGAAGACTCGATTCATGATTGCGATGGGAATGAAAGCGTGTAACTATTTGAAGATATCACAACCGGATTAGAATGTATGAAATCATCCTCAGGCCGAGATGCTCAATCTCGTGTTCGTTTCTTGTGTCATTTGTCGACATAGGTCGAGTATGTTCCGCAAGCGATGCGGTTGTACGACTTGACTTTGTTCTATAGTCCTCCAAGCGTCGCATTGTTTTCCAAGTCTGGAAAGTACCGCTTTATAACCTAGAAGGATAAATGTAGAAGACAAGGCATGCCTCCATGTCAATATCCTCCGGGTCGCTGAATCATTCAACAACAAATCCGACTTGGCTCTTGCTTTGGCTTCTTGTTAGATTGTGGATACATGATCCCAAACGGCATGAGTTCTATTCAGAAATGCCCATGAAGCCCAACTTCGACTCGGAGAAACTTGACAGTATATCCTTCCACAACATACGCGCATACAAGCTTCTTCATTTCGGGATCCATTATCCAGACGAGCCAGACAGCATTCAGCCGCCACCCCGATGACATTCGCTAAACCCCGCGTTATGATTAGAGCGGAAGCTGTCAGGACAATCTCACATGGGGATGGCGGGGAAACGCTGCATTTGCGGGGATCGTGACATTGCTAGCCTCGGACCTTTGAAGCTTGGATCACGAGTGCTACAGACGCCCCAATCAAGCTCCTTGACCTCAACGTCATTACCCAAGCTACTTCGAACTACGTTTTTGGTTCTACAGTTCCTTGCAGCTTCGTGTCTGAACAGAACTTTCAATGATATCTTCGTTACCAGCTGCTATTTTGCTACTGGTGAAGCTCAATAGGAAAAGAGGTTGGGAAGAAATGTAAAGGTCACACAATTGGCCCTACAACTTCACTGCATCATCTGCAATAGTAGATGGAGCTAGATGACGCTGTACTTGCAATAACCGGGATTCACTTGAACATCAAGGTACAGCATGTTGCGATCCAATGAATAATTAAACCGGCTACTTGATGGGAACTTTACTAACGGCTTTAGGGAAAGATTCATCTAATCACGACCTGGGAACCGTTAGAATGGCCGGGGAGCTGTCACCTGTCGGTTCCGTTCCTGTCACTAGAGTGGCATCAAAGGCGGGGACGACCTAGGGAAGGTGCAGACGCATGTGTAATGTTGTGTTGCCATACAATAAATAAATAGCTACCCCTCTGGAGCTCGCGCCAATTCCACTCCGAACTGTCAACTCTCTTTAAGCTCTTCGAACAGCTTTTGTCAAATCAATTGAGGTTCTGCTCCACCTTCAACATGTTCAGAGCAGTGGCAGTCATTGCCCTTCTAGCTTCCAGTACCTTTGCATTGCCTCAAAGTCCCGGTCAAGCTTATACTGGCACAGCCGGCAACACCACTGTAGCTGGCGACTCCTCAGGTCCAGACAGCAACGGCAAATATGTTATTGAAGGCGAAGGAATTCGTGCTTACTTCATTGCATACGGAGCTTCAATCTCCAACCTCTTCTTGAACGACACTTCTGGAATTGAACGCGATGTGGTTGCTGGCTTCGATAATGCGTCTTACTATGAAGTAGATCGCCAGCATCCTCATTTTGGTGGAGTTCCCGGTCGATATGCAAACAGAATCAAGAACTCGAGTTTTGTGATAGATGGTGAAACATACAATATCACACCAAACGAAAACCCAACACCGGATAACCCACAGGGGCTTGATACTCTACACGGTGGACCAGACGGTTGGGATTGGAGGAATTGGACTGTGGTTGCTCATACCAAGGATAGCATCACATTCAGTCTTACTGATCCAGATGGAAAAGAAGGGTTCCCTGGAGAGGTCGTCAGTTATGTAACCTACACATTAGGCAACATGACCTGGGATATGAGGATGGTAGCTCTAGCTACTACAAAAGTAACCCCCATCATGCTCTCCTCCCACGTAAGTCTATTCTCTCCCCATTCGACTTCCTCTATCCTATCCACCCCATCTAACACCCCCCAGACCTATTGGAACCTCGACGGCTTCGCCAACAACGAAACCGCCACCGCTCTAAACCACTCCCTCTGGCTCCCCTACGGCGGCCAACGCATCGACACCGACCCAATCCTCATCCCCACCGGCGACATCCTCGCCAACCAACCCGGCTCCCTCAACGACTTCTACACCACCCCCAAACAAATCGGCGCCAACTTCTCCAACCCAGACCTCCTCGGCAACTGCGGCAACAACTGCACCGGTTACGATACCTGCTACCTCACCAACCGTATCGCGCCCTACGACTGGACAGCCGGCGAAACTCCCGTCGCCCGACTCCGCTCCGCCTGGTCAGGCATCCAAGTCGACGTCTTCACCGACCAAGACGCCTTCCAGATCTACAGCTGTGGCGGGCAAAATGGGAGTATGGCGCTTAAATCCACGCAAGGTCTACATGGCGTCGAGGATCGACCACGCACGATTCAGCAGTATGGATGTGTGGTTATGGAGGTGGAGGATTGGATCGATGCGATTAACCAGCCGGCGTGGGGGAGACAGGAGAAGCAGATTTTCGGACCGGGTGATGAGCCGTATGTGCTGAGAGCGAGTTATCGGTTTAGCACTAATGAGACGGCGGTGGGGTTGTTGGGGGTGGGTAGTGGATGAAGGTAGTGCATCTGGAATAGGGAAGACGAGAAAATGAGGGGGGTTTTTGAATGAGAAACTTGTGAAACAACCCGATTCCTGATTCATTCGTGCAGAGATTCTCGAAATGAAACGCAGCTATGTCTTCGTTCACCTAGAAAGTCCTGTATATGTCATCCTCGCAAGATTGGCTACTCACTACACTTTGTCTCCGTTGCTGTTCTCGGTAGTGACTTTGGGATTTACCATATTGTGCAACACTGCTTTTAAAACGTAGTATGGAAATCCACGTCGTGCGCAAGACTTGCAGCACCCGGTCTTTGAGAGACTTGGGAATGTCATATTTTATCGAATAGATAAAAGTTCAAGGGGGGCTAGCAGATACTCCTACCGGATATACCACCCTCTAAACTCCGCGACCCATCCTCGCCCATGTAAACCCCACCAGCCAGTCCAATCTAACCATCTTTCGTATCCTCCACCCCTCCCATTCGTTAAAACCCTCGCTTAGATTTGACAATCCGATCTAACCAGTTTTCGTATACAATTGTATCTAAGCCGCCTTCTATGTGACTGACCACCTCTCGTTTTTCGCGTTCTTGATTGAGCTTTGCTAGTCTAGAATCGAGATATGTAAAGAGACTAACCACATTTCATATTTATCATCGCGATGGCTAGGTTTCGTTTGTTTTATTCGATAGAAGTTACCAGGGGAATTGGGTTGATCTAACCATCTTTCGTATTTGAGGGGGCCTAACTACTTTTCGTATCTCAAGATCTGGATCAATGGACGCGCATTTGCATCATGGAATTGTGGAGTGGGAAATGAGGGTAACTCTTTTTCGTATTTCCACATGGGTGGTTGGAGTAGGAGAAATGATGTGATGGAGAGAGAAGATGTGTACGCTTGTCTTGAGTTCGTACTTGAGTGCGTTTTACTGGCGGATGTATCTTGGATCAAGACTCTGGGAAGAAATGGGATTGGGAATTCGAGGAGTTAAAGATTGGTTAACTCCCTGAGGTATGAGGTTGCGATGGTATATAAGTCATCTCCCCCTCTCACTTCAACGTACTCAATCATTATTCCTCAGCTCTAACACCATCCAAACCACACCCCCACACTTCTCCCTCTACCATCTCCAACTCCCCCCTCAAAATGCACATCTTCATAACAGGCTCAACAGGCTACATCGGCCGCGCCCTAACATCCCACCTCCTCGCCAGCGGACACACAATCCTCGCCCTCGTCCGCCCCCACCAGGAAGCCACCAACCCACCCCCTTCCAATCCAAACATCACCCTCCTCCCCGGCACCCTCACCGACCTCGCCACCCTCACCCACGGCGCCACAACCACAGACGCAACAATCCACCTCGCCTTCAGCATGTCCTTCACCTCCTTCGCCGAATCCTGCGCCATCGACCTATCCGCCATCAGCACCCTCGGAGCCGCCTTACTCGGGACGGATAAACCGCTCGTCGTCACATCCGGGACGCTCAATCTCGCTGGTCGCGGGGTAGGTCTCGAGAGCATGCGCGCCGAACCCGGGCCCGTCCCGCGGTACCTCGCAGAGTGGAAAGTCGAGGAGTTGGCGAAGGAGGGGGTTAGGGCGATGGTAGTGCGTCTCCCGCCGAGCGTGCACGGGGAGGAGGATGTAGGTATGATGCCGAAATTCATCGCCGTGGGCGCGGCCAAGAAGGAAGTTGCGTATGTCGGGGATGGAGGGCAGCGGTGGCCGAGTGTTCATCGGGAGGACGCTGCTATGGTTTATATGTTGGCGGTGGAGAGGGGGGTGAAGGGGGGGATGTATCATGCGGTGGGTGATGAGGGGGTGAGTATTAGGGAGATTGCGGAGGTGGTGGCGGGGAGATTGGGGGTGGGGATGAGGTGTATTGCAGGCGAAGAGGCGGCGGGGTGGTATGGGTTTATGGGGCCGTTGCTGGGGGTGGATAATCCGTGTGAGAGTAAGAGGACGAGGGAGGAGTTGGGGTGGGTGCCGAAGGGATGCGGGTTGTTGGAGGATTTGAGGGAGGGAGAGTATTATTTTGCGGAGGAGAATATTGGACGGGTTGTTGAGGGGTTGTGAGGTGTTTTGGTTGAAGAGGTTCTGGTGAAAGGGTTGTTGGAAGTTGGTAGGTTTAAGTGGTGGGATCTTGGAGTTCTAGTGGAACTCAACGTGTGTGTAGTGCGATTAGATCTTTTTGATTGTTTTTGGATATACATACAGTTTCTTTCTCACCCCTTTCCCCATCTCAGAACACATTTCCCCCTCTTAAAGTTTTTCCCATAAACACCGAATCCATACCATCTCATCTCAAATTAAAAACCCTCTCCCTCTTAACCCCCCTCCGAAGCCCTTTCTCAAAAGCAAGTCTCGCCTCCCCATCCATCAAGCCCAGCACAAAGCAATTCCCCACAAGCACATAATGATCTTCCAACCTCCTCAACACAACCGGGCTATCACACCCCCAAACCACGCATACCAAATCACCAACCCTCATTCCCTCAGGCCCGACCCCAAAATACCCTTTCGGCAATGAAAACATCATTCGGCCTTTCAAACACCTTGAAGCTTCCAGTATGAACTGACGCAGATTTTTAGAGCCAAGATGAGGATTGATAGGATCGGGCCAGGTAGGAGGAGCTGGCGTGGTTTGTGGACGAGATGGGAGTCCGAGGAAGGGTTGGATGATTTGTTGGGGTGTCATGGATTTTGGATTTTTACGTCGGTATTTGAGGAAGGAATCCACGAAATCAGGATATTTCCCCGAGCTTTCGACGCGAAGATCGTAGTTCGTGGCCATTTCCACCAAGTCCTCCTTTTTCGCTTGATTCATAAGTTGGAGCATAAATAAGAAACCAGCTGCAAGGTCGTAGAATTTAGGGTCTTCGATGTTTAGTCTCTTCTTAGACCCTGGGCATTGGTCGAGTATCATAGTGCGGAATATGGCTTGGATGACTGGAATTCCTGTTGGATGTTGGTCGTTTACTCTATATTGAGCGAATTCTCCGCCAAGGACTTCGGCTGGGTTTCTGAGCATAGTTTCGGCAGTGTCGACTTGTAGAACTTTACCACACCTGATTCCACTGGCGAAAAAGCGAAGAGTGTTTTGTTCTCCCAATACCTCATCCTCTCCCCAATGGCAATCCGCTTTGGAGTCTCCAGCTGCACTATACAACTTCGGCAACGGAGCTGCTGGTCCTTTCACCCAAGTCGGTGCCCAAGACGGTAAATCATATCGATCCTCTGGTTCCAAATTACCTATCCCACCCAATTCCAAAATACCCAGATCATCGCAATCATTGATAATCCTAGCCGCAAAGTCAATTAGCATCTGCCTCACCGGCTTTGCATAAGTAATCGATTCATTAATCGTAAATTCGTCAAACTCTCGAATCCTCGACAACGCATATAGTTCATCGAGGGAGTAATCTGAAAGTTTTAGCTTTGGCCTCTCATAAGCCATTGGGTCATTACTGAGCCATGTCATAATCTTCTTCTTCTGAGGCAGACGTAGACTAGAGCGCAATCGTAATGTGGAGGATGCTGCGACAGCAGGACTGATGGTGAAATTTCGTTTATTGAGAATGTGAGCGTATTTTGGTTGTTTCAAGACATTCCAGTCTTCGACCGCTTTCTCGAGGTCTCTAAAGGGAATCTTCTTCTTTCCGCATAGGATGAAAACTTTTCGAGCCAGTGCCATTTCCTGGAGTTTCCACCTCGTGCTCCAGTACGGTAAATAGAATAAATCTTCGACCTGCTGCCAACTCTGTCGTTTCCACAACTCAGGTCGGTCACATAGCTTCTGCACCTGTACCGCATCGCTGAAATTACATTCAACATTTCCCCAGGTCTGCATAAAGTTCAATGCAGAATTGGTCCACTTCGAACTATCACCCAGCCAGACCATCACCGCATCCGCTTCAGCAAAAATTCGTGGCATGAGGTTAGCTTGTTCCTTCTTTTCCGCCGCATCTTCCTGATTGATACAAAGCGTATCGACCCAAACATCCTTCTGCTCATGATTATGCAGCAATCTCAACGCGGCATCCAGATACGTAGGAACCCAGATCCTCTCACCATTTAAAATCAGCGTCCTTCGATCAACCTGATTTTCTCCGGGAATATAAGACAAAGCCTTGAACTTCGACCTCACCGCGGCGTTGAGCGGGATGGTGGTAGTCGTGGCCCGAATGGACATGCCCGGATCATCCGGAGCGACAAAGGACAGTAAGCGGATATCATCTTGAGTGCGGTCGAGAAGAGGATATGTGGTCATTTCAATCCCGTCGTGGTGTTGCAGAGTCGTCGTACGAAAGGTACAAGAAGATGTATAGATGAACGAAGAAGAAAGTATCCAATTCTCTTCCCCACATTTAGGAATTGGGAGTTGCGGGCGGCAGAGAGGAGATGTTCAAAGCGGCTACTCTTCGCCCCTCAATTGCATGCGTTTGTGCATGTATGGGGATGAGTTAAGATTCGCTTGAGACATGAAGAAGGGGGAGTGTGAATGAGTTGCGTCGCATCGTATGTTCTGGGCGTTTTGCTGCAAAGTGGAGCGAGTAAGCGGCCTGCGTCGCGTCGCGTCATTGGCTGCGTGGGGAGAACCTTGGAAGGCGCCTGTCGAGGCTGGTCAGGTGCATGGTCATGTGTCTACCCCAGTTCTGCCACTCACCCAAGAACGTGCGCGCTGTTGGAGAGGGAGGAAATGACAGGAAGGCACATCGTGAGATTTGTACGAGGTGGTTGTTGGTCTTGGCGATGAGATGCGGATGCGGTGCCGCGGACGAGGAATGTTGGTGAAACCGTTGGTTGGGAAAGGGCGGTGAGTGGGGATGTTGGAGTGGATGAGAGGACATAATTGAGACAATCTCACAAATCAACTGGGTTCAGCATTTTATTGCACGATAGATTTAACACAGAAGACTGTCTTTTTTGAACATGTATTCAATTCACATCTGTAGGCAATACCCTTGGATGGACTTGGAACTCCTCGACTCTCGAAAAATAACCAACACCAACTCCAACTCCAGCACAGCTCCAGGCTTTCCAACTCGAAGATCACTCTCTCGAACCACTCCTGAAGTGATTGCCAACCTGTTTCCTCTATTTTTTCACACTAGTATAGACCGTACTGAAGTTTGGCCTCACGGTAAATGGAATAAAAGCGGAAAACGTCTTAGTCGACTACACATAGAGGATTAGTCTCTATCAAGGTATCTTGTCATCAGTCGACTTACAGTTAAATGAACTATGTTTTCCGTAAGTGTATATGTTATAGTTGTAATTGGCGGCGGTCTAGTCGTAATCAAACAACTACAAGCCTGGTTAACGATATAGTATCCTCCCCAGTAATCGTAATCATAGAACCAGTCTGGTTGAGAGATTGAAAGCTCATCACGTTTCTCGGCGGCGACTGGTGCGTTGGTTATTTGGGGCGGATTAGGAGAAGAGCATCCGGGCTATGCTTGTTAAAATTGATTCTAGGTGACCGGGGTCGATTGACTTACCGGAAGGTAATCAGGACATCCTCTATCATATAGATAGTCTCTCCGCTCTGGCTGCACATACAAGTCCTGCGAAACTGAAACTCTGTAAAGCGAACAGCCTGTACGTGGATCGCTATCGAGCGAAAACGAACGCCACTGTGTAAGACCAAAAGCCTTGCACTCAGGATTTTGCAAACAAGCTTGATGACATTCTTCTCTGGTAATACCGTCTAGCTCTCTGTTATTGTAAGATGCAATGAGATACTTTGGATCAACGTTGCGTGAAGAGCTGAATTTGCAGGTCATGGAGGATGAAGGCGTGGGACAGAGAGCCGTGGTAGTTGCTGTTCTGCTACGTATCAGTATGAGGGCTTTGGTAGCGATGATAACGAGAATCTTACGATTGAATCGTTGTTGTAGAAAAGAACGTTGCCTCCGTCTCATATACTTTGGTAAGTGTTTGAGTAGGGGGTCCTGGTGGTGTGGTTCGGTAGACGGTATAAGGATATGGACGAAACCATTCTGAGCACCAACTTTTTGCATCAAATGAAACTGTTGTCGGCCTAAAAGTTATCAGTAAACTTACTTGACTGTTGCAATTTGCGATAGGCTTTACTTACGGATGTTCCATGACACTAACCCAAGATACAATACTCACATCACTCGCACAGTCTTTACTGTTCGGGTATTGAGCGCTGGCCAGGGTAAGGCTCAGAGACAAAACGAGGAACAGGCTATGTTTGTCCATCTTGGGGAAGCTGTTGACAAGCAAATAGAGAGAAAACTGCCACAGAAACCAAAGAACTGCTGAACGCTGTGAAACTTCAAAAGAAATGGAAAACCCACCGAAGGAAGCATTGCAATATACTCCAAAAAACATACCTTATTTGTCACCTTTTACGTGAGTTTATCTGGTATTTGGAAGCTTCTGCTCTCCCCTCTTGACATCTGATCAGAATGCTTGTTGGTGTTGTGTAACGGTGTGTGGGTAAATGCCGTTGCAATTGAGCCAAATTACCCAGCTATCAGGATTGGAGCCAAGCAAGTGACAGAGCTACCTCGAGCAGAACCCATGAGCATTAGATGCTTGAAGAAGATGGGGATTATGACCTCGCAATGTATAAGATGTAGGAAAGAATTCGGATTCAATTGGATGAGAAGGACGAGAGCTTGAAGGTTCATCAGTGGCTTTTGGGTGGAAGGTATAAAAGCATCACCAAAGAAAGCTTGGAGTTTTCTTGGTTGACCAGGCCCAGGCCCCACGGAAAGCTATGCAATATTCAAAATAAAATGTATGACGATGTTGAGCCACTCGATAGCAAGTTCATTGCATCGACATTCTTGGTCATCCAAAGTAACGTTTTCGTGGGAAGATGAATTAGGCGTGGAAAAGAAACTGGTGAAGAAGCCGTGAAGTGACAGCGGGCCCAAGCTCCCTCCCCCGCAGCCGGCAATAGCCGACAAAGCTCCTCCTCGACCTCACCCCACAATCCTGTCCTGCAATTGCCATTGACCGCCATGAACCATCACCATGTCTCGACATCTGCTGAGACCGATATCAAAATGCAACCTTAGTCCTCTCCGCGCACGACAGTTACGAGGTCTGTCGACCGCCAAAACAAACCGTGTTCGATTGATCGAAGTTGGCCCCCGAGATGGGTTACAGAATGAGAAGACTGTCATTCCATTAAAGACGAAAATTGAGTTGATTGAGAGATTGGCGCAGACTGGGTTGAGAGATATAGAAGCTGGCAGTTTTGTGTCTCCGAAATGGGTCCCGCAGGTATATTCCTCCTCATTCTTCCCTCGAGGAATTACAGCGCTAATGTAATTCAGATGGCAGCATCCTCCGAAATCCTCACACACATCCAGAACCACCCTCCACAATCAGATAACCCAGTATCCTACGCCTTCCTAGCACCAAATACGAAAGGACTCGAGAACGCCCTTTCCACCCTGGACGCAAGTCCCCAGAATCCAGATTCTAACCACAAAATCGAACTCGCAGTCTTCGCGGCCGCAACCGAATCCTTCACACAAAAGAACCTGAATTGCAGTATAGCAGAATCCTTACAAAAGTTCGAATCTGTAATCAAAGGCGGCAAAGCAGCAGGCTTGCGAGTTCGCGCCTACATCTCTGTGGTCCTTGGCTGTCCCTTTGAGGGATACGATGTAGACCCGAAGAAAGTCGCTGAGATAGCTTGTGATCTGATGGAAATGGGCGCAGATGAAATTGCGCTTGGTGATACCACTGGAATGGGCACGGCACCGCGTACGAGGGATCTCTTGAAATCTATGCAAGCAGCTGGGATTCTGAATGAAGATATAGCGATGCATTTCCACGATACATATGGGCAGGCATTGGTAAATACAGCCATTAGTCTGGAGCACGGAATCCGGAATTTCGATTCGAGTGTTGGTGGACTTGGAGGATGTCCGTATAGTCCTGGGGCGACGGGGAATGTGAGTACGGAGGATATGGTTTATTTTATGGAGAGTCTGGGGATGGATACGGGCGTGGATCTTGATGCGGTGGTGGCTGTTGGGGATTGGATTACGAGGGAGATTGGGAAGGCGAATTCGAGTAGTGTTGGGAAGGCTATGCTTGGGAGGAGGAAAGCGGAATGAATAAATACATGCATACCAATTTGTAGTGGCATGACTTTTTGGATCTCTAGGAATGCGCGAGGTTTGTAAAATACATGATGGTGACTTTCAAAGGTAGTGTAGCCTCTGCATTAGCAGAGTTATATAGTTGCAACACAGGGAGCAGTGTTGAAGTCCTTGGAGCTGGAGGGCAAACTGTGGTCAGGTAAGACATGTATTTGATCTCTGCTGTCCACTTACCTCAGCTAACGAAGCGTCCTCCGGGTTACCTGTACACTCATCGGAAACGACATATCTAGAACTCATTGCGTTACAGCTGCCTCCTTCCATATTCCTCGCAACATCATACTGGAAATAAACAACCAGACTATAAATTGACTACAATTAAATTCGAATCACATACCCAAGTTACCGTTATTATACTTGTTATAAGCTTACCACCATAATCCTGAATATCACCACAAACCCTCCAATCCTCTAGCGCCATCCTTCCACCAGTGGGTCATACTAAACCACCCCATCGTCGGAACGCGGCGATCCTAACGCTAATATCGAAGCCGTCTCTTTTGGCGGCGACCACTTTGGTTCATTGTACAGAACGCCAGGAAGACGGATTGGGTGATGGTTTGGCCTAATTTGGCAAGTTCTATGTTCTAAAGCGGAAAATGCGTTTTGACAGGCGTACAAGATTCTTTAGCCCCGTTGCCCAAGATATGTAGATCCAGAAAAAGAAGGATCACTATATTAGCGTGTACTAAAGATATTGATCTGCTTGGATTTATAGTTAAGGAAGCTGGAGAACTAGAGGGCAAGCTTACCCCGGATTTCCCCCTTCTCAACCCTGATTAATACTTCGACACTTACAACTCTCCAAAAGCAACCATCACATCAACACCTTCACAATGCCATCCCCAACCGCCACACACAACCAACCCACCCCCTTCCCCCTAACCCACTTCCACTCCATCCCCTGGTGCCACGCCCTCCTCACCCAAAAACACATCCTCCACACCTCCACCCCCGACCGCACGCCCCTCCCCTCCGCCGAAGCCGTCCTCGTCCGCGAAACCCTCAACACGCCCCACACCGTTCGCGCCTGCGTCACTTACCTCCGTTATCTCGGGCGCCCAAACGAGTCTGTTGGTGAGACCAAGGCGAGGCCGTTCCTCGAATGCGCTGCGCTGCTTGATCTAGGCTTGGGGGTGAGCGGATTCGCGAAGACGGCGCATGGGGGTGTGCTGGCGGTTATGTTGGATGAGGTGTTGGGGACGGCGGCGAATATGCAGGCTGGTGAGTTTGCGTTGGAGTTTGCCTTTCGCGTTTGGGTGAGTGTTTTGCGGGGAAGCTGATCAGAAACAGAGAAAGGGGCGTACACAGCGTCACTGAAAATCAATTTCAAGCGGCCGGTTAAGTTGCCGCAGGTTGTGCTTGTGAGGGGACGGGTGGAGCGGGTGGAAGGGAAGAAGATTTTTGTTAAGGGGACGGTTGAGGATTCTGAGGGGGTGGTTATGGGAGAGGGGGAGGCGCTGTTTGTGGATGTGGGGAGGGAGATTGGGAGGTGGACTTCCCAGGAGGAGAAGGAGGAGAAGGAGAGGGAGAGGGAGGGGTGGGCGAAGTTGTAGGGTTGAGGGTGTGTTTGAATCTGTTCTTGGAGAGACTGGTGGTAGAGTTACTATTAAAGTGATTGTGGGATTGTAATCAAGTGTAGGAATATATATGTCTGGATTATTAGAAGTATTCAGAATGGTTGATAGGTTGTTAGAGTTTCTCTTTTCATCAATCGTCCAACAATAATAAGTGTTGTACTTCTCTAAATTAACTCTACGCCTCTCCAATAACACACGATCACCCTCTAAGTCTTCGCCGACGAGAAGATCTAGCATTACTTTCTTCTAATAGCTAAGATCTTGTCTCAAAAAGAGTTCTTTACATTCTCATTCATCTATATCACTTGCCACTTGTTGCTTGTGCCTCGAAGCGGATCAAACACCCCTCCACTAAACTTGATGCAAAAATATCCACGTCCGCGATACTTCATCGCCAAAACAGCTCGATTAGCCTCCTCGGGGCGACTTTCTGCAAGCTCCGTACGACAGTTTGCCAATTCTCCTGTCAGCTCCCAATCAATCTCGATCTGTAGAGTCGACCGCCATATATTGGTCTCCTCGCCTATGGCATCACTGATGGCTCTCGTGAGATTTACGAAGGAGCAGATGTCATCTTCGTGCTCAGCAGATTCGGGTGTAGGGTTATTGGTCGTGGGGTCGAGCTCAGAGGCAAGATATATGGCCCCAGCCCAGGGCTCTATCTCTCTGTCTAATGCGCGGAAATAGGCGAGGAAAGTCTGTGCTGTTTGCTTTTTGGGAGGTAAGGGACGGTTTGGAAATTGGATAGACATTTTTGCAAGTAAGTGTTGAGTGTAATGATGAGGTTAAGTTGAAGGTAGTAACAAAGCTCAGGTGTTATGTGGTTTTGTGCAGGAAGTCTTGCAACAGAAAAGCTCTGTTGATTCTAAGCCCTTTTTTTTATATTTTGTAATTTCTATCAGCTATGATTGCTTTAGAAAGATTGCTACCAAAAAAGAAACTGCTACGTTGTACACATCATCATGCCTTGCTTGCTATTGTATTATAGTGACAATCAACATCATGGCTCGCACCACTCACATATGGTATGATAGAAAAAGTTCTCATCAGGATACTGACTAGTTTGACTGCCACTTTATTGCAAATTAAATTATAGAATTGAGTGATTACAAACGAGGAAATCAGGCATTTCGTTTGGATGATTTTATCATAGTCCATGAAAAGAGAGTTATGCCATGATTTATTCCCCAGGTTCTCAATGATTTATGCTCAGTCATGATATCCTGTTAATCCGCTATTCTCTACACCATAAATCAAATAATTTAAGACATTTCCTCGCTTGCTACTGTCACAACATCGACACTAGCCAAAAAGAATGATAATTAAGCTAGTAGCCCCAGCTACTGCCCCATTGATTCTTTTTCGTACCGTCTCTGTTATAGCCCGAGAGATCCGGATAACCAAGTTTTGACGAACGATCGTAATTTGCAACATCCCGAAAGACAACTTCAAGATACCCACGTCCACCACGCTCTCTGAGGACCTGAATAGCCTCACTCCGCTGGGGCTCCTGAAGGTCCGAGAGATCTGTATTCCCCTCGCCAGAATCCCAGGCGATGTAAATAGCCAGATCTTCTATCCTTTTGTTCGGCCCCAACCTCGCGTTAACCGTGTCGCGCGCTATAGACTCAAGATTTGCATAAGGTAAGGGCATAGATGTGGTTGATATTCCAGCGTACCACCGCAGATTTGAATCTTCCTTGTCGATGAAATGAGTGAGAATGTTGTTGATCATGTTGGATCAGTAGGTGTTGCGAATTTGGGTTTGGGAATGATTCAAAGTACCAAGTCAATTCTTGTCGGGCGGTCAGTTTAATTTATCTTGTGAACAAAGGCAGAACAGGATGGTTGTTTTTTACTTCATTGAGTGGATTAGGAAGTTGTATTTATGTTCGGAATTGCCAAGACACCCGATTTTCAGTATGATTACAAAATTCATGAATACATGATACATCTAGTCACTGAGCCATATTTCGCTGTCATTTCGAGCTAGGGAAACTAGATATTGACTAATCACGACAATTTTACTGAGCTGTTATGTGTAGGTTCAAATTAAGACATAGTCACGTTCGATCACTGTCAGCGTTTGTCGTCACCGTCATAACGATAGACGAGACATCTTTGGGCAAGCTCTTCCACATCTAATATAAAACGAAATTTCAAGTGACCAACACTTGTCCTGTCATTGGCTCATAACCTGACGGTATTTTCTCGGTCTTATGTGAATTGTGGCATTGATTGCTGGAATTAGCCAAGGAGGTGGCTTCATGATATTACCACCAAAGCTTCTCATTTTGACTCTAAACTGCTCATGAAATAAATGCTTTTGAGTTTGAACTATGTTAATCTAAAGAGCTTTCAGAAAATTCAACACCAGACTTCTCTATAGGGGGCTCAAGCCTCAATCGTTCAAACTTTATTCTTCTTTGCAAGCACCTACGATACAAGTAGACATATAGGAATTAGAAATTGTACGTTTGTAACACTTGAAATTGAGCGTCAGAAGTGGAGTGAGGCTATCGATGAAAGCCGTTCGGTATTTTAAGTTTGTAGGCTGCTGGAAAATTATCTGATTGAGACTATGCAAAATTGATCGTCACACATTTTTGTGCTTATAGGCTTCTTCTTCCAGAGGTATTATTATTGCACAGAGATTGGTTTAAACCAAGGAATATGTAATTAATTCCCCGCAATTCAGAACTTGGGAGTCAGGCCCTCTTTCCACCGCGCGTTCCACGTCTGTATGACGAAAGTCCTTGTGATATCCTACTCCGAATCTGATTCTTGCAAGACAAGATCAAAGCAAGAATGCTTTCAATACCTCCACTGAACCCAACTGATCTTCTATCTTAATTTTTCATTTCTTATAGCACCATTCAACCTCAAGGTGCGCGAAACGAGGGTCTTGAAGATGACTTCTTAGACTCCTCACTCCAGCGAGAGTGACGTCCATCTTAGTTCCAGTAAATTGATATCCACTTGATTCGACCTTGTCGCGAATATAAATAGACTTGATCTCAATAATTGTAGAGTCAAGATCAGTGTGGATTTCGTGGGCAATCTGTGATTCTGTATAGCTTTTAATAGCATGAGTCTGAATGTCAGGTGCTGATCATTCTTATCTTCAACCATGTCAAATTTAGCATCCAAACTATGATTGACTTCAGCTCTTTTATCCTCATGAAAAAGAACTTCGAATCGACGCTTGGCTGGGGAGTTTTGTGGTGTCGGACATGGGCTGCTAGGACCCGGCTTTGAAGATGACATTGCTTGAGCTGATTGAGACAAGTAATGGGTTTTAATTCAAGATGATTTTATAGCCGATTCTTAATAGATGTATCGGTGTTGAGGTATTTTGTTCAATAATAAGTCCAGAATTCCTTACTATATATGCAAATATCCGATCATTGACTCGGAAGACTCACAGTTACGACAGACTAAGATCCACGCCACTCTTTACCAGCAAACAAGAACGAGAGTAACAACAATGATATATTCTGAAAGAAAGAATGTCAAGTTTCCTTAAAAACTTCGCGACGTATGCATCAAATACCATCCTTCGACACGTCAAAGCAATCAGTTTCAGACAGCTCTTATCGAATTTACATTTCGTCTAGTGAGTCTCGGGAAGATCAAGCAAAGACGCTGTCAATACTCTCAAAAATCTCTAAAAACCAATGTAATTTCCTTTATCGTACTAGATAACCGTAATCAACCACAAGATGCGAGAATGTAGCGTCTTGTAGGTGAGCTCTTAAACGTCTCAACCCAGCCAACGAGTCTTCCGTCTTAGTTCTGGTCAGCCCCGCTCCCGTGTCATTTCCCATGACTGAGTGGTTATTGTCGCAGATCCAAACTTCAGCTACCCCAGAAAGACGAGTACCATCAGCGGTAACAGGTACGCGGGGCAATCCAGCGTGCTGCTCAATAGCTTCCCATAACATACTGATAAATGCCTGAAATTGGTTATCGTTATCTTCGACCATGCGGAGCTGAGTATGGAAAGTAAGTCCAACCCTTCCATCTTCAATTCTACCAAAGGTGAAGTTGATGAGAGGCCTAAAGGAGCTATGCATTGTCGGATTTGAATTTACTGGAGTTGGGTCTGAACGCCTTATGACGGTATTCGGACGTAAGTTCTGTGACACTGACATTGTGGAAGTGAAGCGAAGTAAAGTGATGATGATGCTAATAATATAATTTTAAACCAATAGGGTGGTACTGCTACCTTGCTGATGGATTTTCGAAGTGGCCAAGGATAATATACAACATCCCACGGCGGAGTGACTCAAGATGCTCAGAAGCGTGACTGACTACAGCGTCAGCTCTCTGACAACTTGTCCAGCAAAAGGGCAGCTTGGAAAATCCTCATACCCGTTTTAAAAACTTCAGAAACAGCAGGTCTATCTTCAGGTGTTACGACTCATACGCAAGCTAACAACATCTGCCATGTATAACGATCTGATACGATCACCTTTTTATCTTTGCAAGTTCAGATCAAAGTCACATTTCGTCAACCCAACCGGATTTTGGCCAAGAAGCAAACATTATTTCAATGTCCTTGGGTTGCTACAAAGGTATCTACCATTTTCAACAACCACACACTCAATGCCCTTCCCCTTCATCCATCTTGTAGTCATAAAACACTTTCAAAAACCGCCCGTTATCTTCTCGAAGAGAAGCTATTGCCAATCTCATTTCTTCGTTTGTCTTAATTGAGGTGCCCACATCATAATTCTCATCCTTACTGCTGAGCTGGTGCTGTTCGCAAATGCAAACGGAATCTATGTCCACCTCAATTCTGTCTTGATGATGGGGAGCCTCTGGATTCAAGTGAGATGCAATAAGCCATTTCAGACTTTTTGCTAACTTTTTGATCATCGCGTTGTAGAGGTTGTTGCCATTCTCTCCAACAAATAGAACGGTATCTTTGAATAGGGGAATGCGGGGTCTTAGCTGAGGGCAACAAAGAAATTGCGCTCGGAAACCAATACTCAAAGGTTCTTGAGCGTTCGAGTTTCGTTCAGCCACAGTGAGAGTCGCTAGGGAATTCGAAATATCAGATTGTGATATAGATGGTACTAGTTCTGGAGTGGACGAGATATCTGACATATAGGATTGTGATGTAGATGGCATTTTCTCAGATGCACGGTTTACATTTTGTCCCTCGTCACTTGAGGTTGGCACAACACCTCCCTTTATAAGCGACCCATCTGACTCATATAGTCGAAATATGGAGCCAGAGTGGTTTGTTCTTAGACACGGGTTTCTATTTACATATAGCTGGCAAGCCGGGGCCACTCAGGAAACTTTAACATCAACATTCAGGAAAACTTGAGCAAACACACAAAGCAAATAGTAAAGTTGACTATTCGCAAACTAGTTTTCGTAGGATGCATGTCTTGCAAGTTAGAGGCTTCTATGCAGACTTTGTCACAATATCTTCCAGTATTACTCATAACGCCATACAGAAAATTCTTCAAAGCAATCTGCTGGAACCAGGTTATTATGGTATTTTGGTTGTGGATAATGCGACAAACCTCATTTTTGAAAGATTCCTTCATTACTACCATACAGCGAAGATCAATAGCTTTCTGCTACACATGAAGAGTTGAAAAGAACCGCTTTGCACGACTGCTATCTTCAGAGCTCTCGCCTGTACCCCGTGTGAATGAGACAAAAATACGAGTGGTAGACGAATCTTGTAGGTCAATCTCTTTATGACCCAATTGTGTAGGATCCGGGATAATCAAGATGATCTCCCTTTTTGGAAAAGCACTCCCTGACCTTGCTTCAATAATCTTCTCGTTATATTTTGGGAACACGCTGATGCGAATAATTTCAACATTCGGGTCTGTTTGGGGCTGGAGAGAAGGTGAATTATAGTGCTCCTGAATCATGTCTTGAACACGTTTCTCGAAAGCCGGGGCGTAGAATTCGTCTTGAGATTTGATGTATATGTGCTCGCTCCAGTTCTCTAGCTCGTTCCACTCGTGCTCAAAGTGTAAGAGATACTCGAATCCTAAATACTCAAAAGCCGTTGGAGATGACGACGGGGAATCTAGTTGAATGGCGTCATTTGCTGAATCTCCATCTGGCATTGTTGCTCGTGATCAAAGTCGGTTCGGCTTGGTGGGGTATGGTATCGTTTGGCAATATGATTTGAAAGTGTATTATATCTGGGAATCTTTCTGGTACTGAGGGCCGGGATCTTTCAAGATATGATTTCGATATGCAAACATGAAATTTCAAGTTTTTTATATAAGATCGAAAGGTACAATCACGGATATTGAAAATGATGAACAAGTAGACTTTGAGCCAATCTTTCAAGTCTAGGTGAATGCATTGATTAAATATCCAATGTAAATAATCATACATGACAGATGATTACGTGACATTCAAATTCTATCCCTTGACAAGACTTCTTGATTGCTAGCGTTCATCTCCAAATTTGAGGTGAAACGTTCGTCAGTTAAGAGGCCTTGAGTTTTCGTTATTCACCCAATTACTCTTGGCCACCGCTTAAAAAGCGCTCAAAGCTCCCTGTCGTGCCACACTAACGCGACCCTAATTGAGTCCCATTCTCCGTTCTTTTTCATAGTGGATGGTAATTCCGTGAAACTTTGGATGACGAGAAATGGCCTGAATCAGCGTATTCCCAGCTGTATTGTCTTCCACTGGAATATCCGCGTAGTGATCCCAGTCCGCTCTGACTCTATTAAGTATATATGGTTCATTTCTGCCTTCCTGAAATTTGTCTCGTATTACATTCTTTATGGTATGGTGGAAGGAGTTTTGGAGATTGTCAATTCGTAAACCGGTGAACCAATAAAAGTTTCTGTTGCTGTCGAAGAGACGGACGAAGGTATATTGTGGGATAGTTGCCGCCATTGGATATTCGGGATTTGATAGTACAGCAAGAGAGAGCTGCTCTCTGGAACAAGTGGTTTGATTCTATGTCGAGGCTTTTGTGCGGACCAAGACAAGGTTGATTAACGGTGGGTTGGATTGTCTGACTGAGGGAATGTCTGCTTAAGTACATTTCTTGATCAAACTCTGCATTAGTGCTGTTAAGATCAAGTTGCAATAAAACGAGATGTCTGCATGTTTTAAGTTTGATATTTGGGGTTATAACACCGAGCAAACTGTCTCATTTGTCAGATTTGATATTTTCTCTACTAGGTAAGAGAGTGTGAGAATTTCAGGACACAAACTATACACTCTTCGTTTTTGAAGCACTAACCAGACATGTAATTGTCAGGTATTCGGGGTAATGTTCGTACTTTTGGGTTCTGGGTTTTCTGACAGGGTCACTTTGAAGTTGCTTATTTCCTCAGATATCATAAATGCACCCCAAGGTCATTTCATAGAAGACAACGAGTAACTTCAACACCCTGCCAGCCGAGCTATATAAACATATTTAACTAGATGGTAGGATTCGATTCAAAGCAAAAGTTCTTGCTGTGTAAGTGGTGAATTGTTAATTTGTTTGGTAATTCAAAACACTGGTACTTCAAGGGGAGAATTCTCAATAACCAATTCCAGAATATCATACTAACGCGAACATACTCTGGTTACTGGTAGCTTAGTGTCTTATTTTACATTCTGGTGGTTACTCTTGTTTTCCTTTCTGTCATCTCATACATCACTGTTGAAGTTTGGGTAGGTGTCGATAGTCTTACTTTGCCAGAACAAATTCGCGTGAAGGTGAATTCAATTGTCCAATTGGATAGAGACAAAGAAGACTTAATTCTCTGAACTTAGTCTTGGTGGAATCATATTGAGTATCTTTTGAAATGGTGATTGATTTGAAACTGATATTATGATCAGATGATGTTAAAGTATGAAATCGACAACTTATCTCTAAACCTTTCGAATTTGGAAAGACTTCTTTCACACGATTGACTGCCCTATGTTTGGCAGTTTGCCAAAATCAATATATCCAGAAAACTGTCAACAAACAGCGAAAGTAATCCAAAATAGGACTCATGTCGCCTGTCATTCACCCGCGTCAAAATGACATATGTCGAGACATTCAAAACTCATGAATGAGAACACTTCATGATTAATACCACTAATAAGAATCTGCGTCTTTGATCATACATCTTTAATCGGACAAGCTTTTCTATATTTTTTCAGTGTTACGGAGAATATCAACAACTTTAGATCGAGACGCAAAGACGGGTCCTCATGGCAAACCGCAATCCATCATACAGCCCCCGCTTCAGTCCGAGACACAACAGTTCTCCGACTGCGCTTCATTTATCCCTCAGCATTCCTCACAGCTCACCACCGCCTCCAAGAGCTCAGATTCCCATCCAAATCCGTATTCTCCCAACGGCATCCACCGAGACTACTTACTCTCTCGGATCGCTCACCATATCCGTCCCTCATCCACCACCATCCTATCGTTATTACCCAGAAGTATCAACCTATCACTTTTCGAGATTAAATACAGAAATTGGTGTCGCAATATCGAGCCATTTACGAGCTTTAGGCCATGGAGAATTGTTGAATAATACAGTACATTTATATGTGATTTGGGATGGTGAGGAAGGGGCTGAGATACTGAAGGAGGCAAGTGATATGATCCATGTCTTACAAAGGATGAGTGACAGGGGTTGGAAAGATGGATTTAGAGTTGTGATTTGTCGTGGGCTAAAGGAGAGACCCGTGAGAGACAGTAATTGGATGTTGGAAAAGGCTTTGGAAAGCAGGGGATTAGAGAAGTTGCAGAAGGAGAAAGCGACGTCGGGTGCCGACAGCGGAAGCCAAATATCACAAGAGAGGAAACAGTGTATATTGAAGAGATGGGCGAGCGTAATGTGCTGAAACAGAAACCTCTGGTTTTGAATTCGATCTGCACCAATCTGAAGATAATAACAATAGCACAGGAATCGTGATGAAAATCAAAGGCTAGTGTTTTTGGCATGGATAGTAGTATATAACAGTTCTGTATATTACTTTGGGTATTTGGAATACGTCAAGTTCCACAGAAACTAATACATCGTCAACATTGACTACAATTCATTTGTCCCTTGCCAAGATTGTTATGTGTCGAATTTCATGAAAAAACGAGGATCTACACCTTTACTGTCTTACTAAAACTAATCTAAGCTTTGACAATCAATGGAACTAAACGATTTTGTCATTACACTAAGGTTCTAAGTTAAGTCTTCTTCCGCTTATTTATTTCTTGAAAGAAGAAGAAAGAAAACCAGAGAAATTCAATTCGGTAGCTAAATCATGAGCCACGTGAACCCTTAGATTGTAAATATTGACTGGGGGAAAACCCTACTCTCCAGTAATTCAAAGCACTTGTTTTGATCTTTGTGAGTATCTAAGTATTTGACTCGGTGGTTTCACGAAAGCCTGTATCACAATTCTTCAGAGCATTCATTCTGATCTTATGAGTATCTACACTTTTGACTGGGTTTGGCCCAGGAAATTTGATGCGCCCTGGTAAATTACAAAGCATGATCAAGATTCACAAGCAGGACCAGATACAGCTACCCAACAGTCAGGGAGAACCATTTCATGGCTTTGTCATTCGTTTTAAATAGATATCTAGATAATGCAAAAAAGAGTACGAATCACTAAACTCTCATGAGTACACATGGATGGTAGACGGCCCCCGTGACGGACAACCAGCCGACTGAATCTGTTCAAGACCTCAATAAAAAGAATATTCACAATAGTAGTCGAGCTGTTTGAATAAATCTTTAAGTATGAATATACAATTTCCAGATTTGCAAAAAAAAGTATAAAAGGAGCAGTTATCGCTTTAATCTATGCCTCTATCTTAAAGTTTAATTTATTCCAAAGACTAGAACAACTACCCCACAACATATTAAAGGCCAAAACAACCAGAATGTCTAACAAGAAAGAGTCTAACAAGAAGGAGTCGAACAACACGGACGAGTTGTTCATTCCAATTTGGATTACTACCAATTCCGTCAGACCCTTCGATGAGGAAACCTCTCCGTGGATTCGATACTCCTCCAATTTTGGTCTGTTTGGCGAAAATGGCAAACAACTGGCAACGTTTAAAGAATGTATCGATAGGGATCTCTATCGAACGAACTATCATAAGAAGTACGAGAAAGATCGCTTCGATCCTACAGAGCACGAGGAAAGTGGTTGGAAAGTGAAAGACGTATATGGGATTCAGCGTCGAGAAGGGACGTCGACGAGGACCATTTTACTAGACACCGAGTCAAAATTCAAATCGGAAGCCAACAAGATGATAGCGCGCCACAAAAGAGGTTCCAAGGAAGATACAGTTGGGACATACCTGATAGTTGTCGTGGATGTCGATACCGTCCTGGATAGTAACAACTCTGCTTCCTCGTCAGCATTGCCGCAAGCTGAGAAAACGATCTTTTGGTCTATGGAAGAAGATGATGCACTGTGTCTTTTGGCAGCATCTTATATTAAACGCAGTAAGAAATCTACTATTGGTTTATCGGGGTGGCAAGAAATTTCAGACCTGCTGGAAGCGAAAAACTTTGAATCACTGCGAACCCCAAAAGCGTGTAAAGGCCGCTGGGATAGAGCACACAACCGCCACCTTTACCTTGCTGGCATTCGAGATATGGGTTCCGAGGTTAGTGCCCAGGGTAGTACATGGTGTCTTTTAATGTAAATTTGGGGGTTTAGGATATTTCGAAATCAAACGAATCGACACGTTTATAATGGGTGGAACCCAAACTTTTCTTCAAACGGGTTTCTTTGGTCATACCTCATTAGTAAATTTCATATTTAAAGTCTAGATGACTACATATAAGCTATGCATGGAGAGTTTGTGGAACGGGGCTATCTTGTTGATGCTTTCTGGTTACCATAGAAGATGTTATCCCGTCTATGACATACTGGCAGGGACTAAGGGAGTGGTTAGATAGAAACACATTTCGATTTAGTGACTAAACAAGAAGTTTTATTAACTATATGAGCTTTAGCTGAATACTGGGTGATCATATTTTCTCCCCTAAAAGTATTGCTCTGGAATTTTAAAAGAAGAGATATACTCTTGTGGTTGTGAAAGATGTTTGCAAAACTTTCTTTGAACAAACATTTGACTTTGATGAATGAGGAAGCCCTACCGACAGTAATTGCATAACTCACAATGCTTTACAGTAGAATAATGCTGTGACAAAGATAGACACCATCTGTGCATCCCTACCTTTGCATATACGTGTCTCAATCAGTGTCATGCCATCTTAATATCTTATTAATCATATCTTTGACCTTGCTCAAGCAAACCCCACAAACATAGGCAATCTTTGCCAATGATATTGTTCACTTATGACAATCTAGTCCCTGATCCTGCAAGAAAAGTATAAAAGAAAGTAAAAGAGTCGTGGAGCCATACCTAGGTACTTCTTCCCACAATATGACTTTCCTTGAAACTCAACACAACTATGTCACAGCACAGTGGAGACGAACGCGACAATATAGATGACGGGAGCATTCCAGTCTGGATCAGTACAGATTCTTCGACTTTTCCAGATCAAGAAAAGTCTCCGTGGCATCAATACTCTTATTATCCCCCTGGGAGTCTGAGTAATGACCAATTGGCATTATTCAAGCAGCGCACTGATCGTGATCTTTCATCATCCAGCGAAAGTTACCCAGCTGGATGGTTCCATCCTGAACATTTTGACTTCATATGGAAACTGAAGAAGGTTTCGGCAGTGTGTGGGGAAAATTGGCTTCCTACCTTACTAGACACCGACGAAAAGTTCAGATCTGCAGTTACGACGATTGAAGAGGAAAATTTAGAAGATGATAACACTGGAAGACTTTTGTCGTCGTTGTGCCTACCGATGAAGTTCAGGAGAACTACAAACCTGCTTCCTTATCGCCACAACGAAGTAAAAAGAATAAGGGTTGGAGTGAAGAAGAGGACCAAGTATTCCTCCTTTTGGTGAAGGATCAACTCGCACTGCGAAACCAGAAGCCAAGTCTATCCCTGTATGGTAGGAAAATGTGGGCAAACATATTCGACCAACTGGAAAAGAAGAAGGTCGAACCACCGCGAACTATGAATGCATGCAAGATCCACTGGAGCAAAAACGAAAGAAAGATGTTCAATCTGGATGTACGCAAACCAAAGTCTGAGAGCTCTTCTTTGACTACGTCGGTCCACGGAAAATGAGAAAAGGAAGGAATTGTACTGTAATCGCGACGGAAGTTATCAAATCACCCGCAAAATATGTTTTCCAAAATGACAAGTACTATTAGGTACTTGGAAAGAAAAGGCAAGATTGTTTGAGGAATTCAGATGAATAATAGATTATAGATGTATACTAGATTCTTTCTTATGTTAATTAAACACAATTACTTAGGTGAAGGAGATAATATGAAACGATATTGAGAATAATGTACTTGTCATATTAAAAAGTGAATGAGGGCAAATTTTCGAGAACAAGTTCCAATCAGCAGTGATCCAGAGACTCTGCATGATACGTGAATTAGGGGCCATATAAATGACTCAAAGTGGATTGTGAAGGACATGAAAAAAGAGGTACCCGTTGTATTATGGAATTCGAGAGAAGCTTGGTAGAGTCTGCGATGTATAGATATCTGTCAAATGGCTTGAGTTCAACTTTCTGAATCAAGCTCCTAGGCGGTATATTCAGAAACTTCTAGTCCATGAATCGTCGCTTAATCACAATGGTCTCAAATTGACAAAGTCTTTCGTTCAATTTGTCATTTGATATAAGAACTAAAATGATCGAGACAAATTTCAACCGCGGCAATTGTTTGGTGTGTGTCACTAATAGAGGGAAACTCTTCTTGTGACTGAATGGGTTGACCAGTCAAGATTGACGAGCAAACGACCATAACGCGAGAAATTCTAAATTCACGATAATTCGAAAGTCCATGATAAAATGAATCAATCATGAGTGTGACACTGCTTATAAAGAACTAAAAGCCTCGAATAGCAGCAGCGTCATTTCGCGAAGAACATACCTAATTAACTGACAACTATCATCAACGCTCGCCACACATCTCTACACAATGAGTCAAAATCTCCCTACTATCATCGAAATTAAACTAGCAGTATTCACCACCGCAGATAGCGTCAAATCCGGGGACCTAATTCCAGGAATCCCTTTACGCAGACAACCCATAATAAACGTCTTCCAACGTACTCTCCAAATCCCCTTTTATTACGCACTCAAAAATTATCATCGAAGGAACATTTCGAATTGGGTGCGCACTCGTTCGAATCAGCTGAAGTCGGAAAATGCAAAGCTTAGGGATAACTTTTGGAAAACTAAGAATGTGTACTGGATGGAAGATGGCAGCGAAGATACGATACCTGTGATTATGAACGATGATAAGCAGTTCAGGCAGGCTCTGGAGTGTTTGGGTAGACGGGGTAATGGGGTGTTTTTGGCTACTCTTGTTCCTGATCTTTCGGGGCGGGATAGCGGTGATGTGTCAATGAGTGTAGAGCAGGGGTCTGATGTAGCAGAGATTGATGATTTGATCTAGAGTTCTTCTGATATCAAGTCTATTTAAAGTATTCAAGAAACTGAATTCAGAAGGGGAAATTAGGATAACAAATAAGGACTACGATTATTCTTCCGGGCACTTATCAAAGCAGCGCATGGAATTATTTGAAAGAAATGCGATAGCGCTCGGAGTATATCACATATTTCTGCGGAGTACACAGATACTACAAGAGCGCTTCGAGGTACCAAGTATCAAGTATCGATGGATGCGATTTAGTCGAATCCCATTCCTCAACGCCGCCTAAACCCACATATTATTCATCTTCACACAGGATCCACATGACACCTCGTGAACTACTAATTTTACAACTGGCAATATCCATCATCGTGACGCTCAAGGGAAAATCAAAAGTAGAACTTGTCCTCAGTCATGAGATAACCATTCCGCTGACCAATTTCAATGGCCTGTTGATAGGATACATGATTCATAGAGTGGCTAAGAAAAGCGAACTCCGAGCATATTCTAGATTGTCCAATTAGTCACAACGCTCAGCAATTGATTCGTCTTGCTATCAGAGGCACAATCATCCTATGCCTAATGATCGTACATTCAGGAGTCATGGCAAACAGAAGTGATGCCTGCAATCTAGTAGTCATGATAATTCGGAACTTTATGACTAGAGACTAAGAGGATCAATCGTGAGGTCTAAACTATTATATAAAGAGTTGAAACTTCCGAATAAAAGCGTCTTCAAACCGAAAAGAATCAAGCAACTCCTAGTTACCTCCAAACTCGATCGTTCGGCAAAATGGATCTAAATAATCGACTAGTAATCAAAATCGAAGTAGACATACTCGTCACCAAAACCTACGTAGAACCAGGGCAACTACATCCCGAATGTCCTCTGCGTGCTCAGCCCGTTACCACTGTCTTCCATTTAACTCGACACGATCCAATCCTCGCACTCGAAGACCTCTACCTACACGATTTCCTAGACTGGGTGCAAGAAAACGCAAACGACAAACGCTCTGAAATTGCCAACCGACACCCGCGCGTTAGAGATCATACCTGGCGCGCTAAGAACTTGTATTGGATTGAAGATGCGAATGAAGATATGATACCCGTGCTCGTACAGGATGAAACGCGGTTTAACATCGCGCTGGATACTTTGGGTGTTGCTGATACACGAAATAAGGGGGTTTTTCTCGTTACGATTGTTGAGGATGATGATGGTGAGGGTAACGGTGATCATGCCTCAACGACTGCGGGGCGGGGATCTGATGGAGGGGAGACTTCACCTGGGACGAAGGCTGGCGTAAAGTGTAAGGTTAATGGAAATGGGAAGGGAAAGAAAGAAGAGTAGAGTGATATCGGAGCTGGCTTCGAATAAACGAGGGTGGCTTGATTTGAATCTCGTGATACCAGGAACGAGCCGAGATTAGTCGGAGAGCATGTAGATATAAAAAAATCAAAGCGAGGGGACTGCTCTAAAACAACGCTGAGTGTTTTTATGGAATTTGAATTTCTCCTTGCTATCTCAAAATAGAAAATATTGTTCTTTACACAAATCACAGCGACACAGTAGGCTTAAAAATTTAGGTATAGAAACAGAGTCAAAACATCTCAAGGTGTTCCAAGAGATCTCCCCATTTGTAGAAATTCGAGAGCAGATAAAGCCTCGGCATAGAGTGTGTACTCAGAACATAGGGCGATTCTGTGGAACAAAGGTAGAATGCATGCAGTAAGGAAAAGATTCTCTGAGACCAGCCCATGGAAATAAATTACAAAGCTCAAGATCACAAACTACTTCTGCCGTTAAAGAACCCAGCAGCATAACCTATCTAATGACCTACACTTCAGTAATATGTTTCCAAGATCAAGAATACCACGAGTGGCCAAAAATGATAACCATGTTCAAAATGAGTCTAATCGCTCATAGCGTAATTGCTCACTTACAGAGAATGGCCTTTACAGATTGGAGCCATTGATTTTAGTAAAGAAAAAGCAAAGCTTGTCTAATTGAAAGACGAAAGCAGTCTATACGCCTTGATTCAGATTATCCAGGGACGTTTGCCGTCAGGCAACAGAACGAATTTAAACATCAAAGCGAAACCGAACAGTTGGATGTACTAATCAAGAGTAGGTGAAACTCACGTATATGGCACTCGCCTGACGTTCAATACGTTGATTTTGTAGATAGAAGCTTCATCAAAGGTGCCTCAGAAAAGTACATCGAGACGCACTCTACGCGCCACAAAACTTTTACTTCCCTACCGCCAGCCACCTAAGAGACCTCCTGAATAAGCTTCCCGCCCATCCCACTCGGCTTGACAGAATTCTTAAACACATCTCCAACCGGACCCTCAAGCCATTCCTCTGGTACGCCAATGCGGTTACCATCCTTATTACTGACCCATCTGACGAATAGCGGATTGACTTTCTGTGGTTCTCCGTCTGGTGTGGCTTCGCCTGTGATGCCGTTGAGATCTTTCCGGCGGGCGTTCGTTTTTGGAGCTTGCTTTTTGAGAAGTTTGTTGATGGTTTCCATCTAATTAGGTGTCAGTAGATTGATTTACACCACTTGAGGGTCCATACCTTTTCTTCTTCATTTCGCTTCTCGCTCAGATTCTTCCGTCGTCGAGCCATCTCAGCTCGTCGCATGGCATGTTCTTCTGCTGTGAGATGCTTCTTGGTTTGGACTTCTATTAAATTCTTAGCCATTATATCGACACAAATATTGGATTAACTTGCCATCGGGCAATGCCAGTAGATGACCACTTCCACCTTCCTCGAGTGCGGCTCGTTGTCTCTTGGTCAACTTGCTCAAATCAGGCGTTGAGCCACGGCTACCACCACCAGGCGTGTCATCGTCGCTGTCGAGCTCTTGGTCTTCTTCCGGCTCTTCGATGTCTTCGTCCTCTCCTTCAGCATCTTCCTCGTTACCAGTTTGCATGGCTTCTTCTTCCTCGACCTCCTCGCCAATATCACTATCAAGCTCACTCAACTCTTCGTCGTCGTCGCTGCCCATCTCGACTTCTTTTTGCTCAACAGTCTTGGTATCAACTTTTGTTGGCGGCTTTGCAACAATGGTTTGCTTTCCATTTTGAGCTTTGGATATTTTAATGACCGGTGGAGGAGGTGGAATATCCATATCGACATCACCATCCGCATCTTCGTCTCCCAATCCGTCGTCCTCAGCATCCATATCCTCGTCTTCTTCGACTTCCTCGTCCTCACCTTCAGCATCCTCATCAGCTGCATCTTCCATTTCTTCATCTTCCTCCTCACTGTCTGACGGTACGACATAGCTTTTCCTCACATTTCGTGATCTGGGGCCATCCAAGATTTCTGCGCCTGATAGGCCTTCCTTAGCTGCAAGTGTCACGGTCTGGCTGAGCGGACTTGATCGTACAGCTTCTCGGAGTTTACTAGAAGAAAGTTTCACGGTTAGATTTCCACGTGAGACGGTCGCACTGGGTGTATTCTCGGAGGCCTTGCGACTGGGTCGCGACGACACTCTATCGTAGGCATTATCAGCAATTGATTCCTTGGCCTTGACGGCTGCCGACCGCTGACTGCGACGAGCTGACATGATGAAAGCCGAGGTTTTCTGAGCGGTTGAAGTCGCAAGATGAAATTGTCGTCGCGACACCCAGATTCAAGTCGAAATACAAAAATATGGAAAGGAGATCTGGTGATTCAGAATTGGGGTGGGGGGTTATCGGGAAGGCGCACCGCCTCGATCCCAAACCCGTGATGTGGTGGGTTGCGATGGCAAACAAACGCAGCTGCGCGAAGATCCAAGAACGAAAGAACAGCGAACTCTCGGTGTTGGTGAGATGATTCGCTTGGCAAGGGCAAATGATAATGTTCTTCGCGCTTCTATCGCCGTTCAGCTTGCCTTGTCTGCGCCCTTCCACGCGTTTGTTTTCATCCAACCAACACAACGTGCGGGATATGTGCTCATCTCGATTCGCCGGAATGATGTGGTCGAGATATAAAAGGGTCTCAACCCATCAATTCTTGTCTTACGCACGCTCGACGGGGATTAACAAGCGCCAGCCTCCACTGCATCTAAGCTCTATATTTTCCTCTTTCCTCTCATTCACAAAAAATCAAAACACATTATGGAATCGGCGAGACATACTTGGTTTTCTTGTCAACAGCAGCAGGAGCGGATTTAGATTTCGACCCAGCCCAATTGTATTCTCCCTGGTCCTCCGAACCTTCGGAGTCTGTACTGAGTCTTCTGGCCTTCTTACTGGCCCGTTCCCCTTTGCCGGACATGGTGAATTGTAGATCTGGGAAACGTCCAGATATTGGCGCTTTATGGTGCCTGTATACTAGATTGGCTAGGATTGATGAAAATAGAGACAGCGGTAATGTCGTCAAGTAATACCAAATTTCCGGCGCACTTTGGCAATTGATGGCTGTGATGGCACCTTGGCACTAATCAACTGTAGAGGCAGGATTATAAGAGCGAAACGTATATCCGAATTATGAGGCAATAGATGATTGAAGCTTTTGATACATAGAAAGAGCCACTGTGGATTGCAAACGTGACAGACGACCGTCGACGATTTAGTGGGGCGAGCTTTACTAGCCAATGGGTCGTCTAGCATGCAATTATGTCAGCCACAGTTCCCAGCCTCGGCATGTGAAGCTCAATGCCGACGACAACCCAAACAATAATGCGCCCATCAAGATTGCAACTCCACCAAACAAAACCAAAATGAGCGATTCAGAATCTGGGGAGCAGAAGGGTGGCGTGCCATCATGGCAGAGAGTTACAGCACAAAAGCCTTTACAGGAGGAAGATAAACCGAAGTCGAAAACAGATCCGACGAGCACAGCACCAATGCTAGCACAAGCAAGGAAATTTCTAGAGGACGAGGAAGTGAAGGATGCGCCGACAGACAAGAAGATCGCCTTTCTGGAAAGCAAAGGAGTAAGGAGTGAGGATGTACAGGAATTACTGGGGATATCAAGAAACCTAGAAGCTAGTAATACAACACCACCCATGGAAGATACACAGGTATTGTCCCTTACACCCCTCTATAATACTAAACTTAACAATCTACAGATCTCAAAACCGCCACCACCTCAGCCATCTCCAACACCAAGTCCGCCCCGGCAGCAACAACAAAACCATCCTCCCCTCCCCACACAACCCCCAATAATAACCTACCCCGAATTCCTCACCACCTCGCCCCGTCCAGATCCCCTCATAACCAAACCACGCCTCCTAAAAACCCTCTACGCATTCTCCTTCCTCTCCCTCCTCCTCTACGGAACATCCAACTACCTAGTCGCGCCCATGATCTCCTCCCTCACAACAGCCCGCCTCTCCCTCGCCTCAACCACCTCCACAAACCTACGCAAACTAATCGAGAAGCTCGAGAAAGCAGTCAGCACTATTCCTATCTCCTCCACCCCGCAAAAACCAGACGACTCAGAGTCCGAGCCCGAAGACCCAACAGAACTCTACCACCGCGACATCGGCATCCAAACCTCGCCTCCCTCCTCACCTACCCTCTCACCCTCCCCCACAACCCCCCTCGATTCCCAAACCACAACCCTCTCCACCCTCTCCACCTCCCTCAAATCTCTCATCACGTCCTCCGATTCCGAAGGCGAGAACAGTCGGGAATTCGAGACCACAATCGGTTACGTGAAGGAGATGCTAGAGGGGATGGCGTATGTGCAGCCGCCGACGGTGAATTACGGGTATGGCGGGTTTAGTGGGGGAGGTGCGAAGGAGGATGATGAGATTGCGAGGGTGAAGGCTGGGATTAGAGGTGTTAAGGGGGTGTTGTTGAGTGCGAAGAGTTTTCCGGGGGGTGTTAGGGGG